CCCAAACCTTCGTATCCCATGTATCCTGTATATCCTATATTTCCCTTTTTTTTATATCCTTTTCTAGAACACGAGCAAGGCTGATCTTTGCGGCGCTCGCAATTTAGTCTTTCTGACGAACACATCGCCGGCGAGGTGCCACATCCACACCACCAACAGACTACCGAACAGGGGTGACTACGGCAAGGCGCTCGTTGAGTTTTTCAACAAGAAGAAGGCATCGTCGTGAGAAGGGTGTATGTAGATGTGGATCGGCGGTCTCCGTTTGAAAACTCACAACATCCTCTAATGCGCAAAAAAGAAGATTATCCCATATATTAGAACTGAAGTCAATATACTGTTACGACCAATTTTTATTACCATTTGGTTAAAAGTGGTGTTTGCCAATTGCATACCGAGGGCATAGTCTTCGTCTGGACCAGTCTGTCAGGCTCGCTCGGTTTAATCTTCAACCCGGCTCGGCCACAGTGAGCTGTAGAAGAATTAAGCCGTGTTACGAAGACCCATGTAAGCCGAGTGCAATATCTCTGTGGGCTTGATTATGTCACTACTCGCTGTGCTACGACGATAAGCCACCTATCAGCCATCTCGTCAGTTCTATTGTCGCAGGCAGCAGACAGTCTTCACGTATATGTACAGTTCAAGGTACTCTCAAGTTTCTATCATTTCGCATAGGAATAGCCTTGGATATTTACTGTGCTATTTGAGCTCCAGAGGTCGCCTCACGAAGAGCAACGGGTTGATTGGTTCAAGTCTAAGAACGTCGATAGCAACCAGCTTTCTCTAAGCGCCATCCGTCACCCATGCACAGCTTCATCGGCAGGTATTCGGGTCAAAGTTTAGATATCCTCTTCGCACGCAAGTGATTGACTTCACATTTCAAGAGGGGTCTGATAAGTCATGTTCAGTCACAGAAAGAAATCTCTTTGATGCCAGGAATCATCTACGGAATATCTCGTTTGGCCCGGTCAAGGCCTACTGGGCATGACCACTGAATCCACATTAGCGTCTGTGCTGTGAGCGGAAGACTTGTCATTAGGTGACATACGGGTGCTGGCCATCTCCCACGCGCGAGCCGGTCCTCGTGTGCCTATGGAACGGGATGTTCTTGACGCCACGGTGCCTAAAACATCAGTGGTTAGTACCATGGTCGAACAATCAGAGGACTAAGTTTCGCGGGACAACGTACTTCAGAACGATACGCTCGATGGCATCCATGCCCATCTTCAAGGTCTCCATCCTGGGACCATAGGACAGGCGAACGAAGTGATGGCAAGGCGAGTCGAAAAGGTCGCGGCGCTTGCTGGGGTTAAGGTCGAAGAAGATACCGGGGACGACGATGACCTTCTCGTTCAAGCACTCAGAGAAGAAGTTCAGACCGTCGTTTATGGATCCGGGCAGGGAGCTAAGATCCAGCCAAAGGTAGAAGGTCGAGTTGGGCACATCCTCACTGGGGATCTTGAAACCCATCTCGCGGAGACGACCGATGACGTAGTCGCGCTTCATTTGGAAGTGGGTTTGAAGAGCACGCATCTCGTGGCGGACCTTGGTGGGCTCCAGCATCTGGATAGCAGCCTCCTGGAAGGGAACGTTGGTGCCACCATCAAGGTAGGAGCCGCAGGAACCAATGGCCTTGATGAACTCCTTGGGACCAACGATCCAAGCAACACGCCAACCTGGAAGGCGGAAGCGCTTGGTGAGACCATCAATGATCAGGACATCGTCCTCATCGACATCAACAACGTTATCAGCAGCGGAAATGACGGTGCCATCGCAGCCAGTCGTGTAGTTGTAACCGCCTAAAATGCACAAGTTAGACACACCCAATTGATTAGCTCCGCGGAGGAGAACTTACAGTAGAACTCATCCATGATCAGAGTCGCCCTATCGCGGCAGATGTCTTGGATCTGAGCGAGCTCCGGGTTGGTCATGACTTGACCAGTGGGGTTACGGGGGTTCGAGGTGAGGATCACAGAGGTACCGCGGGCAATTTCCTCGGCGATCTTCTCCGGGTGGATGTGGTAGTTGTCCTCGCGGCTCAGAGGAATGGGGATGGAGGAGAAGTTCTTGAACAGCGACAACATCTCGTTGTAGGCCGTGTAGTCGGGGATGAAGAAGGACAGGTAGCTGTTGCCCAGCACGGCGGCAATGCGGATCAGACCGGCACGGCCACCGGGGACAATGCAGACGTTCTCCCAAGTGTACTTGCTTGGCTTGTCCTGGCGGTGGTGCTCGTTGTACAGATTGGCGACAGCCTCGCGCAGAGGCTTGATGCCGGCAGTCGGGCCATACTCGCGGCCGCTCAGCGAGATGTCGATGTTGTGAGGACGCTCGAAGCAGCCTTCGATTTCGTCGTCAACCTCGGGGGCACCCTGGCCCAGGTTGGCCCAGGCCTCGGGATCCTCGAGGTAGCCCTTCTCGTAGGCGCGCTCCGAAGTCCACACAACACCGGTGGACGCCCTTGTGGCATCGAGACCGGCATGGACCTTGTGGCCGGCGTGGTAGTTGCGGAATTGGCGATGGACCTGGGAGTTGAGCTCTGCTGCAATTAGCGGGGTTGTGGCCTGCGGCGGGCTTGTGGGCTTGTGGGCTCGGTGGGCAGCGCGGGGCAGCAGAAAAATGCAGGTACACCACTCGCGAGCCGCGTCACTTGGCGGAATTGGGAAACAACGCACCAGACTCAGCCTTGCCGGTAGAGAAGCGACGGTCACGGCCGAAGCTGGTCGATTGCCTGCGGTGGGACGCCATGTTTAATTTTTTTGCGGAGGAAGTGTTGCGGCAGAAGAAGACCGGTAGTTGCAGAAAATATATAGCCAGTCCCGGCCGGCGCCTGCCCCTCAAACCACTGATTCATGCTTTTTATGGGGTGCGCGGCCGCTCACACACCGCCGCAGATCCAGCCTGGCCACCCACGTCAGCCACCCTGCGCGCCCGGGTTGGAGCTGGCGGGTCCGGCGCCGCGCCCGAAAAAAAGCTTGAACGTGCTTGGGGGAGCTTATGGACCCCCGCCGCCCCCCTGCGTCGACTGGCCCGCGGCCTGCCAACCTGCCACACCTGCCACACCTGCTCTGCTTTGTGGCACGCGCCCACGCGGCGGCTGGGCCTGCTGGGCCTGCCCGGTGACGGTCGAGTCAGCCCGAGCCTGCACGGCGCGCGCTTCGGGATGCAGCGGCGGGCCCCGAGCCTATGGGCCGCGGACAAGATCTCGTATGCGCGGCGCGCGCATGAGACATGACAGGGCTGCGTGATTGTCTCTGCAGCGATGCGATCGGGTCTCGAAGCTCGTCGTCGGCGCTTCCCAATGCCTCACCAGGCACAAAATACCTCCCCCTTGAACCCGAACCCTCCCCATTGTAGCATGCATCCGAACCATATCCGATACGCCCTGCGCGATTAATCTCAGCTTGCGTCGCATCTACTCGCCGCCTGCTCGAGCGTTGGGGTCTTTGAACTCTGAGCGATCTATCCCAAGGGGCGCATTCGCTAATCGACTGCGGCGCGGGATTCCAGATGACATCACCACCAATCAAGCCCGCCCGCGTTTGGGGTTTGCATGGTCAATGCAACCCGCATCAGGTCCACTGTGCCAATGTCCATTGATGGGGATAGGGCGAGCATAATATACAAGAATGGAAGAGGCTGATACAAGGTATAAAACGTAATGCATATTGAAGGGGCAAATTCCATGTTTCTGCTTGACCTCGAGTGCTCGTCATTCTTAGCTCGATATCCAACCTGCTTGTCTGCTATCATGTACATATGAGCAAAATTTACAACGATAGAACAGTCCGCAAAATGAAGGAATATAGCCGAACAGACAAACTTTTCGGTACCTCAGCGGGTTGCCCTGCAAGGACCCTTGTTATAGGTTGGCAGTTGAAGTAGATGTGGGTTTAAACGACCCTTCTTGATCGGCAGCTGAAGCAGATATTTAGACATGAACACAAGTGTTAAAGCTGTATAAACATGTCTAGATGTAGGATCCCACTACCCACGGGAGATACATGGTGCTGGCTCAATCCCTTTTGCAACTCACTGTAACACAAAAGGAGTCCATGAGAATCAGCTCGCCACGAATCGTAGACAAGAAGTGAAGAGTGACCCGTATAAAGTCCAACACGTGTCGCAATAAGTCTCGCCATGAGAGTTCAATTGGTAGTGGGATGGGTGGGAGAGTGTGGTATGACCCAGGTACCGGCATATCTAGCGCACTCTGCAAAGGGCGGACCGGGGCGACGGGAGATCACCAACACCACGATGGGGAAGTGGTTTATCGGGGGTTGCCTGGAGGCTCCTGCGCCCGCTAACTTCATTCGGCTGCTAGCCTTTGTTCTGGAATTTCTCTCAGCATGCGGGAGATCATACCACTTCCCGATCGGTGGAGCTCAAAATTCTCCGCAGGGCTGAACGCCGCGACTGTTCTCTGGACGTACCACATGTCGTCGCCTGCACGGCCGATTGCAGAAGGATTGAGCCCGCCTACATCGTCTCACAGAGAATCATGTCTGAGTGTTTGGCATTTTGAAACCCGACAATTGCTTCAACCACTGACGTAGGAAGAACGTAGCGGGGCACAAGAGGAGATTTTTGTTTTTGTGGCATTCCACTATGTCTGCAACTTCACCCAGCGTGAGATTCCAATGGGTCGACTGCCGCTCCAGGTACGTGGTGGTCCTCTTCAGACCAAGGCATTCCTCCGCTGCCCTGGTAACCCGATCCGCGCTACCGCCTCGTGAGGAAGAGTGCGGCAGCCGTTATGACGCTGGAGATGTCGTTGATGTCACTAAGCTCTAGCGCCCCCCGCATACTCACCAGCCGGGTTTTTGCCCTTAATGTACCTGCATGTGCACCTGAAGGGTTTTCTAAAGAAAGCACCACCTGACAGGATGACCTCAAAATACTCACCCTTCATCACACGTCTGCCAGCCATGGCTCATCAGGCCATGTCGTACTCGGAAGCCCTCTCGGTACGACAGAGGACAGTTGCACCCTCATCGGCTGTAACCAACGAGCCAAATCCGACGAGCCTGCAAGACGCTGACACGAAGGCTGACCCAACGCAACGGGAACGGAAGGCCGACCACCAGCCGCGGACATCGCAAGAGGAATCAGCCGTATATGTGCTGACCTTGAGCACAACGGCCTCGCTCAGTAAGCCGTTGACAGTGCTCCGCGACAAGCATTTTCCGATTCATCTCAACCACACGGCCGCACACCTCACCATGTTTCATGCGCTGCCAGGATCGGAGATGACCGGCGTAGTCGCGGCGCTGGAGCACCATTGTCGAAACACAAGCCCGTTCAGGCTGACGACTGGTGCGCCGTTCCGGATGAAACGAGGGGTCGGCATCAGGGTGGGACAGGGCTCCAAGGCCGCGCAACGCGTGCACGAGGAGCTCCAGCAGCGATGGGCGGACGTGCTCAGTGCGCAGGACCGCGAGAGCTGGCGGCCGCACTGGACTGTCCAGAACAAAGTCGACGACGAGGTCGTCGCGGAGAAGACGTTTGACGAGGTGCAGCGGGAATTCCAGGGGGCCGAGGGGCTGGCAAAGGGATGCACTCTGTGGCGCTACGAGAGCGGAGGGCGTTGGAAATTTGAACGCGACTTCGACTTCGGCGGCGGCAAATAGCACAAAGACCTAATCAAGATGCGCTGCGCTTGGCCTACCTGTTTCAGCAATGCCCTTGCGGCTGGAAAATGGTCGTCCCAGGAGCGACGCGATGGCACAATTGACCACATGACGCCGCCGCCCGCGCTGGGCGCCGCCGGCGACGCAGGTCAGGCGCTCGTATGGGGGCTGCGGCGCCTTGTCCCAGCAGTGGCGCGTTCCCCTCCACGTGTGTGCAACGCTGCGATGCCGCTCGCGCTCGGGGCCCGGCGGCGATGCGGTTCAACCGCGCTGGGCATCTCGTGATGCTGGCGCGACGAGCGCGGGGCGGCGGCGACGGGCTGGGCGGGGGTGCGGCCGGCTCTGGCGCTGAAAATAGTGCGCGTCGTGCGTGGGCGCAGTGGCTGAGGCGGACGCGCCAGGGCATTGGCGGCGGGACTCGAACGCGGTGCGGAACGGTGATCCTTAGGCTGGCGCGCAAGGGCCCCGGTTGGTGTACCTAGGGGCAATTTGCTGGTGGAGTCAGCGGCCATGGACCGGTACTCTCCACCTGGCCTTTCGTTCCGTTGACGACTATTAACTGACACCTGCTCCTTGCACCGGTCTCCTCGTTGAAAGCCCTGCCCCCATCTCCCACGGCCCAATTGCCGCCAACCCGCGCTCTCTTGCTCCCAACCCGCCGCTCGTTGTCCAGCGCCCTGTCCGCGTTCCCCGCGTCCGCCGCACCTCCTTGAACACAACACCCCACGATGAAGGGTGGGTCTGCCTGAGATGCCAATCCGCGAACTGTGCTAACCTGCGTCCGCCATGCAGCTCTCATTCTTGTCGGCGGGTTTGGCACTCGCCTGCGCCCTCTCGTACGTGTTCCCCGCCCGCAAGGCTGAGCTCGCGCCGCGCCCATGTCAATCAGGGACACGCCATTGACCCTGAACACAGACCCTTACGCTGCCGAAGCCGCTGGTCGAGTTCGGCAACAAGCCCATGATCCTGCACCAGGTCGAGAGCCTGGCCGCAGCGGGCGTCACCGACATTGTCCTTGCTGTCAACTACAGACCCGAGATCATGACCGCGGCACTGAAGAAGGTCAGCCCAGGCCCACCCGCATGCCCACACGCACAAGCCGTGCCACCGCGCAACCCCGCTGACAGCAGAGCAGTACGAGGAGCAGTACAACGTCCGCATAGAGTTCTCCGTCGAGAACGAGCCTCTAGGCACCGCCGGCCCGCTGAAGCTCGCCGAGAAGATCCTTGGCAAGGACGATTCACCGTTCTTCGTCCTCAACTCCGACGTTATCTGCGACTACCCCTTCAAGCAGCTGGCCGACTTCCACAAGGCCCACGGCGATGAGGGCACCATTGTCGTTACAAAGGTTGAGGAGCCGTCCAAGTACGGTGTGGTCGTCCACAAGCCCGGCCACGCTTCGCGCATTGATCGCTTCGTCGAGAAGCCTGTGGAGTTCGTGGGCAACCGTATCAACGCCGGTATCTACATTTTGAATCCCTCTGTCCTGAACCGCATTGAGCTGCGCCCCACCTCGATTGAGCAGGAGACCTTCCCAGCCATTTGCAAGGATGGCTTGCTGCATTCGTTCGACCTGGACGGCTTCTGGATGGACGTCGGCCAACCCAAGGACTTCCTCGCTGGCACTTGCCTTTACCTCTCGTCCCTGGCCAAGAAGGGCTCCAAGGAGCTTACCCCCACCACCGAGCCGTTTGTCTACGGCGGCAACGTCCTGGTCGACCCCACCGCCAAGATCGGCAAGAACTGCCGCATAGGGCCCAACGTTACCGTTGGACCCAACGTCGTCATTGGCGACGGCGTCAGGCTGCAGCGCTGCGTCCTTCTTGCTGGAAGCAAGGTCAAGGACCACGCCTGGGTAAAGTCCACCATTGTCGGGTGGAACAGCTCGGTTGGCAAGTGGGCCAGGTTGGAGAACGTCACCGTGCTCGGTGACGATGTCTCCATCGGCGACGAAATCTATGTCAACGGTGGCTCCATCCTGCCCCACAAGTCGATCAAGCAGAACGTCGACGGTAAGATACCATACCCCCATCGAACTGTCGCAACTCAAAATACTAACATCTCCGCTAGTCCCCGCCATTATTATGTAAATTACGGTTTGCATCTGCATCGCAAGAGAGTCTCCGGCGCGGTCCAAGATTTTTTCCTCGGCCCGATCGGACTTATAACGACTTTAATACCCATTCCTTCTCCGAGCCCTGTTGTCATTCGAGAACGGCATCTTTTCCTGGCCAACCTTACTTTTGGTTCACCGTTTCCTGGCGGCCATGGAGTTTCAGTCACCCACCACCACCATTTTTGTGGCTTGTTTTCACCACCAGCATCCGGACTTGTCCCTGAGACGACCGCGAGACAAGAAAAAGCAAATTTTATAACCAATTCTCTTCTTTCACCATAGGGACATCTTAGTTTCCCCCGATGGTTAGGGATTACAGAGGCAATGCGTGGGAAGGGCGAGGGAACTCAACGCGAAATACGTCATCGGGTTGCGTCTTATGTATTGCATGGCTTTCTCATCTTCTCTATTCTGTTCTGATTGCATGAAATCTTGTTCTATGAAGTCTAAGTGGTTGATGAACGCGTCGTACGCGATTTGGGATTGCCGGTCTTGTTATGCTTTTAGCCGATGGGTGAGTTGGTTTTCTGTTGATTTGCTTGATAAACTCATACCCGGAAATGCCAAATCTCAACTCATGCTGCGCACGTTTTTTGGTCCCCAAGCATTTGGTTGAGATTATGGAGTGACAGATCTGTTATTTCTTGGCAATAGTCGTGGTCTGGCGGATAATGGTTGAGGCCCATGTGGAATCTTCATGGGTTCAGCTAATATTCAGCTTGCATTCCGGTGGATGATTCTATGCCTGTACATTTTCGAGTTCGCCGATCGTATGTGATTTTTTCCATTCGCTCGCTGCAACAGGTGATGTCGAGACATACGCAGGGATGAGGCATCGGCCCGAGCCATTCCAATATCCCGGGTTGCATGATGCCTAAATACAAATGTATGTACGTGTGCAGATTGTGGAGTGATGGCACGCGACACGCAACAAGTTGAAACTAAATAAGCTTTCGATATATTCTACCTGCATTCTACATCTCTGTAAAAGTCTAGACAAGCAGGGAAACATTACGACCAAAAAAAGAAAAATGCGCTTGAGATTTTTCACCAGAACCCGCCTACTGATCCTTGTCAACATTGGGCATGCCGAACAGGTATAGACAACTCCAGCTAAGGATTTCTTTTGAGACTCGATGCCGTTCGGCGCCAGTCACACGACCCTTTTTTCCTCTCTCAACTCCTCTCTCTATTTTCTCCGCCTTTTCAAAGCTAGTCGTCAAACTTGATGCCATTCACAGCGTGCGTGTCAATCAAGCCACCGCGGTAGCTGCCCCTCTTGCCCTTGTTCTTTTCCTTGGTGAACCCCTTGCCTTTAGTGATGATCAGCTTCTCGTGGGCGCGTTGTGCATAATCGTAAGGCACGAAAGCATTGCTTTGGAATCGGGGGTCGACGTATTGGTCTGTGGGAATACGGCTGAAGGGCACGTTCGATTTTTTAGCCCGCTTGCTGCCGTCGGGAGTGCTAGTGCCAGAGACGGCGTTGCTCGGGGTGTCGGCGGCAGAGTCGTTCCTCTTGCGTTTGTTGCCAGGGGTTGTGGTTGGCGAGCCGCTAACCATGGTGTCGCTACCGCTGCTGGAGGCGTTGGGGGTCGCGCTGCTCTCCTTCTTGATGTCCTTAGCCTTCTTCTCGGTCTTCGTAGACTTTTTGCTCTTCTTCTTCTCGGTGCTAGAGTCGGAATCAGAGGACGATGACGAGGAGTCACTTTCGGAATCTGAGGACGAGGAAGAGGAAGAGGAGGGAGACGAGTTCTCTTTGGCGCTGGCGGAGGAGGTGCTGGAGGAGCCGGAAGAGCTAGACGATGATGAAGAGCTACTAGAGCTTGAAGCAGAGGCCTCCGATTCGGCGCCGGAGTCGTTCTCCTCATCTGAACTGGCGGAAGAGTCGCTCTGCTTCTTCACCTTCTTCTTTGGCGGCTCGTCCTCGTCACTGCTGTCGTTGCTATCACTGGCGCTATCATCCTCGCTGTCGCTGCTGTCGCCGTTCTCGCTGGCGCTATCATCAGAATCGTCGCTGTCGCTGGCGCTATCATCCGAGTCGTCGCTGTCGCTGCTATCCGAGTCCTCGTTCTTGGCCTCCACCTCGATCTCGTTGTCGATTTCCCTATCTTCCTCCCACTCCTCGATAATTTCGGGAAGCTCGGGCTTGCCCTTTGCAGTATCCTTCCATGTCGCGTCGCGCTGTGTAGCCTCGGACTGAAAATGCTTGGCAGCCTTCTCGAACCCGTTGTCAACCAGGAAGTTGTGGACAAGGTCGAGAACTACGGCGGAAACCTTGGGGTAGCTCTTAGACTTTGAGTCGGACTTTGCCTTCGTGACCTTGGCAGTCGGCTTTGTGCTCTTGTTCTTGGCCATTGCGCAAAAGTGCGTGGTGTATGCAGGCGTCTGGGGGCGTTGCTGGGCAAGGGAAAAAAAATTTGGAGTTCGTTGGAAGCTCCCAAATTCTGGCCGAGACGCCGGTCGCACAGGGATCAGGCCAAAGGACCTAAGCCTAAGACAGCTTAGCTCTAGTTGCGCGTCGCGGAAGCCACGACCCCGGTAGCAAGCCGCTTGCTGCCAGTGGGCTAAGCACCAGTGCATGGCAGCTTGCCTTCAGGCGTACGCAACGCTGCTGTCGCAGCATCCTCCTCAGGACAGTCTGCCTACGCCGGCGCCCGACCACATCGCTCTCGACGCGAGCCCAGCGCTCATCCCGTGCCCGCACTACCACCGCCTGCCCGCCGCCAATCGTCTGGGGGGAGGGGCCATCGCCGCTCCGTATCCATGCCTGCGTCAGACACCTCACACCAACTCCGCCCCAGCCAACAATGAACCAGGCGTTCTCGACGCTCTTTTAAGTCAGCGCATCCGCCCCCGACCCGCATCCGTCGTCGCTCTGCCTCCTCTCCCCGCCCGTCATGAACGGCAGTCGGTCCCACAACCCCAACGGCTCTGGCTCTAGTGGGCGGCCCAGCGAAGATGGCCGCGGCCCAAGGGCGCCGCCCCCCGCCCCGAACAACGGACGCGCGGAAAAATATGAAGATGAGAAGCGCAGGATCATCGAGAGCTGCTTCGGCAAGACGGACCCGAACGGAGCTTGTATGCGCGCTCCCTTCCACCTTGCAACCTGGCGTTCTCGCACAGGCATTGGGCTGACACGGCCACCACAGTATCCGAATCTTATATCACCCACTTGCGCGTCACTGAAGATGCCGCCCATCCCCAGACTCCGCCACCGCCCAACTCGCCGTCGCAAAATAAGAAGCCCCGAGTGGTCATCATCTCGGTACGGAGCACTGGCAGAGTCCGCATCCACAAGGCTCGTGAAAATGCCAATGGTTCGTTTTCGATCGGCAAGACATGGCATATGGAAGATCTGTCGGCGGTTGAGTCCTTCGCCAATCCTGCACCTGCTGCGCCAGCGGAGCAGCAGCGCAAAGAATGGGCGGGGCACACGGGATTTATAGTGACGCTTGCGAAGCCGTACTACTGGAACGCAAACTCGGCCAAGGAGAAGGACTTCTTCATCAACAGCTTGATCAAAATTTACGGAAAATACACTTCCGGCAAAGTCCCGCAACTGATTGGGTTCAGCCAGAAGGAAATGGATATGATGCTGCGCCCGCCGGCGGGTCAGGGTCCAAGGGGTCCTCCGGGCCAGGGCCCTATGGGCAAGCTACCGCCTGGAAGCTCTGCTGGTCCCCGCGCCCCGCCCTCTCGATCGGGTGAATCTCCAAGTCGTCGTCCCGTGGCAAGTCCGCCTGGCGACGCTGGTGCGCCCAGACCCCTGCAACCGCGGAGCCGACCTGGCACTGCGGGCGACGATAGGGATAGGTCAGGCTCACGCGGACCCCCGTCTCGTGGAGGAGAGCTTCCACCCGGTCTGCCCAATCCCCGGGATCCTTCAAGGCAGCCGCCGCAGCCAAGGCCGCAACCGTCGCGAGAACTTCGGAAGCCACCGAGCAGAGAGCAAATGCGGCCGCGCCCAAGTCAGGAGCAATACAGGCCTTCGCCTCCTGTTGGCCCTCCAGGACAGTCTCCCTCCCTTGTACCCTCCCATCTGACCCCGCAATCCTCCCATTCTGAGTTTTCGCAAAGGCCTACATCGCCCATCCGTGAACGTAGTCCGAAGTTGCCTCTCCAGATACCTCAAGCGAGCCCTGGAAGACAGAGAGATTACGCTAAGTCACCAATCGAGAGGGATGCATTCCCAAGGTCGCCGATTGATAGAGCGAGATCGCCAATTGAAAGAAGGGCAGACGATGCCAGTTCCATGGACAGTTCCTTGCTTGCAAACTCAACATTTGATAGGTTCGGGCCCAACGGAGCTAGGAGAGACCCCTCGCCTCAGGGTCTGCGCCCGACAACTTCTCACAGCACCATGTCACGGAGTGAGGAAAAGATGGAAGAGAAACCGGCCGAGGCACCGCCGGATCGCAAGCGGCCGCCCATGCTTTCTCCTCTCGAAACCGCTGGCCTCACCTCAGATGCTCCCAGATCCCCTCGATATGACGACATTCCTCCAGCCCTAAGGTCGCCACGCCCGCCTCCATCGCCTCGTGCCCCTCCGTCACCACGAGTTCCCCCGTCAAGGGACGGGCCGCCGAACGCTAATATCGCGGCGAAAGAAAATGACTTTGCATTGGAGCCTGTTGATCCTCCCAATGACATTGGGGCCATTGAATCCAAGGCGTCAGAGCCAGAGCCAGAACCTGAACCTCTGCGCGCGCCCGCAGACCCTGAACCGGTACCCGCACCGGAAGAACCTACAGTTGAGCCTGAACAGGAGCCGACTCCCGAGCCAACTCCCGAGTCCGACGTCTCTGAGGCGCCTTCACCTTTGGCAGTCAGACCGCCTTCCAGGAAAGATGGGGAGTCGACAGAGCCCGAGAAGCCAGCGGTTAAACCCAGTCTAGGTGCAATGATTGGGAAGAAGAAGCTTGGTGGTGCGCTTGGTGCGCTTGGTGCTGGTGATGCATCGATTGAACGAGGGGCCGACGGTAAACCGAACATGGCTGATGTCCTGCGTAAGGCAGCCAACGCATATGGTGCGTTCAAACCGCGTGCCGGCGGTGCCGCTCAGAAATTCAAGGCCGCATTAGCGGATGCGCCTTCAGAACAAAAGCCCGACGGAATCACTGGTGTTTTCAACGCACCCTCATTGAACAGGCAACAAACCGATGACAGCACGAAGGCGGAGACACCAAAGGATCTAGAGGCCCCCGAATTCCCTGCTCCTGAGCCAGCCTCCGAAGAGAAGGTTGCCGCGGAGAGCGTCGCCGAACCTGACCTTCCTGGACTAATCGTCTCAGCTCCCACTATTGGTCCTGAACCAACGGAGGCTCCTACGGCAGATGCAGTATCGAGATCGCCGAGCCCAGACGGCAAGCGCGGTAAATCTCCAGATGACATTCGCAGGCAGAGAAGGCGATCCAACCAACAGGCCAAGTATCTCGCATCTTTGGGCTTGGACGCAACTGTCTTGGACATCAGAGGCTTGGAGATCGAATCCATTCTCTCTGACTTTGGTTGGGGCAATGCAAGCATGCAGCCGAAGAAGCTCGAGGCCTTTGAAGCAGATCTCAAACGCGAAATTGCTCGCGTTGAAGCTGGAAGTTGGCTGAACAACACCGATCACAACGATGACAGAGTGGAGGCCGTTGAAGCGATGCTTGATAAAGTCATCAACGAGTGTGACGAGCTTGAGGGTCTATTGACATTGTACAATGTCGAACTCAGCAGTCTAAACGATGATATCGCTTTCATCGAGGCACAGAGTCAAGGTCTTCAGGTACAGACAGCTAACCAGAAGCTTCTGCACTCCGAGTTGCAGAAGCTTGTCGATACCATCTCCATCGACACGAGGCAGCTGGAGCCACTCAGAGCTGCAACTATCGGCAAGCCTGAGGGTTTGGAAATCATCGAGAATTCGTTACTACTGCTTTACAAGGCGATGATCACCATCGATCCCGCCATCCGCCAAGGCGCCGAGGTTGTCGACGGCGCATCCGGTATGGGCAACAGCGAGCTTTCCAACATGAGAGCGCTGCAGGAGAAAAAGCAAAGGTATCTCCAGGAAGCCGCTATCTTCCTCAAACGCCTGGGTCAGCACATGGACATGACTTTTGGTGCCGCACTTCTCAACACCCGCGATGCAATTTCGCGGCAAAATGCTGGCAGTGTGTCCACAAGGCTGGATCCCGCCACTCACGATTTCGCGCGTAACGCGTTGTGGCAATACAGTCCGTTGTTGCTTTTCGCCAAGGAGATTGACCTGCAGACGTGGGACAATCTTCTCAAGATGTACCAGGCCCGCGCTCGGCCGGTGTACCAGGAGGAGTTCAGGGACAATGCCACAGCATGGAAGAAGATGGCCCGCAGGCCCACAGGTGAAGAGCAAGATCTTCTATTCACCTCGCAGGAGAAGGACACCGAAACTCTCAAGACGACAGCCCGCAAGCTCACCGTTAAGCGCAGCGGTACCCTAGCAAGAGGCCTCCGATCAAACTCTAACGAGAAGGCGGACAAGGGCGGGCGCCTTTACCCTTACGAGGCCTTTGCTGGTGCGCTCGACGAGATGGCACCCCTCGTTTTCACTGAGCAGAACTTCGTCGTGGAGTTCTTCCACGCATCATCCACGGAGAATGTCGACTTTGCTGACGCTGTTACCTCCGCGCCGCCGCATGCCAGGAAAGGGTCGAATCTGCTCGCGAGAAAGATGTTTGAGCCCGATCGCGCATTGGCGAAGCGAGTTGTCGAGGTCATGGATGACATTTTCTCATTCTGGCCCACGGAGCTGCAAAACCTCGTTGAATTTGTGGTCAACAGTGACCCACTGCAAGGAGTTGGCATCCTGACCTGCTTGGACCGCAAGCTCATTGAATATGAGGAGACCAACCAGGACTTCCTCACTCGCACCTTCCAGGCTCTGCAGACGCGCCTTGCCGGCCTGTTCAACCGCTTCGTTGACACGCAGATAACTGCGATTGAAGATACAAAGGTCAAGATCAAGAAGAGGAAGGGCGTCATCTCCTTCTTCAAGACTTTTCCGCACTTCTCCGGGGCTATTGAGAATATGATTCCCCCGGCAGACGACCTCGAACGGCTCGAAGTAAGGGCCATGGTCGACGACGCATACCAGAAGATCAACAAGGCCATGTTCGAGAGTTTGAAGGTGATCGCCAAGGAGAGCCCGGCGGCGATGGCAGCGCAAAGTGCGGCTGTTGGCGGTGCCGGCACGGACCCCGAAGACAAGGAGGCGCTCAACTACCACATTCTGCACATTGAGAACATGAATCACTATATTGAGGAGGTTGAAACGCACGGAGATCTTGTGCTGGGCGAGTGGAAGGAGAAGGCCAGGGCCGAGATGAATGAGCACTTGGCGCTGTATCTCGACGCCATCATCAGAAGGCCACTTGGCAAGCTCTTGGTAAGTTGCCCGATCGATTGCACATGCAGTTCAGAGAGCGCAATGACATTAAACAGAGGCGACTACAGGACTTCCTCGATCCCATTCCCAGCATTTTGGGAGCCCTTCCATCTGGAACGCCGCCGTCGGCGATTGCCAGCCGGCCTTCGCACTCTCGCACCGTCTTCAAGAAGATCTCAGCGTCGCACGACAGCAAGGAAATCAGGAAGGGCATTGAAGCTCTGCGGAAGCGTGTTGACAAGCACTTTGGCGATGCTGACGATCCAGGTCTCAGTCGCAACTTGGTCTTCAAGGTGTTGGGTGAGTGTGAGAAGAAGTATCAGGACGTGTGGCAGCAACTCATCAGCATCAACAACGACGTCTACGGTGGAGAGGTGGACGTTGGCAGTTGGGGCGACGAGATTGCTGGATCGTTCAAGGGAAAGTGATTTTGTGGTTGAAGATGTAACTGGGGCCGCGCGTTTGTTGTTGTCATTCTTGCAGCAGTTGTTCCCTACGTTGACGTCTCATGTCGGGCTATTATTCTTTTCTATTGGCGCATGGATTGGTTTGGCTAGCAGTGCTCGTTCCTTCTCGTCGCAATTCCCCACGGAGCCATGCCATAACGACTGCATTACTTCCTGTCGCGTTAGCTTGCTTCCTTCGCATTGCACCGCTTTTACCGATTTGATTTTGTCCTTCCGCGCTGTTCGCTCGCTTTCTTTCCGGGCTACGGCCGAGATGGGGGAAAGGTGTACAGTCGGGCTATCTTTGAGGTTTTTGTTTTCTCTCTTCCTTTCTTGACAATTAGAGTAATGAGCGAGGTTTGCTTGCATGCTCTTATGTGCCGTCGTCATGCATTAAATATCAAATCCGCTTTTGAACAGCTAGCTGTGCGACTGCAAAGTGCATGGGGTGCCCCTTCGTTGTCAGACGTTGTCAGAGCCGGACCATCGTGACGAGCGACCCATACTCTAATGCGGTCTCCACCATTCGATCTGCGCTTGGCAACGTATTCGATGGAGACGGGCTGGCGGAGGTGGGGAGGAGGTCGCGTGGGAGAGGAGCCTTTCTGGAGCGAGTGGGCTGCTGCATGGGCCAACCAGTGGCCTGGGTCAGCTGCAGCCCGCTGGCGATCCTCCTCGACGCCCAGTGGTCACCCCGTACAACTAATTCCACCTCTCCCCGAATTCCGACCAAGCGCCTCTCCTGGAGATCTGTATCTAGCCGAGCCGTCAAGCTTCGACGTCGATGATCTCCAGCTAGCGACCGACCGTACACTCCGCACCGATTAGCACCCCAAGACTTCCCGCTGCACGTCATTCCCGCAAAGCCACCTTGACTCCAACCGCGCCGAGCGCCAACCGCAACCATGAGCAAAATGTGGGAAGTCGATCCTGAGACCAGGAGTAAAGTAAGTCGCCCGCGCCTGCTTCGTTCTCGATGCGCCAGCCCGAGAGCAGCGTGACTGACGCCGCAGCTTGCATACGTAGCTCCTTGAAATCCAGAAGGAGAATGGCAACAATTCGTGCGTCGACTGCAACGCTCCGAGCCCCCAATGGGTACGTCCGCCGCCTCACGCCGCCACCCAGCGTGCGCCGCGCGCAGTGCTACGGCGCCCGCTGACATGCCCTCGTTCCAGGCCTCGCCCAAGTTCGGCATCTTCATGTGCCTGAATTGCTCCGGCATCCACCGCGGCCTCGGCGTGCACATCTCCTTCATCCGCAGCATAACCATGGATGCCTTCAAGGGAGCCGAGCTCGAGCGCATGAAGGACGGCGGCAACAAGCCTTGGCAGGACTTCTTCAACAAGCACGAGTCCAACGAGCTCGAAGGTCGAACGTTCGACGACTGCACCATCAACGAGAGATACGATAGCGAGGCGGGCGAGGAGTGGAAGGAACGGCTGACAGCCAAGGTCGAAGGCAAGGAATACGTGCCGCAGCCCAGGGAGAAGAAGCCACCGCAGAGGAAGGCGGGTGAGGCGCCGCTCAGCGGGAGCAAGGTGGGGAGCAGGGCGGGGACTCCCCTCTCGTCACGCAACGAGCTGGAGGGCTTCGCGCCCGGCCGCACCGGCTCGCCCAGCTTGGGCACCGCATCGCTGAACAACAAGAAGCAGCAGAACGAAGCCTACTTTGCGCGCATGGGCGCTGAGAACGCGAACAGACCGGATGACTTGCCGCCCAATCAGGGGGGTAAGTTCGCCGGCTTCGGCAGCGACCCGTTCCCGCAGCAACAGTCGCAGGGCGGCGTTCCGGGCTTGGATGATTTCCAGAAGGACCCCATGGGTGCCTTGACAAAGGGTTTCGGCTGGTTCAGCACCACAGTGCAGAAGACGGCGAAGACAGGATACGATGGCTGGGTTAAGCCCGGCATGGAGAACGTACGTTTCACTGTGAGCCTGCAGGCAACCTCAGGCTGCGACTAACATCAGGTTTATCACAGTTGTCCAAGGCGGACCTTGCAGCGCAGGCCCGCAACGCCGCGATGACGATCGGGCAGACAGCACAGTTTGCTGGAAAGAACGCTGCCGATTCCTTCAACCGCTTCGTTGAGGGCGATGACCCGCACGCGGCGCGCAACGGAAATGCGAACCCGAGGAGGGGCGGGCCGGACGAGGAGCACAAGGACTTCTGGGACACGTTCGGAGCGCCCCCCGCGGGCCCTCCGGAAGAAAAGAAGAGCTTCTGGGATGAGTTCGCTTCGGCAGGCGAGCAGGCCACAAGCAAACCGAAGCCGACGAGCGTCGGAACAGCGGCAATGAAGAAGGGAGGGAGCGGCAGCGCGCCGGCCGCGAAGAAGAACGACGATGGATGGAGTGATTGGTAGACGGCAGCAATGGGATTAGATGGGGTCAGGTCTCGGATTGGACGCGTGCAGCCGACGAAGGCATGAGTGATATGGGGACGTGGAACATGTTATGGATTTTGCTGGGTTTCTTTGATGCTGAGACGGACGACAGGGCGATCTCGGAGGTGTCGGCGGAACGAGCAGGCCTTCAGTATCGGACGATTCCTCGAGGTTGCCTCGGAACACACGGCGTGCTGTAGAAATACGTATTATTTAGAAGAGCAAGACTGTTTGACTGATTTGAGGAGGCTCGAGCTTGAGGCCGACTATCGCAGCAGCGCCATGTGAATCGCTGCCGTCCCGGGATTCCCCACACCCTCGCTGAGCCGAGCTCGGCTTCGGTTAGAAGAGCTTCACCCAGCAGTCCCGCATCCCAAGCTTCAACCCACCACAACCATCTGTCACCACTCCACCCCTCCCTTCCGGCTCTGCCCTCAAACATCAGCAGGGAACAAGTCATTTGGCCATCTGACGTCTCACCACACCCGCACTCGAACCGTCTCGCCCTGCAGCCATGGCTTCGAAGCTCCGCATTCTGGTTCCCGTCAAGCGGGTCATCGACTATGCCGTACGTCCTCGTCCAAACGCCGAGTCCACACTCCCACGATGGCATATCTTCCGGGCGCCATTCGCTCCATACCCACCGTGCTCCAAGACGGGAGGCTAATTGATGTTCTCTCTCACACCCAACAGGTCAAGCCGCGCATCAACAAGGCGCAGACGGCGGTCGAGACGGCGGGCGTCAAGCACAGCATGAACCCATTCGACGAGCTGTCGGTCGAGGAGGCGGTGCGGCTGCGCGAGCGCAAGGCGCAGGAGGTCGAGGAGATAGTCGCGTGGAGCGCGGGGCCGGCGAAGGCGCAGGACGTGCTGCGCACGGCCATGGCCATGGGAGCCGACCGCAGCGTGCACGTACAGACGCCCGAGGCGGGCAGCGGCGGCGCGGCGGGCGAGCTGGAGCCGCTAGGCGTGGCCAAGATGCTGGCCAAGGCGGTGGGCGAGGAGAAGAGCAACCTCGTCATCCTCGGCAAGCAGAGCATCGACGACGACGCCAACCAGACGGGCCAGATGCTGGCCGGCCTGCTCGGCTGGCCGCAGGCGACGCAGGCCTCCAGGGTCGAGATCAAGGACGACGTGTGCACCGTCACGCGCGAGGTCGACGGCGGCGTCGAGACGCTGCGCGCCAAGCTGCCCATGGTCGTCACCACCGACCTGCGCCTCAACGAGCCGCGCTACGCCAGCCTGCCCAACATCATGAAGGCGAAGAAGAAGCCGCTCGTCAAGAAGGCGCTCGAGGACTACGGCGTCGACGTCAAGGCGCGCCTGAGGACCGTCAAGGTCGTCGAGCCGCCGCAGAGGCAGGGCGGCCAGAAGGTCGAGGATGTCGATGCCATGCTGTCCAAGCTCAAGGAGCTGGGTGCTCTGTAAGAAAAAAAAATGTAACAGGTGGAGAAGGAAAAAGAAAAGATTTACCATGAACTCAAAAAAAAGGGGTGGCAAAGGTTGGACTCGATTGGTTAGACAGAGATCTGGTTATACGTTGGGGCGAAATGGTGACGGGGTGTATGAATGGGGTCTGCAAAGAAGAGAAGTCATCAATCTGGATTGCCCGGCTGAGGGAATGGCCTCTGTACTGTACATAGCCGGTACGGACTTTATCCTTGAATCTAATCTGCACGTCTTTGGTGGCCATACTGCTATTGGAGCACGAACGAAATTGCTTTCGGGGCGGTCGTGAGGTAACGTGTAAGGGCTGGCACTAGCTACATGGCCAGTTGGATTCGTTCTCCTGAAGTGTGTCAAAAACACATCAGCTCGTTATATGGAAATGTTCAGCAATTGTCCGGACGCTTCTGCGAACGCTATTCTCATACAGGATCGTCTGTACTTGGATTGTATGGATTGTCAAAGCTAACATCTAAGGTCTTGTGATAATTTTTCGAGATATGGTTGCAAAGCGTGGAGTGTTTTGTAAACCGTGATGTAGGGACAGTATTTCGTCCTTGTTTGACATATCTCATGTACTGCCATGGTTGCTACTCAACACACCCCTCTCTACTAAAATCGAACGCTCTAACATATGCTTGTCCAGTCAGAGAGCCTATGGAGTTAAGCTCACAAGGCTCGTGTAAGGTGAGACACCGCCGTTGAGTAACCATCGTTGAAATGGGAAATCTGGCTCTGTTGGTTGATGTAGTCTCGAAATCTCGAAAATGCGAGAGAACTGATATCTGATTCGTAAATTGAGCTTCTAGAATAATACCCCAGGTCGAGAACGCCTGATCGGCGCGACTACTTTGAGGCTGATAGTGGCTGTTAATTGGACAAAGAACGGTGTCAATAGAGACAAAGGAAGTCTAATAATATGATTGAGTTTACATTTCTTGTGATGAGTTGTCTTTGTGCATTTTCCTTTGCCACGATGCAGTGAGCCCATTCTCGCCATTGTCTAGCACTTGTATATAGATATCTTGTGGTTCTTCCATTTCCTCCCTTGACATCTATGCTAGATCATACGGTACACATACCACCTCACCCACATACAATCGTTACCCAAACCCAATACATCCAGCCCCCACATTCATTCACCATGCAACTCACCAACACGCTCCTCCTCACCCTCAGCGCCGCGACCTTTTCCCTCGGCCTCGCCGTGCCCCAGCCCGGCGTCGCCGCCGCCTCGTCCGAAGCCGGCCCAGTGCTCGACGCGCGCTTCTCCTATCCGTACGTCAAGCACCGGGTGCGCTACTGCGAGCACGCCAACGGCGGGGGCGCGTGCCAGAACCAGGACCTGGAGGCGAAGCGGTGCTACAACTTCCCGGGCTGGTGGGACAACCGGATCAGCTCCGTCTACGTCAACCCGGGGTACAAGTGCTACCTGTACGACGGCGTGGCGTGCCAGGGGTTGCGCAAGGAGGAGGTCAAGATGCCGGGCATCACGGATCTGAAGAGCAGGTTTCTGAACGACAGGGCGAGCTCGATTTACTGTACTTTGTAGGGTAGGGAAACAGGAGAGAGAGAGAGAGAGAGAGAGAGAGCGCGGTGCGCTTGATTTTTGGATTTCTCTCTGCCTTCCCTTCCTTTTTTTTTTTTTTCAATCGATCTTTTGTTCGAGGGCGAGGCGATGATGAGACTGGCTGGTTAGGTAGTGACTGTGCCGGCGTTGAATTCCTGTTGATGGACTATCCGGACCATTTGTTCTGTATGAGAGTTATCAGAGCGAAAATGATGACATCCGTTTATCGCCAGCAATTTGGAATCAGTATCAGTACTTCACTCCCACAACGGCGGACCAAACCTTGTCCTGTGGATGCTCGGAAAATCCCTGCGAGCTCTTGGCCATATGCCACATCTTAAACACGGGCAATAGAAAGACGATCGTAGAGGATGAGAGGTGATAGGTCAAGCCAAGCACGTCATATTGCGAGAGAATTGGCGCTTTCTACAGCCGTCCTACAAAGATACGGCATCGTGTTTTTAGCTGCGGGCAATGTGCAGCCCAGATATCCGTACTTGCCGCATACTTACCGCCCACCAAGCCTGCTGTAACGGTCGCTCAGGCACGCACCCAATCATTCAACACGGATGTACCTACCGTAAGATCGCGCACCGACTCGCGCGCAAACCACGTACCTGATTTCCCAGCCACTCAACCCCGCCGTATGTACCTCCGCAGTAACGACGATTGATACCACTGCTTCCGCGGCGCTCCTCGCAAGCCTCATTCTCCTCCTCCCATCTGTCCAGACCGTTCCACCACCGGTCGGTGTTGACACCAGCTGAGCCCTCCATCCCTGTCAATAATACCATCGTTGTATGCGGATCAGGCACACGCCCAACGCGCGCACACACAATGCCATGACCGTCCGACCCTATCCTGTGGGATACGGACTCTGGAACACACACCTTTCCAAAACCGTTTACAGCTGCAGCCGAAAGACCCGGTTTGGGGAAGAGGGCAAGAATAACAAAGCAAAAGGATGTGACGAGTAGTGCCCAGGTGGCCTGATGTTCAGAACCCCACGCGAATCATTGAAAACTGTGGAGCAGCGCTTCTCTTCTGGAGAGATTGTATGTACAAACGCCGGTTGGAGCTAGCGCACTGTACGTCACGGCTGCGATAGTCGGTATATTCGCATCAAAGTCGACATAGACAGCTCATAGAGAAGAAAAAGGTTAGCGCGAGTGACCGAGAGGCAGCATGCTGACAGGCACACAGCTGCACGCCTTTACCAATGGGTTCAGGATAATGCGCGCGCCGTAGCCGCGGGCCTCCGGGAAGGGCAGGATAAGGCAAAAGAAGAGCACGAAATTGGGGACCTGCAGGTACCGCACCCGTGTGCCGCGAGGGGCAGGGGAAGAAGAGGCGCAGCAAAGGTGCTGTCGCCTTCTCCCGCTTGCTGACGAGCACGAATCGGTGCTGCTGACAAGATTGATTGCCCAAGTACTCCGTATGGCGCCAGGCTGTTGCAATGCGGATGTGGGGAGGAAGCTTTGCAGAGCATGAGAGTCAGGGTCCAGAGCTGTTCGCTTAGCGTATTCGCAAATACCTACCATACGCGCAGCAGCATCACTATAGTAAGTCGCCTGCTATAAGTTGCCCGGCGTGAAACGTCGAACGGCGTAGATAGCGAGGAAAAAAAAGAAAAAAAAACAGGGCAAAGAGTGGAGAGGGGCGCGTGCGAAGGTATCCTTAAGCACCTGCTGACGAGCGATGATAAGTAATCTGAAGGCAACGCATGGAGCAGTGACCGGACGATAACGGGGCAAAGTGGGCGCGGAACAGGCGTTGTTCGCGGAGCGAAGTCGGGTTGAGAGTGGTCGAGGAGCCATGACCGGAGCGGCAGCGCCTCAATTTCCGGCTACCACACGGCTGGGACGAGAGCGGAAGGTTGCAGCAGACTCCAATGTCGGGGCCTTGGGTAAGGGAGACGGCCAGCAAGGGCCAGAGAGGGCTACTGTGCCGTGGAGAATGGAACCGGCGTGAAGGGAGACAAGGGCGTGCCGTTGGTCGTCCCAGTCGACAGGGCACGGATCGTCGATTGTCGTATACATGGTGCTCTTAGCTTTTGTTTTTTTTCTCATCCGCTTTGCCCGAGCAGCGGGACGGCAATTGTGATTCTCGTGGCCCCGCAGTTGGGCTTACCACTGTGAAGGGTCCAGGGCCGGACTGGCTTCGACGCGTACGAGGGTTTAGCGGTGACGGCGGTGACGGCGGTGCGGAGCGAGCCATAGCGTGCAGGCGCACAGGGAGCACAAAGGGCAGCAATTATTCGACAAGAGCGCGCGTGATTGACACGACCAGATGAGGAGCGGGTCGGATAACGTAAACAGGAAAGGCGGTAGCTCGTGGCGAGCGGGAGCAGGCGCAAGGGGCACCGCGGAGAGTCAAGGGCTCACGACGTGCTGAGGCTCGGGACGAGGAAAGCGCAAGCGTACGAGAAACGTCCCCAGATCTCTCGGGGCTGCATCAGTAGTCGGGCAGGCTTGGAACGGACTGCAAACGGACTGCAAACGGACTGCAGGCCCCGCCGCAGACGCGAGTGCGCAAGCGCGCGCGAATCGTGGTGATGAAGAGCAAGATCAGCTGTGGTGCCAGTCCAGAACGCCTGATGATTGACGCGACTCGTCGCCGCTGCGCAATGAAAAAACGCGCAATGCGCAAATCCGCGAGGCAGGGTCGAGGATGAGCTGCTGGTGCTTGCGAATCACTCGGCAGCGGCTCGACGCGTGCAGCGCCGTCACAGACCGGTCAAGAAGAGGTTGACAACGTACCGTATCCGTACAACGTCCAGTCTCTGCCCGCGAGCGCCACGCTGCAGTCGTCGCGCCGCAGAAGAGGGCTGCGGGCAGGCAAACTGCACCAAGCTTTCCGCACTCGCCGTCCGAATGGGCAGCGGCGGGCGGCGGCCAGGGTCTGCGGCCGGCCGCGGCTGCTTCGAGCATCCAGCTCCGCGGCGAGTCGGGGCGGCGGGCGGCGGGCGGGCATGCGCGGACGAGCGGCGGATAGGCAAAGTCGTTTCATCGACGGCGGGCATTGAAACGCGGGCGTGGGCACAGGGCGCTGTCGGGAACCGTTGTGCTTCGTATGGAGATCGTCGCCCTCAGTCGGCCTCGAGGCGAAAGTGGGCAACCACGGGCACCCACGGGCGCCCACGGGCACGCCCCGACGACTGCAAAGCCACAGCGCCGCGTGAGCCGGTGGAGGGTGCGCGGATCGAGTTGGTCGGTGGTGGGCGAGAGGTGAAGTGGAGGCAGGCGGTGAGGCGGCGAGGCGGCGATGCGGCCGTCTGGGCCTGCGGAGGCGCTGTACCCTTTTAGCCCCGTCTGGCTGCCGAGGCTCCATTATTGGATTGCCATGTTCATCGTGCACCCATGCCCCGGTACCTGCGACGCGTGAGTGCTGAGAATGACGTTGCCGGCAGCGCGATGAAACCTCGCTGCAGAGATACGCCCGCTGCGCCAAGTGGGAAGTCCAGGGTCGCGAAAGTGGGCCGCCGTTCCAGCACCGCCCACGTGCCGCTGCACGTCGGCCAAGCCAGAGCATTTGCCATGGCTCGAGACGGTGCGGGCCACGGTCCATGGTGTTGAAGTCGTGCGCGGGCATGCGGGCATCCAACGCTGTGCGCAATGCGGGCCCAATTATACACCCATTATCAGAGCTTGTCGCAGCGCAGCCAGGGCAATCCCTCACCACCACGATTCATGAGGGCTGCTTGGGACCGAGCCAAGCGGACAGCCAGACGACATCCCGCGCCGTCGGCTTGACAGCGGCAGGTTACACCATGTCCTGCGATAGCCACTTATCTTTTCGAGTCCGGGCCGGCATCTCTGCTACAGAGGAAAAAAAATTTATGCTGAAAACGGCAGCCGGCTATGTGTCCCCGTGCATATCGAGCTTCCCTCATCGACATGCTTCCCCGCGCTGTGTGTCACTGTGCTCGCTCTGCTCGCTCTGCTCGCTCCGGCTTTGGACGAATGCAGTGGCCGACCAGAGCACACGCTCCTTCGGCTCGGCGTTTCACGCTCGCCAGCGAAGAAAAATCAAACAGCATCCCCTCACGCGCGACCGCAGTCTCAGCAGCCGAATAATGCTTTGTGTCTCATGTGCCTGTTTCGGCGTCCTTTGCCCCGCCGCTTTCCAGAACAATGCGAAACGTCTCTCAACCATCTTGCAGCGCTCGGCTCCGAGTTCGAGTTTCCAAGTGCTGGCTCGCCAGCTGCCGCGCCTCATGCAGCACTCATGCAGCCTGCGAACCTGCCTGCGAACCTGCCGTTCGCCTGGAAAATCTCCATTTTCCCTCGACGCCAGCTCCATGTCCGTCTTCGCTCATGACGGTGTGGTGGGACGATGCATTTGTCGCAAGGCTAATGAACCCTGTCCAATGAGTGCCGCATATGCCTCTAACGGGGTGATGCTCCGGCCCTTGCCGCTGCGGGGGAAGGCGCCTTTGCTGCACGCTGCAAGTCCTGCAGCACGTGCTGCGCCTGCTTGCTGCGCCTGCTGCGCCGCCGCCCCTTCACCGACAGCCTTCCATGCTTTGTGAGTAGCTGAGATGGATGTCTGGACGCAGACAGGGGCGTTGGCTCTATACAAACATATGCATATAGCAATATAGTCTGCAACACTCGTGTGCAGCTGCACATTTCAGACAGGCTCAATTGCAACCTTGCGCTGGAATAGCAGTCGTCATCTCAAGCGCCACTTTCGCATTGCGGTCAAGCGTCGAGCAAGCCACAGACGCCGCTACCTATATCGGTAATGCGTACGAAGACATAGGGGGAATCAGAAATAGAAGAAGAATGTCTGAGACAAAAGAAAGAAAGAAGTGAAACGTGCAGCAGAGGACGTGTGTGACGACGTGCCAGCAAACGTGTGGTATCTATCCAGCAAAATCGCAACAAAAGCGCCATCCATTCCATGTCCCTCCATCCGTCCACTCCCGCCATAGCCAAATGAGCATGAAGAATCCAACGCGGAGACGCGAAAACGAATAATGAGGTATGTGCTGAGCTTGATAGCAAGAGAGAAAAAAAAAGACAAGGAAACATTTCGCTAAGGCCAAGCTCAGCGTACAGGAGAAAGCTAATCACCACCTCCCCTGCCCCTATTCCCCCCCCCTCCCAGAACATAGCCCTTCGTGACATGTCAAATGAACACCGGGTATACTAAACTTTCCAATCCGTATAGTTGCGCCAAATAAAAGCAAATAAGAAAAATACCTCCGTACTTTTAACATCGTATGGTGGTACATGCATGTACGGAACGAATCAAATAACTCGTGGCAAGTCGTCAGAGGTAGCGAGAAACAAGCAATCAGGGTATTAGTACGATGAAGCCCATGGACGAGCTTAGTTCTCCTCCATGAGAGCTTCATCGCCAGCCTCGCGCCACTCGCGGGAACGCTCCGAAAGTCTCTTGACCCCCGAAATGCGTTCCGCCCAGAGCGACTCGGCCGGTGTCCGGTACGTGTAGCCCCGCTGCGAACTGATAGTACCGATGGATTGCAGCACTGCCTTGCGAGAATCGCGCCCAAACACGGCCGGGTGGTTGATCCACTCGAGCGATGATTTGAGCTCAGCGTCCAGTGCGAACATAGCGCTGGGATCGATGCCAGCGGCTGGCGTGATCATGCTCTCTGGATGAGGAGAAGGAGTACGGGGGCGAGGCGGAGTCTCGCTGATAGGAGACGGCTGTCCGAGCCCTTCAGATCCAGGGTTGCTGGGAAGTGCAGCAGATGGCGGTGGTCCAGGTGGCGGTGGCAGCGGCGGCAATCCACCCTTGGCAAGTCCCTTGAGGATACTCCTGGTCTCACTAAGGAGGTGATGAGCACGCTCGTGCTGGCCACGGGAGACAAGCGTAAGTGCCCTGGTCAACATGTCCGAAGTAAGGAGTTCCATTCGCCGTTGCACGACCGAGGGATGCGGCGGAATAGGCGGCGTCATAGGACGGTTCTTGGAGTTCCGGTTCTTGGTAGGAAGCATCGTAATGGCCAGAAGGGAGGGTCGTGGCAGATGGGCAAGCGTGCCTTCGCGGATAATGTCGCCATACGTGAGATCCGCTTGGAGCAACGGAACTTCTTCAACGCTCATGCTGCGTGAATCATCCTGATCCAGGGGCCCTCCGAGAGCCTCCAACCCGGAAACGATGGTTTCCCATGCGTCTTGAGGCAGCTGCTCAGGTGAGCCGGCGTCTGGAGTGATTGCCAGTTGAACGAGGATGTCTGGGTTGTCCGGTCAGTATGGTTGACGTTCAAGTTGAGTCTGCCATTACTCACCTCTCTTGTCGCCAAAGCGAAGGTCTCCAAGAGCCGCTTCGGCGTCTCTCCCGGTGGCCCGCTTAGTGATCTGCAGAGCTCCGCTGATCTTCACAAATTTTGCCGGAGAACCCTCGGGCAGCCTCAGCTTGAGCTTCACGTTTTGGTGCGAAGTAGTCTGCAAGGAACCAAGCGAGCCGGCCACGCATTCACGGAGCATCATCCAGTCCTTGACATAGGTATACGAAGCCTTCGTGCGTGTCGAAAGCTCGATCATCGTGTCCGGCTTGTGGGTCAAGCCCAAGCCAAACGAATGAATGGTAACCCTGAAAGTTTCAGTCAGCGCCTGTCCATGTGTGGATCACCGGAATGAAGATCAACGTACTTAGCGGCCTCGGCCCGCGACACGACGAAGTCCACGCTCTCGGCGTCGGAAGTCGAAGAGTCCGAGATGAGCAAAATGCTCGATAGCGGATTCGTCGACCTGCGTTGCATGAGTAGATCCATAGCAACATTTGCGCCCTCGACGACATCCGCGCGTAAGCTCTTCTGGCCGACCGGGCGGATCGAGTCCAGAACCTTGGGCCATCCCGACCAAGCCTTCGTGGTCATTCCGACAAGCGGAACACCTCCTCCGCTGGATCCGAAAGTGACCAGACCCATTCTGTCTCTCTCCCCAAGATTGGAAACAAGGAATCGCAAAGTGTCTCTCAAGAGAGAAATTTTCAGGCCCTGCATCGACGAGGAGACCGGAATAACGACGACGAGATCAATGGGAACGTGGAAGGACGAAATCCGTTTCCCATCGCTGGCACCCACGCGAGAGCTGGAGTATTCCGTAGGAGCCGTCATAGTGGATCGTGCGCCGGCGTAGGAGTGAACGGATGACACCCTCTTTGTGGATCTGTAGTCTTCCTCGTCTGTCCCGGAGTTGTCTTGTTCCATATCTTGCATGCGCATGGGTGACTCCATGTGGATATCCACGAGAGCACGCTTCCACAGGTCAAGCTGCCTGTGATCGCGGAAGTGAAGGTGGAAGGAGGGAAGCTCAGCGACCGAAAGGCTCAGGGTCAGAATCGACTCGTCGGCGGAAGTGTCAACGTGCTTCAGGTGTTTCTTGATCAGTATTGAGCCCTTCAGAGTGCACTTGGGCCTCTTGCTCATGATGGTTTCTGTGCCATCCCATTGCGATACTTGCTGGGAACTGTGGCTGGACTTCTTCTCCTTGACGCAGATCAGCATGTCGGAAAACAGATAGCATTCCAGGTCCTGCCATGATTGCCGGTCCTTGCCAACGCGGATGTGGCCAAACAAGCGAAGCTTGCCAAATCTGCATGCGTCAGTGGGTGGAAGCAATTGCGCAAGAGGTGTCTAAAAATACCTGGAGAAATCCAGCCCGTGCCAGTTGTCTACCCGTGCGTGCAGTTCGTCGGTCGCCTCCTCAAGCACATCAGGGTTCATGTAGATGTTTTCAAATATGCGCGACGGCGCGGGCGACTTGGAGCGGCTAGTGCGCTCGTCGCCTTGCATGGAGGGGGCGGGCGGGACACCGCGAATGTCGTCGGGATCGGCCCTCCATTTTCCTTCGGGAACCTCGACCGTGACGAGGCAGGTCAGGCTCTGCTGCTGGCGCGAACGGCTGACGGTGGGGAACTCGCTGCGGACGGTAACGGTTGGTGGAGGAATAGGGTTCTTCACGGGAGCGCGGGGGCTCAGCGTGGATTCCATGGAATGCAGGTCGTAGTCGTGCCGCCGGCCAGTCGGGTCGTATGCGTGGTCTCCAGATGATGCAACCCCGGTAGCGCCACTGTCGCTCCTTGCATGCGCACGCGACTGGGACCGCATGTCCGACCTCGCATCGCGACTGTGTGTGCTGTGGTGGCTGCTGTCCCGAGCACGCACCTCGCGGGTGTCGTGCGTCGCAACGGACGGGCGACGCTCTTGGTAGGGCGGCTCGTGGTGGGCGGGCTGGAGGTGAGCAGGCTGCGGGTCCCATGGCGGCGGCGCGCTCGACACGCTTCGTGTGGCGCTTGGAGGGTCGTTGATGGGCTGGGGCTGGGGCTGAGGCTGGGGCTGCACCGAACGCACAATGGTGCTTAGCTTCTCTACTCATGGTCAGCATCCAGATTCCAGCACGCAGCAATTGGGAGGGCGCAGGCGAAGGGCACGCACCAAGATCCAGGACGTTGCCGCCTCGGCTGGTGTCGAGGGCCAATGGGGCGTTGCATGTCGGGCAGTACTGCGACTCGAACTCGCGGATGTACTCCCAGAAACAGGCCTCGTGGGAAACATGGCCGCACGAGAGCTGCAGGATGCGCTCGCCGCGCAGCGTGTGTTCGAGGGGCTCCTCGCACACAGCGCACTCGCTACCGATGAAGGTGCGGTCCCGGCGCGTGCGGTTGCGCTCGATATCCAGAATGCCGGCCATGCCTCGAGAGGAGTGCGGGAGATCCTGCGTGCGCGCTGAAGCAGAGGCCGCGGCCGATTTAACAGGGCCAGATGACACGGAGTCCGCGCGCGAGCGTGCAGTTGGCGTGACGCTCGAGCGGGAACCAGTGTCGGCGGATTGGCGGGAGGAGCGCGAGCGCGAGCGCAGACCTATGCGAGACAAGTACTGGTGAGCCATGGGGGTTGTTGCGTTGAGACAGGCGTGGGGCGGGCGTCGAGGGGGAATTACTGCTGTCGTCGGCCGCCGGCGGAAAAGTCGACGGCTCTGGCCTTTGCTGATTTGACTTTCGTCCTAGATTTGGCCTGCAGGCTCAGGCTTGTCTCTATCTCTGTGGCACCGAGAGGAAAGTTGGCGGGTCGGAGGTGGCCAGGCGATCACTGTCCTTCAACATGGAACTAATGAATGTTCACTTGGCTGTCGCTTCCTCAGTGCCGTTTCAGCAGCTGGGCTCCGGCGCGGTGATCGATGTGGGCACGGCGTGCTGGGGAGCAGGGACTCTGTTGCAGCAGCTCCACCCGCGGTGCGGCGGGAGCGGTGGTGCGTCGGACAATGCAATAAAAGAGCCTGGGGCATGCCCACTGCCCGCGCGCACCCTTGCGGGCTAAATGGCTGCATTTCCAACGCGCGGAGGGCCCGCGGGCCCTCGGCGAGCGAAGGGCGCTGCAGTAGCCGCTGCCGAACACCAGAGCTAGGCCCAGCCGGCGGGCGGGCAGCGAACAAGCCCCGGAGAGATTGCCTGTCTGTGCCTGGCTCAGCGCGTGGTGTGGCGTGCAATGCGGATTTGACCGAGCGCCGCGGACCAGCAATCCCTGTCCACGGCTAGCCTCGCCCCTGGCGCTGCCGGGAGCGGTCGCGGGTAGCGAGTGCGGGCTAGGGGCGCCTCTCCCCTCTCTCGCGCTCTTGCTCGTTCTCTCTCCAGCAAGATCATCATCTCACCTCGCAGATCAAACCGCCTCGACCGCGGCCTGGAGCACAAGGAACGCCGCCGCTGCCCGCGCATCGTCATCGCCCGCCTCGCACAGTGCCGCGCAGAGCCATCTCGCATGCTGCAGCCCGCCTGCATCATGCCGCGCCACCCCATCTTCACGCCTGCGCGTGCCGCTAGCCCGCGGTGATCACTGCGAGCGGATGCGGAGCTCTGCTCAAGGCCGCAAGCAGGGACCGCCTGGGGATCTGGCGCCCATCAGCCCCCAACCCGACCTGCTGCCCGCCTTATCACCAACGACTGCTGGCCCAGAAGTCGTTCGCCGCTGAGAGCGCGCGACGACAGCTGCCTCTGCTGCGCGTCCCGCGTCAGTCAGAGCTAGCCAGCCGCCAGCGTCATCCGGTGCCGCCGTGGCCCATGGCTCTGGAGCCACAGCCCGCCCACTCCCACACCAGCCGCCCCCATGGCGCCCTAGTTTCTGCTAATTGCTTCTAGAATGGCTTTAGAAGCCCCTTACGGCTCGCGGCAAGCACCACCCGCCCCGCCGAAGCCCACGTTTTTTCCTGCGCGAGCTGTCGCCTAGTGCCAGCCTCCCAAAATCCTGCCGCCCTGCTCGTGCCTGTGGTGTCTCCAGTTGGGCCTCCTTGCGGGTGCCGCGTGCGTCCCGCGGCATGAGAACGTCGCTACCCGGGAGCAGCAACGTTCAACGGCGACGCGGAGCGTCACGCTGCGACGCTCACTGCGCCAGCAATGCCCAGGCCATGGTGGGGCGCGCATGGCCGCGACCGTATCTTCCCAGTCCATTGTGCCGACAAGCTTTTGTCCTGCGGCTCGATCAAGAAAAGTCTATTTGCAAAAAGCCCCGATTCACATCCGCGGTAAAATGTGACGGGATGCATCCGTACCCAAAGACGGCAGTCCGGCGCCCACGCTGTGGTGATGCGCCCCGCTAAGGTCCTTCCTAACCGCAGCTAGGCCATACGCCTCCATTTCTTGCTCGCCGCTCGGTCATGATAGCTGTAAGCGATGATCAGCCCCTTGATAGCTGTTAGTCGGGGCCGACTGCGTCCATCATGCCTGATTCTACGATAGTAGAGGGGTAGTCTCAGCAATATGCGGGACTGAGCAAGCAAGCAGACAGGGTCCCGGACAGAGGGACTTCCACAGCTTCGGGCACGCCACCCTTTCGCCCAGGAACACCTTCGACGCCAAGAATGGCGGACCGGGCAGCTGACAGCGCCCGCACAAAACAGGCGGTTGCATTCTGTCTTGCCCCAGAGTGGCATGGACTCAAACGCTGGAATCCGTACTGCGGCACTACGGCAGCTTCGCATGGGTTTTCAGCATTGGTGCATTCGGCTCAACATCCGCTTCCCACGTGCGATGGCGTCCCGAGCTTCTAGCTGCAGCTTATCTTCAACTCGCTAATGTGGAGGTAAGCTCCATTCAGATATCTTCAGGAGCTTTGCGGATCGGCAAGATCTCAAAAACCAAAAGCCACTCGATACGATTCGCTTTGTAGATTCACGGATCTGCCCCGGAACGATACTCTCTGCTTCGCCCCCACCATCTGGCTACACCATCATGATGCCGCCCCAAGCGGGCAAATAAGATGTATGACTCGGGGCTGTGTCACATCTGCAGCGTCGCTGCAAGCCACGGCTGATTCTTCGCGTGGCCAGTCCTCGGTAGAAGGGCGGTCGTACGCATGGCTAACCGCATGGGACTAAAGCTTCACTTCCGCTAGGCTGGACTTGCGGCTTTTCATGCTAGGGACACTCGATACGAGCCGTTCGACCCCCTGGGCAGCGCCGCCTCAAGCTCCACACGGCTCAACAACCACATTGGCGACGCGTGCATTCGCCAACGAATTACTGAGGCACGGACAGACCCGCATCCGCTCCACGTGGCCACCTAGACCCTTTGCTGCCATCTGGCGAGCGTCCTCGCTGTAGCTCATCACACGTTTAAATCCTTCGTACCGGCGATCACACTGCTAGCAAAAGCGAGCATTACGCCTCTACCACGTGGCTAAATCCATCTAATTTCGTAGCTAAATTGGGATTGCCATCTGTCATAGTTCGCATAGATGGTATGTATACGTCTAGTCTTGTACGTCTCTTCCGTGGTAGCCATAATTTGTCGCCCATGAACGGTCTTTGCTCCTGCTCAGAGTGCTTCTATGGAGGAGCAGCAGCGGAGGAGCCTGGGCGCAACTTCATGTCAATTTCTGGTCAATGACTTGTTGTTGGGATGGTGACTATGTCCGCGTAGCCTAAGCCTACATCGTCCCCTGTAAGATACGAGCAATCTAGATCTTCTAGGGGCATAGTGTTGAGAAGAATGGTGTTGGAGTTGTTCGGGACGGATGAGACGTAGCGTTCCAAAACTCCACCATGCCCGGGACGTCACAGGGGAATTAGCTTTTTGGAGAATGTTGGCTGCACCAAGTTCGGCTGTTAGGTGGCGCAGGTTGCCCGCTCATCGCGGGACACTTAGAACCTTCCATGCACACACTACTTGCAGGATGGCGTTTTTCAACCGCACAATGCTTTCCGTTTCCTTCGTCTGCGGCGCACGAATAGAAACGGCTCACGGCAAATGGAAACATCGGCATCGATGATCTCCGACATCGAGCACATCAGTGATCGTCCAAGAATGGGCCATCCCACATACCGTCTTTGCAGCTCGCTCTAATGTAGTTCGGAAAATTGCACCAAGGAACAACCTCGTTCCCACCCTACGATTCGCTAGTGGCACGAGCTTACGGCTCACAGCACCAGAGCGCAGATCCCGGGCGTGCCGGCTTGGTGGTGCTGGACGTTGCGCAGGCTGTCTGGCGGGTGTATCCATGACAGCTTCCTCTAGGAACGGGGGCCGGGCTATACGTACGATTTTTGCGACCTAGCGTGTCACGTTGTGTTGAACTTCGAATGGCCGTCCTCAGATAGATGTCGGATCCCCGCATCCGGTCTAGACAGAGCCGTGGCCGCTCCATGATAGGTACACCCTTCGCCGTTATCCTCGAAAGGACGACGAAACACTGTGGGGCACATCACAAGGCGCAGGGCTGGATTCGCGCCTTGGTCATATTAAAATGGAGTCCGTGTGGTCTGCTTTTAGCCGCGATTATGCCAGCAAAACCGACGACGTACGAGAAAATCTTTGGGCAGCGGAGGCACCTTCGACTAAAGATTGTACGATTGTACTTCAATGAAGTGTTAATATCCGCAGCCACACCTTAGCTTCATTTCCTGTTAGCTAGTCGCTTTGGTGTTAGATGAAGCTTCCGAGTGCCTTGAGGTAGCTGTTTAAGAATCAGTGGATGCTCAGGATACGGCGTCAACAGGACTACGGCGTCACCGATGCAGGAGTAGAGCATGTATGTATAGTACATGCTAAGCCACCTCTTTGGTGTCGTTAAAGACTCATGATGGATGGCAGTAGCCAATGTGGCGGGGGCAAATTACGAGTGGACGCCCTGAAGCAGCGGGCCAAAGCCACACATGGCGGTCAGCCTCCTTGAAGGCCCATCGCAGGCAGGAGACGTTGCGGGCATTGAAAGACGCACAGCACATTCGCGGTTCCGGGTCAGGAACAGCCGCAGCGCTCCTTCGGACATGGATGAAGAGGCGCTTTGGGCAGCATTGCCAAATCGAGCATCCTCCTAGCGGCTCTGGATGGCTGGGGCAAAGAGGCTCAGGGAAAAGGCTTGCTTAGGACCGAATGCCTCTGTGCGCACCAAGGCTGTAGCTCAGGCTGAGATTGACAGCGAGCCACGGCACCCAATCGACGGACGAGGGTGCAGGCTCTATTTTGGTAGGTCGTGGTGGCAGGTGGGATTAGGGCCCGGTGGTTGGCCAGCGGCGAACGCGCGTTCCTGGGCACAGAGCGGCCTCCTGGTTCCTCCTGTGCGGTCCTGTGCCAGGCGTGGTCGGCCTTCTGCTGGCTGCAGCTGCTGAAACGGCCAGGGAAGATGCCGGCACACGTCATGACTGCAAGTAAGCTCAGCGCGTGCTGGGGCGTGGAGATCTCTGGCCGTGCATACGCGAGCCAGCGGCGGCGAGATTGCAAGAGCCGGACGGATGACGACAGGCTGATGGAGGCGGAGCTCGGCGCTCTTGGGCAAAAAGGAGAGGCACAGCAGCCGCGGAAAGGGGCCCGCTGGCTGTGTGGTTGGGGCCCGCCAAAAGGAGGACGCGGGCTGGGTGGTTGGAGGGCAAGGGGCGGCCAGTGCGGCCAGTGCGGCCAGTGCAGCCAGTGCGGCCACCACTTACGCCGGCCGCTGCGGAACCTCCGGCGCCCGCCTTCCGTGGCTGTGGGAGACGAGCGGGCGGAGACGATACCTATCGTGCTACCTGCCCTCCGCTGACTCCGTCCTCGACCCTAAAATGACCTCGCCGCGAGCACAGAATGGCCGACCACGATGCCGCAGCTTCCTCGCTCTCGCCGGCCCCCACGCCCCAGTTCGCCCGCGCCTGTCGCAGCTGCGCCGTGGCCAAGACGAAATGCGTCCCGGCTGCCGGTGCCGCGAGCAGTGACTGTGAACGGTGATTATCTCGCCGCCGTGTCCGCCCTCCATTGGCTGACTCGCCCAGCTGCCACCGCCTGAAGCGCGTCTGCGTGCGCGATGCTCCAAGCATGCGGAAGAGAAAGCCACCCACTGCCAAGTACGTGGCGATCCTCTTTCCTTTTCCCAACCACGGCCCTCTTCTTGATCAATGGGGCCATGCGCCTCGGACATTCCGCTACGGGACGTCCAACCGCCGCCACTTCGCTGCTCTGCCGGCCCTCCTTTTTGCAGTTCCCCGACCCTGATCCCCCTGCAATCGCCCGTGGCTGCGCTTGTCCTCCCGAGGTGACGGTCACGCGAGTCGCTTGCTCGAGCCGCACCGGAATCGCGTGTGCCAAGGGCCCACCTTCAATCTCGACGTCTTTTGCGGCAACTCGTCCGTCGTGCTAACCAAGAGGCAATTGGCCGTGGGCTAGGAACGCACGCCTGGAACAGAAGCTGGACCAGCTTGTAACGCTGCTGGCCACCAATCCGCCGGGACAGGGCCAGCCTAGACATGCCCATCAGGCGTCCTCCTCGCCGACACCTGAACGCCCGCAATACACTCCCAGCACTACCAATACCGTTCCGTCTGAACCCAGTGAAAATGTCCCGCCGCGCCCGCGACCAACCTCTCCTCCGATTTCTGGCGAGAGAGGGGCCTTCAGTGCCCGTCCCGTCCACGTACCATGCGACCCGTCGGAGCTCGATCCCGATGATGCCAGAACTGCAGAATGCCTGTTTAATTATCGGACCTACATGTCCAAGTACTTCCCCTTCGTCATCATACCCCCAGATGCCACAGTCCAGACTTTGCGTGACACCAAGCCGTTCCTCCTGAAGGCAATCGTCGTCGTGGCCTCCATCCAGGACCTGGCCAAGCAGAGAGCGCTCGGACATGCCTTGATGGGCGAGCTCACCACGCTACTCCTGATCCAGGGCAGAAGAAGCGTTGATTTACTGCAGGGTATCCTCGTGTGGCTGGCTTGGTACGTCCTCCCGCTTTCTGTACCACCATCGGCGTGTACGCCCCCGGCGGATCGGTCGTGCGTCCCGGTTCTTGTGCAACCGCCCTTGCAGCATCTGCAGTGCTGATGCCCGGATGCACAGGTATCACGTCCACTTTTTCACTAACCCGCAGACAACCAATCTATTGCAGCTTGCCGTAGGGTTGGTCATTGATCTTGGACTGAAGCGGGGAGCCCGGGCTTATGGCTCCGAGAGGCTTGAAAGAGGCATCACCCGGAGCGCGCATGGAGAGCTTGCCAATTCTGAGCTGCATACATCAGATGAGAGGCGGGCTCTTCTCGGTTGCTTCTATCTGTCTACCATGTACGTCCTTGTGTCGTGACCGTGGCGGCCGGCCCCTATGCTGTGTACACTGACTTGTCCGTCCAGTGTGGCCCAGTGGGCAAAGCGATACGACTCGCTGCGGTACAGCGCCCAGTTGGACGGTGTTTGCCGCTACCTGGAAGAAGCTCAAGAGTACCCGACGGACCAGTACCTCGTCTATCTCGTACGTCTCCAACGTATTGTCCAACGCATTGAGCGAAAAGTGCCCATCGATGATTTCACCGCCGACACCATGATTCCAATAGCCATGTTTGTTAAGGCCCTCCGCGGCGAACTCGATGATTTCAAGAAATCACTCCCTGCGAACCTTGCAGATCAATGTAAGTACGAGATGCAGTCATGGATTGCCTGGCTAGCAAGTCTGACACATTAGCCGCCTCAGCTATCATGTGGCTGCATTACTACAGTGCAGAAATATACCTGTACGAGATCAGTCTGAGTTCTCTTCCAGGTACGCCACAATACGGCGACTACACTTACCGCCGGCTGGAAATGCTCAACGGCTGCATGCACGCCGCGAAGGCTTTCATCGATGTGTACTACCAAATCCCCTCGGCGAGCCTGATCAACGTGCCCTTCATGCACTTCGCGCAGCTCACCAGCACCATCATAGCTTTGTCAAAACTGACCCGTCTTGAGTGCCCGGGCTGGGACCAAGCATACGCTCAAGAGTTCCTTGACTTTGGTGGCGTCATGATGAAGATGTCAGCGCGCTACGAGGAGGCGCGTGCTGTAGCAGAAGTTCCCCTTGCCGATAACCCGCTTTTCACTTTCTTCGCCCGCAAACTGCGTTTCATCAAGGCATGGAACGAAGCAAAGCTGAAGGGGACAGCTGAGGCGCTCGAAGTCAGGGAGGACAACCGCAGAAGGGCGCAAAAGGCCGCAGAGGTCGCGGCAGTGAATGGTGCAGCGACTTCTGCAGCCCCTGTTGTTACGGCTGCAGAGAAAAGCGACGGTGCGAGTTTGAATGTTAATATAGGTGGTGAGCCGATGCAGCTGGAGCACATCAGTCAGGAGGACATCTTCGATCAGCTTGACCCGAGCTTCTGGCAGGAGTGGGCAACGGACGATATGACAATGTGGGATGCGGACGCTATGCAGCAGCCCTGCAGCTGGAATTTCGAGGGGTTGGGTGCGGGATATCAATGATCGATATTGCGCCTCGTCTGTCAGTTTGGTCTGAAGCATGAGCCCAACAACGGTTCGAAGCACAGATCCGTTAGTAGACCGAAGTTTTTCTTTACGGAAAGACAGATTGTATCATCTCTGCTCTCGTTCCTTCGGTAAAAACCAAACATGTATCGAAAGAAACCAAAGTTGCAAACGATCCTCAGAGCTTCTCCCGCTCCTCTTTCCTCGGCTTTCCCCCCCTCCACCCCCCTCATCTGGTCTCCTCCATATCATAACTCAATACCTCAATATACGCCCTTCTGCCCCAAACAATCCTTATCCACATTCTCCAAATACCCCTCCAACGTCTCCTCATCCACGTCCTTACTCCTCCCGACCACCTTCCTCACCAACTCTCTAATACCACACGCTCAGAAACTTGCCCACATAGTCGGCCAGTGGCCCGCTTTCCGGAATTCGTAGTCTTTGCGAGTGAAAGCGAAAGCAACGTCCTGTTCCCTCCCTTCAACTCCCCGCTCCTCCCCTCCACGCCCCAACCGCCGCACAACCACGAACCCGGCATCGACGCCGAGACCCTAAAGGCTATTGGTGGCACCAAGGATCTGGTATCCTACTTGAGAGGATATATCTCTGCGACGTAATTCGCTTTCGGAGCTGGCTGGATTGCCGTGAAAAAAAAAAAAAAAAAGCAGGAGACTTGGAACCATAGACTACCAGACGGCATAAAGTGATCAAATCTGCAAGTTGGTTTTTACGGTTACCGAAGGGGTGATTACCATAGGAACTGGTTCCTATATCCACATTGTCACGCTCAAAGCAACTGTATACAGTGGGAGAGAAGAGCCTGCCCTTCCAAGTAGTAGTGACATTACAAAATAGCTGACCAAACTTTTTCAGGACGGAACGTCGAAGTATTCTACATAGCAACTTTTATGCGAGGAACCCGAGGTATCAACTCAGCCGACCAAAACACCACCCATGACCTTTACCGCTTGCAGGAATCCCAAAAGTTGCATTCACTTCCTCAAGAATCCACCACCCACCTTCTTTCTCTCCAGACCGCTGAAGGAACCGTTCTTGCTCTCCTTCTTCTTCCTGCCTTGTAGCCACGTGTCCCTCGCGCTGCGGCTTCCGGATGTCGAAGCCTTGGGTGGCAAGAACTTGTTCCCCTTTTCCAAAACTCGCACCTTGACTGGACCCTTCTTAACATCCTTTACCGGCTTCTCATCCAAGAACTTTAGGTGCTTGTTCACCTTCTCTATCCTGGCTGTAGCACCGGCTTGCGTCGACTTGTCCTCGGACTCCGGAGTAGCCGGACGAACGCTCGGTGCAGAGGCAAGGAGGTCGTCGGGAAGAAGAGCAGGGAGGTTGTGGAGGTCGTGAGCAGGCTTGGAGTGCTTGAGAAGGACCGATGGGTCCGAGGCCTGAATGGTGGTGCTGGAGGCAACGTCGGCCGGGATCTCCTTGGGCTCGTGCTCTTGTTTGCGTTTCTTCGCTGCAGCAGCTTGTTCACGCAGGCGGGTTTCACGCTCTTGCCGCTTGCGCTTGGCTTCGGCTTCTTGCCTGTAGGGTCGTCAATGCTGCGTCTCCCCCCACGGTGAAGCGCATGGTTCTGGTATGCTTACCTCTCAACAGCCTTTGCAGCTTCCTCCTCAGCGGCGCGAGCCTGATTGCGGGCACTGCTGGCCGTAACGGCCTCGGGGGCCTCATCGTCGCTATCTTCTCCCTCTTGTTCGGCGGCCGAGGATGGAACTTGCTCCTTCGCAGGCTCAGAGGCGGGTTCGGGAACGACGGGTGGGTCCTCGCTGCCGAAGCGGATGTGCGTGCTCAAGGGAGCAGAAACTGTCTCGTTCGGCTTAGGTCCATTGTCCTTCGTGGCCGCCTTTGGGGTTGCTTCTTCGGCTTCGTCTCCGAGGGTCTGGGAAGATGCTAACTTGGAGGGCTTCGAAGGTGTTGATCTAGGGGCGCGAGTACGGGGCTTGGGTGTCACAGACGGCGGAGGGCAAGGACAAGTAGCGCCACGAAGGCCGGGGCGCAGGTTCGTGGCTGGGGTCGCGTACACGGACGGAGTGTCGTCTCCTACCGGGGTCCCATAAACGGAATCGTCATCCTGCGGAGTAGACTTAGGCGTCTCGGCTACTTCTGCAGTTGGCGTTTCTGGTACAGAGTCTTGGCTTGGGTGGCCGCGAGCACTGCGGCGCACCGGGGTGGCCGAGTCTGGAGTGCTCCGGGCTGAATCCTGGCTGCCCTGGTCCTCGGTCGAGATGGACCTCCTCTTCTTGTTGTCCCGAGTGGGAGTCGAAGCAGCAGAGTCGTCAATGAACCTCTTGCGAGCGGAGCGGGTCACAGAGCCGATCTGCGGACTCTGGGTGTCGGCGCCGCGGCGGGTGGTGACCATGGCGTCTTCGCGGGCGGAGGGGCGGAAGGCGGAGGAGGCGGAGGAAGCGGAGGAGGCGGAGGAGGCGGAGGGAGAGCGAGACAGCAAGGCGCGGGCGTTGTCGACGATACGCAAAAACATCAAGGACTGTTTGCGCGTTCCGACCCGGGCAAAAAGGTTACGCGCGATCAGCGGGCGGTGAAGCAGCGGCGCGGAACAACCAGCACCCGCGGCGTGTATACCTATGACCTTCAAGTCCGTCCACCCTGTCGCGCGCTGAGAGCTCTCGGCTTAGCTCTTCTTCGCAGAGCGCCGACGATGCTTTCGCAGCAGCTGTCACGCCCCTTCGCCCGGCCAATTACACGGCCTCGTCCCAGGACCAATGTGTGCATCTGCTGCCGCTCCGCGGGCGTGCCTGATGTCTTTCGGCGCCACTACGCCAAAGCTACACCAAGGAAAGCGCCCTCTACCAAGGCGGAAGCATGGCGTAATAGGGCTAGGGTCATGACCGCTAGCGAGAAGCAGCGGGCGCAAGCTCAAGGAGTGCAGGCCGTCCAAGCCCGTAGTGGAAAGCTTCTGCCGAACTTCGAACTGCTAAGGTGGCTGAAGAAGTCTGGTTTGGTACAGGCCGATCCAGAAAAAGCCCTGGTACTTCTGGACGAAATGAGAGAACTGAGCAGCAAACTCGACGGTTCTGCCGCCAGAAAACTGTGCAAAGGTGCGCTCTCCTCGACAGACCCACTTCCAGCTCCGCTAATAAAGGAACCCAGAGCACCAGATCGATCACCGCGACATGTACTTCTTCGCCCGCGCCTGCCTCTACCATTCCAACCATGAAGTAGTTCGAAAGCTTGGCAAGACACTCTTGCTCGCAGCGTCCGCAAACCAAATCGACCGAGCAACTCTGTACCTCTTGCGTATGGCCGACAGGCAGGACAGGGATGGCGGCTTCCGTTTACGTATGGCCTACAACTCGCCTGAGCTGGCTGTTGCCCGGAGGCATTTGCAAAGGCTCGTCGACTCGAGACATCTGGAGGCTATGGTCTTTCGAGCCAAGCGTATGGCCGCAGAGGGCAACACGCAGCAAGCCATCCGTATCCTTGAAGTCGCGACCGAGAGCCAGGGCGCTGAGTATCAAGATCATGAGGCCATGCATCACGAATACAGTGGCCACTTCTTCAAAGATATCGAGGAGAGCAGGAGCGAAAGCCCGTGGACGATGCTGGCTACGCTGTACAGCAAGCAAGGCAATTTTGCAGCAGCCGAACACGCTTTCAGTTTAGGAATGGAGAAACATGACGACCCGAGAGCGTTTCAGGGATTTGCTGCTATCATGACGGACAAATTTTCGCCCCTGTGGGTGGAATACATGACCAAGGCGGCGGCCTCTGGATCCTGGACAGCAGCAAAGTCGCTCGGCGAGTTCTACAGCGCTCCCCTCGAGCAGATTCCAGAGAAGTTACGGCATGAGATGTGGCAACTGGAGACGCATGGCGCCGCCGTCGAATGGTGGTATTACTGCCTCAGTAATGAAGAGCTAAAATACCTCGACAAGCCACCGGGCACCAAGCTCATCAGAGCGGACCACTGGCGTCCGTACAAAGACCCTGCTACTGACTCGGCTTTGTTCATGGCCGAACTCAATCCGCGCCAAGCCTTGGCGATGGAATGGTACGACATAGCCTGGAGAGGGCAATACTGCTTCAGTGACGAAGAAAACACTTTGATCAACGAAGCCATGCAGAAGATAGTCGACGAGGCGACTTCGCAGTCATTTGCTGGCGGGGGCTTGACGGGGTCGAGGGCGGGGTTACCATCGAAGCTACGCCATTATGACCAGCATCATTTGTCCACTGAAAAACATTTGTGGGAGCGGGCTGCGGTTGAACTTGATGAATTCAAGAAAAGGATTTTTGGCTAAGGATATGTCGTCTAGGCATTTGAAGGGATAGCTGAAAGAATGATTAGCAAGATGCCTACCTTCCAGGCAAGCACAGATATCCGTTCTGTGCGAAGGAATATGTTTCCAAAGTCCCACAAAAGAAGAAACTCATTGACCGCTCCAGGACACGTTGAGTAGCCCTAAGTGAGTGAGGGAGTAGTCACTTTCCGAATCACGACCAGCCGTCAGTGTCAGCCGAAATGCTCGGAAATTCCGCGGCGCGATGCTCGGTCGGTCGGTCGGTTGGCGAGTCGGACGTTACACGACGCTGGCGGCTGGCATGCTGTTGAGATGCGGGCGCTTGAGGCAAAATGACAAGAAAGGACAAAGACGCAACAAGAAGCGGGCGCCCAACGCGCAACCAAGCGCTCCGAGCCCGGCACCGGGCTGGCGATCGACGAGAAGCCTGGAACAGCGGGCGGCGTCGGGCATTCGGTTTGCACAAGATGTTAGCAACGGGATGGAGATAGCGCGCAGGTGTTGTGAATGGCTGCGATGTCGGGCTCGGGGCGGCAACGAATAAAAATTGCGTCAAAGCGGGCGATTGGGCCCCACCCGCTAGTCGTGCCCTCTTTCCCTTCACTCCAGTCACACATCCCTCTCTCCCTCAGCAAACACCGTCGCCCACTGCCCGCAACCACCAGCGTTGCGTCCTTCTTCACCCCCCCGTCCCGACACACATCGCCGCGAATGCGTGCTGCTGTGACTATCTTCACTTCTCAGGTACGTCATTTCTAGCGCAGGAATATCACCGAGTCCTTATCTGCGCCTACCTTGCGCCTACGGCCCGCGCGAAATTCCCCAATCTGCCCTGTGACTACTTCTCCAATTCCAAAACTCATCGTCGTTGCACTCGCTCTGGCATTGTGGCTAACGCACACTCGCTTGCAGGACTACATCTCTGGTACGAGCCCGCCGCTGCCGCCCACCCCCGCCCTCCCACACTGACCAGTGCCAAAATGTAGACCACCTGTGGAAGGCCTCGATCAACTAAAGAGCCTCGCCTCTTACTCAACTCCGCCGCCTGTACATCCAACAACTACGAATCACCATGTTCTCCAAATTCGTCAAGCCCTCCATGCTGAGGCCCGCCGGTGCCTTTGGCCAACTCTCCAAGGCCGGCTCCAACGCCCGCTTCATGGCCACCGTCCACAACACTGCTCCCAATGCTGCCAGCAAGGGTCGCATTACCAGGGACCGTGCCACTTTCACCATCAAGGTACGTCACAGCACCAGGGTCCTGCCCTCCATGGGTCAAAGCTTACCGTCCGCCCACAGAACGGCCCCATCTACTCCGGAAAATCCTTCGGTGCCAAGAAGAACATCTCCGGCGAGGCTGTCTTCACCACCTCCCTCGTTGGCTACCCCGAGTCCATGTCCGACCCCTCCTACCGTGGCCAGATTCTCGTCTTTACCCAGCCCTTGATTGGCAACTACGGCGTTCCCTCGTCCGTCCGTGACGAGTTCGGCCTGCTGAGGTACTTCGAGTCGCCTAACATTCAGGCTGCCGGCATCATTGTCGCCGATGTCGCTGAGCAACACAGCCACTGGACCGCTGTTGAGAGCCTGGCTGAGTGGTGCCAGAGGGAGGGCGTTCCCGCCATCTCCGGCGTCGATACCCGCGCCATTGTCACCTACCTCCGTGAGCAGGGTTCCTCTCTCGCCAGGATCTCCATTGGTGAGGAGTACGATGCCGATGAGGATGAGGCGTACATTGACCCTGAGGGAATCAACCTCGTTCGCCGTGTGAGCACCAAGCAGCCCTTCCACGTGAGCTCGCATCTCGGCGATATGCACGTCGCTCTGATCGACTGCGGCGTCAAGGAGAACATCCTCCGCAGCCTTGTGAGCCGTGGTGCTAGCGTGACTTGCTTCCCGTACAACTACCCCATCCACAAGATCGCCCACCACTTCGATGGCGTCTTCATCTCCAACGGTCCCGGTGACCCAACCCACTGCCAGGAAACCGTTTACCACATCCGCAAGCTCATGGAGACCAGCCAAGTCCCAGTCATGGGTATTTGCATGGGTCACCAGCTCCTCGCCCTTGCTGCTGGTGCCCGCACCATCAAAATGAAGTACGGCAACCGTGCCCACAACATCCCAGCCCTTGACCTTACTACTGGCAAGTGCCACATCACGTCCCAGAACCACGGTTATGCTGTCGACACCAGCTCCCTAAGTAGCGAGTGGAAGGAGTACTTTGTCAACCTCAACGACAGCTCCAACGAGGGCATGATCCACAAGTCTCGCCCCATCTTCAGCGCTCAGTTCCATCCCGAGGCTAAGGGCGGCCCGCTTGACTCTGCCTACCTCTTCGACAAGTACGTTGATTGCGTGAAGGCATACAAGGACTCGCAGTCTGTCTTTGCGGCTGGAAAGAACAACAAGCCCAGCCCTCTGCTCGTCGACCTGCTTCCCAAGGAGCGTGTTGGCGTGCACCCGAGCCTTCCGGAGTACAACGAGAACCTGGGTCAGGTTGCGGCGCAGCAGCCCGCTCCCATGCAGGCTGCCGCTGCGTAGAAATGGAGTAGTTGACGTAAACTAGTGGGTTTACGAAGGGAAAATTACGGGTCTGTCTGTGTCCGGGAAAGCGGGGTCGGAGTTCCAGTGGGGTTATATTCATTTCTCTAGGGCAAGCCTATGAGCTTCCTCTGTAACAAAACCAAATTGAGCAACATTCAACGAATCATGTTCAGCTATGCAATTGTGATTCCTACGAAAGCATTCCGCATTTTTCTTTTCTCTGTGGGGGCAAGTATGTAATAGTCCAATGACGGGGAGATGAGAGCATGAGAAGTGCATGCTTGCACATGCAAATCCATGCGGCACCTGTGGCCGAAGTCCCCGCACTTCACACGTATTTAGCTAGGTAGTCATCTCCATCCCTCCGATCTCGGGACCATGTGCCTTTGTCATCTCCCTGACGTGAGATTGGCATCCATACTTCTTTTCAATTGGCAAAATGGTGTGGAAGGGGTTTACTAGGCCTCCTCGTGCTCATTGTGCTTTAGTATGGAATCATCTACCGTAGGGCTGAATATGCGGCCAGAAATAGCAACAAAGGCATCTGCAGTCCAGGTGATTAAACGAACCTTTTCTCAACATTGTGAGCATGTTATTATCTACAGGAAATGGAGACGCATGGACATTGCTGGTGACAACCCACATCTTATGTGCGGCTTCCGTCGACTAGTTAAAGATAACTCCCTACGTTTCGATCCAAGGTTGAAAGGAATGAAAAAAATGTCACACAATAATAATGTAGCGTAATCGCTTTTGTCGTTTCAACTCGGAAAAGAGGAAGATGGTGGTATCAATTCCCGACTACGTGAGTTCGGATGCTATATGGAAATGCGGACGACAAGGCCTGAGTATCTCCTTCTCTCGTCTTTTCTTTCAAACAGAAAAAGGGAAGCCACTTCACTCTGCCACGACATATGAACACAAAAGGGAACAACCAAAAAAAAAGTCCGACCCGACAAAAGAGCAATGGAAGGCAAAAAGGAAATAGGAAAGCAGGTGATGACCATGCCTCCTTCCTGGTGTTTGGATGAAAATACCTTCCAGGGTAACTTTTTCCAGACGGAACGTAAGGAGACAAATGGAAAAGATAAGAAAACAACACGGTCAAGGATATACAAGCCAGGTAAACGAACAAAGTAATGAGATTCTATTCGGAATCCCGAGGAGACAAGAGAGGAAAAAAAAAATAAGTTGGACAAAAGAGACTTGAAGAACTCCGAAGGTGCACTGCAGGAATGCCTTCACATGCAGCCATGGTTGAACGAGGGCATATCAAGCCACAAGTTAGAACAAAACACTAGGATATACTTTAGGTAATAAGGAAAGATGACTTCATGGGACGTTAATGTTTATGCCGCCAGAGGGGAAGAAGACGAGAACTCCTCCGTCGCAGGTGCGGCAGATGACTCCGAGGCATCTGCCGTTGCCACCACAGGCCTCTTCTTCTCGACCGCCTCCCTCAGCACCTCGAGGCGTTCCTGCGTGACGCGGAGCGCCTCCTCAATTTGGCGCTGACTCATGCGCACATCGCTGTCAAGGCGTTCGCCCATCTGCTTGACCTGTTGCTTGCGCGTCGAGGTGCTGCTGCTCTGGCTTTGGAGTGGGGTACCGGCGGCCGCGCGGTCCATGCGTACGCGTTCTTCAAGCCAGTCCCACAGCTCGCTCTCCTCGCGACGCCACATCTCCTCGTATGCGATGATGCGCGCCGGCGTGGCCAGACCCGGCACGCCAAGGCTGCCGTGTACGCCGTAGCCGCCGCGAGCGGCCGCAGAGGATGAGGGCGAACGAAGCCATGAGATGAACATGAGGAACAGGAGAAAGGCGATGACCACTTGGGCCGAGATGAAGTCTGGAAGCATGTCTGTGACGGGGCGAAGAGGGCCGTGCAGCGGCTCCAGAAGTCCCCAGTTTGAGCTCTTATCCGCCGCGGTTGGTGACGCTGCGGCAGCAGCTTCAGCGCGTGCGGGAGATGATGCATCTTTCTTCCGCTTGCCGCCTTTCTTGCCGCCTTTGCCTCCGCTTTTGGAGGGCCCCTTCGCGGAGACGGCTGCATTCAGGCCAGCAACCAGATCTTTGGCGTACTGGGTCTGGCCATCGTTCGTTCCTTTTTCGATAGGACCTAGAAGTGTGTTAGCCTATGGATTAGGATGAATAGAGGATAAGTAGCTTTTCTTACCCTTCAGCCAACTCTTGCCTGACCACTCAATTACAAAGGTCATGATGAGACGTGTCGAGTTGGCCGGTCCCCACATCAGGCAGTATTTCGTCTTGACGACAAAGATGTTGCCGTTGGGTACGTCTGGGTTTTGAGTGTTACAGGTGACTGTAACAACTTTGTCCAGGTCGAATTGGTCCAGCGTGGAGTTGATCATACATTTCGTCTGCTTGGGGCCGATTGATGCATTCAACGGTTTGATGTAGGAAAACGAGAATGACTTGCGGTCTTCACCCAAGCCTTTCTTGTCGTCTTCCATTTGAAGATCCATGGATTTTTGATCCTCAATCAGCCACTTTCGCATGTAAGTACCAGAAGCTGGTCCAAACATCAATGAGTAGACTTTTCCAAGGGGTGCAGGAATGGTCGTATCGATAAGGAGGTTGCTGAAGTGCTCGCCTTCATCTCCGCACTCAGTCGGTGCATGTGTAGCGGGTCCGGGGAAGTCTTGCGCTCCCGTGGCGGCACCGTTGGCTACAGTCCCGCCACCGGCCGCGGTGACACCGTTGGCAGCGCCTCCCACTGGGTTGGCAGACGGCTTCCGGCTGATGGCCTTGACAGGTTCTGCGTCGCTGCCAATGATACTGCCCTCACTTGGGCCCGTGAAGCTCGCAGCACCGTCCTCGTCATCATCGTCTTCATCGTAGACCTCCTCTTCCGAGCCCTCCTCTGAGCCATCATCAATCACGTCTGGAATGTCGGCCTTTTCGGTTTTGTCTCCGGTCCCTGCATCAAGCGCCACGCCATTCAGAGAGCTCTTGAGGTTAGGATGGCTGATCTTCCAGATTCCTACCAGCAAATCGTAAGTCGGATCTCTGCTGACCAGACTAGCAAAAACATTGCGGGCATGCAACGTCGTGATCACAATTGCGTTAGGGAAGATGACTGCGGTACTCTTCTTCTCCACAGATACGACCTCATCAAAGCTAATGACCAAGTTCGTTACCCAACCCAGGATATTACTCGAGAAGCAGATGTGGCCCTCCGACACGTACAGCCTGCCGTGCAAGAGGATATCTCGCTGCAAGGCGGCGCTGTAATCGTCAATAAGGTAGTCATCTTCCGGTACGCTCCTGAACTGGTTGTGAAAGTCTCGGTTCCGCTTCCGGCTCGCGACGGCGAAGCCTGTTAACCGTGAGCCGTTACCAACGCCAACATTGGTGCTCGGTAAAGTGGTGGTACTGTTGGTTTGTGTGGGCCCAAGCGCGGTAGAGGTTGCAGCGGAGCTTCCGCGGTGTCGCCGCCCCTTTTTGTTATTACGATCGCTAAGGCGACTGCGAACACTGCCAGAACGGCTAAGACGGGTTTCCCCCTCGTCGCCAGTCTTGCTTGATGGTCTTTGCGTGTCTGATAAGCCGGAAAGCGAGCGTTGCCGTTCGACATTAAGGGCGCCTGAGTCTAGCGGCCCTTGCAGATAAGCTTCGGATACAGCCTTGGCGGCTGCGCTGTCCTCGGCTCTTGCAGATGCCTCGTCTGCATCAATCACAGTCGGCGTGAGTGGCCGGGCTTCGGCCAGCTCTGTCGTAGAGGCCATTTGATTCGGTTCAGAATCCGTCTCAGAGATTCCCAGATGGCTGAGGCTCAAGTCCCCAGAGCCAAGAGTTTCAACGGCGAGCTGCTTCTTCTCAGCGCCTGCGTCGTCCGCGTTGTCCTGGTCAGAGCCGCCGCCGACCACTTCCTCTCCACCAGCTGGACCGGTGTTCTCAGTATCCGCGACAGAAGCCTTGACTTTCTGGCCCTGGTTGATCGTTGTGATATTGCTCAGCGAGCTGGCAGCGTTCTGCGCGGCTGAGAAGACGGACGAGAAGAAGCCGCTTGGGGGCTGCGATAGACTACCACCGGGTGTCTTGGTCTCCTCGAGCGTTGGCGTTAGAGGAACGGTAGCAACGTGCGAGAGTTTGCTCGGGGGATTGGAGTTGGTAGTGGCCGATCGGGCACGGCGCTGGACAAGGCTGCCGGAAGGTGTTACAACAACGTTGGGATTCGAGTACGTAGACTTGTGCTCTGCCCTGGATGACGATGAGGGTCTCTTGAACAGGCTCGGCGGCGCTTCTAGAGTGGTAGGAGTGGGCGGGGTTAGGACGGTGGTGGGAGCATGAATGAGCTTTGATGGCGGGGTCTCCGGATTCGCGGTCGAGATGTTGGTGGGTGGAGTCTCAACGCGCTTCAACGCAGGCGGCTGCTGCTGCTCCTCGGGCTGTTGGGCCTGTGCCGTGTCCTGCAATGCCTCGTCGACAAGGCTGACCTTGGAACTGCTCCGCGACTTCTTCCCCCCCGCAAACAGAGAGCCCAGTCCACCACCTCCGCCTCGCTCGGTGGACTTGAGCGGCTCTGTCGTTCCCTTCGGAGACGGCGACTTCTTCTGGCCAAATGCGCCTTTGAATTTCCTGGCGGGGGATGAGCCGCGCCGCTCCTTCGATTCGGGCTGAAGAGTGTCGGCGTGCTTGGGAGCCAGGGTGTCGTCGTGCGAGGAAGAGGTCCCAGAGGTCGAGAGTCTGGCGACGGAGGGAGCTTTGACGGCCAGCGAGGCAATCAAGGGCGAGGAGAGGGTTAAGTAGCCGGCGTGGGATTGATGTGGGGAAAGAGAGGGTCTGACGGGAGGTCTGAGAGGCGGTTTATTAGCGGCGACGACCAGTGCACACTCGAATGTAAAATGACAATTGCGCTCCTGTCAATAGCGGCAGCCGACGCGAATACGACGATGTACCGCCAGCGGTAGAAGGCGAGATGTGGAGCAGAGCTGGAGGCGATGGCGGAGGAGTCTAGGGTGCAGCAGGAGAGCGCCCAGGCCGTGGGTAAGGGTGCGCGAGCAGGGACGATCCCCGGCAGGGTTCGCTGGGGAGGGGTGCGCACGAGCGTTTCGACTGGTGGTGATGTGCAGGACCGGGGGTACAAATGAGAGACGACTTACGCTTCCGAGTCGCTGTCCTCAGTCAGGAGGCTGGACGCGACGCTCTTGTGGAGCTGCAGAGATTCGTCGCTGTGGCTGAGCTGGCCGAAGCTGAGAGCGCCCCCGCCAAGGGCGTCTTCATCAGCGCTTTCGTCGGAGCCTGCGCCCCCGGTCTTCCTGGCCCGCCGTTTGAACAGGGCCGAGAGGTGCTTTGGCGAGTCCACGCTGCCGCTGCCGCGTCTGCTATCTGCCGACGCGTGCGAGTTTGCGCGCTGCCTGAGCTTGCCGAGCGCCTCGTCGAGCGATGAGCGCAGCCCGGTGCCGCTGGCGTCGGTGTCGGCAGCCGCCGAGCTGGCCACGGAGTCGCGGTGGCGGTGCCCGAAGAACACCCTCGATCGCTTGGAGCGGCTGCTCGAGCGGCTGAGCGTGTTGTCTGAGGCGGTATCCATCTTGAGGGTGGATGCTGCAGGCTACTGGCGCAAGGGCGCGATGTCACTTTAAGCCCGGCCTCTGTGCTGCTGGTGCTGGTGCTCGCCGCTTGGATGCTTGGAAAGCGCGATGCCGTCACTATCGCGTTCCTGCGGGTGCCGTGCATCCGCGCGCCTGGATCTTGCTTCTCGTGCGCGCGCTTGTGCCGGAAGAAGCTGGGGTTGCGGCTGAATGCTGTAGGTCGCGCCGCCGCTGCTGCTGGACGGCCGCTGCTGGACTGCCGGTGCCGGTGACACTCGATGCGAATGCCATGTCTCGCGCTGGCGACGCAGCAGCAGGATCAAGGGATTCCCGGATTGCAGGATTCCCGGATTGCAGGATTCCAGGATTCCATTGCTGGCTGCACCGCGCCTTCCGTCGCCTGCGACTGCTACCTGCTCGTTTGAGCGGTGCCATGCCTATACCGTCAACGTCATGCCGAGAAGGGTAAACCCGACCGGGGCGCAACCATCACAAGCCGGCTAGGCAGATCACCAGCGCGCCCGCCCTCCACCTCCGAAGCTGCTACCGTGCGAGCTCACAGCCCCCGCTTGCACCCTTTCCGCCATCTTCAACCGAGATGGAGACGGCCCCCCTTACCCTCGTACGTGTTGCTATCTTTATGCATGATCGCCACCTGTTGCTGACCCTTCCCGCTAGGCGCACGCACACGCGCGCAACGCTTCCGCCGAAAACTGGAAGGCGAACTCCTCGCAGGCCAGCGACGAACACAAGCAGGCTGCTGGCGAATTTGCCAAGGCTGCGACGGGCACCAGCGACCTGGAGGCCTTCCGTGTCCTGAAGCTGCTGGAGAGCCACCACGAGCGCCTTGCCAGCATCATCAAATGCAACCACCAGACCGCTTCGGCGAAGAACCAGCCCGAGGCGTCCCAGCCCACCCAGACGGTCGACGTCCATCAGCCCTCTGCCGCTGCTGCGCGCCCAACCTCTCCGCGAAGAACACCGCAGTCGCCCCCGAGAGCCACCCCTCGTCGCAAGCCCCCGCGAGACCTGTCTTCCTCCATCGCCAGCAACTTAGCTTCTGCACGTGGCATTCCTGGGTCGCAGCGCCGGCCCGCGGCCCCCGCTATATCAGCACAGCATGTAGACGGCAGGATCCTCAACCGCGCAGAGAGAGCGACTCCACAGGAGTTCAGGAAAGAGGGGACTCAGCAAGCAAGGCCTGTTGCCGAAGCAGAGCCTGTGGAAGGCAGCGAGGAAAAGGAAGGCGCGGAACATACGGAAAAGGAAGCATCTACAGATGAAGGATTCAAGCGCTTTTTCTCCACGTTCGAGACGTTCTACTCAGCGCTCTCAGCACCGTTGGCTTTTGCGGGTCTTCCTCTCATGCCAGAGGAGTCACAGGAGCCTGCTTACGAGAAGCCTGCACCGAAATCGGCGGGCAAGGCTCCTTCACAGAATGCAGGTGGTGCAGCAAGTGCGAACGCAGACACTGTCCCGGACCCTTCTACCCTCTTCTCCAAGGCCACCTTGAGAGCTTTGGACACAACACCTGGCGCAGCAGAAAGCTTCATTGTCGTGCCTACCACAGGCGGGACTGTATCTTATGCCGGAATCCTCAACCATACTGGGAACCAGACTCACGGCGGAGTGCCCTCCCCTATCATAGAGCAGGAAGAGCGTTCATTTGACGGGGAGGAATTCGTGGACGCTAATGAGGAGCCTGCGCCACCATCACCTACAACCACACGCTCAGGGCGTCGTGCACGTCCCGGCTCGGCAGGCAGTCTGGCGGCGGCGACGGAATTTGGCAAGGGAGGTGCGGTGACGGGAGGAAGAAAGACGATGGAAGAGCTGGAGTTGGAAAATGCCATGATGCGACAGCTCCTCGATAAGTTGAGCAAGCGATTGCACATGTGGGAAGCATCATCCCAGTCGCAGTCTCTAGCGCTTGCGCAAAGCTTCCGAGCACACAGACCTCCGGTTGGATCGGGCCCGAGTAGCCATCCGCAAACAGGCGGTCACGCGGCCGATCAATCTCACATGGAACATCGCTTACGCGATCTCGAGAGCCAAGTTGATGGCTTGACGCGCGACAAGGAACTATTGGAGCGCGAGAACGACAAGGTGTCTCGGGAGAATGAGAAGCTTCTCAGCGTTCTCGGAAGATACCGAGAGAAGTGGGAAGTGCTAAAGGCTGGGGCAAGAGGACGGAGGGAGCGAGGCGCTGCAGGCGGTGTTGGTGGTACGGGTGCGGAGACAAGCAGTGGGGCTGGGGAGACGCAGAATGCAGAAGCTGACTGAATAGTTAGCGCCGTTGTCCCCACGCCGTACGCCGTGACACGAGGTTGCATGGAGCACAGTGGAACAGCACCGCCTTCTGCGCGGCGCTCGATCGGAACGGCTGCGATGTTAATTGGGCGGAGACCAGCGGCCAACGGCAGGCGGGTGGTTCTCGGAGCTCACGCTCGATCTGACGGGGCGGATGCTGGGAGAGGCGGGTTGGACAGGAATTTGCAAGGGCGTTGTGTTGGCGGTTTGGATCGGAAACGCGGCCAGGCAGAATGTAGTCGGATGAATAGAAGTCGATACGGCGGTACAGGGCATGCGGTTGGTGGCAGTGCAATCCGGGTGGCTCGCAGTGCGGCACACGACGTTCCATTCTCAGCGCAGCGTATCGATACAGCCGATGACGTTTGACAGAACCCCTATTTTGAGCCCCAGCTAGGCGCCAAGGCCGCAGGGCTCACAGCCTTGCGCGTCGCGGTCTCCGCCGGCGCGGTTGTTTCGGTGGTAATTTACTCTGGACAAAGCCCGCCCGCTCTGCTTCCCTCATAGCTGCCGCGTCTGCTGCTGCTGCTGCGCTGCCGCCGCCACACACCTCCGACCGACGTTCACTCCTTAGCTGCCGACATGACCAAGTGCCCCTCAGAAGAAGTCGCGGACATCGACGAGGAGGAGATCTGGCGGATCGACGAGCTGGACTTCGGCGTCACCTTCCACACCGTCGCCCAGTAAGCCTCCGCTGCGCCAAGCTCGTTCCCGCAGGGCCGCCTTGCTAACCACCACCGCTCGCAGAATCATTGCCTTCGTCTTCAGCGCCATCGCCATCATCATCAGTCTCGTCCTCATCTTCCAACATGCCACCCACTACTCGCGCCCCCTCGAGCAAAAACAGTACGTTCCGCGCCCGTCCGCCGTCTCCACCTCCACGCCGCACAAGACACGACTGCCGCCCAGTGAATGTTGGCGTGCTTGTCCTCCCGGCCGTCCTGCCCCAGTTTCCGGCCGTCCTGCGTCTGCCCTCGCCGTCTGTTCTGTTTGCACGGCCGTCGAGATTTATTCACCGCTGCTTGCGGTGGTGCGAGGGGCCATGCGCTACCCGACACGACCCTTTGAAGGAGCCCAGGCTAACCTCGCCTTCTCGGTAGAATAATCCGCATTCTCTTGATGATTCCCATATATGCGGCCGTTTCCATGCTGTCGATCCACTATTACCACCACCACACGTACTTCGAGGTCCTCCGCGACTGCTACGAGGCATTCGCCATTTCCAGTTTCTTCACCCTAATGTGCCATTACATTGCGCCGTCCTTGCATGAACAAAAGGAATACTTCAGGGCCATTGAAACCAAGAACTGGGTTTGGCCCGTCACCTGGGGTCAGAAATGCTCTGGAGGAGAAACCAACGGGTGGCTGCGCAAGCCGCGGAGTGGTTTGACCTGGTTCAATGTAGGTTGATCCATGCCTTGTGGACATCACGCGCTTGGCGTGTCAGGACTCCCCCACCCGAACAACGTCTGACAGCTGCACAGATCGTCTGGGTTTCCGTTTTCCAGTACTGCTTCATCCGCGTCCTCTTCACCGTGGTCTCGGTTCTCGCGGAGAAGTATGGCGTGCTATGCGAGGACTCGCTCTCCCCGGAGTTTGCCCACTTTTGGTCCATGTTCTTCGAATCGGTGGCAGTCACGATTGCCATGTACTGCTTGATCCAGTTTTACATCCAGTTGAAGCAGGACCTCGCGCCGCAGAGACCTTTCCTCAAGGTGCTGTGCATCAAGCTGGTTATTTTCTTCTGCTTTTGGCAGAGTACCGCAATCAGCTTTGCCACGAGTGAAGGATGGCTCAAGGAATCGGACTGGCTCGCATACGCAGACATCAAAGTTGGCCTCCCAAACTTGCTCATCTGCTTCGAAATGGCTTTCTTTGCCATCATGCACATTTTTGCATTTTCTTGGAAGCCGTACATTATCAAGAAAGGCGATCCATTCGCGGACCCGCTCGAGAGCGGCATAGGAAAGAAGCCGAAGAGGTACAAGGGCGGATTCTTGGGCATCTTGGCAATTGTGGACGCGTTCAACCCTTGGGATATTGTCAAGGCTTTCGCACGTGGTCTTCGCTGGCTCTTTGTCGGCGTCCGCAACCGCACCAAGGACGTTTCCTATCAGACACGGATCGACGGCGCTGGTAGCCCTAACTCCGTGGAAATGGCCACCCAAAGCCCGCCGTACGGCCGCGCCCGTGCAAACAGCCGTTTCGATACCATGGACGAATTTGACCGGAGGTCCAGCTCGGATATCCACTCGGAACAAGAAAGCCCGTTCGAGCACCCGGATGAGAGGAGGGGAAGGGTAGCGCAGGGCTACATGGCGGCGAGAGACAGGGCCGACAGCGAGACAGCGTACCCCCGAGCAACCGAGCAAGAGGCAGCAACGACAAGGATCGGAAGGGGAAGAAGCCCGACAGAGGCAGGGTACATCAAGCCAATGGACGACCCGGCTGACGACGCGCACCTGCTGTCGAACCAACAGCCACACCCGGCGCGCTTTGTTTGAGAGGCTTCTAGCGCCCATTCTGCTTTTCCATGGGAGTTCCGGCGTTACGAGATCCCTCCGCAACCCGGCGGATCTCCACCTTTTTTTTCCTGGACATGTTTGCGGCACACGGCGAAAAATTCCTTTTTGACACGCAAGTCACGACAGCAGTTTGGCATTCGACATCGTTCGCATCCGCGGTTGGGAAGGTTCCAGCTTCGGCTTTCTTCAGGATATCAACGCCAAAGGGCGAAGTTTGGGGGAGCGATCACTTGGCATAGGCGGGGCCAGTTTGTTACCGAGCCATGTCGATTTTCCTTTTTCTTTTTTTTTTCCGTCGTCTGAGATACCTCGCCATCAGAAATTGCTGATGCTCTTTCATTTGCTCTCCATTTGCACATAACTTGGCATTGCGTACCCAGGATCCGTGCGTCTAAATTTAAGGGACTCCCGTAGGCGCCGCTGTGTTTTTTTTTTTTTTTTTTTAGCGAGCGGAATCTGGGCACATTGTGAACGACACGCATACGCGTATTATAGGACGCGGCCCATCACTCCACGGTCCCCGCCTTTGGGGCGCAGCCTCAATCCTTCATCCCGAGCTCGTCCAAAAAGAGAAGGACTTGCGAAGTGCGCGACTCTCCTTGCATCAGACGCGGACATTGAAAGACCCCCTTTGCGAGAGCACTGGCTGCTTCGTTCAGGGTGAAAGCGGTGGCAAGTCTGTTGTTCCTTACAGCCACTCTGAAACATGACCCATGTATCATGGCCTTGGGTGGATCAGGGATCTATGTAGCATGATCCTTTTCTTTTTTTTTCTTCTTCTCTTGCCACACGGAAGGGCTTGAACATCTATAGCATTATCCTCATCGGAGAGTCTTCCAAGAGTCTCGTTTAGGTAGCTGACTATCTATAGGGGAGGGGGTGCGATATGAGCGCGCACGCGACGCGGCTCGCCTGTAGGCGTTTCCGCAGCGACCACGGAGAATTGCGGGCAGTAGACATATGACGGCGGCTCACTATAGGCAACGCCGTTCCGTCTCTTACGAACAGTTGATCCCAATATACGCTGAACTCCTGCCTGGATATCATCATGTAGCCCTCCAAAACGCACCGACCGTTTGTTTCATCACATGCGGCGGGACTTTCGTTGCTGCCTCAACAAGGGGGGTTTTTTTTTTGTTTGAGTCCTTAAGCACTAGGAAACTTGGCTCAGACGGCATCGTCATAGTCGTCGAAGAAGAATGACCGCTGCAGTGCGTCGTCAAAGCTATGCTGGAACGCCTTCTCAAACGGGTCCGGCGAGAGCCTCTGCTGGCTGTCCTCGGACGCCTCCATGGACCTCGGCGTCTGCGGTTCCGGCTCCTGCTCCTGCTTCGCGGGGGGTTTGCTGACGGATGCGGCGCTGGCGGCGGCGGCGGCGCTGTTGCGGTTCCTCTTGGAGGGCGTCCCAGTCGACTTTTCGATACGGCCGGACAGGACGGAGTGCTGCGACGACGACTCGGCCGTGTTCGCGGCGGGCCGCGGCGCCTTGGGCTTGCGCGGCGTGCTGTTGGTGCTCCGCACCCTGCTGGTCGGCATCTGGCGGCCCTCGTCCTCGGCCTCGCGCTTGAGGTCGTTGGCCATGCGCTTGGCGATGCGAAAGCGGCCCTCGATCGAGTCGTAGGTCGCGCCCTGGCCGAAGTAGTAGGCGACCTTCTTGTAGTCTATGCTGTTGTCGTTGGCGGCGACCAGCGCGGCCAGCAGGCGCTGGTAGCTGTCTTGCGACTTCCAGTCGATTGGCATTATTGCGGACAGCAGGTCGGGATTGGGAGAGATGGTGCTGGCAGCAGAGCAGTAGTCTCTGGCGGGGCTGGCTGCGTGTTTGGGATGGCGGTTGCCACGGTTGCGCGCGTGCGACGCGAGGACGTGTCGGGATAAGCCCAGGGATCACCGTCGTGTGCTGTCTGTGCGCCCGCGGCCCATCTCCAACAGAAGATGATGCCTGAGGCTTGCCATTGAAGCTGCCCTGACGTGCATCTGAGCCGATGAGAGTCTCGAAGCGTCTCCGGCTGTTTCGTGTTCCCGTGTGCCCGGGCATCCGAGCCCTGCGCGGTCATTGCTAGTTAGCTTACCTCGGCCTGGTGTCGGTGAACAGGCCTGCTGTGGAAACCAATTGGGAAGTGATAGAATGCATGTGAAGCGTCTCGGTCATCCTCACCCGTCTGTAGTAGCCATAGTAATCGTAGTAGAAGACTCGTATACCACCTCTCCTCACTCATTCAATACACACTCCCTCAGCCAATTAAGCTGGTTTGGCCGATAACTCGCGCTGTAGTGGCCATTCCTGAACATTCCCGCTTACGCACCTGCAGCGTTACGATGCATTGCACTAAAAGGATAGAATGCCAGACGCGACGGAGATTGTGCATTCTGGACCTTTGATCTGTCTGGTTCAAGCACTGTTTCCTCTGTTCCCGCGATCGACAAGGACATCTCGCCAGTAAAAGATCCTTGTGAATTCAACATTTTGGACCATGTGAAGCCAAGCCCGTCATCTCAGTCCCAACAGCAAGCTCCGACGTTCGAGGATGGGAGCTTTTCCGTTGATTTCCGCTTCGGGCACAACAGCGCACATGGTGCGTGTCGGCTACCGTTTTGCTGGGCGCCGTGGCTACGGCGGGCGACGGAGCCCGAGCCCGCTGCGGCTCCCCTTCACCTCTTACCCCAGAATTCACCGTCGCGCTGCATGCGGAACTCCGACACGCACAAAGCTGCGCAACCCCTCAACCCTCCTTCCGCCCAACTTCATTCGTGACAATTCCTGACCTGGCTGCCATCGGCCATACCCCATCGTATGTTCAGGCGCACGCGCTGAGCAAGTCTTCACCTCTACGCAGTTTCGCCTTCGCCCGAGCACTATCGTCGCGGGTAGCTGCATACCTTTCCCCATGACCGACTACAGCAAACAGACGGTCGCGCAGCTGCGCCAGGTGCTAAAGGAGCGAAGCATCCCGTCGACCGGCCTTACGCGCAAGCAGCAGATCATTGAGAAGCTTCAAGAACACGACGCTGCTGCCGCCGCCGAGAACGAAGACGCGTCCGCTACTGAAGCCACGCCTGTCGCAGAGGAGCCCGAATCTGCGACCGAACCCCAGGACCCATCGTCTGCGTCGGACAATGCTGCTGAACCCGCTCCGACGACGGCGCCGGAACAGCAGGATGACGCGCTGCCGTCACAGCCTGCGGAGGATGCCACCATAGATAAAGTGTCAGGAGATGTCGCGCCACAGACCGAGCCCCCAGTGGCGCTTCCACACCATGAGGCCGTCCAGCCTGCTGAAGCAACCCCGTCTGCGGACGGCGTTGCAGGTCACGATTTCCAGGAAGATGCGCCTGCGCCTGCGCCGGCGGAGCAGGAATACGCGACCCCACGCCCTACGACGGCCAATACATCCGTCTCGCAGACGCCAATCCCAACCCATGAACAACGTTCTCCAACGCCGGTGGCGGAGCCGCGCGCTTCGACCGCAGACTCGTCACGGCTTGGATCGCCGGAGTTGAAAGAGGATTCCAGGAAAAGAAAGAGGCGTAGCCTCACGCCACCAATTCCGCCAGAGGAGGCCGTGAGGAAGCGTATGAAGCAAGATGAGGACAATGCACCTGTAGTGCATCTTCACGAGGATGCCGATGCTCCGGAACCGAAAACGAAAGATGCTGTGATGGAGGAAGCTGACGCGCCGGTCGACGCGGAGGCTGCGAAGACCGTGCTACCAGCAAGAACGAGCGATCACGTGGTAGATGTCACGGGCTCGAAGGCAGCGGAGGATTTGAAAGAATCTGAAAGCGAACATCGAAATGACCCAGGCGAAGGAGAGCGCGGCCAGCAGGTCCTAGAGGAAAGGGAAGAGCAAAGGACGGGCACCAGACTGCCAGAGGAGTCGACAACAGTACGTCGGCCTTCGACGTCGCACAAGACGGAAAAGGAAGGACGCTTTAAATCTGCACTGGAAGATGCCACTTCTGCGCCTGCTGGTAGTGGCCCAACGGAGACTGGCTCGGCACCCGAGGACGATGACCGCCCGATCTCGCCTGCCCTACATGCCGCAACCCGCGGCCTCTACATTCGCGGATTCATGCGACCGCTCCAATTGCCTGCGCTTAAGAAACATCTCATTTCTCTGGCCTCCCCGCCCTCTACGTCCGAACCGGACACCGATGTTTTGGAGCTTTTCCACCTGGATCCCATCCGTACACATGTCCTGGCTTTGTTCAACTCAGTCTCAGCTGCTGCGCGAGTAAGAAGTGCTCTCCACGGTGCGGTTTGGCCAGTCGAACGGACTAGGAAAGCCTTATGGGCAGACTTCATCCCTGATGAGAAGGTCGGCGAATGGATTGACTATGAAGAGAAGGAAGGCGGCGGCCGCATGGGAAAACGATGGGAAGTTGTCTACGAGCCCAATGATGGAGATTCTAGCGTCAGGGCTGAGCTGAGGGAAGTCGGCGCAACTGGACCGCGACCGCCCGTGGGAGGTTCTGGGAGCGCGAGCTCCCCCACTGCGTCAAGCGCTCCCGCGAAGAAGCTGCCTACCGGCCCAGCGGCCGAGAAGTCGTTTTTGGCGTTGGACAAGCTGTTCCGCTCTACGACGGCAAAACCGAAGCTCTATTTCTTGCCCGTCGAGAAGGACATCGCTGAGAAGCGCCTAGACGAGCTTGATCGCTGCACCAGTAGAGATTGGAAGCCCAGTGACGCTGCTGGCGGCACAGAGCGGAGGTACACATTCGAGAACGGAAACGTCCTTGTCGACGCTGGCCCGGACGCAGAGACGTTCGATGGTGTGAGGGGCCGCGGTCGCGTGCAATACAGAGGCGCGTTCGGTCCTGGTGTTGGAGGTGGAGGCGGGCCTGGCGGAAGGCCCCGTGATAGAGGTTGGGGTGTCCAACACGGTATGGGTGGGCCGCCAGATCCTGGTAGGTGGAGGAGGTAGGACGCGCTCGAGGCTCAGTCGTGAGCAATATATTTTGGCCATATCCTAGGACACAGGAGGCTTGTATAGGACTGTAAGATATTAACTTGGACAATGCGTTCAAGAGTACTTCATATCTCCAACGGAAGCTACCTGTCATGTAGATATATATTTTACGAGCTCTGAGCGGTTTGCATCGTTGGTCACTTCTTTTGTTGCTGAAGCTGTCACGCATCTAATCTTATCTACGCATACATGACTCAAAACCCGGTGACGTACGAGGGGACGCCGCTCACCGCGCCCCATCGGTCGGGCACTGCAAGCGCGCCGCCTCAAACCTCATAAAAACTCAATATCCTCAAGCGTCGCCTTGCACACCTGGCCGAACCCAACAATGGCGCACAAGGAAGAACATCCGCTGCTGCAGAAGCCACTTTATGGTACCTAATCCCAGCGCAACTTCACCCCGCGCATTAGCCCCGCCAGCTAACATTTGGTGACAACCAGTCTTCGACCTCCCCAAGGACATTGTCGACACCCTCAGCGTGAAGGAGCAAAGCGCCGCCGCCCTCACCGCCGCCGCCACCACCACTGCGGGCATCGACGGCGCAAGCCCCGAAAAGAACGCCGCCGCCGCCGCCGCCGCCGACGAGAAGGATGGAGGAGACGACGACGACACGGCGCCGACGGCAGCGGTGTCGACGTCCTGCGGGCTCTGCGGCCTGACGTTCGCGAGCCTGGCGGAGCAGCGCGGACACGTGCGGTCGGACCTGCACGGCTACAACCTCAAGCAGAAGATGCGCGGGGCGGCGCCCGTGGGCGAGGCCGAGTTCGAGCGGCTGGTGGGCGAGCTGGACGAGAGCATCTCCGGGTCCGAGAGCAGCAGCAGCGGCGGCGGCGGCGAATCGGACGAGGAGGAGAACGCGAAGGGCGGCGGCGGCGGCGGGGGGGGGGACACGACGTTGAGCGCGCTGCTGAAGAAACAGGCGAGGATTGCGGATGCGAGCGGGGCGGGGGAGGCGGTGGTGGTGGCCGAGGCGAGGAAGAGGAAGAGGGGCGCGGGAAAGCCGCCGATGCTGTGGTTCACGAGCGCGAGCTTGCCCGCGGAGGTCAACTTGGGCGTGTATCGCGCCATCTTGTCGGATGCGGAGCAGGAGGATGGGAAGAGCCTGGCCGAGACGATACGGAAGAAGCAGCTTCCGCCGCAGAAGACGGTTGCGAAGCGGGAAGAGGGTGATGAGGGAGACGAGGGAGGCGTGAAGCTGCTGGTGACGCCGGAGATCGGGCCGCATTACTTCCTCTGCATGATCGGCGGTGGGCACTTTGCTGCTATGATCGTGGCGCTTGCGCCGAAGACGGGGAAGAAGCATACGGGGCAGAGTGAGCGGCAGGCCACGGTGGTGGCGCACAAGACCTTCCATCGGTATACGACGAGACGCAAGCAGGGCGGTTCGCAGTCGGCGAACGATGCTGCGAAGGGTGCTGCCCACTCGGCCGGTTCATCGTTGAGAAGATACAACGAGGCGGCGCTGACGTCGGAGGTGCGAGCTCTGTTGTCGGAATGGAAAGACATGATTGACACGGCCGACTTGCTCTTCATCCGCGCTACAGGCAGTACGAACCGTCGAACCCTGTACGGACCTTACGATGGACAAATACTACGGCTCAACGATCCTCGCATTCGAGGGTTTCCTTTCAGCACTAGGCGCGCCACACAGTCTGAGCTGATGCGCTCTTTTGTCGAGCTCACGCGTGTAAAAGTCAGCCGTGTCGACGAGGCCGCCCTCGCCGCAGCAGCTGAAGCAACAGCGGCGGCAGCGGCAGCCACGCCTCCCCGCACCTCGACGCCTTCCAAACCTTCGAAACCGAAGCCCACGCCGGAAGAGGAGGAAGCCCTCCTCCACTCCTCTCAGCTCCAGGCGCTGATCCGCCGCTCCAAGGCCCCCGCACTGGTGTCCTACATCCAGAGCAACAACCTGTCTCCCAACTTCCGCTTCCACCCGCTCGACACGGACAAGAACTACCACGCCCCCACGCCGCTCCACCTGGCCGCACACCTGAACGCGCCGGTGCTGGTGCTCGCGCTGCTCACCAAAGCAAAGGCCGACCCGGCCGTGGCCAACCTGGACGAGAAGACGCCGTTCGAGCTCGCCGGCGACCGCGCCACCCGCGACGCGTTCCGCATCGCGCGCCACGAGCTGGGCGACGCGGCGGCCGACTGGGCCGCCGCGCGCGTGCCGGCCGGCGTGAGCAGGGCCGAGGTGGAGAGGGCCAGCGGCGCCGAGAAGGCCGAGGAGGCGGCGCGGGAGGCGGAGCGGCGGAAGACGGAGACGGAACGGCTGCGGCGCGAGGAGGAGCAGAGGGAGCGGGAGCGGCGCGAGAAGCGGGTGGGAAAGGGGAAGGCCTTGGGCGGTGGGTTGACGGAGAAGACGGCGGGCGAGAAGAGGGAGGAGGAGGCGAGGGGGTTGACGCCTGAGATGCGGATGAGGCTGGAAAGGGAGAGGAGGGCGAGGGCGGCGGAGGAGAGACTGAAGAGAATGCAAGGTGGGCGATGAGGTTGGGGCGGCGCTCAGGGCCACGAGGAAAGAGTTATAAACCTAGACGGATCAGTGGGAGGGTAATCTCACTTAGGGACACGGGTTTTCCACATTTTAGAACGTCTAGCATCCCTCAAGAATGGCAGTGCTCAGAGTTGGTTGATCCTCTTCCACCCCCTTAAACTCGCAACTGCTTCAAAGGACTCAATGACAGAGCAAGCGAAAGCAATGTACGCTGGCCATTTGTTTCAGCTACAGCTTTTGGTGGCCGGCGTGAGAGCTCGTTGGAGAAACCATGGAGCACCCAGCCCATACATGATAGCACATGCTCTGGCGATGCCACCTTTCCAACTCAACACGCTGTATCTCATCCAAGATTGGCTTCAAGCGCAGCACACAGCAAGGCTCAAGTTTGTCATTGCGTCGGAGATGATGCTACCCTAGCTCAGATAATAATCTGCGACCTCATCGCCGTACCACTTCCGCCCCACGTCTTCATGACTGCGGATCCATTTCCTCAACTGCGACTCACCCAAGGCATCCCAGCGCGGGTCCAGGAAAGCCGACACCGCGCCCGTGCCGCTCGCGCCACCGTCCGCGCCACTACTCGCAACGGCAGCAGCACCGACTCCTCCTCCCCCGCTGCCGTAAGCACCATCCCCGCCACGCGCCGCCCCCCGCAAGCGCCGCACCGACTCCGGGATGTAGGAGCGGATGCGCGACGCCGTCATGTCCAGCGGCAGGCCCTGGAAGAAGGGGACGGAGTAGCGGGGCGGCGGCGGCGGCGACGACGGCGACGACGGCGACGAGGCGGGAGCGGGAGCGGGTGCCATGACGACGCGGTGCACCGTGGCGCGGACGGCGCCCTCGGTCGCGGCCTCGAAGGCGTTGCCGAAGTTGACGACGAAGGTGCCCGGCACGGGCGTCGCGGGGATCCACGTCTGGCCGTCGGCGCCGAGGACCTCGAGCCCGGCGCCGGTTTGGCGGTCGCCGACCTGGAGGAGGAAGGTCAGCCAGCCGCTGGAATCCTTGTGCGGGCCGACGCCCTGGCCGCCGGCGGAGTCCTCTGAGGCGGGCGAGGGGGGGTATTTGAGGAGCTTGATGCGGTGCTGTGGGGGGAGGTAGGGTGGCTTGGCGGAGGCGGAGGTATTGGTGGTGGTGGTGGTGGTGGTGCTGCTGCCGACAGCCCTCGCGTCTGGGGCCTGGAAGAAGTGGTCGAAGGTTCCGATGGGGATGTCGAAGGCTTCTTCTACGAGGTGGACGAAGCGATAGGAAAGCTCCTGCACGGCATCGTGGTAGGCAGTCAAGGCTTTCCTGAAGCCTGGGAGTAGTTCCTCCGGTGGCCATTGATTGGGACCACGGAGGCGCCAGTAGAGCTGCGAGAAGTCACGGCTGTCGTCGGGTTGGTCTGGAGCATACGTTCCGTTGGTGGTGGTGACCGACTTGCGCTCGTGATACACGACTGGGAGCTCTGTTGCGTAGTCAAACTGTTCGCGGAGATCCTTTTTCCCAAGGGTTGTCTCTTCAGCGAAGCCGCTGTAGCCGAGGAAGTGCGGGGAGTGGAGCTTGGAGAGACTGGATTTGATATGGTCGGGAAGATCGAAGAGCGCGGGAAGTTTGTCTGTTAGCTCGGTTATGACATGTTCCTCGATGCCGTGGTTCTTAATGTACAGGAAGCCAATGTTGAAAAGAGCATCGTGCAGCTGGGCAAGCAGAGCCGGACGCTTTGCTGGGTCGTCGGCAAGACTAAGATCGAGGATTGGTAGGAACGAAGGGACAGACGGAGACATTGTACGGAATTGCGTGAAAGTTAGTTTAACTCAACATGTCAGGAGTGGCAGCAAGACCAGACGGACGGCTAGGTACGAAAGAAGTATGCCAAGATGACGTGCTTGGAGGGGGAGCTGCGTCGACCAACCAGACAGGTGACGAGCTTCGTGCTGTGTACGCCTGTGCCAGCCCCAGCACACACCATGCTCAGCGCATTACTTGGAGAACCCGCGAGGTCTCTACCAACGGTCAAGTCGATCGTCGAGAGAGGAAGGCGTGGTTCAAGACGCCAAACCTGTTCGGGCGATGATCCGGCTGGCCAGCAGGGTGTCTTAACGGCGTGGTGCTACTCAACAGGTCGGCGCGCCAAGTGACCAGGCGCGGTGTCGGAGTTGGTGACGGTGACTCTTGCAAGCCAACACAGTACTTAGTCCACGGGTGATGATGTCAGTGGTTGGACGTCAGGCGGCCGGGTCACTCCGACACTCACGTGCGGCAACTTTCCTATCTTATCGCCTCACCGCCCGCGCTGCGTCCAAGGCAGCTGCCTCGCCCAACCACTACCTCTCCCGCTCCTCTCCCCTCCAAAGGGCTCTACGCGCGAAGCTCCATCCTAGACCCACGTTCCCGTTCTTTAGGGAGCGATCCGAACCGACTTGCCGCAACAACCTCGCTCGACCGGTCGGACAAAGCGACCAACTCGAATCCCCAACCGAACCACCCCGCACCCGCGCCCCACAACAGCACTGCCCACCATGAACTACCTCCGCAGCACGCTGAACACGCTGCGCGATACCTATGCACCCGTATCCCACACCTCGACCTTCCGCCAAACCGGCCAGATAACACCCGAGGAGTTCGTTGCCGCCGGCGACTTCCTTGTCTACAAGTTCCCCTCTTGGTCCTGGGCCGACGCCTCGCACCCGTCCAAGCGCGTGAGCTACTTGCCTGAGGGCAAGCAGTACTTGGTCACCCGTGGTGTTCCTTGCCACCGCCGCTTGGACGACAACTTCGCCGGCGACGGCGGAGACGAGGGCACTGTCGTTGGTGATGGCTTCGCCGGTGGCGCCGGTGATGACGGAGATGACGGCTGGCTGAGGACCGGCGGTGGCGGCAATATGGGCGCGAGCCAGGAGCGCGCAGCCAGGGACGTGCGGACTGTCGACGACAAGGGCGAAGTCAGTGATGCCCCCGAGACGGACGACGAAATCCCGGATATGGAAGATGAGGAGGACGACGAGGAGGCCATCATCCGCGACACCAAGGCTGGCTCTGGTACCGCTGCGTAAGTTTCCCCCCCGCGTCTTCAACAAGCGCCCTGTTGTAGCTAAAACAGCTCATAGTCCTCTCCGCACGTACACGCTTTACATCATGTACACGCCCTACTACCGTACGCCGCGCCTTTACCTGTCCGGCTACCTGTCTCCCTCGGAGCCACTCCCGCCTCACCTGATGATGGAGGATATCGTCGGCGACTACAAGGACAAGACGGTGACGCTGGAGGACTTTCCTTTCCTTGACGTGGGCATCAAAATGGCCTCGGTGCACCCTTGCAAGCACGCTTCTGTCATGAAGGTGCTTCTTGACCGTGCTGACGCTGCGCTCAAGCTACGTGTGGCAAAGATGAAGGCCGGTCAGGATGTCAGCAAAGGCCATGGTGCCGAACTGGGCATGGAGGGACTTGCAGAACAGCTGGAAGGCGTGCAAATCGGCGACAAGAAGGATGACAAGAAGGGTGATGGCGACGAATGGGAGGTTCTGGACCAGACATCTGCGCCCGAGGATGACGTTGCCATCCGGGTTGACCAGTATCTGGTCGTGTTCTTGAAGTTCATGGCCAGCGTCACTCCGGGTATCGAGCACGACTTCACCATGGGCGTATGAGTGGCAACAATTCCCACTCATAGTACCACGGACTATTCCATCATTTGTACTTTTCGCGAACGAACGTAGGGGCTCGGTACCGGCGTTCTTGACTACTTGCACTTTAGCTACATTACGAAGGCGCTTAATTGAGATGCTGCGCGAGGGTTGGATACTGGGCGTTTGGACAGGCGCAGCAAAGGTAGAGACACTGTTGGGGACCCCTCGTACCTTTCTCTCTACTATACCAAAGGCTTGCGACCAGATAGACTCATCATTCAAATGAATAGGAAATGCTAGTGATTTGGATCAAGACCCTGTGGAGAAGTATTAAGGAAAGATGGGTGTAGTTTGCTAACGAATGATATGCCTACCCCACGACTAGGTGGGGATTGGGTGAGGGTGAAAAAAGGGCTGGGCCAGAACGGAATCCCCGCCAAACACATCACTTTCCGAAAACAACCTTGTAGCTTCGTAATCTTCATCCCACATGAACAACATGTCATCGGTCCGCCACTTTCATTTGCTCTCCTCCTTATCTTACCCCTTCCTTCCTCTCGTCCCCCACCCCACCCCCTCCAGACCTTCATCTCTTCAGCTTCCCGTCCTCCGTCCTCCGTCCTCCGTCCTCCGTCCTCCGTCCTCCCTTCCCTCCCGTTTCCCTCCCCTCCCCTTCCCTTTCACCACTGATAAATCCACCTCGCCGGCCTCTGCTGCACCTGCACCTCCTCCCCCTCCCGCAACAGCTCATGGTCATCACCATCACCGCCGCCGCCCACCACACCCCGCTTGCCCCAACGCCGCGCCCTCATCATGGCGGCGCCGCCGTTGCCCGCGGTGGCGATCCTGCCGCCCAGCACCGCGCTGATGAAGTCCTTGACGGCATGCACGTGCTGGACGACGGCGAGCCCCTCGACCGAGTCTTCCGCCAGCCCGGCGTGCGCCTCGACGTCGTCGCGGGGGTGGAGGAGCGCGTAGCGGCCCGGCGACACTTCGCCGTCGGCGTCGATGTGGCGGCGCACGAGGATGGAGGCCGTCGTGTGGCCCGAGTGCGGGAAGCGGGCGGCGATGTCGTGCTGTTTTGGGGGAAGGGGGCGGGTTAGGGTCGGTTTGGTTGAGGGTTTGAGGGAGGGGAGGGAGGGGAGGGAGCGGGCTGCGACGGAGGAGCTGGCTGGGAAAACTCACCTCGGAAACGCCGCGCGCGCGTAGGGCATCGACCTCGGCTTCGCTTGCTGGAGCGGGGAACGCGGCGACGCTGACTGCGGCGGCGAGAAGGATGGTGGCGATGGGATACTTCATCGTGGGTTCTTGCTCGTGGCTGAGAAGAGAATGTAGTGAGGTATCGTGTGTTGATTGGGGACCTTTTCCCGGGAAAACTCGACACGGTCGATATCAAGATTTTGGTTGTCGAAGGAAGGATTTGGTGCTCGGGATGATAGTGTGCGATGTTGTTGTTGAGCGAACGTAGGACCAGCGAGCGTATACAAATGGTAAGTGATGACTAGGGAACGGAGAGACGAAGGCAGAGCGTGCGTGCTCCAGCTGCCTTTCAACCACGTCGTCTGGCGCTCAAGAAGCACAACGACGGGTGCGAGTCCCTTATACCCTCATTTTCTGCCTCTCTTTCAAACAAGACGCCTAGCCCTTGGTCCTGTTCTCGTGAGTCGGCGGCGCTCCCCTCGCGTCGCCATCGCACGACACACGAACAAGGCGCATCAAAGGAATTGAAGAAGAGAGCAGAAAGGTCAAAAAGGGGGCGAAGAGGAGCAGAGAGGGTGTCGTGTGTCTTCTGCAAGGAACAGCCGTTTGGTTTCTTTTGGCTGACTTATCTCAAAAGCCACCCTACGCTTATGTCATGAACAGGGTTAGATTGTTCTTCTTTTGGCTCCGATAGCAGCATCGGAGCATGACCAAAGTGAGACGCGTCGCGTCGTCGCAGCGCGTCTTTTGGCACGTGAAACGAGGGGACGCTGGAGAAGGGAAGGGCGCCGATGCAAGGAGTAAAATACACGCGCACAAAAAACATACCGCTGTGCCGCGAACACCAGTAAGGATCCTCGAGTCAAGAAATAGTCTTTCCAACGATGTGCTGAAAGAAGTGCTGGGAGAATCTCGAACTGAAGAACCGGCCTCTGAAAGCTTCACTTGGTGCATGTAAAATTAACCGGACATACCTATGTCTTCGCAGCCCCGGGGTGGATCTTGCGCAAACGGCGGAAGAAGTCGACCTAAAATCCCGAGGAATGTGGAATTGCCACACCTAAAAATTCCTGGGAGCTCCCTTTCGTACATCCATGTCGATCGACCATCCGATTCACCCCGATATGCGTTTCAAGGCATCAATCATCGTAGTCACACGCAGCAGGGACAGGGTCGAGATGCAAAGGGCCCGTTGATGTAGGTTTACGGTAGGCCACATGTGACCAAAGGAGGGACAGACACCTCGAGCACGATCCGTCGCCGCAATACCATAGCCCTTCTTTCCTAATGCGCCTTTCCTCCGTCTAATTGGCTTTTCCCAACACCCATAAGTCCAGAACACAACTTCCCCAACACCCTTTTGTAGCCCCAGCTAGTCGTTCACGTCGTTGAATAGGAACCGTATCGTCGTAGAACCAGCCGCCTGAGAGACTTGGACCAAGTCGTAATGGATATAGACTGACGCTGAAACACGAGGAGTCCTCCCGCCGAACATGATAGTTCGGCTTCAATACTTGCAAGAAAGATTAAAAGTCTTCGAAGTCTGCCAGGTTCCTTCTGGGCATTTCTCCTATCGGGGCACCAAAGTTGTAGCTCCGTTTAGTCTTGAGTCTAATTCCAGGAACTTGCGGTTCAGCTGAGCCTGGTCCCTCATCCTCTCCTGCTGGGTCGACCGGCAAAGACGCTGTAGTGTCGAGCGGGTCAACTTCGGAGTCGCTGGTTTCAGAAGGAGGAACTCCTTGCAAGACGGCGGGCCGCTGCTCCTCGGGGTGTTCACTGAGGTTTGCGAGCCTCTCCTGCAAGGCATCCAACATGCTTGACGCCTCGGACTGGTCGGGACGAGGTGGAAGGAAAAGGGGCTCCTGCATGGCCGGATCTTCGTCGTCTTCGCTTATTTCACCCGATTCACTCTGGACTGCGACTTCGTCCTCCACGGGAATAATTGGCGGTGGAACGGCCTTGGGAGTCTTGTCGCCCGGGGTGGTTTCCATGCTGAAAGAACCAGCTCCTGGTGTGTGCCCTGCATGCCGCCGGTACGACTCGGGCGCCGGTGAAAGATGGGCGATCGTGGACACTGGTGACGGCGGCTCTTCCTCGATGTTTCCCATACGCGCACTGCCACCGACTACCAGGTATTAGTTAGTGATGACTCGGAGCTAAATCTTTCGACTAACCTGTAGCCATGCCGTCGAAGCCGTGGTGGGTGACGGTGAACCTCGCCGGCTGGAACTGGAAGCCCGAAAGGCCAGGATGAGTTTGCGGAGCGTGTTGGCGTGACAAGGCGCCCTGGGTGGGCGGGCTCACGGAGCAGCCGCTCTGAGCGACCACAGGCGGGCTTTTAACGGGAGACACTCTGCTGCCGCCGGCTGAGGGCGGAGAGACAATGTGGCTGTGGAAGCTGTTGGGATCACCGAGGGCTAGCTCGGCCTGCTTCAGCTTGGTTGCCATGACGAGCATTTCCTGCTGCTTCGAATCCAGCGTGGCTCGCAGGCGGGCAATATCCTGCTGGTATAGATGGCGCTCTTGCTCCCACACCCGCCGTTCATTTTCAAAGCTACTACGCGCGCTAGCCAGCAGCTTTCTCCACTCGTCAGAGGCGGCAGAGGCCATGGTGTCGGGGTGGAGCACGGAGCCTGGGGCAACTTGGGCAACGCCATGGTCGGGCGGCGTAAGCGGGGATGCGACGCGGTTCGTGCCGTTGCGCGAGCTCTGGCCGGAGAGCGGGAGGGGGCTCGCCGAGGGGACGCTCTCGCGAGCAGGCACCGAGGTGGGTATCATGGCGGGATAGGAGATGACGGGCGGCGGCAGGCAGGAGAAGGGGAAATACAGAGCGTCGTTCGGGGTGGGCTCAAAGGCCTGGGGCGGCGAGCGAGTCTTCCGCGGGCGGGCGAGCGGTGTGCCGTTCGCTGTGTGGAGTCGAAGTCAGCGTCGTCGGCTTGGGCGTCGGGCTGGGGGGTCATCACCGTGGGCTGCGAGCGGCATGGCGTGGGCGCGCGGCGGTGCGTGTCGGCTGTCTAGAGAATGCAAGCGGGTCATGGCCGGGCGGGTCGGGGACTGGTTGGGATAGGCTCGCTGTCAGAGGCGTGGCAGGCCAGGCATGACGCAGCATGCCACACAGGACCCTGCCCATTTGCAAGAGTATGTGCTAGATTCCGATTCGGCTGGCGGCCGGTTCCTGCAGATCCAGGCCTTGGCGCAGCAGGGCGGAACGTGGGACAGGCGTGCAGGCAGGCGTGCAGCCTTCTGTGCCTGCGTTTCTGCTCCTCTACTGCCGCCGTGCCGCAGCCCCCCAGGGTCCGCCGCCCGCCCGCCCGTCTGTCTTCGAGCGCTGGCGCATGATGCAATCCCGCGCCCTCGCCCTGTCCACCAAGCCGGGCGCACGCCTGCGATACTCCACCCTCCCCGCATCGCCTGAACACGGGCCCTTCTCCACCACGGTGCTCGTGTTCCTCAACGGCTTGCTGCTGCCCCGATCCTCGTGGATCGCCGCCATCGAGACCCTTGTTGCGACCCGCTCGCGCCAGCAGCGGCCAGTCCCGCACCTTCTGACGTACGACCGCTATGGCCAGGGCGACTCTGACCCGGATCCTGCTGATGATCCGCGCTCGCTCTACGGCCATGACGCATCCGCAGTCGTCACTGACCTGCATCGCTTCTTGGTAGAGGCCTGCCATGCTGCCTTGGCCGCGACCCTGGACGACATGTCGGTGGTGTTCGTCGCCAATTCCATCGGGTGCCCTCTTGCGCGCCTCTACGCCGCAGAACACCCCGGCCGCGTTGCCGCCTACTTGTTTCTCGACTCCATGATGGCCAACACCGACTTCGTGTCGCTTTTCCCCGATCCAGATGTCCCAGCCAGCCTCCCTGCTGGAATCACCGTTGACGACCTTCGCAAGGCGAGGGAAGGGTACAGGCGCATGTTCCATCCGACAGTCCCTAATCCAGAGCATTTCGACAGACGCAACCTCCCAGCCCTGCTGCCGGAAGCAGGCAGGCCTCAGTTGCCCGCCGGTCCCAAGAGCGAAGATCCGTATCTGATCATTGTAGGCCACGATCCAGACGAGTTTGCGGAGCAGGGCGAGACGGTATTTCCCATCTCTTCTATCGCTTGCATACCCGTGCCCCGGATTGTGTGATGTCCTCCAAAAGCATCACGAAGCATTGTCAAGTTTTCTTCAACTGCTTCACAGCTAATCTTCCATCTCAGGGAAGCCTGCACGTGCCCAAGGCACTGACAAACGCTTACATCAATCCTCCTTGGCAGGCCTATAACAATGAGCTGGTCCAACTTGCCCCCGACGACGGTCGCGTGAAAAGACCGGTGATTGCTGACAAATGCGGCCACTTCATTCAAAGAGATGGCCCCGAGTTTGTCGCCGAACAGCTTGGGGAATTGTTGGACAGACTTGGGTGAAACCTCACGAGATGCTAAAGATAGATTATCAATCAACATCCCAGTTGAAGATGTGCAAATCACGAACTCCAAGATGGCAGCCATCTCGCGTGATCTAGAGTTTTGCTTTCTTGAATGCACGGTCAGCATAGAACCTCTGTTGATCATGTATGTTGAAGACTATGGGGAGGCTGAACTGTGTGTTGGTTTAGAGTCTTTCAGATCATGGACCGAATGACACCAGACCAAGCCAAGTCAGTAATTTTAGCTAGACCCAATGAACGTCGCCCATCATTTAAGACTGCGTCGTCATTCGGTGGCTATCTCAAATCGATGGTGAGCTTGTCCAGCATGTGTGAAATTCTGCGTTGTTCGCTCTCGCGATGGAGGGAGCGTTACACTGGCCATGCAAGAGCACGGGAGAGAAGGTTATGCCGAGTGACCTAGCAAAGCGAGATATATGGGACCGCAACGGCAGGGCCTGAACAGGCAGTTGCGGGTGGTGGTGGATCGCCGCTTGCTTTTCAGGGTTAGACCAAGATCCGGGTCCACGGTAGGATGCATTGCATCCCTCAAGGCTGCTCCGCGACAGGCGCTAGCCTAGGGCTGTACTGTACACCGTTCACTAAAAGTCATCCTCTCATTTTCTTGTTGGCAATGCCGAACCGAAGCGTAATGAACGCCGCTTCACCAATCAGACGAAGTGCTGTCGGGAAAAGAAGGTGACAGTAGTAGCCCAAATGAATGAAAATTGCGGGGAAAGTGGAATGATAAGTCGAGAGTATCCTTGAGCCGGCGCGTTATACGGTCTCGGCGTTAACGTATATTGAGATATGGCGGACTCTATGCATTGGCCTTGAGTAGATGAGTAAGCTCCCAGTCCCGAGCGAGAGGCTCAGTTGCAGCAGATAGATGGGATTGTACATGTAGGAAGACGTGGTAACAAGCCGCATTTTCTTCTTCCCAAATGGATCTTGCCTCTGGGTTCTTGGGATGCGGCTAGGGCCCGAACTTCGAAGGCAAGGTTGCTAATCGACGATCCGAGCCAGTCCACTGGGCAGGCTAGTGGTGCCATTTGATCAACACTCGATCAAGAGGATCGACGGGTGAGGGAGTGAGGTGGCCGAACATGAAGACAGGGTGACAACATCAGGGTCGCTCAGCAGGGGTGGTGATTGGCGACGGGCGCACAGCCATGCCGCAGCCGGTGGCGAACGGGGCCGGCTGTGGCCTGGAACGGCCCTATGGCCGGAATGCACTCGGGACGGAAGGCATGCATTCGTGCAGGCCGAGGCGGAGGTACATAGTAACGATCTGGACTGGGCTGAGCCGGACCGGCGCCGCCCAAAACGGCCGTTGGACAACGCTTGATGATGAGTGCCGCGTTCTGCTCCACCACCAAGCAGTCGGCGGGCGATGCCTCAAGGGAAACCGGAAACCTGCTGTGGCATATTTACCGCCCTGGCAGGCGCGGCCGGGCGGGCGTGAGGCCGTCTGATTGGACCGGAAGTGTCATCCGGGCAGAACTCGTCACGGCCGAGGTGGAGTCCATAGCTACCTCCCCGGCAGCGCACAGCGGCTTCTCCCAGGTCGCGCTTGCCGCTTGGGAGCTCTGCTGGGGATGCGCACCTCTGTCGTTCTGGGCTGCGCCTGCCGCCATTGGCTGTGCGGCCGTCTGCTCCGGATACGGCGCCCGCAGGCGGTGCAGGGTAGCAAGAGAACGACGTAGTGAAGGTGAAATTGCAGACGGCGGCCGATGGCCGTGCCGAGCTGATTGGCTTGCGGCGACGCAGCAGGAGCCCAGCTCTAAACATCGGGGACGAGGACATCCTGCCGGCTTCGCGAAACCTCTCCGCGCAGGCCTGTAAGTAGCGCGCTGTGGGCAGAGGCAATCTGGAACTCATTGCCGACCTGCCACGCCCCTACCGCATGCGCCACAACGCCGAGGCAGCACCTTCTACCACCCGACGCCACTCTCGTCAAAGACTCGCGCCGCCCGCTGCGTCGGCCGCCGTTGTTCGCTCGCGCTGGGGCGCTGGACCCCCACGAAAGCTCCGTCTGCTGGCCGGGAGGCGCGCTCTCCAGCCTCACAGCGGCCTCTCCATCGCTCCCAGCACCCAAATCCATCGCCCGGCTTCGCTGGCCGCATGACAGCCTGCGCAAAAGACCATGAGTGTCCCCTCGCCACGTGCTGCGGGCGGCCCGTCGCCTCCTGACCACCCGTCCGGGAGCTCGATGCGTCGAGATCGTGCATCCATTGCCGCCCAAGCCTGCGAGACCTGCCGGGTCCGCAAGTCCAAATGTGACGAACGCAGGCCGAAGTGTGGCCTTTGCCAGCGCGTGGGAGCCGAATGCCGCTACAGAGACCCGCTGCCCACCAAGTAGGTTGTTCGCGCGAGCTGTGCGTCGTTGGTTGCGCCGTCCGCGACGCATGCAAGTCCGTGGGCTGACTGTATCCAGGAAGGACAAGACCATGGTGTTCATGCTTGATGCCATCCAGCGTATCGAGGCCAAGGTGGACCATATAGGCAGGACGGTTGATCCGGAAAGTGGTGCGTATGAAGCCGGCCCGTACACAACCCCGCCCTCCGGCCGTCTGCCTTCGATCAGCAGCGTTTCGATGTTGGTGCAGGATCAACCGCTTCGGGATCAGGACAACCCGCCTCTTCGGCAATCTCAAGCCCAGAGCCCATTGGACATGACTCGATCGGTAGGGAACCGGTCCCCAGACGCCCATATCTCTTCATCGCACAAGGTCCTCCTTTGGCCGTTCATCCACGCCCGCCTTGCCGAATTCGATGTGGACGTGGCAGAGGACCTCCATGTCCTCACCCAAGAAGGCACGCCGTGGTTTCTGCACCACGAGCTGCACAGGCACCCAGATCCCTTGCCCTGCGACGCACGCCTGGAGGCAGAGCCAGCTCCCAGTATCTTAGCTACCAACGCCGCGAACAGAGTGCGATTTCCGAAACTCACCTACGAGGAAATGAAGACGTACACTGCCCAGTACTTCAACACGTTCAACATGCTATACCTGATCCTCGACCGCCAGCATTTCACCGATGTCACGCTGCCAAGAGTTGCCAACCACGGGTTCGGAGACGGCGATTACGATTCGATAATTTCCCTGCTGGTCTTTGCCCTGGGTCAGGTGGCCCTAGACGGAACATGGTCGGCGCCGGTGGACAACGGGATGCCGTTTGAAAGCGGCGTGAGAGGGGGCACACATGATAGACCACCGGGGCTTGATATCTTCAACGAGGCTCGTCGGCGGTATGGCTTCGTAGCACATCAAAGCTCGATCGAATCTATCCAGATCACCCTACTATTCGCGTAAGTAAACAGACGGCATCGGAGAAGTAGGATATATTCTGAACTGCTCAAACCTTAGAGTGTATTACGAGTCTTGCGGCAGACACCTCGTAAGTCTACTGGTCTTTGATTCGGCACTACAGTATTTCTCTGCTGACCGCCTGGCAGGACTTTTGGCGTGCTTCTCGAACGGCGGCCAGTAGCTTCCAGATTGTGATTCGAAGGCAAGCGGTAGCCCCATTTCAGTCAGGCCGACGCGTTCCTGTTCTTTCTAACGGTCAGCAGCACAACAATCGACTGGTTTACGCATCAAGGAAACCTTGTGAAAAAGCTGTACTGGACGTGCAACTCAATCGAGCAGTACTTGCCATCCCAATCCCGCCAGCGCTCGAAAGGTGCTGATGCATAGCGTAGCTGGTTCCATTACGATCTCGATCTGCCGCACACAGGAGTATGCGACCACGAGGACGAAGTCCCCCTTCCCGGCGAGATTGGGGGTTACAGGACAGAAGAAGAACAGCAGACAGTCATGTACTTCCTCGCGATGATAGCACTCCGGCAGTTGGTGACGCGAGTCCACAAGACCATCTTTGAAGGTAAGTGGCAAGCGCGGATTCTGCTTATGTTTGCCACCAGATGGCAAAATCACGCGCTTGTGAGGCGGGCGCACCTTGTTGGAAGTCGGAGTATACTCCGTATCAGATGCCACATCCTGGCGCCCTTAATTTGCCACTTTCTCCGAACGCCAGCTAACCCACCTTGCAACGCAGCATCCAGAGCGACGTCTGAGATACCCGAAGGATATGATGGTCCGCCCACACACGTCATACGCGAGCTCTCCCGCCAGCTAGAGTCCTGGCGCTCCACGTTGCCACCGCCCTTACAGTGGGCCGACCAACCACCCGAATCCCGCTTCCAATACTTCCCTCCCGGCTCCCCGAAGATCGGAAGATGTTTCACTCCAAACGGCAACCAAACTCCCTTGGAGAGCCCCGATACTCTTGACCTTGTCGTCGCACACCTGCGTTCGCGGTACTACTACGCCCGCTTCATCCTATATCGACCTTTCGTGTACAAGGTGCTCCATTGGCCGGGGCTGACGACAAACGAAGACCGACAATTCGCGGGGCTGTGCATCCAGAGTACCCTGTTGTGGCCGATTGCGCTTGCCCCCCCCAAACGCCGCAAGAGACTGGTGCCGTTCTTGTTCGTGTGGACGCAGAACTTCATCAGCATCTTGCTCGTCCTGCGGGCCACGACGGTCAGTAATATTCTCGCCGATGTCTGCCGCAAGATGGTCGACAACACGGAACTGATGCTCACCGTTCAATGTCTCCTCGAGTGGCTTGCCGATGTACGGACAATCGATGGGGTTGCGTTGTGGAGCTGGAAGATATTAGACCCGTTGTTCCGCGACATCTTCCCACACGTCTTTGCCGTCGGTCTCTAAGCATTCGTATAAAACTACTACAACCGGGAAGAGAGTGCGGTTTGGAGCCGAGAAGAATGCTCGACGGGAGCGCTGGGCCGAGTAGCGTGACCCACAGAAGGATCCGGTGCGGCCAGCCAATGGTACGCTCCATGACGATATCAGGACTGGATTTGGGGTTCTTGAGGCGACCTCTGGTGTGCCAGTACTTCATTGTGTTTGGAGGAGTGAGACTATCAAACCCACCATTGAGTCGCGCTTGGCATTGCGGCACTTAGCACGGTCCCATCACGCCAGATGGGCCACGAACGGATACAGCAAAGATGGCGGTTTTTTCTTTCTCTTGTCTCGGTTCATAGCATATGCCCCATCCAACGAGCGTGGCTATTAGCATATCCAAGAGGTGGATCAATGACACACTCTTCCCAGCATAATATACAAAAAGCACCGAAATGTTATCTCACTGGTCAGACGGCTGCACGCACGCACGTGCCTCCCAACGCTTAGGTACGTCCCGTCATCCTCCGCGCGCGTCTTCCCCAGCAATACAACACAACCCTCCGACTGCACGACGATCCCAACGTGAAAGAACGCCCCAGCATCCTGCGCACGCACAGTCTCTTTCGGATCCAGGAAGATGTCGACCACCGAACCACACCAGACGTCCAAGATCATCGATGGGAAGAAATATTTCATCCCGCTAGGTATGTACATACATACATACACATGACCAGCGACTGGCGCGCGCGCACCTCGTGAAATGACCAACCGCCGCCGTGCGATATTGTCCGATCGACCTCCTCACGCCCCTCGGGTATATATGCAGAAAACAACCCGGACGTCTTCTCGCACCTCATCCGCGCCCTCGGCGTCTCCCCGCAGCTCGGCTTCCACGACGTCTACAGCCTGGACGACCCGGCCCTGCTCGCCCTGGTGCCGCGCCCCGCGCTCGCCCTCATCTTCATCGCGCCCGGCGCCATCTACCACGCCGCCCGCGACGACGTCGCCGCGCGCACGCAGCTGTACGACGATGCCGGCGCGGAGCAGCCCGTCGTGTGGTTCCAGCAGACCATCGGCGAGGCGTGCGGGCTGATGGCGCTGCTGCACGCAGTCTGCAACGGCGAGGCGCGGAAGCACATCGTCCCCGGTTCGCTGGTCGACGGGCTGCGGACGGAGGCGCTGCGGCTGCGGAGGGTGGACCGCGCGCGCTTGCTGTATGAGAGTGAGGGGTTGGAGAAGGCGCATGCGAGTGCGGCGGTGCTGGGCGATACGGGCGCGCCGGAGCTGGGGACTATAGCTGAGGGCGCGTTCGTGTGCTTTGTCAAGGGTGATGATGGGCACTTGTGGGAGTTGGCTGGGTATGCGAAGGGCCCGTATGATAGGGGCGAGTTGGCGGAGGGGGAGGACATGTTGAGTGAGAGGGCTTTGGAGTTGGGGGTGAGGACGTTTTTGGAGAAGGCGGGCGGAGATGCGAGATTCAGCCTGGTGGCGTTGGCGCCGAGCGGAGAGTGAAGGGTAAGGTGGGTGAACTACCTTTTAGGTGCTTGAGAGATGAGGTGTTTGCGTTTGGGAAGCTATGCCTTGACCAAGAGCGCCAGGATAGATACTTCAGCGGTGCATGTAATCACTTTCGGCCATGCATCCTTTGTGAAGCTTTCGGAAATAGAACTCGAGCTTACAGTTATATGTGCTCCCTTCCCTGTCCTGTCACGACCTCGTGTTGATCACTGTCCTTGAAGTCTAGTAGTCTTGAAGTTTTACGTGCAGCTGAAGCAAAGCGTAAGGTATGACGTACATCGTACATTGCCAATCAGAAAGACGAACTGACGGGATAAAGTGATAGTCATTGACGATGCATGCATGTCTAAGCGAGAATGTCGGACACACTTAAAACATAGAATGCATGCCCGTGACCGCTGGCTCGATTTAAACAGGAAACATAATTGTATTTGAGGTAAAGATGTGATCGACCCGACTTGAGTTGATCACCGTTTCATGCCTAAGGCATCAAAGCGCGGGTAATGCTCGGTCGCTAGTCGCGTTTTCAACGCGACGACTCAGGCGTCGCCGCAGCGGCGGCGCTTGCTGCTGGATAGCTGCTCTCACACCTCACCTTAGCCTTCACTGCTGCACTCACCCACCACCGTTCCTTCCCGTTTGTACCAGCAGCTTCGCCAAGCCGCACGCGAGCAGCACCTTCCCGCTATATATTTTTCCGCGCGCTGCGCAACTTCTCTTCGACATGTAAGTCAACCAAGCTCATTCATCTTTCTCAACCGCTCCAGCTTGCGCCCACCATGTCTGCCTGGCGCGTTGATGAACCGGACCCGAGCGCTGATAGGCGGCCACACTCGAACAGGTCTGAGCCTCTCAGAGAAAGTTTTGACGGCATTTACCTGGACCTTTCGACGCTGCCTGGACGATGCCGTTTCGCTGAAGGCGGCCTTGGCTGGAAGCCTTCGGCCGGAGGGGATACCTTCACCCTGGACAGAGATAACATTACGCTGGGACAATGGAGTCGCGCTGCGCGTGGCTACGAGCTGAGGGTCTACACCAAGAACACTGGTCTCATCCAGCTCGATGGCTTCCAGCACGAGGTAAGAGCAGGCGCGTCCACCGCAAATGTTTCAATGGCGCTGACCTGCGTAGGACTTCGATCGTCTGGCCAAGGTCTTCAAGATGTGGTATAGCATCAACCTCGAGAGCAAGGAGCACGCTCTGCGTGGATACAACTGGGGCAAGGCCGAATTTGGAAAGTCGGAGCTGTCGTTCAACGTCCAGAGCCGCCCCGCTTTCGAGCTGCCCTACTCCGAGATCGCCAATACCAACCTCGCCGGAAAGAACGAAGTTGCCATCGAGTTTTCGCTCACCGGAAATGGTGAGGATACCGGTACGAACGGTCATCTAGGCGGCGCCAGAGCTCTGGGCAAGAAATCGGGCGGTGCGAGGGACCAGCTCGTGGAGATGCGGTTTTACATCCCTGGAACTGTGACAAAGAAGGAGAAGAAAGAGGATGGCGAGGACGTGTCTGAGGGCGACGAGGAGGAGGAGCACAACGCTGCCAGTCTGTTCTACAACACACTGATCGAAAAGGCAGAGATTGGCGAGATTGCGGGCGACACCTTCATTACATTCGAAGATATCCTGCATCTCACGCCCAGGTACGTAGCCTACATCCATGTTGATGTATCGCTTACTGACTCCCTTGTAGAGGTCGTTTTGGTCTGGACATGTACGAGACGTCGTTCCGTCTTCGTGGCAAAACGTACGACTACAAGATCCAGTACGATGCGATCAAGAAATTCTTTGTACTGCCGAAGCCCGACGATATCCACCAACTCATCACCATCGGCGTCGACCCGCCTCTTCGTCAAGGTCAAACCAGATACCCTTTCATTGTCATGCAGTTCAAGAAAGACGAGGAGCTGGACGAGCCGGTTCCGCTAAACATCGAGCCCGACGTGCTGGAGGAGAGATACAAGGGAAAGCTCGAGGCCCAGTACGAGGGACCGATCTACCGTGTCGTTGCACAATTGCTCCGTGGTTTGTCAGGAAGGAAAACGATCGCGCCGTCGAGGGATTTCGTCAGCCACCACCAGCAGAGTGGTATCAAGTGTTCGATCAAGGCCAACGAAGGACACCTCTACTGCATGGACAAGAGCTTCTTGTTCGTGCCTAAGCCGGCCAGCTACATCGCTTTCGACCAGATCTCGATCATCACCATGTCTCGTGTCGGTGGTAACCTCTCGTCGAGCCGCACTTTCGACATCACGATTAGGATGAAGAACGGTTCAGATCACCAGTTCAGCAACATCAACCGGTACGTGGACAAAAAAAAAAAAAACGATGATTGCATAGCTAATCCTGTGGCACAGTGAGGAGCAGACGCCCCTGGAGGATTTCTTCAAGATCAAGAACCTGAAGACCAAAAACGAGATGGTGGATGATGTAAGTAGCACGGTCTTGCACCATGGGACATTTGCTGACAAAAATATAGTCTGGCGCCCTCCTCGCGGCAGCTCTCAACGATGACCTGGACGAGTCGGACGACGAGCAGGTGGCAGTCAACCGCGGCAGCGCAGACGAGGACTCGGAAGAATTGGACGAAGACTTCCAGGCCGAGAGCGAGTCGGAAGTGGCCGAGGAGTTCGATTCAGATCACGAGAGCAGCGGCAGCGACGGCGACGAGGAAATGGCAGATGCGGATGCGGATGCCGACGGCGACGAGGACACGTCGATGGTGGAACGGCCAAAGAAGAAGGCGAAGACGGACAACTGAGCAGGTGGATCCAAGGTTGGTGGGGGATTCGATTCCTGAAGTCGTAGTTCCAGAGTACCCAGAGCGAAGGGCCACAGGCGTTATTTGGGGGCCGCGCGGGGAAAGACAGTTTTCATCATTTAATGGATGCCATGGCCGGCTGGATTAATTGCTGGCGAATCAGGACACGGCCCATGCAAACTGGAATTATGCCGGCGGAGGGCGAGCTGGGGAGCGGAGAATATGCGGCGTCCCCGGCGCCCCGCACTTGGTGCATGCGCCGCGTGCCCGGGCAGTGTTGCCTGTGCGCCAGTCAAGCGCGCTTGACCAGGGAACGCCTCTCACCCACACCCAGACCACCTCCATCCGGCGCCGCTCTCACCTCCGGAATGCGCTTTACATCCAAGGGCTCCTTGAGCGTGCGTCTCTGCGGACAGCTGGACAGATGAGGTCGCGCACAGGCTGGTACGCCACCCACCCCCCGAGCTTGCGCCCTCCAGCTGACATGGTGTCGCCAGCCAGACGTGCCGCGTGCGAAAGCTGAAATGCGACGAACGGAAGCCCGTCTGCGGGCCATGCACCAAGGCCAGTCGCGAATGCGTCTTCAACTCCGGCCTCATCTTCCGCCACCAGCAAAATGCCTCGATGAATGGCGGCGACGGCGAAAGCCCCGAGCAGGGCCTCAAGGGTTTCTACGCCTACAAGAACACCTTTGGCCACGACGCCGTCTGGCTGGACATTCCCAAGCAAGGTGCGTCGCACCGCCCACGCGTGCAGCCGCCGCCAGGCGCTGACAGCCTGCAGTGAGATTCTGGAACACCACCGACCCCTATAATGAGCCCATGTCGCCCGCGTCCGAGACGTCGCCGGCCAGCGCGCCTGAACAGCCGCCATCCTCACAACACGATGCGCAGACCATGCAGTGGCCCCTCCCCGACTCGTTCACGCACTCCGACGCCCAGTCGCCTGCCCACGCTCTGCATGCTCTGTCTGCCGTAGCCACCGGCGACCACTATGCATACCTGCATCCGCGCGTGAATAGGCACGACAGCACCCCCGTTCCGGACGCGCCGTTGAGACCGAGCAATGGCCTGTCGGCCATGCACCCTCCCACGCCGCTTACTCGCCAGGCAGTCGATTCGCCCATTTCGCCGCCCGTGTCCATGACCTCGTCTACAAACCACAATATCGATTTTCTTTTGAACCATCCGTCGGCCGTATCCCCGCCATTGGACCCCAGTCTACACTCTCCATACGCGCATTCGGGCAGGGAGGTGTTGCACGCGAGGCCTGCAAGCTCACATATCTCAATGGGATCCAGTTCGTTTGAACACAATGTAGAAAACGACCATGAGCTTACGTACCTCTTGCGCTACTATTCCGAAGGCCCGGGACAGTGGATGGACCTATTCGACTTGGGTTCGTACTTTGCGTCCTACGTCCCGGTCAAGGCGCAGACAAATCCGGTACTCAAGTACGCAGCCATCGCTTATTCTGCGAAGGCGCTTGGCCGCGTGAAGGGCAAACGTCCAACCATGGGCGGCAACGCAATTCGTTACTCTCGCACCGAGCTGTACCCGAATACGCATTCCATCGATTGGTACCACAAAGCAACCGAGTACTACGACAACGCTGTCTCCCTCCTCCGGCAAGCGTTGCAGGAAGACTCTCGCGGCATTTCGCAAGAGAGTGCCAGTGGCGAGGGACAGTGGAGATCGGCTGACGGCTCGGATGGGAGCTTCGGACACCAAAAGCGCACCAGCCTGTCGGGATTTCCAGTTTCAAGATGCAGCTCGGATGAGCTTCTGGCAGCCACTGCCATCCTCTGTGTTTACGAGTTCCTTGATGCATCTGGCCCTGAATGGTCTCGTCATCTGAGCGGAGCCAAGTCCCTGATTGATATTGCGAAAGACAGCATGATGCCCCTGCAGCTTCCTTCCCCTGGTATAGCGCTTCAATCACAGTCTGTGAAACTTTCCAAGGCTAGAAAAGCGACCTTCTGGAACGTAGCCCGGCAGGACATGCTCTCAGCGTGTAAGTGTTGCCTTGCATGTGCTTTTTCTGGCGCCTGTCTCCCTACTTAACCAGCAATGCTGACTCGTCGCAGTCATCAACAACACGCAAACTCGGCTCGACACTGAAGATCTGCCAATGTGGAAAGATGCCGGACTGCAGATTGACGACAACGGTTTCATCATGCCCGTCGAGGCAACCACTAGTGGCTACCCTGAGGGCGGAAATGTGATGAAAGAAGACATGATATCTAACTCCCTCGTTTGGCTCATGTCGAAGTTGGTCAACTTTATGGCAGCTGGTGATGAGCTTCCTCCGCTACCAGACTCTCCCTGGGCTCAAGGAGTACCGCAAAGGACGCTGCTTGATTACTGGGTCTACCTCAGACGACAATTCCAGATTTGGTACGATGGCCTCCCTCTTACCTTCAAGCCTTGCGCACGGATTCCACCATCTCGCATCCCTAGTTCCTTAGTCGAGGACGACCTTGATGCCGTGCTCCCCGAGGTATGGTACAGTCTGTCTATGTGCGCTTCCACAATGCAATCGTACCACATGTCTCAGGTCCAGCTTCTGTTGAACAAGCCGCATGAGACGACCCAGGGAAGATCGACTATATTTGCCCGGTTCAACTCCTACGAAAGCGCCGTTCAAGAAAGCCAGATTCACAGCCGAGAAATCGTCAGTATCGCTCTGTCGAGACCAGATGCTGCCGTTCGCATCAACTCCGTCCAGCCACTGTACACTGCGGGCCAGTGTCTTACGGATCCAAGGGAGCGCCGGCTTGTCATAAAGCTGCTGCGAGAGATCGAGGCTGACACAGGCTGGGCTACCGACTACCGAGTGAACCAGCTCATCGAACAATGGGAGTGGGGCGAGGGTGACATTCCATGAAAGATCTCTGTCTGAGTGGGAGACAACACATTCGTGCTATTTGACCGATCGGAAGGGAAGCTGGTCTGCATGATGCCAGCGGCATTGTTTCCCTGGTGTGAATGGCGGTTTCATGCAGCCATGCACTGAATGAGAGCACGTGAAGCGAACTAAAGCCCCTCATGCAGTGCCACAAGGTCGATATTGAGGATACAAGTCATTCTCACAGCCCCTCTTTCAGCTATTAGACGGCGACGTCCAACCATCTACAGGAGAGGCCAACCGCAACCGAAAGTAGTAGATCTGTCTCTACCGTGTCGGTCACCAAGCTTCAATTCGTAGCGACCGGGGGACGCAGCACAACAACGGCCATCCATCGCCAGGATCAACAAGTGATGGCCATAACCGCCATCAGGCGAAAGGCGCACCTCTCAGGCCTCGACACTGATGGTTGGCAACAAACCATGCCAGAGGAAACACATCATGTACAAAGGACGACTGGAGACGACGAAGGCACCCGAAGCCATTGCAATAAATGCGCTTGTCAAGTTGCTCGTCGTTGACAGATTTCGGGAGTGCTTTTGGATCGATCATTGACCAGGAAGCCACCAACAACGTAAATGGCCAGGAGCCCACTCTCGCGCGGGGCCTAGCACTTCAAGATTCTTAAGAATACGTATTGCATTTACTTCGCTCAAAACCTTCTCGTTTTAGGAAGAGGATTCGAATGGGGGGGAAAGTGGTTGATTGGACTGAGGGGATCAATATCGAAGTGACTGGGTGGGTTTGGAATGACCGAGATTGGAAAACGAAGGGGGTTGAGAAGAATCCACTCCTCGTTGTCGACATGCATATGAGAGATGGTGCATCAAAATGTAGAATAGCATGGTCCAGAGGAAGCATAAGATTTTGGAGGGATTGACGGAAAGGAAGAATTGTAATACCAAAGTTAATTATTTTTTCTGAGCTCAATTGGTGGGTTCCCTTCTTGCCATTTCTTCGAAGGACACCCTTTCCGGACCGCGATTCGAGAGCTCTAACTGTTTGACTTTCATGGTTGACGCTAGTAGTTTATTCCGCCGAGTTACGGGATGGACGGGGCTTTGGACGATCAGTGAGAGCAGCCGGTTCGAGTCGCTGACTTTGGCCTACATCCACGAGCGAGAAAGATCTACGATTAAGAGTGCGGCATATAGTTGACTAATCCCACAACTGCGTGCATACCATGACTCAGTAGAAGACGTTGGAGCGGGCGTGCACGAAGTGCTGTTGTGCTTGAGGTTGAGATGCGCTAGCCCGATGAGGCTAGCTGCTTTGGCGGTATAACGTCTCGCGACAACCAACAACAGGCAGGTCGGATCGAGTTCCCCTAGCGCTGTTACAGAGCGGTGTTGCTACAGCCGGTGCGGCAGACTCCCGTTGCAGCTAGTGCTGAAACGCGTCCTCTAACAGACAGCCCTATTTTTTTTCTTCCGATGGTACACTAGGGCAGTGCACGTACCTACCCCTACCAGCCGGAGACAAGGGAAGCAGGGAAAAAATAGGAAGGAGGAGGAGGATTGTTCAACAAACCGCTCAATTCGGGAGGGGATGGAACGCAGCTCGAGAAAGAAGGATGCCGGCACGTAAAAGGGGAAGGGGAGTCTAGTGATAAAGTAGTGCAAGCTGAAACGGGGTAGGGAGGTGCGTGGGTGAATCGGGGAACATTTGCGGTGGGAAGCATCGGCGATGGAGTTGATGGTTGGGGGAGGTGTGTACTTTTTCTTTTTTTGCTTTCGGGTGCCAAGGGCAGGCGCCAACCAGCCTCTTACGTTTTCCTCTTTTGTCCATTTTTAACGCCCTCGTACTCGTGCCAGGTGGTGGCAGGTGGTGATCAAGCCGGCCGCGGGCCCACGTGGGGAGCCGCGTGTGTGGCTTGTTGCTTGGTATTGCTCGATGGTGCCATGTGCGCAGCACGAGGGTATCATGACGATCACAGATCGAGGCGTCAATATTAATGTCGGTGACTCCTTGTACGGGGCCTTTTTCTTCTCCCTCTCCTTTTCTTGGAGCAGTGGGTGGTGGTTGGCTCACTTCTGTGGGTCGAAAACGCCAACAAAGCTTGGGTGCGGCTCAGATCGATGATCTCGTCCACATTGTTGTTCTAGTGGAACGAGATCGATATCGATCTCTCCATGTTTTCCATCGGTGATCAAGCAAGCTTCCGCCTTCTCGGGTGGCGGCAGTATTCAGGGAGCCAGGGATAGATCGAGAGATGTGTGATGCAAGCGGGCGGCTGTGGCTAGTAAGCTTGGCTGCTTGCAGAACCGTGGCGAATCCGAGCTCAGGAGCTTTGCCTGGGGGCGCACAAATGCTCCGTGATCAAGAACAACACCACTGGCAGACGCAGGGAACGGGATGCGGCTGTCTCGATGGATGCCGGACGGCAGTGGGCCGTATGCGCAACTCAGACGACGCAGGTCCTCTATCGGAGACTCGCCTGCTCTCAGGAGCTCCAACGCCAGTCTCAAGCCATGGGGTTGAAGGCCCAATGAAAGCCAAGCATTGTGTCACTGCAACAAATGCGAACAGCACCTCCATCGGCGATGAGGCTCATGCCACAGAGCGAAGGATCAAAAAGAGTCGGCGGATCAGCGACGACCCGATTTCCAGGTCCCACAACAGTCTTCTTGCGTCTGGCCAGTTGCAAGTTGGTTTGTTGGAGGAACCCGCGTGGCGAATGCTGATCAATCGACGATGCTGCCCGGGCCGATCCCCGCATTAAGAGATCAGGATTGCGTGCCATGATTGCGCATGTGGCATCCATCAGGATCTCAATCGTGTTCAAACACTCGTCTCAGTCGAGTCCCATTGGCCCTGTGGCGGTCGCTTCGACAGTGCCGCGGGCAGGGCCGCTTTCGGCAGGATGATGGGCATGCAGCTGCTCGATGGGGTGTCTTGGTTCGGGCAACGGCCATGATGTCGTCGACTCGCTATGGGGTGCGACGCAGTTGCGTCATTCAGCCCTGCGCCAGCGCCAGCGCCAGCGCCAGTGACGGACACCGGTGACGGACACCGCCACAGGTACGCGCATTGTTGTCTTCTCGTCTGGCCAAGCTGCGAAACACACTAGTAGAGTGGTTCCCCAGATCGGCATCCGCAAGGCCGGCGGGAATGCATGCGGGGGGAGCATCGGCCCAGCCGTTTCGGGCGGAGCTTTGCTGAGCGCGAGCTGCTCCCACTTCGCTAGTGCTACAGCCACGATACGCCATGCCGCCAGCCTCTGCCGCTGCAAGAGCATCAGAAAGCCAGGTGACCGGGCAGACGAGAGCGAGAGCGCGCGCGCGCGAGCGGCGATGCCCTCAAACGTGGTACCGTCTTTTGCCGGGCCGCGTACGCGCTCAAGACGTTGCGATGGCCGTTGGTCAGCATGGCGCGTCTGGCATATGACCATCAGCTCATCACAGCATCCGCAGCGTCCGCAGCATCCGCGTGAGTCACCTCGCGATCGCATGGTGCAGTCCAGGGCCGTCCAGGGCCGTCCATGGCCGTCCATCGCCCTCGGGGACAAGCCATCGTGAGGTCAGGCTCCAGCCACGGGGGCTGCCCAGCGGGATGGTTTGTCTCGTGGGCACGCCCAAGTCTGCAGCGACAATCCGGCGGGGGATCGAAGGCTGCGGCGCCCATCGGCACAAGGTTTGGTGGCGGAATCGTCGCATCGAGCGATGCAGATACGGCACGCGCAAAAGCGCCGAGCAGCGCTCCTCTCGCCCGCTAGGCGCGGCCACTGGCACGAGAGGCGCAGCGCATCGAGAGATGAAAGTCTGTGAAGCATTGCAGCTGAAGGCAGCGCGCCGCGCCCTCTGGTTGGCAGGTGGCACAGCGCGCTTGGCCTGGGATCGGCCGCAGGGCTGGCGACGCCGAGCGGATACATGACCGGATGCACCAGCTCGCCCACCTCACTACCTACCACCTATGCTGGAGCGCGGCCCGTGTCTCGCGCCGGTTGCAGCTCCGCCGGCCAAGCGCAGCGCAGCTCTCCAGGGATCGTAGGTAGGCACGTCGTGCGATCGCTCATTCCTGCCGCTCAGGGACCGATTGGCGCCGGAGCCACGGACTTAACGTGGAATTGGGGTCGGCCGCGCACCGGTGCCCTCTAGGCGGGAAAATTCTGCCCGCACGCCCGCTGCTAGCAAGCTCGCACCGCCGGCATGACAAAGGGTCGCACGATGCCAACACACGAGGTTGGGCATCTGTGAGGTGGGTGGTGGTGGAGCACCAGCCCGGCCATCATGCACCGTCTGGCAGCCCGGCGGCGGCTGCTGTGGCGCGCCTCACGCACGAGGCCGGCGCAGCTGCTTAGCCGAGAATCGACGCGAGGGACCAAAGGGCACCAAGGGCCCGATCAGCAGCGGCACGAGTAAGACGAGTAATGCAATTGTTTGGATTTGAGTGTTGATAGGCTTGATTGATGAGGATGCATTGCTACCTGTCCCTTGGCTCCGTCCCCACAGCGAAAGCCGCGCAATTAACTCCTGTCCCCCGGGGTATCTCGCTCTTGCGTTATCTCGCCTTTGCCGAGGCCGTGTCTGTCACCGATCAACGGTACCCTGCATGCTTCCCTTCGATTCTTCCTGAAGTCCTGATCCCCCTGCGCCAATCCCCCTACAATGATAATCCTCCCAGTCCTTCTCCATCGTGAGCCAAACGGGCTGTAACAGCCATCGTCGGTCTAAATTCCGGGCGTCGATCAAGCTCTGTGCGCGTCCGTCGCAATCGGTCCGTCGCTACCAGATTTTGGTATCGCCCAAGCGGGTATGTAACTGGCTGTCGCCGTGCCGGCGCATAGTCGTCGTTGGTTGGTTGGTTGGTTGGTTGTTGGTTGGTTAGGTTTATTCGGTTGCGGGTGGCCGTTTGGCCGGCGCCGCTGCCCTTCAGCCGGTGTGGCTGTAGCCCACAATGTCCGCGCAGCGGACGCAGTAATAAGAGTTGATGCCGTAGCCGATCATCTTCTTGGAGCCGGCCGTGTCCGTCCGGTGGCAGCGCGAGCAGCGGATGAACTGCACGGTGGGCACCTCTCCGGACACAGAGGTGCGGGACGAGGACGAGGTGCTGGACGAGGCGTCCGAACCGGACCGGCTGCTCATGGGGCTGAGGTCCAGCACGTCCTGCACCGGCTGCGGCTGCGGGCGGCTCTGGTACGAGTAGGCGGCAGCCGTCTGGAGCTGGAGGATCTTGGAGGCGTCCATGGCGGCCGGGCTGACGGTGAAGGAGACAGACCAAGGACGGGCGGCGAGCAGCGGGTTGGTGGGCTCCGAGGGGGTTTGCACCGAAAGGTCGTCCGAGTACAGGCCCGGCGAGGGAGTCTCGGAAGAGAAGTGGTCGACGAAGCTGGTCTCAGGGTGGGAAGGCGGGACGAAGCTAAAGTAGCAGAGAGCGTTGGATGTCGACTCGGTTGGTGTCACTGATGACGAGTGCATCCTGTGTATGGTATGTTGGAAGTTGGCCTGGCAGCAGTGGAGAGTGTGAGGGTGATGGCATGGCGCATGTGGGTGTACGAAGGTCATATATGGGACGGGTTCAGAGCATCAGCGATCGTCTCGCGCATCGGCATCGACTGTTTCAGTGGCTTAGGCAGCCCAAGCTTTGCGAGCCCTAAGCCAGCACCCTTGTCCCGCCCAACACGCTCGCGGTTAGCTTCTGATCGTCGTGTGGCTGCAACCCATCGCGCATCCATCGTCCGTTGTGGCCGCCCGCCCCGCCCGCCGGTGCTTCCCTCCGTATCTCGTGCGAACCAGCTCGGGAGCCCTTGCCGTCGCTCTCCGCGCCTGCCTCTCGCGCTCCAACAACAGCGACTCCCGGACATGCCTCGCGCGGCTTCCCGCGTACGACTCAGCAGCCCCGCCCTCGCCCTTGGTTCCTGCGCCTGCACGGCCAGGAACAGCGCGCTGGGCCTCCGGTGAGCACCCGCCGACTCCACGCTCTCCCGTGGCTTTGGATCCACCTCCGGACCTCCTGCGCCCTTGCGCCGCTGCACCGCTGCCTCTGCGGAGCCAGTGACAACCCGACAAGTTCCTCGCACGACCAGCGCAGCTGCGACGAGCTGCCTCGCAACTGCTGCGCCCCACCGCCCGCCCGCCTCCACGCCGCCCTGTTGCCCGACCCCCGGCGCAGCTGGCCCTCAGCTGGCATGCCCCTGAGGCATTATGAGTCTTGCAGCAAACTCCGCGGAGAGAGCATGGAACGAGAGCATGGAACGAGAGCGCCCATAGCAACTGCGACGACTGGGCCCGGCCCGGGTTGTGCTGGTCTAGGCCTTTGCAGAATGTGTGGAAACCGTTGGAAACCCGTGCCGCCGCCGCCGCGGCGAACGCCTCGAAGTATCTACGACCATCTCCTGAGGAGACCTGGCGGCGCAGGCGGCTCTCAACGGATCATGCGCAGGGCTGTGATCTCGCACCAACGCCCTCAGGCCGCGCTCCCGGATGTTCCGCGCGGCGTTTGGCTGCGCCCGCTGCAGCCTGCGGGTCTCCCCTGCACGCAAAGACATTCCACGCAAGATATGGACCCTGAGGGGCCGGGGTGCTGATTAGAGCAACGTTGCCTTGCCGCGGTCCGGACCTGGTGTTCCCGGGCGCCAATGCGGAGAAAGCGCTCACAGACTACTACTGTTTCGACGTTCCCACGCTGCTGCCAGAGGGCGGCCTGCAGCCGCCGCGGTCTAGACTCCAGCCTGCAAACACGCCCCAGCCTCTCCAAACCGCCGTGCAGGCCATGAGTTCGCCCAGCGTGAAGCTGTGTACGCCTCTGGGCTGTTGGCGGTGGCAGTGGTAATGGGTCAGCCGCCTGCCAACGCTCCAGCCCGCCTCTCAACCGTGCTTCGTGAGCGCCGCGCCCAACTGCTGCTGACGAGCTTGGCGCCTAGCGACGCCCAAACAGCTCCGGCTTATGGGTCAGCCGCGCATGCGGCTTGGGAAAGACGCGTTCAGCATGCTGCGGCACACGTGTAAGCAGATTATTATTACACCATGCTCAATGGTTTTTTTTTTCTCGCACCTTCGCTTCGCCCCAACGCAGCGGCGTCTGGAATCAAAATGAGTCAATTTGCAGGGTGGTCCGACTTGGGATTAAGTCGGGTAGTACTACAACAAAGCAAATTGGGCTGTCTAGCCTGTAAGGGCGCAGACAGCCTTTGCCGCAACCAGAATGAGCGGTCGCATTTTAGTTGGGGGCTCCTGCGCAGCCCCGCTTGGTGAGGGCTTTCAACATATTCTAGTCGGGCGTGGGGGCACACGTGCTCACAACATGCTGTAGCAGCACCTCAATCGCGCTCGGTCTCAAGGTGCCCTTGGGGCGTCTGAGGCTGCCCAGTGTTCCCAATGATTTTAATAAACATAAGCCATCTCTCAGGCTTTGTGGGCCGTGATGAGACAGCATTAGATAAAGCCTTGCCGGAGTGACTCGGGGCATCAACGGACGTGCAACGCAGTCTCATGGACCGGCCCTTTTGGTCACGCCCGGACCGTCAGACACCAGACGGAGCTGTTCGCCTGCCCAAGCGGTCCGGTCAGTCATTCAGACCCTGGGGTACGAGCCGAACCACCGCCGGGCAGCAGCCTGTGCGCGTTCGTGCCCCGGCACGGTCGGGAATAGTGCTCGCCCGCGACTTCGAGAAGGCTTCCGTGAGGTGTAGCTTTTGCTGGAGACCAGTTGCTGGCTTGTGCCCTTCAGGAGAGCAGCGATACCCCGGCCTGCGCCGCGACAGCACACCAGACCTGAGGCATCAAACGGCTCCTTCGCACATTTGAGCGCCGTGAAACAGCCTCAGGGTCCAAAGAGCGGTTTTGCACATGCGCCATTTCCAGCGCCATCACAACGACTGTGATCAGGCGATCCGTGAAACGCCGGGGTGTCAATACTGTCCGTAGACTACCGTAGGGAAAACAGAGTTTAGCAGTGATGACTCGAGAGACTTCATGTGTGAGACTTGGCAGGACGCAGCCGATGGGACGGGACCGGATGGAAACGGCTGGCGAAGCAAGACGAGCCAAAGGGAGCTGAGCTTGACGTCGTGTCTGGGAAAGGAGAAGGCGTGATGAGTCGCAGCGGCTCGGAGAGCATGGCAGGACCGCGGGTTGCGCGTCGAGCCGGAAGCTGAGCGCCAGGCTCTGTCCCGGGCCTCAAGCGTGTAAGGGCGCCGTGCTGGCCCTGAGGCTCAAGGTTGAGGTCGGTTGGGCTGAGGCAGGTTTGCCTGCAGGGCAAGGCGGCAAGGCAGCGCGCGGGCACGGGCCATGGCCGCCGCCAGCCGGCGTCGACGACATCCCAAGCAACAGCTCCGCAATCCATTGTGCAGCAACAAAGGCGCCACTCAACATGGACCTCCACGACGAAGGCGCCGACGCCTGGGGTGGTGAGTGCGCCGGCCCACCCTGCCCCCTTTGCTGCATGCTGATGCGCCAGGCCAGACGTCCCGTCCTCGACTCAAGAGGTGCCCCAGATCACCACCGACCAACCCGCCGCCGGTGAGCCCACCTCCCACCCTCCGCGCCCCTCTCGATTGCGTCCCGTAGCTCACATTGCGCTATTCCTAGACGATGCCCCTCCCGCCGTTGCCCAGCCCGCCCCGGCTGCGGCCGCGCCCAGCGCGTCGACTGCCCCCAGGTCGCCCGGCAGGCCCAAGCCCAACCGCCGCATCGGCGTCCCGCAGCCCACGCGTCTCGAGAGCGTCGATGACCCCCTCGGCCCCCTAGGAGCCCCCGCCGACTCCCTCGGGGACTCCCAGGTCGATGAGCCCCCTGCGCCGCCGCAGAAGGAGCTCGCCGCTGGCCGCGGCTCGCGCCCCACGACGGCCACGTCGCAGTCGTCCATTCGCGGGATGATGGAGTCCGTGAATCTGGACGACAGCCTCGAGAGCCCGACCATGGCCGGGGCTAGGGTTCCGCCTCCGGTGCAACCCCCGAACAACAATGGGCCCCCGAGACAGAAGCAGCCCAGCGTGAGCGTCGAGCAGGCTGCCAAGCCTACCTTCCACATCACCGTCGGGGACCCGCACAAGGTCGGCGATCTGACCAGCTCTCATACGGAATACCAAGTCAGGACTGTGGTATGTTTTGCAATGGTTGTGTGACAATAGTGGTTGCCTGGCTGACGCTGCCGAGACCACCTCGAAGGCTTACCGGAACCCTGAATTCTCCGTCTCCCGTCGTTACCGCGATTTCCTGTGGCTGTACAATCAGCTCCATAACAACAGCCCCGGCGTAGTCATCCCTCCACCTCCGGAGAAGCAAGCCGTGGGCCGTTTCGATGCGGACTTTGTCGAATCGAGAAGGCAGGCATTGGAGCGTATGCTCAACAAGTGCGCTGCGCATCCGATCCTGCAGCATGATGGTGATCTGAAGCTGTTCCTTGAGAGTGAGGCGTTCAATGTCGACATCAAGCACAAGGAGCGGAAAGATCCCCTGCTGCAGGAAAACAAGGGCATGCTGGGTTCCTTTGGTCTGTCCGTGAGCACCACTGGAAAGTTCATCGAGCATGATGATGTAAGGCTGGCTCATTTTTTTTGCACGTGAAAGTTCCGCTAACGTTTGCACAGTGGTTCCATGATCGCAAGGTCTATCTTGATGCACTCGAGTCACAACTGAAGGCACTTCTTAAAGCTATTGATACCGTTGTCGACCAGCGCAAGGGTCTCGCAGCAGCATGTGGTGATTTCTCCGCATCTCTCCATTCCTTGGCTACTGTCGAGTTATCACCTTCCCTTTCGGGACCTTTGGACGGCCTTTCGGACCTACAGCTTCGCATCCGAGAACTCTACGAGCGCCAAGCCCAGCAGGATGTGCTCACTATCGGCATCGTGATTGACGAATATATCCGGTTGGTGGGCTCTGTGAAGATGGCATTCCAGCAACGGCAGAAGGCTTATCACGCGTGGCACACCGCGGAGTCGGAATTGCAGAAGCGCAAGGCCACTCAGGATAAGCTTCTGCGACAAGGCCGAAGCCAGCAGGATCGTTTGAACCAACTTAGTGCCGATGTGGCGGATGCAGAACGGAAATCCAACCAGGCGCGTCTGCTGTTTGAGGATATGGGTCGCCTGATGCGAAATGAGCTCGACAAATTTGAAAAGGAGAAGGTCGAGGACTTCAAGAGCGGAGTTGAGACGTACCTGGAGAGTGCTGTGGAGGCGCAGAAGGAGGTTCGTTCCACACGTCCGCAAATCTCGGGACGTGGAAAGGCTAACAGTGCAACAGTTGATCGAAATTTGGGAGACATTCCTCATGCAGATGGACGCCGAGGACGAGGATGCTCCGTTTGGTGCCACCAGCCCCCCGGCTGGTGTCAAGGCTGCGGATTTGGAGACAAGCACCAGCAACATCAGCGACAGGCCTCTAACGGCGCAGAGCCAGGATACCCAACAAAGCAGCGAAACCGAAAACAACCGACCTGACACGGCGGAGTCGGAGTGACCTTAGGCGCGGTTCGAGTTGAATGTGGTTTAATGTTGTTCTGAGCGACGAGTTGAACGATCCATGAAGGGTTAGTAGAAAGGGGATGTTAAGTAAATACATTCTTACATCAATGCTGTCTTGATGTCTGAAGGAGAAAAAAAAACCTATCGCCTTTTGTTTCTTGTCCTTCGTATTGTGAGGATACCAGGAAAGCTCCAGTGAGCATGTTGGCACGACACGTGACTGTCAAAAGCAATGCGGTGAATGTGCTGGCTCGTCTGCCTGGAAGGGTCGAGTCAGCCAGTTCATCGTTGAAGTGCAGATCAAATGTCGATCCCCATTCAACAATGTTCATTTTCCGAGGGTGAGACAAGGCTACTTCGCGAGTCCCGAGCATTCGGCTCGAACAGCTAATTTGCCTCTACTATTCCTCTGGGACTATAGTTGTAAGATGATTAAAACTCCTTGCCATCTCTCCAATCCAGACCTGAAACATGATTGCCTAGCGCGCAAAAGCCTCGCCATTTACCAGCCAGGAAGAAGTTATCACGGATTACTCTCTCTCTCCACGGCTATCCCTCCTCCCTACCATTTCCGCTCAACCGACATGAACATGGACGGTCGCACCCACGCAGATAGTCATGCGACATGTAGCGCTGGTCGATATATCAAAGTGGGCCTCGGGCGAGAGTGGGCGGGGGAAAGGGGGAAGAGCGCTGTGGAATATTCTTCAGGGTGGATCCATTGCCGGTAAGGAGTAGTGAGAGAGCTCTCGCGCTTGGTTTGAGGAGGACTTGGCTTTTCATGGCCCCGTAGATGATGCTATGCTATTCATATGTAAATAGGGCGAATTAAAAGCATCCGGACATAGATGTGAATTCTGAGTCTGCGAGTGCATATGGATTTGAGATGTGACTACCCTGTATGCGTCAAGAATGAATCGTGGAGAGACCATGGTAGATGTAGAACTACAACAATTCGGGGCGCTGGAGTGAGCCAGCAAACACCCAACGTCCATGGTGATGATGCTCAAGGCGGGAAGGAAGCGCTTTCTTTCCTCAATGTTTCCTCCGCGTTTGAAGATGGAACGTCTTGAGAAACAATAATTGCCATTACACTTCGCCCCTCATGCCCACTTGACAGACTTTCAGCGGGACAGCGAAGAAAAACAGCACACCTTCATTCCATAAATCCAAACACCCCAGTCCGATCATTAACTAGACCAGAACTCCTCCTAGCCCCCTCAAAAAAAAGACACCAGAGATACAACCATCCCTCATCACTCCAAGAACACCGGGATCCCGTACACCACCGCCGCCGCGCCGTTCAAATACCTCAAATAACACGCCCCCCTACTCTTCGCCACCGCCTCATCCAGCCCCATCCTCCTCGCCTCCCTCTTCCCATCACCCCTCCCATCCTCCTCCTTCTTCTTCCCCCCCTTCCTACTCCGACTGCGGCTCTTGTTCGGCGTCTTCGAGCGCGAGGCCGCTCTCCTCCTGGACGGAGTCTTTGGAACTAAATCTTCCTCCTCTTCCAGCTCCTCTCCCTCCTCCTCCTCCTCCGACGGTTGTTCCGGCTCGAACAAGCCCCATTTCCGCAACGTCGCGATGGCGAAGCGGTCGCAGTCCTTGTCGGTGACGTCCCAGAGCATGCCGAGGACGGCGGGGACGCCGGCGGTGAGGTAGGCGCACAGCATGCCGCTGGGCTCGAAGGCGCCGTTGGCCGTGACGTGCGCGGAGCTGCAGCCGAAGAGGAGGGACGTCGCGAGGGGCGGCGGCTGTTGTTGTTCCTGCTGTTGCTGTTGCTGTCCCGGATCGGGCGTGGGGGAAGACGACGACGACGGTTGGGAAGATGGACGTTCGCCGCGGTTGTTGCAGAGCAGTTTCTTGATGGTGCGGCCGCGGATGTACTGGGCGCCGCTGCCGTGGCCGAAGTAGAGGAGGACGTCCTTCTTCGCGAGCGACATTTCGAGCGCCGTCTCGTCCGGCACGCGGCCGATCAGGTGGTACCACATGCCCGGCGCGGCCTTGACGTGCGGGGCGAGCGTCTCCTGTGTGCGCGTGAGGTCGCCCCCGGGGTTGAGGACGCTCGTGCCGGTCAGGGTTGAGATGGAAATGTGGTGGCCGCCGCGGATCACGTCGTTGTCGGTTGCGTCCTCGTCGGAGGAGGAGGAGGACGGAGCGGAGCTGCTGTGCTTCTTGCTTGCGCGTGCGACGAGTAGGCGCTCTCGCAGCGCGGACATTGAAGGAAGACGCGAGATGGAGAGTGATTGCAACGAAGGCAAAGACTCCCAAGGGAAGGCGTGGAGGTTCTTGTCCAGGATAAGGATGGTGTGCTGGTTTGGCATCGGCTCCGCCTCTTCGTGGAATGACCGCAAGGCGTCGAGCATCTCGATGATGATCGAATCGAAGTCGATCTCATCGTAGGCGTTCCTCTCACCATTGAATTGCAGAATGTCCACGACGAAGTAGACCAGGTCCATGAGGGGCTCGTCAAGGTCCACGCCGTCGTCCGGGTTGCCAAGCCCCACAAACAGCTCCAAGATTCTCCAGTCCAGGCTCGTCTTCGACTTCGTTCCCTTACCTTGTCGGCTGGGAAGGTGTCTGTCCAAAATGTTCTCGAAGCTCTTAGAGAAACTGCTGAGTGAAGCCCTGGTGCCCTTCTTTTTGAAAATGCCACGGAAGCCACCGAGCCAGATGTTCTCGATATTCGTAAGCAGATCGCCCAGACGAGCATCGAGAGCCTCGCGCTCAGCCCACCATGCTGTCTTCGCTCCCTTCTTGCTCAAGTCTGGAACGTGTCGCGTGCTGAAGTCTGAAAGCTCGATGATTTCCGCAAGCTCGGCTTTACCCTCCTCAAAGCCAAAAATCTCTTCGTCCATATCACGCGAATTGTGGCGAGCCATGGGAAGTCTCAAGATGAACGGTGACTGCCAAGGCGCATAGCGCGTGATGTAGAGCTCATCTCGTGCTTCATTCAAGGACAACGAAATAGCCGTCCAATCTTGAGGGATGATGTTGACATAATCGGTCTGAAAGTCGGCGGCAGTGAGCTGAAGTGGCCTTTCCTGGTCATCTGCGACGCCGGGCCAGGTCAGAAGCATCTCACGGTCGGTCTTCTGGTGCTCAATCGAGATGGCCTCCTGCTCGAGTTTGGAGGCGTTCGTTTTCGGAAGCTCCGTGAGATACGCAGCATACAGAGGATGTAGAGAGCCCTTCGCGCCCTTGGGAGTCGTGGCGGAAAGAAGAATGGTGACTTCATTGAGCATGCTACAGACACGCTGCACCGCTGATGTTGATGAAGTGTGAACTGCTTGGCTCTGGACCTCGGCAATGCAGTCGCGCGCTTTCTTGAGGAGGACGGCAAAATCTTCCTTGCTGGCCTTCTTCCCCCTGGCGCCCTTCTTGGAGACAGGAGCAGCTGGAGATGGAGTATCGGCAATGGCTAGATAGGATGGTCTTGCCTGTGATGGCTCCGAAAGTTTGCGGTCACCTCTGGAGAGAGCAGGGAAAGAGATTGTGGATTCGGGGAGCGCGTTGAATGTGAAGTCAGCTGCGATCTCCCTCATGGCCTCCGACATCAGTGACCGGAAACGGGTAGACTGGTGCTGAACTGCTGCCTCTTGGCCGAGTTTCAATCCCGCTGCTTCCTCTATCAAAGCGATGGCCTCCGAAAGGCGGTCCCTTGCAAGTAGCACGGAAGCCTTGCGGCAGATGATGGTTGCCTGAATGTCCTCAAGTGTAGGACACGCATGTGCCATATCTTGCGTTTCTTCTGGCACAATGGCGGGGACAGCAACCTTGCGTGCTGTGGCCTTCTTCCCTGCTCTGGTAGTCGTCTTCTTAGCCGTCGCCGTCTTTGCGGGACCCTTGCGGTTTCGTGATGGCTCATCCTCAAGCTTCATGTCGGACATCTTTTCCGAGATCTCGGTCTCGCCGTTGGACAGCTTCTCCAGGTTTCGTACGAAGGCAGAATCTGAAAGAGCCTGGATAATCTTGCTGGCCATGTCATATTCTTCCACCGCATCATCATCGTCATTATCCACCAGTTGGCGGAGATGAGCACCAGTCGTGTGGAATCTCGCGAGGTCAATGCTTGGGGGGAGTCGTTTAGCATTAGCATCGGCTTTTACCAAGCAACTCGAAGCATCGTCCAGCCTGCTGCTCTCTAGGTACATCTCCGCAGTATGGCTGAGATTCTGAACGATGAAAGAATCTGCTTCCACGGCAGCCGCGATCCTGGAAGCCTGCTCCGAAAAGTAGACAGCCTCTTGCAGCATTCCTTGGTGAGCGAATATGCTAGCAAGCTGAGTAAGCCCGCGGAATATAGAGGGCACAAAAGCCCAAAACGCAGCACCCGTGAGCGCCCCATGCGTCATGGACATCGTGATCGGGGAAACATCAATGCTGTTGGCCTCCTTTACATCACTTCTCGGCTTACGGTTCTCCACTGTGAGCCAGATCTTCCTATTCAAGTTGACACACTGCTTAGCATATGCCAAGGCCTCGCTAGGATAACCCGAGCTTAGGGAGAGGAGGGAGTAGACATGGGAGGCCTCAGAAAGCAGCTTGTAGTGCCGAAGCTTGGTCGAGAAGGATGCCTTGGGCGCCGTCATTGACATTATGAGCGGATCGGTTTCGGCGAACTCACGCGCTGCAGACAAGGTTTCGCCACTGGAAATGGTTAACGTCGATTTTCTTACGGGCACTGTAGGAGGTCATACCACTTATCCAGATTGCCGAGGACCAGCATGTACTCTGCATAGGCCAGATGCCACTGCAGAGCAGCTTCAGCTGGCACGTCTCCGGCTTCCAGAAGTCCCTGAGCCTTAGCCAGGACGGTGCCGGCCTTTCCTGAGTATCCAAGGCGTGCGTATTGCGCCCCCAGACTGGCAAGTGCTTGAACCACTTTGCCATCATTCGAGGGTACTTGTAACTCCATAGCTTTGCTCATGATCGACAGGACCGGAACTCTTAGGAAATCCATGCCTTTCATACCCAAGAAGTCGGACACCATCTGAAGTTGCGACATCCAGGCTTCAAACGCGTCGACGCATGTCACCAAATGAGCCCACGAGTCGACGCGATCGAACATGTTTTGCCAGGAACGAAGCGGTTCTTGTACTTCGTCGACCAACGGTGGGGACTTCAGTAGGGCAATGCTCATCTGGTGAGATGCTGCATAGTGTTGCTGATACTGACTGAGGCCTGCGTCAAGACTGATAGACGATTCAACCTCGATATTGCACGCAACAGCCTCGGACAAGAGTTCTTGGCCAATGACCTCTTGGCATTCCACTCCCAGCCGGAGGACATGTGTAGCAATCCGTTGGCGTCGTAGAGGATATTGAGAGGCATCGTAAATTCCAAACAGAGACCGAACAAGGTCGCGAATAGACTTGTTAAGCGCATCGTTTGATTTCCGGACCTTGGCGTGTGTCTCGCAGCAGAGTATCAGCTGCACCTCCAAGAGTATTGCTCTCTCCACTGGTTCAAGTCCTTCCAGGTCAAAATGCAGGACTTTGTCACTGATCTTCTCGCTCTGTCGAAGTAAGAGAAGGTGAAGAGAGGTTGCTGTCTTCAAGAAAGCCGCCAATCTGCCCTCCAGCATCGCTTGTTGGAATGACCCAGTCGACGCTTTCTCTGCAGCTTCTCTAAGCGCACCAGAGCCAATTTGCGTGCGGATGGAGTTGACGTATGCTTCTTCAGCGTCCTCATACTTGCGTCTCTCTTCAAGGACCTCTGCAAATTTTTCAAGCTTCAGAAGGAGGAGGCCTGAGCTTTTTTCTTCTTCCGGACGGTCCAAGAGAATGTCGACGGACTTGTGGAGCGACTGGAGCAAAGTCTCATCGGAAGCTGTCTTCTTTCTGAAATATGCGAATAATAACCAATAAAGACCGGAAAGTTTGACAAAAGGTCGCCCAAGATTGGCAGAAAATTGGTGCAGTTGTTTGGAGTTGTCCCGATACGGTGCTTCGAGTTGGCCAAGGATAAATCGACAGTCTTCTAACGTGCGGTCCAAATCATCCCAGTTGATGGATTCCGAGGACATGAGAATTTTGCAACATGCTGTTACAGAGTCAATGAATCCTTTGACGACTTTCGACGCGATTTGAAGTCTTTCTGCGTGTCTGGTAAGGCTTTGCGGATCTGATCCCTCTGTTGGCGCTGTTCCGATGTACCTGGCCAGAAAATGGGTACATGCAGAGATGATAGAGAAACATTGCTCTTGAAAACCCGGCTTCTTCTCAACCACAACCTTGCCTGCTGCTCTTCGGAGACCGGAGACCTCCGTTAGCAAAGTATCCAAATCGACGGAGTCACCCCTCAAACTTCCATCCAAGGCCTTGAGAGCGGAATCGATGTTCACGTGAAATTCCTCAGTTTCCCCGCTTGAAGATATATTTTCGAGGGATAATGTTGCAATCCGAATGCATGATGCTGCTTGAGCTGCATCCGAAGCCTGGCGGCCGTTGGAGGATGATGCAGTCTGGTTTCTGATCCACCTCATAGCGACTTCGCCCATTTCAGCGGACTGGGCCAACGAGCTCATGACCTTGCACAAATTCCGGTCTTTCGCCTTGACTCCAGTGGCGCTTTCCAAAGCCTCCAACTTCGCACTCGCCAAGCTGTACTTTTCCGATGGTAGCGAATCAGATCGCCTTGAGAAAGCCGCAACACACTTGGAGAAAGGCTCGAGGAGTTCTTTCTCAGCATCTCCCTGGTGGCCGGAAAGCTTCCACCACTGTGCGCGAGCGTCAAATGCCAGAGCCTGCATTTGGAAGGCAACATCCGGGGACGGGCTTGTGGCAGCATCGCAGGCGCGGGTATCCTCCGAGCTTGATATGCTGGGACACAGGGAGAGAAGCATCTGGGCGACACTTTCCAATTGGCGTGCAGCTTTGTCTTTGTTTCCGGGTCTGTCGGCAAGTTGCAAGAGAATGTTTATGGGAGACGAAGGCGTCGATGGCCGGAGGAATTCGAGGGCCGACTCAATGCTTGACGGACGCTTGCTGGAGCAGATGACCTTCAACACGTAAAGCTGGTGATTGAGGGTGAGTTGCAAAGCCGGGCTGGCCACGTCGATCTGCCCAAAATTCAGCAAGCTCGCTAGGGTTTCCTTCTCTGCCTGGTCGCTGTCATTTCTCCCATTTTCAAGACCGTCCTTGATGGGACGCAGGTGACTTTCCAGCCGCCTCTTCAACACGCGCAGTTCCTTGACGGCCAGAGTATCCAAGCTCTGAGAAAGCAGCTTTCCGACCAGCGACAACATGCCAGTTTCTAACTGCAATGGCGGCATGTCTTTTCCCGAGGTTTTCCATGCTTCCGGGGTCCTCAAATATGCGAAGGCCAACCGCGCGCACTCAGCAACAGCCACAATATTGGCGGGGGCCCCGGGCTTTCCCGAAGACTTGGTAGTTTCGATGGATATTTGGCTGGGTGCTCTTTGCGCGGCGGGTCGTTTCGAGTCCGAGCGCTGACTTTGTGTCGTCGTCGAAGCGACGTGGGAGTGGGATTTCGATTGGAGTTTCGAGGCATCACTGAGTGCCTTGAGAGAAGAATTGACGACCTCGGTGGCGAGGAGGAACTTCTCGCGCGGAGTGAGGGCGGGAGGAGCTTCGGCGTCGGCTTTCGTCTTCGTTTTTGCGCGTGGGCGTGTGGGTTTTGCGTCCTGTGTCCGAGTAGCCTTCGGCCTGACATTCTCTTTGCCCTGGGCGCCGGAGGATTTTCCGGCGGCGCCGAGAAGCTCTTGGAGAGCGTGCACGGCAGCGTCAGAGCATGTTTGGTGGTGGGCGAGGGCCTGTTTGAGGGCTTGGAGGTCGGGGCGCACGGGCTTTGCGCTGATTGCCGTCATGCTGGCGGGATGTGCGAGGGCGACGCGATCGGGGTGGTGTAGAAGGCAAAGACCATGAGGGTTCGGGTTCGAGGCGTGACGCAGCAGTGTTGGTGGGCTGGGCGCAAGCGGCGCAAGCGGCGGCCGCCAAGACGGGGACGGGAGCTGAGTGGGGTTGGCGGAGCAACGCGCTGCACCCACTTGTCATGGACTCACGCGCCCCGCGTCCACGTCTCGCGCGTGTCGCATTGCGCATCCGAAATACCTATCGCTTCATTTGAACTGTGCTATCGCAACGGCTTTGTGCCTCGGCACAACACAAATGGCAACTCGATCGACGTCCGCCCGCCCGCCTCCTTTGGGTCCACAGCCCTTTCCATCGAAAACACCCTCTTGACCAACACGTCCTCGTAGCCCGCACCCTCCAGCAGTTTTTCCATTTCATCTGGCTTAAGCCCAGGCATTGCTACGTCTCCGTGCTCGCCTGCAAAGCGGAACAGTGCCGCGTCGGCCGCAGTGTTGTCGACATCGACCATGACCAGACTCCCGCCAGGCGCCAGGCAGAAATAGCCGATCTGCAGCCATTGCTTCATGTCGACGAGCTGATGGGCGAGCGTGCTGCAGAAGAGCAGGTCCCATCGCACAGGCTCCTCCGCTGCCTTGCCGTCCACCCTCTGTATCAGCTGGGCCACGGCTGCTGGCGCAGCGGTAAAGTCCGGATTGTTTATCTCGAAGCGGACGGCCGTGGTATGATCTGCGCCTCGTGCGGCAGCGTTCGCGTTGAAGGCGGCGACCATTGCTTCGGAAGTGTCGGTGCCAGTGAGGGTATGGGCATGCGGCGCCAGCATCGCCGACAGGATGCCGCTTCCGCATTCCACTTCCATAACATCGGGCTCTGTCGCATATTAGCGCCGGCCAGGTTGGAAACGATGGTCGGGCGTACTCTTCGCCCCTGGCTGCAGCTGCGGGGTGTGCTGCATAAGAGCCGTGTACGCCAGCTCGCAGCTGCGGCGGCAGGTTGGATCCGCCTCCCAGGCTGCGGCGACCTGATCGAAACGGGTCGTGCTGGAGGCCATGTCTGGTTGAGTATGCTGGCCGTCCACTGCCAGCGAAGAAAATGGCGTTTGTGCAAAGCGATGTTGCGAATCTAAGGAGGGCCAAATACTGGGTATGGTACGGGCTTCTCCCAGCTGATTTGCGGGCAGGAAGGGTACATACGATGGCTAGGGGGGTTGAGAAGGCGGGCGCTTACGTGTAGGAGCCGGCGCGCTGCACTAGGGCCCGGCTTGAGCGTGCCGCAGGATTCCAAATCGACCGTCGCCTCGACAATGATCCGGGAGCGAAGTCGACCTCATAGAAGCGGCCCGATGTGGAACGGGTCTGTCCAGAAGCCGACGTGCTGTGCAGCCGCCGGGGTACGAGCAATGCTCCATGAACTCTGCGTTCCCGACCCTGCTGGCTCTTTTCTGGCCCCCGACTTGTTTTTTCGCCCTGGCCATGGTGGCGGAGGGGCAAGGCGCTTCAAGAGGAACGGCCCGTTTGACCTTCCCAGGAAACGAAACAGAATCCCCCGCTTCTGGGAAATTTTGGCGAGACAGTCAGGGCTCCTCCTGTGCCACCGGCTACCTACGTACATAGAGCAATCGCCTGCTGCAACTCCCTCTCCACATCCTCGTCCCACACCGCCCGGAATCTTTGATTCGACACGTCTTCGATTCTTGCACAGTCGTCCCCAACGCCCTCTTCGAGAAAGGCAAGCGCACGTCCGCTCAGTCTGCTCCACTGCACGATTTGCTGCGTCCTCGGCCTGCGGACGGCGTCGTATGCCTGAAACACACTCGGCAAATCATCCGCCTTCTCCGCTTTTCCCAGAAGACGGCTGAGGACATAAGCATCCTCCATGGCCTGCCCCGCCCCAGCTCCGAGATGCGGCGCAGCTGCATGGGCGGCATCGCCCAAGAGGCAAACCGGGCCGCGGCAGTATTGCTTCTGATGAGGGTAGTCAAACAGCGCCCACTTCTCTTTGGCACTGTAGGCAGACAACAGCCCAACCAGCCGCGGATGCCACCCGCGGAGCTCGGAACGTATCTCTTCTTCGGTGGACGGCAGGAGCCATGATCCATGGCCCCATGTGCTGCCGGGCTTGCATCGAGAGGCGACCACGTTGATGAGTCGACCGTGCTCGACGGGGTACGTGATGATATATCCACCGTGTCCCACGTACAGTTGGCCGTTGAAAGTCAGCTCGGGGCCCATGGCCTTTTCAAACGCGTCGGACGGCACCATGGCTCGGTATGCGTAGTCGCCGGTGAATACGGGCTGGGCGTCTGGGCCGTGGACAAAGGACCTTGCCTTGCTCTTGATGCCATCACACCCAACGACGGCGCTCGCGGTGGCCGACGTGCCGTCGGAGAAGTGCAGATGCACGCCACCGCCCTCAGCGGTGAGTTCGTCGATGTTCGCCAGGGATTTGCCGAAAGAGGCAGTGCCCTCAGGGACCAGCTGAATGATTTCTTCCAAGAACTTGGCACGGTGCACGCAGCATCTCGCGGGAAACCCGGTTGGAGTGGGGCCACGGCCATGAGTCTTCACATCAAAGCACCATTCGCCTGGCTCGCCTGGCTCGCCTCCATCGACCGCTTCCCGGGCCGTTGGTGACTGCATGCCGTAGCGGACAGAGACGAAAGTGCTCTGCAGGCTGGCGGCGGCGTTGCAGGTGGCATGTTTGGCGTAGGCTTGGAGCAGGGCGGGCGAAACCAGACCGAGGGAGAGGACAGAGTTTGGACCGAAGGCGACGCCGGCACCGATCTCGCCAAATCCCTTTGCAGCCTCGTAGATGTGGACGGGAACGCGCTGGGCAAGGAGACCAATGGCCAGGACGACGCCGCCCAGGCCGCCGCCGACGATGGCGACAGTGAAGGGCTTGGGCGAGGCCATGGGCGAAGTGACGACTGCAAAACCGCGTCTGGTTAAATGCGCGCGCTCAGTGCATGCGGCCGACTCCGCCCTTTGGGTGGGCTTATCATCATGGTTGCGTGCTTGCTGATATGTAAGTAACCAGGGCGGCACAGCGGGGGCTAGCGGCGCGATCGACGGCGGACCGGCGCAGCCTATCAGCCAGATGACGCGGGCAGTGCGGGCTGCGCGTTTGATGCCACATGCCAGGATGGGCCAGCGGTTCTCAGCGGTTCGCCGGGGGTCGCAGTCACGTGGGGTTTGCTGTGAGATTATAATTATTCCTGCAGGCTGCAGGGCGAGAAAAGAGGCAATCCCGGCGCCAGCCGCGCGGGCGTGGCAGGCTGCTGCCTCCGAAACCAGGTGTTGCGAGGCCGCCCGGCAGCGCACTAGATATACGACCCCACGCGCTGCTCTTTGAAACCCGCGCCGTGCAACCCGCCGGAAACCAGCGTCTGCAGGAATCCGTGCCACAACGACTGCATGTGGCCGCGTCGATCGCTACCCCGGCTTTTTGGGGCTCCATGCACCCGCCGCCTCAATCGCCAGCGCCCTTTACTTAAACCCCTCGACCGAGCCTGCCCTCACATGCCGCAGCATGGCTTCCTCCGCCGCCCAAGCCGCCCAAGCCGACATCTGCTGGGGCACCAGCAAGAAAACAAACCGCCGCTGCGCCAACAAGGCCAAGCTCGCCCCGCCCGGCCATCTGCCCACCTGCCACCAGCATCGTGACCAGCTGCTGCGCCCGGGCTGCTGCCAGTACCTCGTCAATGCGAAGACGGCCGCCCGCTGCAAGCGCCGCTTCGTCTACGACCCGCCGCCGCCGTACTTGGAGCTGTGTCCGGAACACGCCGACACGCCTCAGGGTCCATGTCACTTCCTCCGCCTCCCCGTCGAGCTGCGCATCGAGGTATACAAGTACTTCCTGCAACCGGGAGCCGTGTGCGGCGACGAACACCAGGCCCAAACATTCCGGCCCTTCCTTCCCCTGCTCCTGGTCAACAAACAGGTTGGTTCCGAAGCCCAGGATCACCTGTACGCCTGCACCACCTTTCATGTGGAGATCGGCCAGCAGGGAGCCACCATCAACGGCCGCTACCTCTATCGCCCGTGCGGTGCTGAATACCGCTACGATGACGAAGGGGGCGCCGTTGTCAACAAATACCGAGACATCCGCCAGCAGCTCAACTTCTCGCGGGTCAAGAATTTCAATCTCGAAGTGTCCGTTGTCAACTGCAGCGAGCTGGTCGGCTGGTCCGAAGAAGTCGAGATGTATGACCTGCGCGACAGCATCTCCGCCATCCTGCCTTACCTTGCCCGCGCACGAAGCTTGAACAAACTCAACGTCCGCGTCGTCTGCACGCGCTTCGACCGCTGGACCCCGGCCAAAGCACTTGCCAACTTCAAGCTCATCACCCAGCCCCTCATGTCCCTCCGCAACGTCATGCACCCGCTTCTCGAGCCTCCTTACAAGGGCCTTCTTTGGTTCCCCTCCAACCATAGGAATTCCTCAAAAAGACACTTGCCCACCTCAACCTTTGCCGACATCACCACACCAGATTCAATCGCAGACGCACCCCTTCCGCCTTCATGGAGCTACCGCATCGCGGGACGCTTCATCCCCCCCACCTCACAGCAAGCCAACACCTACGCCGAATTCCTCTCCTACAAACGCGTCTTCGAGTCCATCACCGCCAGCGCCGAGCCCGTCCCGCCCAAACCGCCCATCGCGCGCATGTTCTCGGCCTTCAAGCGCGTCTACCTCGAATGCGCCTCGCTCATCCTCTCCCCCAATCCCGCCAACTCCGCCCACTCCACCAACTCCACCACCAACTCCACCACCACCACCACCGAACCCCTACCCTTCGGCGCCTCAAACTACCTGCACCGCGCGCGCGTCGCGCGCGAAAACGCCGACCTCGACGCCTTCGTCGCCGCGCGCAACGGCTTCGTGCGGCGCTGGAACACGCACCTGGAGCAGCGGTACCGCGAGCTCGCGCGCGTCAACGGGCTCGTCGTCGACATGTACAACGTCGACGCCGTGGGCTGCTGCGGGATGGGGCCGTGGGACGCGCAGTTTACGTCGTCGTCGTCGTCCGGTCTGGAAGGAGCAGGTGCAGCAGGGGGAGATGCGGCAGGGTCGGTGGCTGGGCTGGCTGCGATCCAACACCAACACCAACACCAACACCAACAGCAGCATCAGCAGCAGCAGCAACGCCAGCTGGCGAGTCCGCCGGCGGAGTGCGGTCCGGTGGGGTTGACCGCCAATACGGTGCTGCAGATGAGCGGGGGTAGTGGTAGTAGCAGTGGTGGTGACGGACGAATGGTTGGTGGAGCGCGCGGGAGTGGGTCGTGGGTGGCGGGGTGGGATTGGAATTACTCCGCTGCTGGTACTGCTGCTGGTGGTGGCGGCGGCGGCGGGCGTGTTTCCGCGTGTGAGGGCGTCGCGCCGGATTGCGATGGTGATGTGGCCATGGTGCTGAAAGAGGAAGAAGGTGCAGGGTACGGCGAAGGCTCCATGCAGTTCGCATCCGGATTTCGTTGAAGAAAAGGCAGGAAAAGAGCGCGCGGGCGCGGAAGATGCCGATGTCAGCGGTGTGTCTTCTGGCATGCATAGGTTGTTTGTGGCTCCCCACTTTCTTCCCTCCCCCCTTTCTCTCTCGCGTGACGTGTTTGAGCGGTTTTAACTCTCTCTCTCTCTTTCCCCGGTTGGTTCGTGGTGTGATGAGCTGCAGGCTTCTTTTCCGGGTTTCTTCGTGGGGTAATGACTGCGTGATTTGAGCGATGCGGGAATGCATAACCGAGAGGAGAGACGAGGATTGCGATCCGGATCACGCAGGGATTATTTATTGGTCGGGGGGTCTCTGATCTGGGAGGCAAGAGCAGGGCCTCAGACAGTTCATGCGCCCGGGATGCCTGCAAGATTCAGCTCTCCTCTCGGGTGTTTTCGCCGTCTATCCTTGCTCCGCCGCGGCCATTTCTGGAATGGTGAGAGGCTTGTGGGGGTCGCCTCTATGCTTGGCCCTCTCCCTTGTTTTTTTTTTTTCTTCTTCACTTGTTGAATCATCCTATACCCCTTCCCATGGCATCTTTTCAGTCGACGTATCATACGTTTTGTCGCAGTCTGTATCATTCGCACACCCGAAAGTTTACCTACATCAGATATTCATCCGTAGTACCAGACAGAAGGTTCCGACTTGCCTTCCTTTATCTGTGTATCCCTCATCTTCCAATTGCGTTCGGAGATGATTTTCTAGCTGACATCCCCCTGTTTTTATTCACTGTTTTCATATTACCCGAAGCATCTCCTGATGTTCTTGTGAGAGTGTTTCCTCCACACCTTTCGATCACTTCCTTTCACAGATGATTTAAACTCACCCATAAAGTATGGGCAAAAGTTTTCGTTTCTTTTAACTAAGCCTCGTCTCATTTCTTTGCCTTTCGGGTGGGTTTTAAGTAACCACATGTCGTAACTCCACTGTAACGGCCAATGGGATGACGAAGGAAGGGATGTTGGGTAAAATCCAAGTTGCGCAACAGCTGGTATCCCATTCCTCAAGGAATTTCGATTTATCAAAGACATTTCTCAACCTACAAATTGGATTAACCTGAGGGGTGTGGCGGGTTGTGAAAATATTGAGCCCAGCTGCGCCCATCGCAGAGATATTGGGGTATGCTCACGTAGACAGTGGAAGGAATTCTCTGTACAAATGTCAACGTTCTGAAACCTCGCATTTACGTCTGGATACTGGCGTTGATGGCCCACGCGAGAAGAACGTCAACATTTACCGGACATTATTGGAGTTCCTTCTTGCGCCAGCATGAACGGCACCACCGTTTCTTGGGCGGATAGCTAAGAAGAGAAATGGTTACCTAAGAACTCACCGGTACGTACTAGATTAACGGTCCCAAGAACGGCAACATGCGCGACACTACGAATGGCTGTTTAGGGGTGCAGGCAAAGGACCGTCCAACGCCGCAACGCTGGGTCAACTGGGAACGATTGGACGCCCACTTCTTCGATGAGAACCGTTCCAGTAAGAGGAACATACAAGAGATGAGCTAGTGTGTGCCAAGGCATCGTAGCCGTTTTCAGAGAAGGATGAGATGTGAGGTGGAGTAAGTGGGTTGCGTGAAAGGACTGATGCGTGAGAAGGAGTGAACGAGGAGAGAACTGAGTGGTAAAAAAAACCAAATACAGGGTTGAGAGTCTGAACGTTAAACCGGGGCATGAACAACCGGCTTATACCACCGTGAGTTACAGAAAATTGACCTACGGCAATCCTTTGGTGCAGAGTTCCGGTTATTGGGGACTAAGTGAGAGCGCTAGCTTTTGTGCGGGCGGTTGAAGCAGATATCCGGAAGTAGATGCAAGTTTAAAGATGTATAAATACATCCAGATACAAGATTCCACAGCCCATGTGAGATGGATGTAGGTGAGTTAATTTCTTTCGTCACACACTGTGGCGCTGGGCGTGGCATCTGTCCGAGCCAGCACTTTGCCGAATGCGGCAATTCCATCATCATCTTACATTGGCTGTTGGCCTTTGATATCGTCAAGGTGAGGGGCCAATTTAGTAACGCAATCACCAAAGCGAACCACCCTGGTCTGAACCGCATACTCTACCCGTTCGAAGTGCCGATGGAAACCTCAATCCACGAGACATGGCATGGGTTAACGGAAGAAATTTCTGGCGGCTGATGAGGAACGAAAATCCATTTCAAGGGGGGTCAGTCGCCACATGAGGAACTTTACGCATCCAAGGCTACGTCGGCTAAGACGTAGTACACGAGCAGTTACGGATTGCTTCTCCACAGTAAGCTCGTTCGGTCATTCCTTGTCAAATGAGACTACTCTAGTAAACTCAACACTGGTGCCAGCGGCCCCTCTCTCACAGCCGCCCAGTTCAAATCCCACCCAGCCTCAATACAGCGCTTTCCGAATCTCGCCAGCTCACCCGTCTCTTCCTTCCCACACCACGTGACGACGGAAGGCCAAACCGCCAAATGCACACCAAAATGCACAACCAACCTCTGCACAAACGCCTCTTTCCCCGCTGCCCCACCGACCCCACCGTCCTCCCTCGCCGCCCGGACATAACCCTCCAGAAACGCCTCCAGCAGCCCCTTCCCGCCACAAAACCGATCGAGCAAATACGCCTCCGCCGCAAACTGAGCCACATCCGTCGTCCCAGTCCCCCTGCGCGTCATCTCCCAATCAACAACACTCAACACAACCGCCGCCGGCCCATCCTCCTCCTCCCCCGTCCTCACAAGCACATTCCCCGGCCAAAAATCGCCATGACACACGCACACACCGTCCGCCGCCTCCGCCTCCGCCTGCAGCCGAGCGCCAAACTCGTCGTCCACAGCCCGTGCATACGCGGGATCCAGATCCAGCCCGTGGTGCCGCGCAAACGCCGCCGCGAGGTTCGCGTAGGCGTGGCGGCCGATGCCCCTCGCGGCGGCGTTGTCGAACGAGCGCCGCGCCAGGCTGCGCGTGCGGCGGTGCAGCTGCGCGAGCCAGGCGCCCAGAGCGGCGCCGACGCGCGGGATGGTGGTGGTGGACGCGGCGGCGGTCGGGTACCAGGCTTTGAGGTTGTGGGGGCCGGCGTCGCTCATGATGAGGATGTGGGCGTCTGGGTCGGAGTGGTGGAGGGTGGGGAGGCGGACGGTGGGGCTGGGGGCGGTGGGGTCGAGTTGGGTGCTGTGGTGGTGGGGGAGCGGGTGTTAGGGGAGTTATGGGGGGAGGGGATGAGGAGATGGAAGGGGAGACGGACGAGGTTAGGGTCTGGGGTAGCAGCGATAGGGCGCTGGCTTCGAATTGCATGCGGTCGACGCTGAAGGGGATGGATGGGTTGGCTTTTACGTATGGCTCGGCGTGCTTGACGATTCGTGCTTCGCCGGATGGTAGCGTGAGGCGCCAGACGAAATTGCCTGTGCCGCCGGGCAACTGCTCGACAGATGTGAAGTCAATCCCCACTGATGCGAGGTAGACCTCGAGCTGAGATGTTGTTGTAAGGCTCATTGTGCAGAAGCTTCGAGATGGCGGGCGGAGCTTGGTGAGGAAACAGGATAGTGGCACCAATCTAGACGGAAACTCTGGTGGGGACAATGAAGTGGAGTGTCGGATGGTAAGTCTATATAATGCTTAGACCGACGCTTACCGGATTCGGCAGGAGCGGTGTTGCGGTAAGTGCTTGGAGATCCAGTAGCGTACGGGTATGAGTCATGTGCAGGAGTATAGCGCTGAGAGCTAAAAGGAAAGAAAGTACGGTGATGAAGTACCAGGGCGCGCCGTTTCGGAGTTTCGCAATTGTCACAATAGCTGTTGGCCGAAGGGTTCTACTTGTGAGTTGATCTCTAGGAACATGGTGGATGGAGCGAGGTGATACGTGATACGTGATACGCGCGCGCTAGGATGCGGACGAGAAAGTTGTGGCCGCTGCTTGAAAGCCGCAGTGACGCCGGTTGTGCCAGTCTTCCCCACCTTTTCAACTCTCCTCACCCACAGCCTTCCGCATCGAAGTCCACAGAGCCGTCGAGGAATACAGTCAGAACGCCCTTCTGCCGTCGATTTCGCTCGTGCGCGCGTCGGGACGCACCCTCTGTCGTGGCACATCACCTTCACGCTCTTCTATGCATCCTGGAAGAGTGGAAACGGCGGCGTCCGTTGAGATCTATGCCACACATGCTAGATAAGCTATCAAATCTTACTCCCAAAAACTCCGACATTCACATTAGCGTCGGGGAAAATAGAGTGTCCTACCTTTGACCTCAACGTTCCGCACGGAGCATCCCCCGGTGCCCGCTCCCGTTATCGCTACCTGCAGCTGTTACCGTGCCTTCGCGGCCGGTTCCGACGCAGATGCACATTCGCCCAACCCCAGCAGGCTGCTGTCAGAGACTTCGCAGCTATCCTCGCTGATCATTGGAATGCAGACGTGGCGAATATCACCCGCGGAACCTCTACCCTTGGACATTCCCCCGCAAGCGCTGCTACGCCCGGCAATCCTTAGCTTGAAGGCGTTCGTTAACACTGACGACGCCGAGGCGTTGGCTTGACGCCGTCACTTGGCGGTGCGGAGAGAACGGTTCTGCGGCAGCTTACCAACGTCGGCACACAGGGAATGATGCTGTGTACGGGGGGCACAGTCGGACCGTACTGTCGCGGCCCTGGACGAAATACAAGGCTGGAGACGCCATGTACACGATTATGCAGCCAGCCAGCCGTCCTGTCCCTGAACTCGACGTGTTAACGACTGGCCGCCGTCACGATTGCTGGGGAAGCTTGGGCGCGGGTGGCGTCCTAAGTAGACCACAGCACGGTCCCATCTGCGAGCGCCGCAAAACGGCCATACAATGGCTGCCTTCGTCATCCACAAGTCGATTCACGCCTGTGCAGGAAAAATCAACAGCGTGGTACTTCAGCCCAATGAACGGCCCACTACAAACCTCAGCAGGGCACTACTTCAACGCACACGTGGGCTTGTTGTTGACAGCAGTACAAGCATCATCAATGGTGGTCGTCTACTGGTGGACTTCTCAGGCTTCGCCTCTGCTCTGATTCTCCGATTCGTAACTGAAATCCGACAAACGACCCTAGAATCATTCCTGGGTTGCACTTCATTTTAGGTGCAGTTTAAGTGCTGATGCTGGCATGTCACACGTCTTCCTTCGGTAGCACAGCAGTGCCTCTCGCTGCAGCCGCCGCGTGGGCACCTTCAGCTCGGTCCGTGGAATCGGGGAGTGCGGACGTGACTCAGTTCTCTGGGCCTGACGCAGGGACAAAAGCTTCCGCTCGCACGACGACATCTGGATGTAGCCCTCGTGCTTCTGCTTGCAGAGAATCCCAACGTCGGATGTCCTGGGGCCAAGAGAGCTCGGCCAACGCCGATGAGGAGTTTTGGTGGGTAGCGCATGGCGTGAGATTGCGGAAGGCTCGGCACGGCTTGGAGCTGAGAGCTCTGGATGCTTGCAGGGTGCTTACACGGCAGAAGAAAAGTCAAGATGCGACCAAGGATCCGAGTCTTGGCCGACGAGGCTCAACGGCACAGCTCTACGCCAGCTGAAGCGATGTTGCAGCCTGGCCCCGTATCTTTGGCCAATGGCCTGGGCGGACCGCTGCTCTGGGGCCCCGTGGGCGAAGGGGATCCGGAAAAGGAATGTCGGCCGCCATGGCGGCTTCCATGGCCGCAGCCGGCGCAGCGGCCACTACAGAGCGTCAGGCATCCAGTTCGAAACATGAGCCAGCTTTGCGGCCAAGTTCCTGTCAGCTGGCAGCGTCGGAGTCAGGCGGCTCCGCAGATGTGCCGAAGCCATGAATCGGAGCACCCGACGCACCGGCTCCTGCCTCGTGGCCAAATGCGCGTTTTGGCGCCCATCCTGAGTGATTTGCCGTCGTGCAAGGCGGCCTAGCTCATGCATGCAAGCGGCACTGCAGCGGACCAGCCATAATAAATCAAACCGCCCCCACCGAACGAGGGCGAGACTGAGGATCGCAAAACAACCAACGCGTCAGCCATGGCACCATCGCCATCCAACAGTGACATCGGGCGGCAATGGCGTTCTCCGCCGTAAGCCTGCAATTGGACATGATCAGCGCCATGAATACCCCACACTGATACGACGCGGGGGTGCTTTGCACCATGACAGATGAACGGGCGCTTATTTCACAATCAAGCGGTGTCCGAATGCCTTCGACTGGCCTGGTGTCGATCCTGCAGGGACGACAGGTTACCTGTTCCAGAATGAGTGCAACTCATTGGCATGAGAGCAGTTGCTTACGTCGTATAGCGATCCCCCGAGGTACTCGGTGGTCTGGATTGTACCAAGAACGCCCCTGCCAACAGGCTATTAATACTGCATGAGACTTCACATGTAAAGGGCTCTCCGGCATGGCCACAGCCTTTGTCTGAACCATAACCGTGGAGACGAGAGATTTTTATACCCCTTATTTCGCACAAATCGCTCACTCTCATCACACTACTCACTGAGGGCATGTTTGGCATCACTGGTATGAGAAAATGAGAGGTTTCTACTAAACAAGGAGTATGAATGGTCTGATCGCTCTGTCTCGTACCCGTGGTTTGGATGAAATGCACCACAGCTAACCAGTGCAACGGCTATCGCGTACATAAAGGCTGTTGTGTATGACACAATCTTTTGCTTTCCACATAATGCCATTCTGAGGCCCATAAAGAAAGCAATACTTATACGAGTAAAGATAGGTATGTTTTTTTTTTTCCGGTAACTGAAACCTAGCTAGGCTAGGAATTCTTAGCTGTCTGAAGAACGGGACCTTCTCTCCGCCATTCCGTCAGCTCGTCCGAACGCCTTAGCACGGTACCCCATCCGGTAATGCGTTATGTAGCGCAAACACCCCCCTTCACTTCAGTGCAGGGAAACGGTGACGCTGATCATGTCTAGCAACAAACATTCGGGCTGCAGAACACGCCCCTGGCCCCACCCTTGCTCTCCGCACCCCAGAGACGGACCACCCCGAATGGGGTTAGATGCTCTCTTCCCCCGCGCTACACGTGCCTCTCTCCACGGGCTTGGCACAGCTTGAGCCAAGAGCGGCCAAGGCCGGCCAAGGCTTGCGCTCCGCATGGCCGTGCTGGGTTCGGTGAAAGCTGCTGTGAGACGCGGCGGTACAACGTCAAGCCCCATCAAGGCCTCTTTCGCCCTTTCACCGCCGGCCAGGTCGCTTGACTCTCCGTCGCCAGGGATTATCCCGTGCCCCAGCCCCAGACCGCTTCGGGCGGCCTGCATCACCGTGGCTGAAAGGATTCTCTTGTGCCCAGAAAGCCTCGAGGCTGTTTTGGGCCCGTCTCCCGGACGGCATGGCTGCGCCAGATCGCCCGAGGGCCGGAAGTATGAGCGCCCCCAGCTAGGGTCGTAGGCATATAATGAGGCGGGGGGGAAGCTTGGGTTTGGCGTTTGTTTCTGCTCCGCATCTCTCTGCTCCTCTTTATCCCCCCCGGCTGGCACCAAAGCGTTGGTGCATCGATCTGCCAAACATGTCGGAGAAGATCGAGGCAAAGGACGAGATCTACCATGACGAGGCCGTCACCACCTTGAACCTGGCTAAGAATCTTGACGCCAAGTGAGCTTCGCCGGACCCGCTTCTTGCTTTGCCGAGAAGCAAAAGCTTCCGCTTAGCACTGACAAGAAATGCAGAGTCGCAAATCCTCTTGCCGACATTCCGCACGATATCTTGATGAGAAATGTCGAAGACTTCGCCCGAGACAAAGACCTCGTCGACCTCACCGACACCCTGAAGAAGGGCGCGCTGATCGCCCAGAATCCGTCAAGGTGGCAGGAGGTCGAGGGGATGACCGAGGAGGAAAGGCACCTGCTCCAGCGCGAACACGACCACAAGTGGAAGCACCCGTTTGCTCTTTACTTCACCATCATCGTCTGCTCCATTGGTGCTGCCGTCCAGGGCTGGGACCAGACCGGATCGTGAGTGAAGCACCCCAGTGTCCTTTCGTGGACTTTTCTGACAAACGGTGCAGGAACGGTGCCAATCTTTCTTTCCCTCAGGAATTTGGTATCGGCCATGGCGAGGACAAGGGCCACCCCAACTACACTCGTGACAGTTGGCTCGTTGGTGTCGTCAACGCCGGACCTTACATCGGATCTGCTTTCATGTGAGCTTGCTACCCTGGAAAAGCACCAGCACGACGGCTTTTGCTGACATTTGACTGTTAGTGGCTGCTGGCTGTCGGACCCCTGCAACTTCTACTTCGGTCGTCGCGGTACCATCTTCATCTCGGCTGTCTTTTGCGTCCTCACTCCGATCGGAGGTGCCGTCTGCCAGACTTGGGAGCAGCTCTTCATCACGCGTCTTCTCATGGGCATCGGCATGGGTCTGAAGGGTGCCACCGTGCCCATCTTCGCTGCCGAAAACGCGCCCGCCAGGATCCGTGGTGCGCTCGTCATGTCGTGGCAGATGTGGACCGCCTTTGGCATCTTCCTGGGGTTCTGCGCGAATCTTGCAGTGTACAAAATCGACAAGATTGCCTGGCGCCTGCAAATCGGCTCTGCCTTCATCCCGGCCGTGCCATTGGTCCTGGGAATCTTCTTCTGCCCCGGTAAGTCATGTGCGCCCCCATGCTCAGTGGCTCTTGTCTAATCCGCGACAGAATCGCCACGATGGTACATGAAGAAGAACCGATACCGCAAGGCGTACAACTCGCTTCTCCGGCTCCGCTTCCACCCGATCCAGGCCGCCCGCGATCTCTACTACATCCACGCCCAGCTTGAGGTCGAGGCAGCAATCGTCGGCAAGTCGAACTACCTGACCAGGTTCGCCCAGCTCTTCACCATTCCCCGCGTGCGCCGCGGTACCCTGGCCTCCTTCGTCGTGATGATCGCCCAGCAGATGTGCGGCATCAACATCATCGCCTTCTATTCCTCCACCGTCTTCCGAGAGGCCGGTGCCAGCCAGAGCGAAGCCCTCATTGCTTCCTTCGGCTTCGGCCTTGTCAACTTTGTCTTTGCTTGGCCAGCCATCTGGACAATCGACACGTATGGCCGTCGTACGCTGTTGTTGTTCACGTTCCCGCAGATGGCGTGGACGCTGCTGGCGGCCGGCTTCTGCTTCTACATCCCGCAAGACAACAAAGCACATCTCGGACTAGTCGCCTTCTTCATCTATGTGTTCGCAGCGTTCTACAGCCCTGGCGAAGGTAAGCACTCCGCCAAACAATGGGGAGAAGAAAAACTCGCGTCGAAGATTCGAAGATTCTTCTTCTTTTTTTTTTTTTAGGGACATTTCGCTGACCAAGCCTAGGCCCGGTACCGTTCACTTATTCAGCAGAGTGCTTCCCACTCTCCCACAGAGAAGTTGGTATGGGTTGGGCGGTGGCGACGTGCCTGTTCTGGGCCGCCGTCCTGTCCATCTCGTTCCCGGCCATCCTGCAGGCATTCTCGTCTACAGGCGCATTCGGCTTCTACGCGTAAGCCTCCCCCAGCCCATATCTCCCGGGACGACGTGGCGGCGTGCCTGCCGAAGCGTAGCCGGAGAGTTGCAACGGAATAGCGGTTTACTGACGTGCATGCAGGGGTCTCAACGTGATAGCCTTCGTCATGATCTTCCTCTTCGTGCCCGAAACCAAGCAGCGCACGCTCGAAGAGCTCGACTACATCTTCGCGGTGCCGGTCCGCAAGTTCATCTCGTACCAGCTAGGCCAGGCGCTGCCGTGGTGGATCAAGCGTTGGGTGTTGATGCAGAAGAACGCCAAGCTCGAACCGCTGTACCACTTCGACAAGGGCATCGACGCGGACGCGTCCGACACCGAGAGGACCGTGAAGCCCAAGATATAGAGCAGAGCAGAGATTGTTCTCTCCGAGAGAAGGGACCGGCCATACGGAGATGTCTGCCATTCTATCTTGAGAGATCTCGGTTGGGTGGAACGGTATACAGTAAACGATAAGGGTTTGTGAAGGGAGTTAAGAGAGGAGAGAAGAGATACCACGTAGCAAAGCTTAATGACCTATCACACAACTGCTCGCCTCATGGACGTGTTGAATGAAACGGTTGTATCACGGCATTGCAGGCGGGGTAGTGGCTGCTTACGAATGCAGGCCGACTCGCCTTACTAATAAGCGCCCATGCTGTGGGCTGACTAACAAGCTACGTCAGGATCCTAAACTAATCAAATGGGCGTCGAGGTGGAGGATCTGGAGAGAGGGCGATGGTGTTGCGGGACAGCCTGGAGCGCCCCTGACTCGGTTCGATCAATGACGTACATAGCGCCTTCCGTTAACTAATCACCCCGCTCGCATTTCGCAGCAGGTGGGGTGCGTCGAGCCACAGATGTACTACGTAGTAGCTTCAATTGCTGCAGGGATGTGCTACGCGACTTTTGTCATCTTTTTTTATAAAAGCCCCTCTGCGCAGCTCAATTGATGCCGCAGCCAGCTCCAGAAGCTTCATTCAACGAAGAAATCCTCCGCTCCCCATCTCGCTGAACTTTTCCGTAAGCTACCGGCCATCAGCATCTCCCTTTGCTCATAGAAGCTTACATTTCCCCAGATATAACCCACCATGTCTGGAACCATGAAGGCGATCAAGATCCAGGGCGAGGGCAAGGCCGCCATCGTCGACGCGCCCATCCCGAAGGTGCGTCCGGGCACTGCGCTGGTCAAGCCGGTGGCGCTCGCTCTCAACCCGACGGACTGGAAGCACATCGCGTTCGTGGGAGGCACCGAGGGCTGCACGTCGGGCTGCGACTACGCGGGCGTGGTGCAGGACGTCGGCTCGGGCGTGACGACGATCAAGAAGGGCGACCGCATCGCCGGGTGGTCCCACGGCGGCAACCAGAACAACAAGGAGGACGGCTCCTTCGCCGAGTACCTGATCGCCAGGGAGGGCATCGAGCTGAAGATCCCCGAGGGCGTGAGCTTCGAGGAGGCGGCCACGCTGGGCGTCGGCATCTCAACCATCGGCCAGGGCCTGTACCAGTCGCTCAAGCTGCCGCTGCCCAGCAAGCCGGCCAGCGAGCGCTTCCCCGTGCTCGTGTACGGCGGCAGCACCGCCACGGGCGCTCTGGCCGTCCAGTTTGCGAAACTGTGAGGCGTCTTCCCCCCAAGGCTTGGGAGCAGGAAAGAAAGCGGTGCTGACATGTGACATCCAGCTCCGGCCTCGAGGTCATCGCCACGTGCTCGCCGCACAACTTCGACAAGGTCAAGTCGCTGGGCGCCGACGCCGTCTTTGACTACGGCTCGGCCACGGTGGGCGCCGACATCCGGAAGCACACGGGCAACAAGCTCTACCACGCCTTCGACTGCATCGCCGAGGGCAACTCGGCCCAGATCTGCGCCGACGCCCTTTCGTCGGACAGCGGCGCGAAGAAGCCCGTGTACAGCGCGCTGCTGTACATCGAGCTGCCGCGCAAGGACGTCGAGGCCAAGTACACGCTCGGCTACACCATCTTCGGCGAGGAGGTCGTCAAGCCCTTCATCCCCAAGCCGCTGCCCGCTAACCGCGAAGACTACGAGTTCGGCTGCATGTTCTGGCAGCTGTCCGAGAAGCTGTTGGCCGAGGGCAAGTTCAGCGTGCACACGCCTGACATCAGGGGCGGCGGCCTGCAGGGCGTGCTGGAGGGCCTGGAGGAGATGAAGGCGGGCAAGGTCAGCGGCAAGAAGCTGGTGTACAAGCTGTAAGCAAGGGACGTGTTCCCGAGGAACGAAAAGTCAGACCTTTTCGAAACAGACTTGGGCCATAATAATGTCAGACCATCAAACGTGCTTATCAATATGCAAAGATGACGTAATGACGGAGCTATGCGGAGGTAGGAGATAGTCATCTCGAGAGCTCTACGAAGCAGTTGCGATCCGCCATGACGATACTTTGTTCACCCCGGTCCCGCACTAGAAGCGTTGCTAAATCCATGACGGCACCCCTGCTATCCCCGGGTGACGCGGTGGCTATTTGAACCATTGACTTACCACCACCCTTGGCCACTTCACTCCAGCTTCTAAACATCCGCACGCTGACATCCGCAACCATGGCACCCCTCGTCTTCTTCATTACCGGTAAGCCATTGAAACCTCCCGTTCCGTATGAAGGGGGGGAAGGAAGAACGTAATCACCTGCCAACACCTATCCCCCCCACCCAAACAGGCACCTCGACCGGCTTCGGCAACGAGTACGTCAAGATCTGTCTCGCAAACGGGCACAAGGTCGTCGCCACGGCGCGCGACTCGTCCAAGCTCTCGTTCGCGTCCATCTCCAACGCCTCGAGCCTGCTGCTCGTCGACCTCGACGTCACGAAGAAGGAGTCGATCGGCGCGGCCTTCGGCGCCGCCCTCGCCAAGTTCGGCCGCGTCGACGTCGTGTGCAACAACGCCGGCTACGGCCTGGCCGGCGCCTTCGAGACGCTGTCCGAGAAGCAGATCCGCACCCAGATGGAGGTGAACTTCTTCGGCTTGATCGACGTGACGAGGCGGGCGATGGAGGTCATGCGCGACGAGCAGAGTCCGCCGGGGGGTGTGATTCAGCAGGTGACGAGTATTGGGGGGCAGAGGGGTGTGGTGAGTGGTTTTTGTTTTCTTTCCTTTTGCGAGACACGTGCATTCCCCTCTCGTCGGGCGTTTAGTGCGCGTTCGAAGTTGACTCCGAGGTATGTGAACAGCCCCTGTTTTCGACGTATTGTGCCTCCAAGTGGGCGGTCGAGGGCTTCACCGAAGCCGTGTCCAAGGAGGTCAAGCCGGAGTGGGGCATCAAGTTCACGTGCATCGAGCCCGGTGGGTTCAGGACGGACTGGGCGGGTAGGAGCATGGACTTTGGTAAGTGGTTTTCTCTTTCTCTCATCGTTCATCGTTACTCTATTTTTAACCCCCAGAGCTGCTGTTTTTTTTTTTTCTCTAATTACATTTCGTGAAGGCGAGCCCCACCCTGCGTACGACCACCTCAACGCCAAGGAGATCATGGGCAAACGGCACGGAACCCAGGCGGGCGACCCGAAGAAGGGAGCCCAGGCCTTCTACGACCTCGCCGTCATGTCCGACCCGCCGCTGCGCTGCATCGTCGGCACCGACGCCTACGCCGCTATCAATGAGAAGTTGGATCAATATCGCGACAACGTGAAGAAGAACGAGAAGCTGAGCAACAGCACCGACGTCGACGGGTACAAGAAGCCGGAGTAGGCCCTTTGCGCTCTTCATGCGTTGAAGTAAAATGGGTATATGTAGCGCCGGAAAAAGTATGGACGAGCTATCTTGCCAGGTGTACGTGATGTGGCAGAGAGCTCGACCAGTGACTGCGGTCGTGGTGGTAGGCAGAAATGCACAGCATCCATATACGTTCGCATCCACTGTGACAGAAGGCTTCTTTGGTATGCTCAACTCGATTCATAGATCTCACAGCAAAAGCAAACCCACTCCTCTGAGAAAGGCCACGAGCGACTCGGGGTCTCGTATAAGTGTTGGCAAAGCAGGGAAAGGATCGTCGGGTAGTTTGAGTGAAGGCATTGCCGATGATTCGCCGTAAAGTAAACAGACGCCCAAGCAACCGCGGAGAGCTACCTCCACCCTGTCCGAACTTCCAATGTGCTCGTTCTGCAAAAAATTGGCCTGAAATAACTTTCAATTACCCAAGGCATCTTGACCCTCCCGCCTGACGTGCTTGTCAACCCTTGACGACGCCCGCGTATCCCGCAGACGCGCTCTGCGACCCACGCGTCATCACCACCGGCCATGACCGACCCCATCCCTAAATACCCGCTGTACGACTCAACCTACACCGCATATCGTCTGTCGCCTCTCTACCATGGTGCAAACACATTACTCGACGAGACTACACTTCGCATGCATGCGCGCCGGCTGCGCGACATCCTGCGCGGCGATATTCTGCGCGGCGTTGACGTCGGCGCCGGCACCTCCGACGGCGCTTCCGGCATATTAGAGAGCTGTACCTGGGACCTGATTGGGGACGAAGAATCATGGGAGACATTACACCGGCAAGATGCAGAAGCGCAAGAGGATGAACAGCCCGGAGACCTCCTGGATGCGCCATCGCTCGATCCCTCGGAAGCACGAGGCGTACACATCGAGCTGCGCTACCAGAAGGCCAGCTACACTGCGCTGTTGCTGCGCAACCCAGAGGCTGAAGATGTCCCAGCACCAAAAGGCTTCACAGCGCTGCCGCTCCTCCTCGTGCGAATGCCCGTCGCGCTCCGCGACACCTTCACCTCCTACATCGCCTCCACCTTCGACGCGCGCATCGCCCCCATGAAGCTACGCTCCCGCTTTCTCTCCTCAACCCTCGAGACAATCCTCTCACACCTCTCCGTCGCAACCACCGCCTCGCCCCTCCCATCCATCCTCTCCCGGCTCCAACTCCAACTCTCCTTCCCCGCCGCCTGCCCCACCGCCGCCCTCCGCGCCCTCGACATCACCCTCTCCCGCACCGACCTCCCCGCCTTCCTCACCCGCGGCACCGCGCTCCTACCTACCACCACAGACGACACCAACAACACCACCGCCACCACCACCACCACCAACATCACCGGCCCCTTCACCGCCGCCCTCTCCCACTACCTCCAATCCCACCTCGCCCTCTCCCTTGCCCACCCAGACGTCCACATCTCCAAGCTCGCCCTGCCCCCGCTCCTCGCCCTCTCCGCTGCCGCCGCCGCCGCCGACAACAGCAACAGCAGCAACAGCGCCTCCCGCGTCAAACTCTTCTCCCCGCACACCGCTGCCGCCGCCGCGATCGCCGCGCCCGATTCCAGCGCCGTCTCGGTCGCTGCGCTCCGACGCGTGCTCGATGCTTTTTATGCGGCGCTGCTGCGCGCGGCGTGCGGGGCGCCGGTGGTGGAGGGCGTGGACGTGGGCGAGGGGAAGGAGAAGGCGGGGTTGGTGTTGATGAAGGGGGAGGGGAAGGGGAAGGGGAAGGGGAGAGAGAAGGAGAAGGAGAAGGAGAAGGCGAGGAAGGCGACGACGAAGTCGTTGTCGTCTGCTAAGAAGGGAAAGAAGCGCGCGTTGGGCGAAGGGGACGCGAATGTTGTTGTAGGTGGTGGTGGTGGGGGAGGCAGAAAAAAGGCCGACGCATCTCCTGGAGGGAAAAAGCGGAGGCGGCGGCAGCAGCAACAGCAGCAGCAACGGAAGCGGAGCCAGGTCGGTGGGGATGCCGCCGCCGCCGCCGAGGAGGAGGAGGAGAAGCAGCAGCAGCAGCAGCAGCAGCAGCAGCAGCAGCAGGGAGAAGATTTTGAGCATGGCAACGACGACAACACAGACGACGACGAGGAGGAGGAGGCGGCTGGCAGTTCGGCGTCGTCGTCGACGCTGCGGAAGAGGACTGCTGCTGCTGCTGCTGCTGCTCCTGCTACGACGGCTGCCCGCGGTGGCAGCACTGCTGCCGGGAGGTCGAGCGTGCCGCAGGAACCGCCGCCACCGTACGAGCTGCATGACCCGGCGATCGTGCGGTGAACAGTCAGCACAAGACGATGGGAGAGTCGCGGCACATGATTCTTTTTCTTTCTTGTTTTGCTGCTGGATGTTGGAGGTGGCTACGGATGCATTGCTACAACGACGACTGGCTTGCAACGGGTGTGTATGATTTATGCATCGGGCGTCGGCTATGATGGGGTGGTCGGGTCGGGCGGCGAACCTCGGCGTTTGCTTGGGGGCCGGCCTGAGATCGGTCTTATCTGATTGTTTTGATATACCCTGTACGGCAATTTGTGTTTTTTTCTTTTTTCTTTCTTCGCTTGCCGATCTCCGAGGCGAACTGCTTTTGTTTCTCCATGACTTCTTCGGATTTACCCGCAGTAGCGGAAGAGAAAAAGGAGGGAGAGATGTCGCAGGCGTCTCCCTGACGGATATACGACACAAACACAATGATAAGAATGCCCCACGGCTGTCCTTCTATATGCCTTCCAATGCTCTCTTCCTTCTACTTCAGCAGGGTTATGATACAGGCCGCGACAAAAGTTACATGATGACAAGTGAGACCCCCCACACGCGCTTTAAGCCGGCCGTAGAATGCGACTTCCCTTCTATACTCAACTGACTGAAAAACGCAACAAGCGAAGCTTCCCAAAAATTTTATGAAATTTTCAAGACTTCGGCACTACTTTACAAAGCCTTAATGACGGCGTCGGCATACTCGTGGGTCTTGGCCTTGCCACCAAGGTCGCCGGTTATCGTCTACAACAATGAGTGGTTAGCCGATGCCGCTTTGAGGCCTCGTGACCAAATGGGGACAGGGATCTGCGTGGGGGGAAAATGGGGTGGAGTGTGGGACGTCACATACCTTGCCCTCGGCGAGAACCTTGAAGATGGCGCTCTGGATCTGGTTGGCGTGCTCGTGGAGACCCATGTGCTGAAGCATCATGATGGAGGACAGGAGCAGAGCGGTGGGGTTGGCCAGGCTCTGGCCGGCGATATCGGGGGCGGAGCCGTGCACGGCCTCGAAGATGGAGCACTCGTCACCGATGTTGCCCGAGGGAGTGAGACCAAGACCGCCAATCAGACCGGCGCACATGTCGGAGAGAATGTCACCGTAGAGGTTGGGCATGACCAGGACCTTGTCGTTGTAGGGGAGGGGGTCGGTGACCATCTTCAGGCAGGTGTTGTCGAGCAGCTCAGCGTCGAACTCGATGTCGGGGAACTCCTTGGAGAGCTCGCGAGCGGTGTTGAGGAAAAGACCGTCGGACATCTTCATGATGGTGGCCTTGTGGACGGCGCGGACCTTGTTGCGGCCAACCTCCTGGGCGTACTGGAAGGCGTAGCGCAGGACACGCTCAGAAGCCTCGCGGGTGATGAGCTTGATGCTCTGGACGACGCCATCCACGACAACGTGCTCAATTCCCGAGTACTCGCCCTCGGTGTTCTCACGGATCAAGACGGTGTCGACGTCGTCGTAGGGAGTCTTGTAGCCGGCGATGGACTTGCAGGGACGGACGTTGGCGAAGAGGTTGAAGGTGCGGCGGAGCGTCAGGTTGAGAGAGACGTGGCCCTTGCCGACAGGAGTCTGCATGCATGGTGGTTAGGCGGGACTTGGGAAGGCTGTCGGGTAAGGTGTTGCGGGACTGCGTACGGCGAGGGGACCCTTGAGGGCAACCTTGTTGCGGTTGACGCTGTCAATGGCATCCTGGGGGATGGTCGTCTTGCCGTCGACAAGACGGGGGGTGACGTCGACGCTCTCCCACTTGATGGGGACCTGCGGTTTTGCTGTCAATGCGCATGCTCTGCGGCGAGCGGGCAGACGGGAATGCGTACGTTGGCGGCCGAGTAGATGTCCTTGACGGACTGAGAGATCTCAGGGCCGATACCATCACCCTCGATGAGCGTGACGGTGTACTTGCCGTCATTGCCCTTCTGAGCAGTGAACTTGGCCACGCGATCCTGGCTGGCGGCGGAGTAGGCCCTCGCAACGGCGGGCGCCCAGCGCGGCGCGGGGCGGACCTGGCGCAGGCATTGCCTGGCGGGAGCGGCGAAACGGGTGGCCAGCATTGTGGACGCGTGGGTGAGCGGAGAGGCGATGGGCGGAAGGGCGTGTGGGTGCGGCGGGACGCTGGTGTTGACGGAGGAGGCTTTGCTGCTCTGCTTGGAGCGCGCAATTAGTTCATCCGCCAAGGCGCAAACCGGGTGCAGCAGGGAAATGCTTCGGGTCGGCTGCGCGCGCGGCACCAACGCCCGGGCTCCTCTTCACCGCCCGGCACGTGCACCGCCCGCGTTACGCTGTGGCTCCCTCTCAGTGCCCTGCGTCGCCCGGAGCTAACGTAGCCGCAACTGGCAGCTAGGCTGCGCTGCCGCCCGACAAAGAGCCTCCACCAAACCGAGCTCTCTCCACACCACGACCCCGCGGCTGCGCCAGAGCCGCCGAGATGGAGCGTCAACTCCTCGAGCACTACAACCTCAAGACTCTGTACCCCTCCGAGTGGCCTGCCGAGAAAGACGAAGCGGAGGACTCCGACGACGAACCCCAGCCAAGCCGGCAGTCCACAGCCATCCAGCGCAGGCGCTCCCGTTACTCGGCCCTCGAGCGCACCGCCTCGCGCAACAGCGTTCCCAACACCGAAAAGACAAAGGAAGGCGTCGACACGCTTGTGCAGAAGGACGAGGCCGATCCCCTGGGCAATGCCTCGAGCGTCGTCAACGTGCTGCGCGCGAGGGGACTGCCTGTGGAAGATGACTTGAAGCTCCGTGTGTACTGACATCGATCTTTTCCCCTGCAAGCTGTCTGACCGCAGTACAGGCAATCGCTTTCTGCTGTCTTCCACCACCTTCAACCCCGGCTTGTTCCTGTCGCAAGTCCACAGCGATGCCTCCACCGAATCGCTCCTCCAGGGCTTGGATTTCCTGTCGCGCTCCATTGAAAAGAAGTCCGCCTCGCTCAAGGTCCTCGTCGAATCCAACTTTGAGCGTTTCGTGCGCGCCAAGACAACAATCGACAATGTATACATGGAAATGCGCGACCAGGGTCGAGATCCAGCGCAGCCACAAAGCCACTCTCGGACAGGATCCCGCCAGTTTAGCGGCCGCCAAAGCGGTCACTATCGGAGAGCTAGCCAGGCGCTTATCGCTCCGGGTCAGGTGCCTGTCGGCGACAAGAGGAAGACTGCCTTGACAAAGGAGAGCGAATATGGTGTCCAGGGTATCAAGACTCCTCTCTTGGAAGTCGCTGTCAAGGCCGAAGAAATTTGGGGTCCGGCCTTGGGTGGTCGTGAGCGTGGAGAAATGCTCAAGTCCATCTTGTCATCTGTTGAGAAGCACCGAAACCTTTTCGAGATTGGCGCGTCCATCCAGGACTGCATTAAGAGAAGGGACTATGATATGCTCCCCGAGGAGTACGGAAAGGCGCGTAGATATGCAAACGATGCCAAGAGAATTGTGGAGAACGCTACGGACAACCGTCTTCCCCTCACGGACCCGCAGATTCATCAGGTCATTGTGACGGCTAGGATGTGGACCGATGTTGAAGAACAGCTTACAGTGTTCAAGCGCGACGTCTGGAAGAGGCTGGCTGGAACGCATTTTACAAAGCAGTCGCCATCGGAGGATGAGAAACCAGAGCAGCACATGACGCTCATCAAGGTGCTTCTGGAACTAGGTGTTGAGGACAACCCGATCTGGGTCTGGCTACTCAGTCGCTACGACTTCTTGAAGTCCAAGATTACGGCGACTCTTGAACGTTCCAAGGTCGAAATTGAAATATTGCGTCGCCGCCTTGGAAACGGAGAAAGGCCGACCCCACGACAGATCGCCACACACTTGCGAGCCGCCGAAACGCTGGATAAGCCCAATCACACGGGGAAGATAGATTCGTCAAAGGTCATTGATTTCTGGGACTATGAGTTTCAATCGCTCAATGCGCTTCTTTCTCCCCAAGGTGGCGTGCTGGCAGAAGTCATCGAATACTGGGAGACCGCACAGTCGTTCATTGACGGCAAAGCTCAACGGACACTGCCAATTGGTCCTGACGGCAAGAGTAAAGCGCATCATCGCCTATCATCATCTGGTGTCATGGATCTACAGAGCGGTGCGAAGGAGCTTGTGAATCTGATCAGAGAGGGCGTGCAGTCCTTCTTTACCGAACCCCCTCTTGAAGACATCTCCCTGCTTTACTCTCCTATTCCGGACACGCCCGCGACTCCGAGAACCCCCATGCCTGGTGGCCCGTTGACACCCGGTCTGGACGCCCGATTCAAGATCGATGCCAACAACCCTCCGCCCTCTCCCAGGACTGGTGCTGGATGGGAAAAGTTCGCATTCTGGGCGCCTTATTCCAACTCTCTGAGTGGCGTGCAGTACCTTAGCAAGATACTGATCTTGGTTGGTTCTGCCGCAAGTGAGATTGGAGCGATGCGCATCACGCGTGGCGACCGCGGAAGCGAAGAGCTCAAAATCTTTGTCGGCACTGTCCGCGAACGTTGTGTGCAAGCGGTCTGCGGTGCCTGGGGTGAGGATGCCGACTATGCCAAGTTGCTTGAAGATTGGACACGATGGTCTGATAATAAGTACTTGACCCATATGCCCTTCCGGTTCGTTGGCTTGGACAATTCCCTTTTGGCTACTGTGCAGAAGATGCTGTACTTGTCCGAGGCCATGACCAGATCTAGCGCTGGAGACGTCGTCGTTCCACCATCAAGCAAGCTTCTGGCCATGGTCCGGAGTCAGTTCGTAACCAGCATTTACAAAGTTCTACAGGGTATGGTGGAGAACGTGGAGCGACCGAAGAACTTGGACAATACTGGATGGGAGGATGACGTCGATGGCCTCACGCTACCGTTGCGCACCCTAACAAACCGTGACTTCAGCTCAAATGTCGTTGATGCGACGGACAAGGTAGGAGTATTCATATGAGAAGTCCAAGCACAGTAGCTGACGCATAACAGAGTATCCGCATCCTTCTTACTCTGTCTAACCTCCAGGCCCTCCGGACCGATCTCATTCCTCAACTGATTTCACAGTACGAACAGCACTTCTCGGTCAAGCTCGAGGAAGGCGCAAAAATCGACGACGCTCTCTCCCAAATCTACGCTCGCCTCTTCCAGTCATACACTTCGCCCATCAGTAACAAGCTTGGTGCCATCATCAAAGCTGGTATCGCCGCACCAGGGTGGGAGCCTGATACTGACCGTCCTGGGGACGCACGCTCCTACGTGTACGATGTCCTCCTAGAATTGGTCGTCGTGCACACGCAGGTCTCGACGACTGCGGCTCCACTCACCAGCCAGATTCTCAAATACCTCCTCGAGCAGGTCAGCAAACACCTAATCGAGAACTTCAAGGCTCGCCAGCGCTACACGCTTGCCGCACTCATGCAGGCCACGTTGGACGTCGAGTTCTTGGCCCAGACGCTGGGCAACTACACTACGGAAAAGGCTAGCGAGATCCAGAGCGCCATATACATCGCGCTAGACGAGCGCACGGATAATGATGCGAGAGTGAAGCTGCAGACGGAGTTGGGTGAGCTCAGAGTGATTTTGAAGAAGTTGAGGGAGGCGACGAAGAGTGAATTGTGAGTTTCCCCTCCTTTTGCAGGCTGCGATTAGATGCTAACCATGGCGGTTTCAGTGCTTGCTTTAAACGGGCCAGGGGTCACACCAAGAGTGAACGACCTAGTTCGTAAAGAGTCCAGTTGTTTTGGAGATAGAATGACACAGGAAGTGTGAACGAGTGGTGTTGTTGGGGCCATCCTGTACGTGTGAGCCGCTGTAGATTCTTGCAAGTAGTCAATACCCCCTTTTCTGCAGTAGGTGAATTGGCATCAAACCTGAGTTGTTGTGGCTGTTACGAAGTTGATTCACTTAGTGTTGCAATCAGGTATGAGCCCATTGCTCAAGTGGGTCTTTTGCTCAGCCAAAGGTTCTTCATTCTCGATCGTAAACAAGATGCTGTTCATGCTACCCCCCTAGTCTACACCGTCTTCACGGCGCTTGTCTGTCAAGTCCCCGACTCTTCACGGAAGCGAAACAGAACGGTCAACAGGTCCAAGCCTTGCCCTTGACCTCCTTCTCAAACTCCCTCCACGCCTCCTCGACCAACCCCTTCGTCGTCAGGAAGTCGACCGCCGTCGCGGCCAAGCCCTTGCCCACCCTCAAGCTCAACCCAAACGCCTCCCTCGTCCCCGCCGCGCCCTCGAAATCCGGGCTGTGCGGCCCGTTCCCCTGAGCGCCCGGCCGGATCCAAAACCCGGCGCTCAGGCTGGGCAGCACGTAGCTCACGTCGCCCTGGTCGGTGCTCGCCATGGTGCGGCCGCGCACCTCGTCCAGCTCAGGCACGGATATCGGTACGCTGCCGTCGCCGTCCTCGCCGCCGCCGACACCACCATCGCTCGCCAACAACCTATTGAAATGCGCCCTGTACGACCGCGCCATCGTCCTGCTAGGCACATGATCAGCATACGCACCGCCATCAGTAATAACCACAGTAGCGCCGCTACTCAGCGCGCCGGCCTCGAAGCAGCGCCTCGCGCGCTCGAACAGCTCGTCGCGGCGGGCTTTCGTGTCGGCGCGCACGACGAAGCTGCCCGCGGCGTAGGCGTGGATGACGTTTGGCCGCAGCCCGCCGTGCGTGATGTGCCCCTGGATGACGTCCGTGGGCCGCGTCTGCTGGCGCAGCGCGTTGAGCGCCGCGTACGCCGTCAGCAGCCCGTCGAGCGCGTTGATGCCCAGCCACGGGCTCGCCGCCGCGTGCGCCGCCCGCCCGTGGTACTCGACCGTGAAGGCGCGGTAGGCCGCCGTGCGCATGAGCGCGCAGGCGGGCGTCGTGCCCGGGTGCGAGATGAGGTTTATGGAGCAGGCGTGCTGGGTGTAGGCGCCGGCGTTGATGAGGCGGATTTTGCCGCCGCCGCCTGGGAGGGAGAGAGGGGGGATGTTAGTGGTTGTGTGTGTGTGTGTGTGTGTGTGTGTGTGTGTGTGTGTGTGTGTGGATTGGGGGTAGGGATGGGGATGGGGATGGAGATGAGGATGAGGCAAATGCTGTATGTAAAAGTAGATTCAAGGGTTCAAAGGCATAAGAACCAGAGATTGGCGCAGAGAGCGGAATGAAAGAATGCTGGGTCACCTTCTTCAGCTGGGGTCCCAAACAGCACGACCTTCCCAGCTAAGTCGTGCTTCCTCATGGTCTCAGCCGCAGCGAGGGCACCCGACAGGGAAGCCGAGGCGATCAAGTTGTGGCCGCAAGCGTGTCCGATCTCCTGCAGGGCATCTAACGCACGTGTCAGCTCAATGCTGCCAGGGATATGGCAGAACTCACCCATCTCGGCATTGAAAGAAACAACAGGGCCCTTTTTGCCGCTATCGAAGACGGCGACGAATGCCGTGTCCATGCCGTATGCCGACGGCGTGACCTGCCATCCCTTCTGCGTTTTCAAGAAGGAGGTCAGAGTGTCGTGGGCGATGTACTCTCTGTAGCCAAGCTCAGGGTTATCGTGGATTTTCTTGTTGATGGGCCACAGCGTGTCGGCCATGCTATTGATGTAGTGGCCGATCTCGCCGAGGTAGTCGGGCGACGATGACGCCGCGTCTGCCGCCACGTCTGCAGACACAAGAACCCAATCGTCTGCCATTGTAGATATCCGCTGAGAATCGGAACGGAACGTGGAGAGTGAAGGAGAGCAGGACGGAGGTCGAGCGAGGGAAGGAGCGCCAATCCAAAGCGAGCCTCGCTTCCAGACGGTGACGACGCCAGACGCCAGAACGCATCCCTCCTCTTTCTGTTCCACCTCACATCTCCCCCACTTTCGAAGACATGCCGCACCGCACGGTTGCATCCGCACCCCGGCCCGAGCTGCCACATGCCGGATGCGACCAGCCAGGACGATAACCTATGCAGCAATCAGAGCGCTGGGTTCCCTGACGGCCGCGCGCCGTCTTATCGACTGATTGACTGCGCCCAGCATACTACATATACACCGCCAGCATGGATCCATTCCCCGCAGCTTGCAAGCCGACACCCTGGAGTACAAATGGCCAACCCGGACGAACTGGCAGTTTCGAGTGACCCCACGAGCGAGAAGACGGGCGCCGTTGATGACAGCGTGGTTGAAGCAAAGTCGCGCCTGCGCATCGATGATGAGGCCGGTGATTTGGCCACTCAAGCGCTGACGAGCGGCCCGCTTGACCCAGAGATGTCCAAGAAGGTGCTGCGAAAGATTGACATGTACATCCTGCCGTTTCTGTGCATTACCTACGCCCTGCAATTCATCGACAAGACATCGCTGAGCTACTCGTCTGTCTACGGCATCATCGACGACAACAACCTCAAGGGACAAGAGTACTCGTGGGCGAGCAGCATCTTCTACTTTGGTGAGCCTGAATGTGCCACGGCTCCAATGCAAAACGCTTACTTTCCTCCAGGCTACCTCATTGCCGAATACCCCGGCGTAGCCATCATACAACGCTTCCCCATCGCCAAGTTCCTCGGCGCCAACATCATCCTGTGGGCTGCCATCCTGATGCTCACAGCTACGTGCTCCTCCTTCGCCGGCCTCGCCACAGTGCGTTTCTTCCTCGGCGTGACCGAAGCCACCATTTCCCCCGGCTTCGTCGCCATCACAGGAATGTGGTGGACGCGTCAGGAGCAAGCCGCCCGCTCCGCCCTCTGGATCTCCTTCCTGGGCATCGGCTCCCTCCTCGGCGGCCTCATCGCCTTCGGCATCGGCCACATCGACACCAGCGGCTCGTCCGCCCTCGCCTCCTGGCAGTACATCTTCCTCATCCTCGGCGCCGCCACCATCCTCTGGGGCATCCTCTTCCTCGTCACCGTCCCCGACTCGCCCGGCACGACGCGCTGGCTCTCGCCCCCCGAGCGCGTCGCCGCCGTCCAGCGCGTCGCCGCCAACAAAACCGGCACCAAGACGCGCACCTTCTCGCGCGCCCAAGTCGCCGAGGCGGCCACGGACCCCAAGATCCTCCTCCTCGGCCTCATCTCCTTCGTCAACGCGCTCGCGTCGGGCGGCCTCGCCTTCGGCTCGCTCATCATCCAAGGCTTCGGCTTCACGCCGCTGCAGACGACGCTCATGAACATGCCGCTCGCCGCGGTGCAGACGGCGGCGCAGCTGTCGGCCGGCGCGTGCTCGGCCCGCCTCGCTGGCTCCCGGCTGTACGTCGCGTCGCTCGCCATGGCGCCGCCCATCGTCGGCACCTGTCTGATCAACCAGCTCCCCGAGGCGAGCCGCTGGGGCCGCCTCGTCGGCCTGTGGCTGCTCGGGTCGTATCCCGTCGGCTTCCTGGTGCTGCTGGGCCTGCTGGCGACCAACGTCGCGGGCAGCACCAAGCGCAGCGTCGCGAGCGGCTGGGTCTTCGTGTGCTACTGCGTCGGGCAGATCGCCGGGCCGCAGTTCTTCAAGGCGGCCGAGGCGCCGGCGTACAAGAGCGGGATCGTGGCGATGCTGTGCGGGTTCTGCTTGAACTTGGTGTTGAATCTGGTGTTGCGGTGGTTGTATGTGCGGGAGAATGAGAGGAGGGATGGGCTGCTGGTGGGGAAGAGCGAGGGCGAGATTGCGGCGATGGAGGAGGAGAGCAGGGTGCAGGGATTTGAAGACGTGACGGATGGGGAGAACGTCATGTTTCGGTATGTGCTGTAGGCTGGGGCGCGCTGGGGCCTGGCCCTCGTTGGATGATGTTGTAGCTGTGGAGGGCGGACAGCAGCCACTCGGCCACCGGGCAAAAGAGTACGCCGGTTCAGTCTACCTGTCGGTCGACTGGCTGTCCACCAGCGCTTATATCACCGGAGGTTCTGCTGCCCAATGCTGCCTGAGGCCGGTGGTGGCCATGCTCCACCACCACAATGTCTGTCTGGATGGGGTTTGTTTGGGGGGTTGAAAATCGACTTTACGTATGTACGTCCGGATATGTATGTGCTTCCAATGCTCACATTTCAGGTGAAAACGATGAACTCGAAAAATCCATTATGATCGGTTTAGAGTAGTAGGTAGCCGTAGAGTGTATAGGTTTAGGCTGCTCAGCAAAGTAAAGCCCCCCTCCGCTCCCCCCAAGAAAAAAACCAAAAAACAAACAAACATCCTCCCGCGACCAAAAAAGAAATACCATCGTGCAAGCACGCACGCCCACGATCTCAAAAAAGAAAAATCGCAGCGATCAGCGCCAAATCCAGCGCGAACACCGGCACCCACAGCTCCACCACGGCATCGTCGCCCTCGACGAAAAGCCCGTGACGCAACGCCGCCCCCTCCGACGACGACGGCGCCGCCACGACTTCGTCGTCGTCGTGCAGCACCCGCTCCAGCACCAGCACCAGCTCCAGCAGCAGCACACTCGCCGCCGACGCCAGCTCCAGCAGCAGCAGCCTCGCCGCCAGCACCAGCACCAGCGCCAGGCTCCGGCACACCAAGCCCAGCGCCAGGCTCCGGCCCAGCTCCGCGCCCAGCCACACCACCAACGCGACCGGCAAGATCCGCAGGCCGCGGACGAGGAGCGGGGAGGGGAGGCGCACGCGGAGGCGGATGGCGTAGGTGCGGTTGCGGTCGCGGTCGCGGTCGTGGTCGCGGTCGTTCTGGGTCCTCGGGCCCGCGGTTCTTGATCTTCTTCTGGTGGGGGGGTGGGGGGGGCCGTTTGTTGTTGTTGTTGTTGTTGTTGTTGTTACTGCTGCTGCGGGAGCGGGGGCGGCAGTGCGGACGGGGACAGCGGCGGGGGCGGGACGGGGAGCGGGACGGGGAGCTGCAGGACGGGGAGCGGGACGGGGAACGGCGGCGGGACGGGGAGCGGGAACTGCTGCTGCTGCGGGAGGAGGGACCGGTGCGGGAGAAGGGACAGCCGCGAGAACAAGAACAGCCGTGGGAGCAGGAACAGCCGCGGGAACGGGGACAGCCGCGGGAACAGGGACAGCTGCGAGAGCAGGAACATCTGTGGGAGCCGGCGCGGGTGCAGTAACGGATCCAGCTGGGGGAGATGGAGCTGGGTAGGTCAGCAAGTGCACTCAACAGTCATGGTTGATTTTCTTACCCGTTACCCAGCAGTCGTATGATTGCTCGCTGGAGCTGTCATGTTCGCTGGCGACATCAGACGAGTCTTCGTCGATGGAGACGATGTCCCAGTCGCCCTCAAGGGCGAAGTTTTCCGCGGACATGACGGGCGATGAAAGTTGAGGACTTGGAAATGGTCAGTGGCCACGGCAGCCTCTTATTTATAATGATGCGTGGGGCCCTACTAGTGGCGCTTCTCCAACCGGTTGGTCAAAATTTCTACTCCCAACCGGCCTGTTGGGTAGAAGTGTGTGGACCCTGTTAACGGTACGGACCAGTGTTTTACAGGGTGATATGATTCAGCACATCAACCACCAAGCGCATGTATGCCTGCTGGACCATGGCGGCGATGACGGGATCGGCCTCGTCGGCGTCGGATTTGAGGCTGAAGCCGTCCAGGCCGCCGACACAGGTGCGAAGTGCGTCGCAATACCGCTTTCCCATGGCAGCCTGGACGTGGGTCAGCTGCTCGCTACTTGGACCCAGCAGACTGTCTCGGATCCGGTCAACCATGGCTCGATTCACCACCAGATTTTTGCTGATCCCGAATATCTCGACCACGGGCTTCCAGTACGCAATCTCCAACAAAATGAGGCCGAGGCTGTAGAGGTCGTACGTCTTGCCAAACACACGCCTCTTCTCTTCGATGTAGTCTGGGTGGCAGTAGACCAGCGTCCAGTCGGGGTCCTTGGACGGCATGGTCATGGTCGCTCCTTCATCTGGGCGCGATGATTCAAAGCCGGAAACGTATGGACTAGCCAGGTCGGGTCTCCCTCCGTCTGTGAATAGAAGCACGTTGGGGCTGCTAAGTCTCTTGTGCAGCCACTTAACGGCATGGAGGCAGAACACGGTCGTGGCAAGCTTGCGGGCCATGGCGAGCCTGCTGTCCAAGGAGGGGGTTGTTTTGTCGGGACAGGACAATTGGTCGAAAAGGGTCGTCAACCTGGCGTCTTCCGAGGGACTGGGCAGGTCATAGACGAAGCCGAAGCGCGACCGGTGTTTGTCTTGGACGAAGCCGCGGCAGTGGGGCACCTGGAACTCGGCAGGCTTTGCGTCATCGTGGAGCAGCTGTGCGAGGCGTCGAACACACTTCTGGACTTCGGGCCTGGCATCGGCGTGGTATGAATGGGCGTCGGTGGCGTCTGCAAAGTAGGCCACGTCGTAGGGTCTCCACTCAATCCAGACGCGCTCGCCGCCCAAGGTGGTGATGGCTCGGCTCGCAAGTCCATCCGCGCTGGCCAGACCGGGCAGGTCGAGAAGGAGAGGGAGGCACTCGTTCTCGTCCCAAGAAGGCGCGTTTGTCTGGGCGAAGTGGTTGCTGAAGATGGCTAAACGGTCGAACAGAGATTGGCGCTGCCTGTTCGTGGCAATGACGTTTGTCCGCGACTCGCTCCCGACCATGGTGCTGCTGTCTGAGAAGGCCGAGTCGTCCTGTCGTATGGACTCGATTGCTGTACCGTTGGGCAGTAGCTGGAGCAATGCCAGGCGGATCTCGTGCGTGTCCTGGAGCAGCATGTCCAGCTTCTGATCTTCGGCGGTGTCATAGAGGTAGCCGGTAAGTGTTCGAAGCCTCCGCAGTCCGGCCTCCAGCTTTGTCTTGTCGGATCCCATGGCCCAGCGAATGCGCCTCGGGTCGGTGGAAACGCCGCGGACGCCGCGCGCAATCCACAGAGCTCGACGGACGAGCCTTGAGCCCTTCTCTTGCTCAGTCGCCTCGTTTGGGAATTTGATGATCTCGTCGTACTTGTCCATCACCGCAGACTCGACTTGGTCGTTGGCTGATTCGTCGGGCAGGGCAGCCTCGGGGAAGTGGAGAGCTCTTTTGTGCATGTCGCGCAACACGCCATCGGTTTCGCTCAGAACGGCCAGGACGACGCCGAAGTGCGTCTTGACGCTTTGATCGAAGCCATCGTAGCCGTCTCCTGTCGTGAGTTTTGCCATTTCGCCCCACACCCGCAGCCGCTCATACTCCATCCTCAGGCCCGTCTGGATAGACTTGCATTCAGACGGCATGTTGACTGCTGACTCGAAGTACGTGTACCCTGCCATGCATTTAGATGCTTTGACCCTCCAAGCCCAGCCGCGGGAACAAACCTTGCTTCACTCCACCCCACAGCTGAATCACCAGTGAAGCAGCACCAACACCAAGTCCCGCAACCGAAAGTGGGTCAGCCATTGTTGTTGCAGATATCGGTTGCAGTGAGGAAAGGGACACGGAAGCTTCAACGCAATTTGTAAGACTGCACATGCGGCTCAAACGAGCCATAAGGCTAATATACGATTGATAGTGCATGTGGTGGTCGCACAAGCTCTAGCCTCGCCACCAAGGCAACAAAAGCATTGAGGAAAGTGGTTTCCCCACATCCCCTTTCGTCTGGTCACCTAATCATGGGAGCCTTGGCTCCGCCTTGATACTGCTGCGGTGTGGGGTTCAGCCTTGCCGATCGCTGCCTACGTACACAGCCCGTGTAAGCCCTAAATCCCGCCCTCGCGGCTCCAGTGCTTAGTATATTTCTCGGCCTGGGGCTGACCCCGACGGGAGCTGCCGTTTACATCCAGTCCTGGCCCCCCACTTGAGCCCGCAAGGCATGAACGGACAACCAACAGTTTCCAGAATGAATCGCCCCGAGCTCAGCAACGACAAAGTCCAACCGCTCCCTGGCTTCCCCGACTTGAAGACGCGCCATGTCAACGGGACGTACGAGTTTGTCGGGGAGCGGCAGACAGGGTTGACTGGAAGCGGCCATGTTAAAACGTCGCGCATGTCCCTGCTGGAGTACATCACCAACGGCCGGTCGCCACAATGGCACCAAGAACGCTTCGACGACGTCCTTTTGAACCATCTGGTCATCAGGAGCTCGTCGTCAACCAACAAACCCATCCGAGAAGGTGACTGGATCGACCCGTACAACCCCAGTTGCACCATCATGGCCGCGAAGCATCGAGACAGGAACAATTTCCCCAACGACTGGATCGCGGTCAAAATCGTCCGCCTGCACGGCACGGAAAAGGATACCAACGAAGCCAAGAAGCGCTTCATGCACGAAATCAGGAACATGCAGACCCTATCAGCCGATCGACACCACCACATCATCTCTTTCATCGGCTCCTACGAGAGTGGCCAAGAGATGGGAATTGCCATGTTCCCTGTTGCAAAGTACAGCCTCGAGCTCTTGCTCAAAAACGTCTCGGACCACAACTGGGAGAATAGGGACAAGCTGGATGGCTTCTCCCATCATCACCATTTCTGGGCTCTGCTGCGATATTTCCTCTGCCTCTCCAGTGCCGTCGCGTGGCTTCACTCCCGGAACACGAAGCACAAGGACATCAAACCCGCCAACATCCTCATCGACTGCAAACAGTCCATCGTCCTGGCCGACTTCGGGCTCTCGAGGATCTACGACAACAGGGAAGACGCTGGCATCTCCAGTGGCCAGACGGGGTACACCATGACATACGCCCCTCCTGAAGTCATCGACCAGACCGACCGCACTTACTCGGCCGACCTGTTCTCGCTGGCCTGCGTCTTTCTCGAGATGGCCACCGTCATTTGTGGCGAGCCGACCGAGAAGTATACGAAGCGGCTGAAGCACCGTACCACCCCGCAGGGCGCGCGCCCAAAGTGCTATGCGTCTTCTCCGGAAGTGGTAAGAGACTGGGTCGAGGATTTGAAAAAGAAGAGGGAAAAGGTGCATCCCGCTGCCGAAAGGCTACTCACGCACGGACTGGAAAGGGTGAAGATAATGATGTCGAAAGAAGCCCATGCGCGAGGCGAGGCAAAGGATGCATATGAGTGCTTCAAGAGTGTCGTGGAAAGTGCATATGCTTTTGGGCCAGTTTCCAAGCTCACCTGTGAGCGTTGCACCAGCATCGACGTAAGTGATACCTTTTCGACAAGGATAGACAACATGCTAACCCTTCCATCACCCACCAGAGCTTGCTACCCCCAGAAAATCAGCATGAGAGATCTCCAACAGTGCCTGAAAACCATGCCGAGTCAAGTCATCAAGCAACGCATGCCCTGCATAACACAGCACATCCCAGCTCAGCATTCACTTCATCAACAATCGTGGCCACGCCGCTTGGCACGCCAATCCTTGAGAAGCCATGCATGAAAGGTTTAGTCGAGAGACAAGCTATAAAACCGCTGTCTCTGGGAGCGAAGGTGGACATTACGGATAATCCTGAGACAGGTGGTCATACGTCCGAAGCACTCAACTCAAGCGAGCCGTCGAGGACAGGTCGAGGGCTTGAGGTACCAAGCCCTTCGGACGTGACGTACAATCCCTCCAGTATTTCCGAGCGCACTACCACGTCCGGTTCACCGTCGAACCAGAGCACACCGCCATCAAGCATTTCGATGAGAGACGGCGCTTCCACCGGCACACCACAACAAGAGTCGCTACGTTGCGTAAAACGAAACAGAGGACAGTTCTACCAGACCACCAGTCTGCTAAAAGACCTACCAGGCCAGAAGGTCATTGTATGGGATGTAAAGAAAAAAACAACAGAGATACAGGACAAGGATTACCTACTGGATTGTAAGTCCTCAACACTCCCTCCAAGACTAAATCCGTCCTAACCTGTGTTGTGAATTGCAGACAAGCGTGGAGTGTTGTTCATTTCGGATTGGAGAAAGCGAGAAACGGTACAGATCAAACACTTGAACGACAGATCGCTGAATTTGTTCACGCTGCTAAGCGTCGTCAAGATATTTCGTTGTTGGCGCGAGAAGATACAGCTGCTCCTCATCGTATCGGAAAGGTCGGAAGAAAGATACAAAGACTACCTGGAAAGTTGAATGCAACCGTTCCAGACCTCCAGGGTGGCGAAGGGAGACCTTCGTTCCGCAGCCCGTGCTGAGCCATGCAAATGTGATAGCAGCCGCACAAGGCAAATCTCAAAAAGGAAAGAAGAAGAAAATCGGTGCGACGCACATGTAATCATGACACGCAGTAGTGCGCAGCTGCGATGCAGGTTGCGCCTCCCCAAGGCGTACTCGAAGGCAAGGCTGGATTCGGATAAGATGTCCAGCCCCCGTACGACCAGCAAGGCTGAATTCTGCCCATGCAGCCAATGAGTGCAAAGTGGTTATGCGAGGCTGGACCACTTTGTCTCACAAGCGTGTGACTGATCTCCCGATTGCGCCTGTCATTCGGCCGATGCTGTTTGCCTCGTCTGACCCACGAGCAAGTTTGGCGTCCCACGGCTGAGTCTAAGCTGTTGCCTGCGAGTAATCCAGGCGCTCCGGAACGAGTACACCTGAGCACACCAACAGGGGAGCATAGGGGCCTGTGTTCGTCGAGAGCTGCTTGCGGCGTTGGGAGGCGGACACAGCCTTGTGATGATCGTCTCTCTATCATTCTATTTCTCGGCACCAACGCCCGCCAGCCGCCCTATTCCCTTCCGACATTCATCAGATATCGTCTTAAACTATCATCGACCTCGTTGGCATTGATTCCGTTTCCAATTCTCGGAGACTGAGTGCATTGCCAACTGTACAAACCATGGTGGACAGGACAAATACAAGCTCTACCGAACAGTCTCACGGAAGCCGCGGATCCAACGCCAGCTCCGGATCTAGTAAATCGAGGGAAAGCATTCGAGCCTTCTTCTCTCGAAAAGCTACAAACACGAGCGATCGAAGAGCGTCCACAGCCAAAGAATCGAAGGACAAGAAGTCACCTACAGTCTCGAGAGATGGCCTCAAGATCCCGGACGAACGTAATGCCAGAGATTTGCTCCGAGACGAGCATGATGCGTGGGAGTACAACACAGTGCTCCTGTTAGGTAAGCACAGATGTATCGTTAAGAGACCACGATTGCTGACAGAGTTGACCAGGCGGACGACGATCAAATGCTATGATCCAACTGTTCGCTCTCAAGGCTCTCATGTCTGAGATCGAGAAACTTGAGGTGCGAAACAACGCACAGTCGAGCTTTGATTCGCCTTTGATACTTTGTCAAAGGAACGAGAATCCAGCGGGGTTGTCTGGTGCAGCACCCGACGAGACACCCAAAAACCACGACGCAGGATACCTCCCCTGCCACTATTTCGACTTCGCCGGCGGCACTTCCACCGGAGGGTAAATTGCAACATCGTATGCAAAGGCGGCCAACAGCTGACTTCAAGACAGACTCATCGCAATCCTCCTCGGACGCCTAAGGATGACGGTGGATGAAGCCATCACCGCGTACGAGGATCTGAATCCATTCCAGAAGTACACCACCACCCCCACGAAGAGGAGGGCTTCGAACCAGGAGAAAGAATTCAGGGAACGACTCGACTCGGCTGTCAAGAGGCCAGTGATGCGGCTTCCAGGCACCATGGTCAAGAACGTGCCCATTTCCACCAAACTCGCCTCCGGCCCGTACATGTGCAAAACGTAAGTGCTCCAATCTAAAAAAAAAAAAAAAAAGAAGAAGAAGAAGAAGAAAAATTTCCTGCTAACTCTCGACCAAGATTCCTGAGGGACGACGCTGGCAGCAAAGTGGACCTCAGCACCTGCAAATCAGACGACAGGCGCGGGGAAGAAATCATCGATGCAGCGTGCAAGATCATCAACCAACCGAAGAGGACCTGGGTTCTCCGGATGCCCAAGCGGAGGAACACCAAAACCGGCTCGCCAAAGTCTGATTTCCTAATGGGCATCAGCCGGAGCCAGGGCGCCGAGACGCGCACGCTCGAAAGGTTCTCCACGAAGGACGTCCCGAAGTTCATCGAACAAGGCGCCGACACGTTGGATTCCGGGGCGGACATCCTCTCTTTGCTCGAGAAAAACCGATCATCCGACGCGAATGCCGTCAGGTGGCTGGAGCAGATCGGTAAATGTGCAGAATATCTGGTGGAGAAGCGACAGCGGCGAGCACAGACTGCGAATTGGGAAAGATTTGCCCTGGGAACTGACTACAGATGCGGCTACTGCGTGGCCGAGGGCCGACCGAAGGACCCGGAGAGGTCGTACGACCAGTATTTGTTGATCGAACATCTGCAGACAAAGCATCGTGCACCACCGTCTGATGATGATCGGTTTGACACCTATTGCGAGATCCTGAGACATTTCCGGACCGTGGCCGTTGCTCAGGAGCCAGGGGTCGAACAATGTTGAGGGGTCGGTGGGGCTACGTAGGTAGTTGAATGAAGAAATTGTGCCATGAAACAAAAAGAACGTAAGTGATCCAAAGAGTCCCGTGCCGATACGAACAGAAGTGGTTACCACGTGCGTACCAGTACCACAGATTACCAAGTACGGTTCCACTCCATGCCCCCGTATATTCGACGTAATCAGATGTGAAATTCAGCTCAAGGAAAGTGGAAAATCCCGATCAAGTTGACGTAACCAAATGCACCTACAACCCACACCAAACACGGCGGCTCGACTGCACAGGAAGATGATTTGCACGTGCATATTCAGCCACCGCCAAGATACAGGATCACACACCTGGCACCACACCAATGACTTCTTTCAAAACCTCGGGTATGATTCGACTGGCGTCTCCTTTGAAGAACCAATCGCATTCCCTGAGGTTCGATGCAGCCCCCTCTTCCTCGGATTCTTCCATGTTGAAGACGGCAACCCTCGCACCCGCAATCCTCGCCGAGTGGATGTAGCCGGCGGCGGGGTAGACAACGGCCGTGGTTCCAACAACCAGCATCAGATCGATGGGGCCCTTGTCCATCCAGTCGTGGATGCGGTCAATCGAGGACCGTTTCAGCGACTCGCCAAACCACACGACGCCCGGGCGGAGGAGCGACGAGCAGAGCGGGCAATGCGGCAAGTCCTCGACGGCAACATGCTTCAGCGGTATCTTTGGATCGGAGAGGTCGACGTCGTCGGGCAGCTGAAGAGCGGGGACGACGGGGTCCGTGAAGTTGTCTTCCTCGACGTAAGAGCACTTGGCGTTGGAGCATTTGATGTCGAACAGCGAGCCGTGGACGAGCTGCAAGTTCTCGGCCGGGTGGTTCGCGCGTTGAGATAGGCCTGGCGGACATTACTCGTTAGCCCTGTCGCGACGTGGGGGCCGGGGGAAGGAATGTAAGCACCATCGATGTTCTGGCTCACAGCAAGGTAGTCGGGCCTTGTTTTGGCGAGTTTAGCCAGCGCCACATGGGCCCTGTTTGGTTGGGCGTTCAAGGCGGCATGGCGCCTGAAGCTGTAGAACTGCCACACGAGAGAGGGGTCGTGGGCGAAAGCTGCGGGCGTGGCCAAGGTGGTGGCATCATATTCCCTCCAGAAGCCGCCGGCACCGCGGAAAGTGGGCACGCCCGAGGCTGCTGACAGGCCGGCGCCGAACAGGGCCATGATGCGGCTGGACGACTTGAGGTGGTTGGCAAAAGATACATAGTCGTCCAGTGGGATGTCGACAGAGGCCGAAGGCAGCGTGTCGGTGGGGACCTTGCGCTTCTGTTGCTTCATGTAGAATTTCGAGAGCTCTTTCTTGAAGTTCGAAGGGAGCTTGGCTGGAGCGGCAGACGATTCCTGCTGGTTGGCCTCGAAATGCTCCATCTCGCAGAGGTGCGGGTCAACGGCCATGACAGAGATTGACTATATGGGTGGTTGCAGAACAGGCAGCAACGGCTCGGTGGTTACATATAGAATAGGCAGCAACGCCTCCCCCACACCCGTCTCCGCGACAGCGGCCAAGAAGAGGCTTTGTCTTCATCGACGCAACTTTGGACGGCTGGACGTTCTGGACTTGGCGGAGGAAGGGTAGGTGAGCTGGCGGTAAGCTTAAGCTTGAGCATGGTGGGTGCATGTCGAGGTGTTGCATCGGGGATGGACAAAACCCTGACTCTGCTGCGCTTGACCCAAAGCGGTAAGCGACATGTGCCACCAACCCGTCGCTTTCATCTTTGCAGCGCCGCCCGTCGCCCCGACGCCTACCATGCTACGCCTTCGACGCGAGGAGGCGCAGCGCCGCCTCCTTCCGACGGTATTGCCGTCGAGCACGCGGCAATAATAATGTGACGCCAATCGGCCTATCTGCGTCGAAACGGCCGCTATCCACCAATTGTGCGTCGCCAATTGCGCTCCCTGCAATGCGAAACCGAGCTACCCCGTGCGAGCCTGACCATTTATCCTTGGACCTCCTCCCCTCCGCCTTCCTCGGTGCGACACCTGTCCACCGGTCACATCAGTCTCTGCAGCATGGCGTCCGGCCTCCTCCTCGTCGCCCTGCTCTCCGCAGCCGTCATCTACGTCGTACTTCTCTGGCGCCAAAAACGCGCGCTTTTCAAAGGGCTGGTAGGTCCAGTTCGATCCCATCAAGGCCGCTGGCTCCAAGCTCACAGCCTATGCAGCCGCAGCCGCCTGGCCACGACCCGCTCTTCGGCCATGCCAAAATCATCAAGGAGCTGGCAGATGAGCTTCCGCCCGGTGTCCACCCTGCCGTCTACAGCTACCTGTTGAGGGAAAAGTACAACCTGCCCCGTGCTTTCTACGTCGACCTCTGGCCCTTCTCCGACTCGTGGCTGCTGGTCACCGCCAACGAACTGTCCGAGCAGATTACTACCAAGCCTAACATCCCCAAGTTCAACCGCATGAAGTACATGCTGCAGCCCTTCGGTGGTCAGCGCAATCTTGTCGTCATGGAAGGCGACGAATGGAAGAGGTGGCGCGCCATCTTCAACTCTGCCTTCTCCGCCGCCAATCTCTCCAAGCACATCCCGGCAATCGTGCACGAGACGGAGAAGTTCCTGGACTTCCTCTCCGCCAACGCTGCTTCTGGCCAAGTCTTTGAAATGGAGCCCGCCGTCGTCGATCTCACTGTGGAAATCATCGGCCATGTCATTCTGTGAGTCCTGCTTGCCAACCCCCGACGACACCTTCGCTGATAGCCATCGTAGAGGCAATGCTTTCACTGCCCAGGCCGGGGCAAAGGGCTACAAAGCAGCCCTCCGTGATCAAATCTACTGGGTGTCCGTTGGCTCCCTACCGGGCTTCTCCGCACTCCGCGCCCTCGACCCGTGGCGTCTCTTCAAGATGCGGTCCAACGAGCAAAAGATGAACCAGGCCATCGGCAACGTCATCGAAGAGCGCTGGACCGAGCGCCAACAGGCCGGTCCGTCAGGCAAAAAGGCGCTATACGCCATCGACCTCGCCCTAGATGCCTACGCGGCCGACAAGAAAGCAATGGGCCAAGATCCTACCACTGTCGCCATCGACACCGAGTACATGACGATCCTCCAGGACCAGATGAAGACATTCGTCTTCGCCGGCCACGACACGTCCTCGGGCACCATCTGCTACATCAGCTGGTCTCTCCACAAGCACCCGAAATGGCTCGACGAGGTCCGCGCCGAGCACGACCGCGTGCTGGGACCCAACCCGTCAGCCGCCGCCGCCGCCATCGCCGCCCGCCCCAACGTCATCAACGAACTGCCCGTCACCACCGCCATCATCAAGGAGACGCTGCGCGTCTTCCCGCCCGCCGGCACCCTCCGCGGCAGCGACGTGCCCTACCCGATCGTCGACCCGGAGACGGGCGAGACGTTCGATACCAAGGGCTTCATGGTGTGGGCGCCCGGCTTCGCCCAGATGCGCGACGAGCGCTACTTCCCCGACCCGCATTCGTTCAGGCCCGAGCGCTGGCTGCGCGACCGCTGCCCGGACGAGTTGGAGCCGCGGCTGAAGGACCCGCATGCCTGGAGGCCGTTCGAGGTCGGCCCGAGGAATTGCATCGGGCAGGAGCTGGCCATGATCGAGGTCAAGATCGTCATGGCGTTGATGCTGAGGAAGTTTGACATTATACCCAGCTACACGCAGAAGGTGGACAGCAAGTTTGATTTCTTGGGAGGACAGGCGTATCCGGTGCTGTTCGGTACGGCCAAGCCGAACCAGGGCATGCCAATCAAGGTGGTGGAAAGGACTTCGTAATGCGGGCTTGACTGGACGAGTCGAGTCGTTCCAACGACAAAGAACAATAAAGAATAAAAAGTAAATATAGCCCGCTTTCAGGGAAACAAAGGCCTCTAAGACGTTGTAGAGTACAAAGAGACTTTGATGCCGGGCGTCGGACAATGACATTGTGTATCGTGGTCTACGGCATACATAAGCGCACTGGACACTCCATCTAGCATCATTCACCAAACAAGCAGTTGCTAACGACCAGTAACTCACTCATTGACTCCACTTTTCGAGTCGCCAGGCCACCCTTCACTTACCAACACGGACAGGTCCAACATGTGCAGGTCTGACGATACCGAGACTAGCAATGTCCCGATTAATGACATGAGGCCGAGGAGATGGCTCTGTTGCCAGTGTGGCGGCTTGAATTCGTCCGACGACATGTGCGAGTGCTGGCACTTCAAGTGCAGTCGCTGCAGCGGGTCCCAGCATACCAGCCATTGCAAAACCCAATGATGATGGGTATAAGAAAAGGTAGGTCTAACCTGAATAGAGGGCATCGAGGATTAGCCTGGAAATTGAGTCTGAATTGAACACTGTTTACATCCATCATCCGATCCACGTGAATCATGACACACACAGTACCTTACCTACCGCCAACGCAAGGGGCGGGGTCCGATGTCCGATGCCGCCAAGCAGGCAACGACTTCTGACGGAAGCGGGGAGATGCTCCACCCACCCACGCCGTGTCGATCACCCGACATCGCTGCGAGCTCCGGGAACCCTCTCACACCACGCACGCATACATAAAGAACAACAAACGCCCCTCCCCCATCTGCGCATGCGGGCCATCCAACCAACAATGCCCACCAGCTAAAAGGCAGTCTGTCTCGGCAGGACTTAAAACCAAACCAACCCAACCCAAACCAAACCAAACCAACCACAAACCATGCCCATCGGCGCCCGCGCCACCGTCCTCCTCACGACGCTGGCCGTCGCCCCGCCCGCCTACTACGCCGTCCACACCGCCCACCGCCTCGAAGCCAAATACCCGCGCCTCCAGCCCTCCGACGACTCCACCTCGACACCCGCCCTCCGCACCCCCGACTTCCCCATCACCCACCACACGCCGCACGTCGACATCTACGGCGGCAAGGTCCCCGCCCGCGCGCTGGCCGACTACTACGCGTCCGACGATGACGGCCGCCACGGCCATCCCCTCAGCCCGCACGAAGCCTGGGCCCGCTTCTTCCTCGAGTCGCCCGCCCTCCGCCTCGAGGGCAGGCTGTTCGGCGGCTTCTCCACCCGCAACCACGGCGACGCCGGCGAGCGCGGCTTCCACCCGGGGCAGAAACTGCTGAACGGCGTGCTGGAAGTCGTGCGGGCACCATCGCCGTCTTCCTCTTCCCCCTCGTCGTCATCGTCGCTGTTGTCCTCACGCTTCCTGCGCCCCATCGCGGCGGCGGTGGCGCTGCCGACGACGACAACGCCGCAGCCGCTGCTCGTGCGCTGGACGTGTCCGCCTGCGGCGGTCGGCTTCTTCCACACGGCGGCGGTGCGGTGGGGCTACCCGTGGCGGCTGATGAGCGGGGGGCGGCACGAGTTTGCGGTTGTGAGCGACGGCGAGCCGGACGCCGAGGGCTTGGTGGAGGTGCGGTTCGGGTGCGCGCACGACTACGAGCGCGTGGCGGAGGAGGGGAAGGATCAGCAGAAGACGATACCCGGGTGGGTGGCGAGGCTGCATCGGGTGTATGCTATGTGGTTGTTGGATGAGAGGATTGAGGCGTTGAAGAGGTGGGCGGCGGCGGCGGAGGAGGCGGAGGCGGCGGGGCCTGAAGGGGGAAGATGAGGGCTTGGGGGATTTGATTGGTTGGTAGTTGGGGATGTGGGTGACTTGGTCTTGTGTGTATTTTAGGCGTTATTCGGAAACTGTATATTTTTTTTTTCTCTCTTCTTCTCCTATTTTACTAGGGCTTGTGCCATGGTGAAGTGGTTGTCCTGTGATGTATGACCATGAATCATACTTCGAAATCACCGTGATTTGCCGTTGCTCCCTTGTTACTTTCTTATATTTTCGGCATCTCTATGTCTTGAGACCATGAATTCCCTATTGTACATACATCGTGTCATATGCAACAAGCAGAAAGGAAAAACGGACTACTTACCAGTAGAAAGCCGAGAGCTAACAAACTCTTTCTCAACTTCCCAAGCAAGATTGATAGGATGCTCCACAATTGGATCCCCGGCCGAATGGATCAAGCCATGCATTGCAGGAAGTACGAAGCTGAAAGTGAGCGAGTGAGAATGAGAGGGCGAAAAAGCGTGCATGCCTTCCCCCAACCAATTCTCCGAAGTCCGACGCGGACCGCCTGCGTCGGAGATTGCTAAATTTGGCAACCGAGCCGCCCGTTCCGCCCCAGAAGCTGTCGGAAAAAGCAGGAAGTCGGAACCAACGAACCCTTCGCCAACAAAACCAAAACAAACCCCCCGAAAAACACTTGTCTGGCAGGGCGAACAGGGGCGCACCTCGTGAAGGTCACTGGCGCGGGCAGCAAGAGTCGGCTGTGGCATTTCAAAAGATGGAGATGGCACTATGACTATTTTTTTTGTTACACGCGCGCGAGGTGCCAGTGCAGCAAGCTCCACCATAAGAGAGATGAGAAAAACCGCAGAAACGCGCGCGCACTCCGCAATTGCCCGCCTGCCTACGACGTGATTCGTACAACAAAAGAGAGAATAAAAAGTAGAAGTCTAGAACTCGAGGCTTAATAAAGAAGAAGTAATTGGGGGGAATAGGGTTTCTTCTCGCAAACAACCCCAAAATGCACCACGATAACGTTAGCGAAGCTGGGTTAGATGTACACAAAATACCCAAGCACCTCGGCCACCAACTTCCTCATAACCTTCGTTTCCTCATCCCTCCTCTCTGCCAACGAAAGCCTTGATGCTCCGCTCGGCTTCACTGCTTGCATCCACACTAGCCGCTCCCACTTACAGGAGAAGCTCCAGAGGGTTCTCAAGCACCTTCTTGAGAGCCTTCATGAACTCGCCACCAACCGCGCCATCAACGACCCTGTGGTCGAAAGAACCAGTAATCACAATCTGGTCGTCCCACTCGATACCGGTGCCCTCCTCCGTCTCAGCAGGGATGGCAACCTTCTTGGTCGTGCCGATGGCAACGATGGCAGCCTGGGGGCTGTTGATGATCGACGTGAAGCGCTCAACCGCGTCGTTCATGCCCATGTTCGACACGGTGAAGGTGCCACCCTGGAACTCCTCAGGCTTGAGCTTGTTCTCCTTGGCGCGCTTGCCCAGGTCCTTGACCTGCGCCGAGATGGACTGAAGACCGAGACCAGTGACGTTCTTGACAATGGGGGTGATCAGACCAGTGGGCGTGGCAACCGCGACCGAAATGTCGACGTTGTTGTGCTGGCGAATGACGGCCTGGCCGCCCTCCTCGATCCAAGACGCGTTGGCCGTGGGCACCTTCTTGAGCGCGACAGAGCAGGCCTTGATGATGAAGTCGTTGACCGACAGCCTGTACGCACCATCGGCGGTGGCGTTCAAGGCGGTGCGGAGCTTGAGCAGCTTGCTGACCGAGATGGACGAAGAAACGTAGTAGTGCGCGTTCTCGCGCAGCGACTGCGCCATGCGGGTGGCAATGACCTTGCGCATGCCGCTGGCGGGCACCTCCTCGTACGAGGCGGCGGAGCCAGCAGCAGCCGGGGCAGCAGCCTGGAACTTCTCAACGTCGGCCAGAGTAACACGGCCAGCGGGGCCGGAGCCCTTGATCTGGCTGATCGCGACGCCCTTCTCGAGCGCGAGCTTCTTAGCAGCGGGAGAGATGACGGGCTCACGCTCAAGGACGGGCTGGAGACGGGCACCGGTGGACTCGGACTCCTGGGCGGCGGGAGCCTCCTGCTTAGGAGCCTCAGAAGGAGCGGGAGCCTCGGACTTGGGCTCCTCCTTGGGCGGGGCAGCACTGCCCTTGTCGCCACCAGCATCCGCAGCGGTGAAATCAGCAAAGGCAGAGACGTCGCCGCCCTCCTCAACCATGACGGCAATAGGCTGTTGTCCTGTTAACCCAAACTCTCGAGCTGCTGCTTATCGGGACCGGAATCGTGCTTACGCTGCCGACAGCGACATCCTTGGAGCCAGAGTCCTTGAGGACCTTGGCGAGGACACCGTCCTCCTGGAACTCAAAGTCCATCTGCGCCTTGTCCGTCTCAATCTCCACGAGAACTTCACCGGGGGAGATGGTGTCGCCCGGCTTCTTCTGCCACACGCCGATGTTGCCGGCCGTCATGGTCGGCGACAGCGCGGGCATGCTCACGACCGAGTGCGGGGGGAAAGCTGTCGGAAAATCATGTCAGTGCTCACAGGTCGCGCATTGAGGGCTGTTGAGCGCGCGGGACCGACATTTGGATGCATAGTAGCGGGCGAGAGCTGAAATGGCGGGCGCCGATCGTCTGGGGCGCGGAAAAGCCGCAGGTCAGCAAAAGTCGGGTGCCATTGACAAGCATTGATTGAGCATACGCGGAGAACAGCTGCGACCTGGGCAGAGCGCGGAGGCCAGCAGTGGCGCGCAGGCAGGAGCTACGCGAGAGGACGGCGGCGGCGGACATGTTGGCGGCGCGGGCGGGTGGTGGCAGGCTGTCGGAGGGAGAAGGATGCCGCGACAGGCGCAAAAACAGCGGGCGGAGAGTCGGAGGGAGGAGCAGCTCCGAAGCCTGGAGACCCTTTGCGGTTTTGGGGGGTGAGGAGGATGGAACGAAGAGTGGTGGAGGGTGTTGTCTTCTTCACAGCGGCTCAACGCAATACTTTTGCTGGGGCTTCCGCTTCGGAGCACGCAGCCCGGCCGTCGCCGCGCCAAGGCTCAGCGCTAGGACGCGAGGCCCTGGCTCCCGCGCAGAGGGACTGGACAGCTTACATCACTAGCCCTCCCGGCACGTTGCACTTTGGGCCTCCCAGGAACATTTCATGCCACCGCAGCCCCAGCTGCTGTTCCGCCAGAACCACGCGATGCGCTGAGACTTGCCTCCGCACTCTCCCGCCACGCCCCGAATTGGACACCATGGCCGACACCGACCCGCCCAAGGACGACCAGGACACCAAGTTAGACGAGCATAAGGAGGAGCAAGCTCCGCATCCCGCAGAGTCCGAGGACGATCAGCCAGCCGAGGAGGATGCGCCCGCCCAGGCAGATGCAGAGCCTGCAGAGCCTGCAGAGCCCGCAGAGTCCGTCGAGCCCGCAGAGTCCGCCGAGCCCGCGCAAGCTCCCGAGGAAATAGAGAAGGAGGACGAGGAGAAAGAGCTCGAGGTAACAGAACCCGTGGCCTCCACGGAGCCATCTGCGCCGGTCCCGGAGACTGTTGAAGATGGCCCTCATGAGAACGAGCCCCAATCGCCACGGACAGGGCAACCAGCTCCCCCGAGAATTTCGTTACCGGAGGGCTCGAGCGAACATGGCGACCAGCAAGACCGACCACCGACCACCTCGTCCGACCACACCGTGCCGCCGTCGCCATCCGCCCGCCTGCGCACCGATTCCCAGTCGACTGCAGCCACCACCGCGACCGCCAGAACAACTACACGCAGCTCGCTCGTCTTCGTAGTGACGGCGCTGGAGACTATTGCCGCGTCGAAGGATGCGCGGAAGACCAAGAAGTTGGCCGACACAACTCAGAAGGCACTGTCGGCCATCAAGGGCGATGGCGATCCATCCAGCATCGACCCCGAGGTCTTGTTCGAGCCTTTACAGTTGGCGACAGAGGCAAACACGATCCAGGTGGTCACGACTGCCCTCGACTGTATCGGCAAGCTCATTAGCTACTCCTACTTTTCCTATCCCTCCGAACAGCCCGCCGGCACCCCGGAACAGCCTGCCCTCATCGACCGCGCCATCGACACGATATGCGACTGTTTCCAGTTGGATGCCACTCACGCCGACATCGAGTTGCAGATTCTCAAATCTCTGCTGTCCGCGATATTAAACGACAAGATTGTCGTGCACGGAGCCGGTCTTCTAAAGGCTGTCAGACAAACCTACAATGTCTTCCTGCACTCGAAATCGAGCAATAATCAGCAAGTTGCCCAGGGCGCCTTGACTCAAATGGTTGGGACGGTCTTCGAGAGGGTTAAGTCGAGATTACGCGTAAAGGAAGCAAGGATCAACCTGTCCAAGTCATCCCTGCACAAGAATAGTTCTGGCGATGTGTCCCCGGAGGGCGGCGACATAGGAGGCGTAGACGCTAATGGGGACGATGCTGAGACGTCGGAGAATGCTTCGGACCTGCCCGTGGAGAAGGATGAGGGTGCCAAGATAACTCTTCAGAGCTTCGAAAATCGCAAGAGTTTCGACGACGCAAGGATTGCGGATAACGCACCCACGCTCGTCACGAGGAACAAACCCCGCCGTACTCCCTCCCGTGCAAACACTCTCCAATCTAACGATGGCCAAGAGAGCACAGACCCCACCGAAGAGGAGGAGGAAGACGAGATCTACGTCAAGGATGCGTACCTTGTCTTCCGTGCCATGTGCCGCCTCAGCACGAAATCCGTTCCTCTCGAAGAGGCTCAGAATGTCCGGTCTCAGAGCATGAGGTCGAAATTGCTGTCACTTCACATCATCCACACCATTCTCCACAATAACGTTGCTGTCTTTGTTTCCCCTTACGCCACGATCAGAAGCAGCAACACTGCCGAGCCAACGACCTTTGTCCAGGCCATTAAGCAATACCTCTGTCTCAGCTTGAGCCGAAATGGAGCTAGCTCATTGAAGCAGGTTTTCGAAATCAGCTGTGAAATTTTCTGGCTCATGCTGCATCAGCTGCGGGTCATGCTCAAGAAAGAGATCGAGGTGTTCATGAAGGAAATCTATTTGGCAGTTCTGGAGAAGCGTAGCGCGCCCACCTTCCAGAAGCAGTACATCCTCCAAATCCTCCACCGACTAGGGGGCGATCCTAGAGCACTGGTCGAGATATATCTTAATTATGACTGCGACAGGAGCGCACTCGACAATCACTTCCAGAAGATCGTGGAGCACCTGGCAAGGATATGCAGCACACCGGTTGCAATCACCCCACAACAACAATTGGCATATCAGGAACATCACGCAAAGCATCAAGCAGCTAGCCCGACAGATTGGCAGACCCGTGCGATGCTCCCACCCTCGCTCGCGACGAATTCACTTCCAGCTGGAAACGAGATCGATCAAGGCTTCCCGCCCGAGTATTCACTGAAGCAAGAGTCGCTCGAAGCTTTGGTCGAGATTCTCCGGTCGCTGGTCAACTGGTCTCAGCAGAGTCTTTCTGATGCTGCTGCAACGTTGCGTGTGAACGATGGAAGACCATCACACGAGGACCTCCGAGAGTCTATGGATACTCGGGCCAATCTTACAGCCTCTCCAGCGCTAGACTCCCCCAATGGCCCGGGTACCCCAGCGCCGGAGGATGACCCCAGCCAACTAGAGAAGGCAAAGCAACGCAAGACTGCGTTGAACCACGCCATCCGCCAATTCAACTACAAGCCGAAGAAGGGAATGAAGCTCCTGCTCCAGGAAGGTTTCATACCTTCAGATTCTCCTGAGGAAATCGGCAGGTTCCTGTTGTCCAACGAGCAGATACACAAGAACGCGCTCGGTGAATTCCTTGGAGAGGGTGACGAGGAAAACGTCAAGATCATGCATGCCTTCGTTGATCTGATGGATTTCGCAAAGACACGCTTCGTTGATGCTCTACGACGGTTCCTTCAGAGCTTCCGACTTCCGGGAGAGGCGCAAAAGATCGATCGCTTCATGCTCAAGTTTGCTGAAAGATACATGACTGGCAATCCGACCGCCTTTGCGAATGCTGACACTGCTTACGTTCTCGCCTACTCGGTCATCATGCTGAACACTGATCAGCACAGCAGCAAGATGAAAGGCCCTCGTATGACTCCCGAAGACTTCATCAAGAACAACAGAGGAATCAACGATAATGCCGATTTGCCGGATGAGTACCTCAAGGGTATTTATGACGAGATCGCGAGTAACGAGATCGTTCTTGACACCGAGCGCGAGACAGCAGCAAATCTTGGCCAGCTGCCCCAACCCAACCAGGGCGGCGGACTTGGGAACATTGGACAGGCCTTCGCCAATGTTGGCAGAGACTTGCAGAGGGAAGCTTACATTCAGGCCTCCGAGCAGATGGCCAACAGGACTGAACAGCTCTATAAGAGCTTGCTGAGGGCACAACGACGAGGTCCGACTCGGTTCCCTGTGTCCAAATTCATCCCCGCTTCTTCATTCAGGCATGCCGGACCTATGTTTGAAGTGACTTGGATGCCGTTCCTCACTGCCCTTTCTGGTCCCGCTCAGGATACCCACAACCTCGAGACTATCAAGCTCTGCATGGAAGGCCAGAAGCTGGCAATCCGCATTTCTTGCCTTTTCGACCTTGAGGACCCTCGCCAAGCCTTTGTGACATCTTTGTCCCGATTCACCAACCTGTACAACCTGACCGAGATGAAGGCCAAGAATATCGAGGCCTTGTACGCACTCTTGGAAGTGGCCCAGCACGAAGGCAACCTTCTCAAGGAGTCTTGGAGAGAGATTCTCACGTGCATCAGCCAACTGGATCGGTTCCAGCTGATCTCTGCAGGAATTGAGGATACTGCCGTACCTGATCTGATGCGCAGTAACTCCGCATCCTCCAGGACTTCGACAGCACCGTCGAGAAAGTCTCTCCAGGCTCCCAACAAGAGTCGACCGAGGTCAGGGACTGCGGCTCTGTATCACTCGGAGGCAGCCGTCGAGAGTCGCTCGGCAGACATGGTTCGAGCAGTGGACAGGATCTTTACCAATACTGCCAATCTGTCCGGCGAAGCCATCGTGCAGTTTGTCAGGGCGCTGACGCAAGTCAGCTGGCAGGAAATCCAGTCATCAGGACAAAGCGAATCGCCACGCACCTACAGTCTCCAGAAACTTGTTGAGATTTCAAGCTACAACATGAATCGTGTACGTTTTGAGTGGACCAACATCTGGCAAATTTTGGGAGAACACTTCAACCAGGTCGGCTGCCACACCAACACCAACGTTGTCTTCTTTGCTTTGAACTCCCTGCGTCAGCTCTCAATGAAGTTCCTGGAGATTGGAGAGTTGCCTGGTTTCAAGTTTCAGAAGGACTTCCTCAAGCCGTTTGAACACATCATGAAGAATACGGGCGTCGTGCCTGTCAAGGACATGGTCCTCAGATGTCTGATTCAAATGATCCAAGCAAGAGGAGAAAACATCAGAAGTGGTTGGAGAACTATGTTTGGCGTCTTCACAGTCGCTGCAAAGGAGCCATATGGTAAGTCTATCTATACCCAGTTCCAGACCGGTATGCTGACCTTATCCGCAGAGGGCATTGTCAATCTTGCGTTCGACAACATCACACAGATCTATAACACTAGATTTGGTGTTGTCATCTCGCAGGGCGCATTTGCCGATTTGATTGTCTGCTTGACTGAGTTCTCCAAGAACCACAAGTTCCAGAGGAAATCACTACAGGCAATCGAGACTCTCAAGTCCACAGTTCCCAAAATGCTCAGGACACCCGAATGCCCCTTGTCTATCGGCTCAGACAAACCAAAGGATGAGCCCCAGGCCACCGGCGTACCGAAACAGCCTACTCGCCAGACGCAAGAAGAACAATTCTGGTTCCCCGTACTGTTCGCTTACCATGATGTTTTGATGACTGGTGAAGACTTGGAAGTCCGATCTCGGTAAGTTTCGTGTTGCTACTTACAAAGGCTGCTGCTTACGGATCCTCCAGGGCTCTGACCTACCTCTTCGACACGCTACAGCAATACGGCGCTGCTTTCCCTCGCGATTTCTGGGACACCCTATGGCGCCAAATCCTCTATCCCATCTTCATGGTCCTCAGGTCAAAGTCCGAAATGTCGAATGCACTCAACCACGAAGAACTCACTGTCTGGCTGTCGACGACCTTTATCCAGGCCCTCAGGCACATGATTGCCCTTTTCACACACTTCTTTGGGGCTCTCGAGTACATGCTCGATCGCTTCCTCGAGCTTTTGGCTCTTTGCATTTGTCAAGAGAATGATACCCTTGCCAGAATTGGCAGCAACTGTCTGCAGCAGCTCGTTCATCAGAACGTCACAAAGTTCAGTGAAGGACACTGGGAGAAGATCGTGAGCGCTTTTGTCGATCTCTTCCATCGGACTGAAGCCACTGCCCTGTTCTCCGCCGCTACGGCCGGATCATATACCCCGACGATCAACGGATCAAAGTCATCGAGGGCAATGTCTGATACCGCAAGTATGTCCGACTTGCCTTTAGATTCGGACGATAGAAGTGACGTCGAGGACCCCAATGCCCTGGGCATCAACGGTCTCATGAGCCCCCGGCGCGGTTCAGCAGCTGTCTCGGATGACGGCACCAACGGTTCCCCCCGTACAGACCTCGAAGATTACAAGCCTCTGGATGCGATCCAACAAGCGCCGGTCGTCGTGACGGCGGCCCGCCGCCGCTTCTTCAACCAGATCATCACCAAATGCGTGCTCCAGCTCCTGATGATCGAGACGGTGAACGAGCTCTTCTCCAACGACGACGTGTACGCGCAGATACCGTCCCCGCAGCTGCTGCGGCTGATGACGCTGCTGAAGAAGTCGTACCAGTTCGCGAAGCGCTTCAACGAGGACCGCGAGCTGCGCACGAAGCTGTTCCGCGAAGGCTTCATGAAGCAGCCGCCGAACCTGCTCAAGCAGGAGAGCGGCTCGGCCGCCGTGTACGTGTCGATCCTGTTCCGCATGTACCACGACACGAGCAGCGAGCGCCGGCTCAACCGCGCCAACACGGAGCAGGCGCTCATCCCGCTGTGCGTCGACATCGTCTCCAGCTACATCCACCTCGACGAGGAGACGCAGCAGCGCAACATCGTCACCTGGCGCCCCGTCGTCATCGACGTGCTCGACGGCTACGCCGGCTTCCCCGAGCAGGACTTCGACAAGCACGTCCGCGTCTTCGCCCCGCTCGTCGTCGGCCTCATGAACAGGGAGATGGGGCTCGAGCTGCAGCGGAGCGTGCAGGGGCTGCTGCAGCGCATCTTGGAGGTCAAGGTCGGGATCGAGACGGGCGGGCTGGTCGTCGAGCGGGGCAGTCCGATGGGCGAGAGGAGGCCGAGCGTGTTTGGGAGGAGGGGGAGCAAGGCGTCGGTGAACAAGTAGACCACGCACGCCACAAAAGAGGGGGTGGTTAGAGGGTTGGGATTGGGGGGGACATGGAAAGAGTCGTTGGACGACTGGTTAATGATGCCCATTGTAATGAGACGGATTATGCGACTACGGTCATTTCTGTGTGCGTGGGGGGCGGGGGCAAAGGCAGGGGGGGAGGAATTTGGTGGCGAGGAATCAACTGTCGTTGTTGCATGCATCAGAGACAGCCGGAAGATGAAAGGAGAGGAAGAAAAAAGAGGCATGTAATACGCGAGCTCAGAGGCTGGTTCGGCCCCCGGGTTTTTGCCCGGCTTGCGAGGCTTTCTTTCTCTTCCCCCTTTTTGTCTGGCTGACTGTCGTTTGGGGCGTTATATATCTTGGGGAGAATCTTTTGTTTCTCCTTTCTACTGTTCGTTTCATATCGTTTTGAGTATCTTATGTAGTTTTGGAGGGTGAGCGTAGTTTCAGACTTCAGGCTGTTGTATCTTTATTATTCAGATGATGTTTTTTTACTGGGGCCAAGGGTGATGGGACGGAAATTGTGGTACGCTGTTCGTTTGGTGTGGATATGTGATACGTATTGATGCCCCTCGAGATGCCCGCGGAGATGAAGCACTTTGACAACATATAATCGGGCGACGACATCTGCTCTTCATGTATCAGGTGTGACTGTGCACCTGCTGTACGTCGTCCATGTGACGTGTCAAGTGTACAGTTCACGAGAATCAGGGTCGTTCGGGCCTGGAGTAGGATATAAACAATACGCGTTCCTTGATGACAACTCGCAAGCACACTTAGGACAACAGCGTCAGTTTTGAACCCATGTGTCGCTCATTTACTCTTTCTTTCTTTCCCCCCCCCTCGTTCTCTGCTTCATGTTCTGCGGTGAGCAGTAACGGCGGTCCATTACGGGTCGCGTCATCGATCCATCCTTTGCTGCAGGACACCGTCTTCTGCCGATGGTGGACAGCATCAGATATAAACTCGTTAATAGATAGCATGAAGACTACGTGGTGCTACACTTTTAGTGGCAGAGCCGATCTACCCGACTCGAGCCACAGCGCCAGAGTTCGCGATTGAAACTCGCCGATTGCAATCGAACAAGCAATCGGATTGCAAGCAATCCCATGTATTCCGATTGATCGCCCTTAGCAATTTAAGCGCCTGGATTGTCAAGCGGGATTCGAAGGCCGCGTGCTTGTCAAGCTAGCGCTTAGTAATCGGGGTACATAAACCATCCTGCGGCGCGACACCTCCCTGTTCTCTGATCAACAGTCAACCCTTTCTGTCCTTATCGGATCACCAGGGCAGAAGGACTTGCTTAACGTGTTACTTGTCTTGTCTCCTGCTCTGGCGTTCCCATGGGTAGATGATGAAAGTTAAGATATGAGCTACTGTCTGAGGAGTTGTGTTCGATTTCAGTCCGGATGGCACAGTGCGCATCGTCTTCCCTCATTCGTTGTCGGTGGGCAGATAAGATTGGTTTTGATGAAGGGCTTCGTTATCGTTAAAGGTGGCGGAGCGTAGCGTTCTTGGTTGTTGCTGAGGGGGATAAGCAGGGTAGGTTAGAAGGAAACGGTATGTGGGTTTAGTTCGGCGCTTCGGGAGGTGATGACGACCCCGGAGTAGCCTCGTAAACTAGTTCCATAGGAAGAAAGGGCGCCCGGAAATACCTCGTTTCTCTCCATTGAAATGAAGTTGCCTCTTTATATTTATACTTCCGTTCATTGACACTGAACATGTTACTGGGCGCATTAGTCACATGCTTGGATGATGGAGTATCCCAACGCCGTGCATACTGCAGATCACGTACTGTATCAGACATATGACAGGGCACATGCAAAGCTGGCAAAGAGGGATAGTACCACTGGGTCCTTCGGATCCATTCCCATCGAGTTCAGAGGACCTCCATCAAAAAGCAAAAGCAAAAGGCATAACAAACGCTCAATATACCGCCCAGTCATCAAGTCTCGCAAAGCAGCATCCCGCCACTCGCTATCAGCCACGTATGAACCCTCTACCCATGGTTCATATGGCTTCACTTCGTTTCTTTACCGCCATCACTTTCCCTCGTTTCCCCCACATGTCAACGCCTCACAATTCCGACCAGTGCACCGGCTTCGGCACCTGCTCAACCTCATCCGGCGCATCCGGCCTCTTCTTGAAAAAGCCCGAACATTGCCTCAAGCCCCTCCCCATTGACCTCCCCACTCTTCTAAGAGCAGTCTTGTTCCTCTTGTTATTGCTGCTCTGCCCTTCTTCCATGCCCAAGGCATCACGAGGGGCGTTGCTGTTGTTGTGGGTTTCCGGGGAGGGTGATGGCGAGCAGAGGTGTGTCGGCGCAGATGGCTGCGCTGGACACGGTGCAACTGCGGTAGTGGTGGCAGCTGGGGGTGTGAAGAGTCGCGGCGACGGCGATGGACTCATGGCGGGTGTTGTTCCGGGCGAATGGAAACGGTGCGGACGAGTCACGCTGCTACTGGAAGATCTGGGGAGTCCGTCTTGCGAGAGGGGTTGCCAGCGTAGTGCTCGGCGGTTGTCGTGGTGAGGAGCAGGAGCGGTTGAGTAGGCATTAGAAGAGATTGTTGATGAGGTGGGAAGAGCCGGTGAGAATTCGGGCGAGGAGACGAAGGTAGAGTCGGTGGGCGAGGAGTTGGTGGAGGAGGAGAAGGAGAACCGGCTCGTCATATTCCCGTTCAAGGAGACAAAGCACCAATCGCGTTGAGGACGGAAAAAGAAATTAGAAACGCCGGAAGCCAGTGGTAGGAAGTTCTGGTTGTGGCAGTAATGGTGACAAGGCTGGGCGCGATGCCTTCCGACTTTAAATGTATAGAGCAATAGTGAAACTGGAAAGGTTGAGGGGTTGAAGGTGTTATTACAGGGAAGCCAAAGGGATGGGCGGCTGGAGAGTGGAAAGATAGCAAAAATAAGGTGGAAATGATAAATATATCGGCGCCAACACCACAGGACACTTCGCCGCTCACTAATATCGCATGGCAAAAGTCAAGAAGTCGGAAATGTGACAAGACGGCAGACCGCCCCCCGGGCTGCCAGCGAGCGCAGGCAGCAACCCGGCGACAAGGCGCAAACGAAGGGCAGCTTCCGGGAAGATGGCGATATGGTTACCGACATTTGGGAATCGTCACATCAATTTGGCGCCCACATGCAGGTGCACGACTGTTGGTCTCCACCACGGCCGCAAGGCAGCAACCAGCCTTGCAAACGGAACATTCGATGAACGGACCAGGCGTTTGTAGCGGTTCCCTGCTCCCCCATGCCCTTGAGCTCCATCCCGACTCAAGCGTCCGACGCGGCACAGGCGCCCGGCGATGGCTTTCCATGATAGTCAAGGCGCAAGGCTCAGCATAATCTCTCGACGTGCGGAAACGGGCTGTGTCTCCGGGCCGTGCGTTGGAGGCCGGGATGAATGAGGGCATTTTGCTCAAAATAAGTCCGCGGGCCAGGTACTTGACAGTGCCGGTGTCCTGCTGTGCCTCACGCTAAGCGGCGAACTCCCTCGCCGCACAAGACCATGCCACGCACGAAAATAAACAAGCGAGGTGAGGCTCAGCACGCTCAACCGGCCCAATGGCAGGCCTGGTGGCAGGCGCTATTCTTGCATCGATACCAGCGTGTTGGGACTCAACGCGCTTATTCCTGGCGGTGTTTGGTGCGCGGGGCCAGGGTGCGGGATGGGCGAGCTGCGGGTTGGCGGCACAGCAGCAGACGTGGACGCGACGGCAACGAATGGAAAAGGCGCATATGCGCGTTGGGAGGGGTGCGGCTGGCGTTAAAGCGTAGGCAGCGGAGATCGACATGGTCGCGATCGCGCACGGTGGTGGAGGTTGATGGAGGGAGGGCTGCCGATTGGCCGAGGACGGCGTGCATGCAGAACGACGGCCAGCTGGGCGGCGCAGATGGCGGTGAAGAAGCCCAGCAGATGCATGGGCTAAGGGCGGTGACACGTTGGTGTGGGCGCGGTCTGGATGCGTGGAGTGCTGTGGGCTGCGGAGAGTCGCGGGCTGCAGAGTCGTGGGCTGCGGGCAGCCGGGGACGGCAACAACTTTTCGTTCCTTCGATTGTCAAATGCTAGATACCTACACCTACCCACCAAACGCCAGTGTCAAGAACAGTGCTCTGGTTCTGCGTAAATCGTAAAGCCTTCGTTCCGTCGTCCAACACCCTCTTCCCAGCACCCGCTCATTAGAAGAAGTCATACTTCCCGCGCGTCTCTTGCTTTCCCTTGTCTCCGCCAGCTGCGCCCGTCTTCTTCTTCGCCGCCGATGCGTTCGTCTTCACGCTCCCCGCAACGCTCCCAGGGCCCTTCTTCTTCTTCGCGTCTTCCGCATACATCCTCATAAAGTCAAACCCGCCCTTGTCATCCTTCTTCCCGTCGTCCTTCTTTCCATCATCCTTCTTCCCCGCCCCCGCTCCGCCGCCAGCCTTCGCCGCACCACCGGGCTTGGACTGACGAGAAACCACAACCTTCCCATCCGGTCTCGTCGGCGAGAACGGCTTCGGATACTGCTTCTGCCCACCGCCGCCGCCGCCGCCGCCGCCATTCGACGGCTTCTTCGCAGCGGCCGTCGAATCCCCCGCCACGCTCGCCGAATACGACGGCTTCGCCCCGCCGCCATCCTTCTTATCCTTGGACGCATCGTTGCCGTTCTTCTTGCCACCACCCACACCTACACCCTGACCCACCCTGTTCAGCCCCCCGCCCACAGCACCCACGCCCTTATTCACCCCACCAGCAGCACCTTTAGCCGCCGCACCCGCACCCCCCACCGCACCCCCCACGCCCTTATTCACCCCACCCTCCGCCCCCTTCTTCAAATCCTCCGCCCTGATCCCCCTCAGCTTCGCCAACTGCCCTTTGCTCAGCCCCTGCGTCCCACCTCCCTTCCCTCCCGTCGCCGGCGGCAGCGCCTTCCGCACGCCCGAAGCGGGCAGCGCCTTCGAAGGGTCGTACGACAGCGGCGTCTTGGAGTCGGACTGGGAGCGTTTGAGTCCCGGTGGTGCCGGGAGCGCCTTGGGCGTCTTGCTGCTCGGCAGCGCCTTTTGCTGCTGATTCTTCTTGTTTGCGGTGCCGGCGCCGGCTTTGGGTTTCTTGACGGCCGTGTTGCTGCCGGAAGAGGAGGCGGCGGTGGCGGCGATGGCGCCGTCGCCGTAGGACCGGATCCAGTTGCCGTAGCGGTCGATGTAGCCTTCGACGCCTGTGGGCCGGGTTGAGCGGTTAGTGAATGCGTGGTTGCTTTCGTCATCGAGATGTTTGAGGGGAGGAAAACAGGTACGTACCGTTGCCGACGTTGCGTCCGGCGCCTTCGATCAGGTCGCCCGCGCCGATGACGGCGTCGCCGACGTACCGGCCGCCCGTCGTGATGGCGTAGGTCGCGGCGCCCGTCGCGGCGTTCTGCACCATGCCCATGACATAGTTTTGGATGAAGCCTGCCATGGTTGCTGTGTGTCTTTTTTTTTCTTTTCGCTCAGAATCGGGACGAAGCGAGAATAAACACACGGAAACGAGAGTTCCGGGGGGTTTGTCGAGAAATAGCGATCCGAGAGGATTCGAGTTGTGGAAAGGGAGAGCAAGGCGCAAGCAGGTGGTGCTTTACGATGGAGCGGATGCCCCGAGATATGACGTAGTTTCGGGTCCCCAGGTAAAAAGGCTGTCAACCGTTCTTTCTCGTCTCAATCGAAAAGGGGAAAAAGTGAATATCGTTTTGCACGTTCTAGAAGAAAGTGCGTAGCGTAGAAGAGGGGGAGGTTGTTCGAGACTAGAAGCAGAGAGAGGGGTGCGTGGAGACGAGACGATCAAAGACAAGAAAGCGAGAGAGAGATCGTGGCGACCAAAGATCGCCCCGCGTGTCCCATCAGGATTTCCCCGCTACACAAGTAGCCAGCCCTCCCGTCCGTCTCCCGGTCTCACACACACCACACGGCACATTATTGCGTCAATTCCCCCAGCCCGCATCCGGCCAACGGCGACCACCACCCTATCATCTCCGCCCAATCAGTCGCGGGGAGGGGGTGCGAGGGAAAAGACTGTTCTTGACGTAGCCACACAAGTACCGAACCTGCTTTTGGGCAAAAAGGTCTGGGTCCCACAGCAGGTTGTGGCGAGACGACGACCGACCGGTGTCTGGAGTGATGTCACAGGGCGTCGGCATACGCGCCTGTGGCTGGTGCTCGGTTCTGCGCTGGGCAGGGGGGGACCCTTGCAGCATTTGAGGAGAAGGCGCCAGCATCGATGATTGGCTGGCATGGTGGGAAAAATGGCCTCTCCCTTCCAACCGTCTTCAAAAATTCGAGAAACGTCCTTACTGAAAGCCCGGGTAGGAAGGAGAAGACGATTGATTGCGAAAACGACCGTTGATCATATAGCTATCCAGACAACTGCAGCACACTAGATAAACGGGTATCGTGAAATGAAAGTACGAAGATACATGCCGCATCTCCGCTTGAAGAAGGGAGAGAAGTTAAAAAAAAAAACCACATAAGCCGCTAAACTCCTCATTCATCATACCCCACGTCTCACTCACTTCACTTATCCTTCCTCGCCCTCACAGCATCCAGCTTCCTTGGCGCAATCTTCTCCTTGGGCCCCCTACTCGTTTCCTGCACGACCAGCGGCATCTTCGGCTTCGGGGCATTGCTCTGGCCCTGAGCCGGGGCCGGAGCTTTCTTCACCGCTGCAGCCGGGGCCGGCTTCTTGCTCGCCGCCGCCGACGACGGCGCAGCAGGCGTTGCGACGCTGGCCGTCGACTTGGTCGGTCCGCTCGCCAACGACGGCGTCTTTGCGGTAGACGACGCGCCCCCGCCGTTGGTTTTCTGCTGCGGTTTCTTGTCCGCCGGCAGCACCGTCGACGTCAGGGCCGGGCCCTTCTTCGCCAGCGGCGTCGGCTTCTTCTTCAGCGGCTTCGGGGTCGCGACGTCGGACGCCTTTTTGGCGGGGGTCGTCGTCGTTGTTTTCGGAGCGGGTGTCGACGACTGCTGCGGGCCCTTCGCTCCCACGGCCAAGCCGTTCGCCAACTTCAGCGGCGAGGACGGCACCGCTTTCTTCTCGCCGCCGATCGACAAGCCGTTGGCCAGCTTCACTGGGCCCTTCTTCGCTTCGGCCGGCTCGTTTGCGGGGGCGCGGATGGTTTGGCCGTTGGCCAGCTTCACTGGGCCCTTCTTCGTTTCGGCCGGCTCGTTCGCGGGGGCGCGGATGGTTTGGCCGTTGGCCAGCTTGATCGTCTGCTGGGCCACCTGCGTGCTGTTCTGCGCCTTGCCGAGGTTGCGCTTCAGCAGCGCCGTCAGCGCCTCGTTGGAAGTGTCCAACTTCAGGGGCGCCTTGGTCTTCTTCGCCGCCGCGGCGTGCGTCGACGGTGTGGTGGGAACAGTCGTCGTCGGCGCTTTCTTTGTGGGCTGGGAGAAGGAGCGGTGGCCCGAGACCGAGTCGGCCGTCGACGGCGCCTTGGGCGCGAACGACTTGACGCCCTCCATGTTCTTTTGCGCCAACGCCTTGCGGATCGCGTCCCACTCGCCGTACTGCGGCTTGCCGGCGCTGGTGCCCGACGCGCCCGCGTCGCTGTAGTTCGGGTCCGCGGCGCGCGCGTTCTTCAGCGCCTTCTTCGCCAGCGAGGGCGGCATGCCGCCGTCAGCTTGCAGCTTGCCCTCACGCTGTGCCTGTTTGACTCGAGCATGCATGTCAGACGCGCCTGTTCCAACCATCTCTGTGACGGAAGCGCCGTAGAAGAGGAACAATACCGTCAGGAAGGCCGTGATGGGGGCGAAGATGGCCAGGAACTCGCCCCAGCTGCCGCTTTTGACCTGCGCTTCGAGCGACTTGGCCGGCTTGATCTTGTTCATCTCGGCCAGCGAAGAGGCTTTCCAGGGGTCCGTGGACGGAAAGGCGCCGGTGCGTTGGTAGTAGTCGAGATAGTGGTCCTTCTCCTTCCAGCGGTTGCGCAGCCAGGCCTCAAACGCCTTGTCTGAATGCAGCGGGATGGACGAGATGCGGAAGCGGCGCCAGTGCATATTGACCGATTTAGGGGGCCGGCCTTCGAAGAAGGAAGACTGGAGGGTGTAGATGTCTTGGCCGTATTCACCAGTGCTAAAAGAGGTCAGCATAAAGCAGCAAACAAGACTTGAAGACTTACGGGACGCCCTCGTATGCAATGGTGCAGTCGTAGAGCCAGTCGGTGGAGTCCTTCAGGTTTTCCAGACAGAATTTCAGACCTGTACTTCTCGGAAGGAGCTGGTGGCGCATGTCCTTGATCCCATTCTTCTCCGCCCATCTCCGGCTCGACTCGCGGGTAGAGGCCGAGAGGTTGGTGCCTTCAGGGAAGATGATGAGCCACATGGGATCCTTGGGGTTGCTGAGTTGCTGCAGGTGCTCTTGGAAGCGCGGCTTGTCCTTCTCCCAGTTCCGGGCAAGGAAGATGAAGTTGTAGAATTGCGAACCCCAGCCGATCAGGGGGATGTTCTTGATTGATTCTTTGAGGATGATGTAGACGTGGCCGGCCATCTTGCTGGTGTAGGCGATCCACCAGAGATACAGCCAATCGGTGTAGAGCTGGTGGTTCGCCATGAGGACCATTCGCTCGGGAAACCTGCACTCAAGGCTCCCGTCGGGCTTCAAAGACAGCTGGCTGGGAATGCTCGCGTCGCCACTGACATGGACTTTGGTGGGAGACCACCACTGCGTCATGGTGGTGATGAGGACAGCGAAGGACTGCTTGGTGAAGGCGATGTATTCGTTGTAGAACTTGGGATCAATCATCTTGAAGGGCAGGCCGATGAACTGGGCGGCATTGATGCTGCGGGCGGTGTCAGTAGGCTCGTTCGCCGGGTGGTGCTGGGGTGCTGGGGTGCCGGGGTGCTCACGCCAAAATGCCCGACAAAAAGGTCGAGGCGATGGACACGCCGCGCTCGGCCTGGCCGAAGTCGCCATGCTTGGGGGGCCCCGAGGGGTGGTTGTCGATTTCGGGGCTCCTGAGGTTGAGGCCTGCGCCCAGGTCGTGTTGATTGCCTCTCCGGTCGGAGGGCGCTGAGGAAGGAGTCGGCATAGTCGCGCTCTGCCGGATGACGTTAGCCCGACCGTTTCGTCTCGCCGGCGCGCGCGCACGTCGCACTCACGGTTCACGGTTCGCCCTTTCTTCTTATCTTCGCAACATCTGGGACCGCGACGTCGACGGCGACATGTCGTGAGCACTGCAGGCTGGGTGCGCGACGTGGGAAAGGATGAGCGGCGCCGGGATGGTGGATGCGGGCTGCTGTGGCGCGGGCGCAGTGCGATGACGCCAGAGGGGCAGGGGGCAAACAAGGTAGCCTGCGACACAACCCGCTGACGCCGCCGACATGTCCTTGCTTCTCCACCCCGCAGACCTTCTAGGCCCCCCCGAGACGGTATTTGTACCCTTTTGCTTCTATTTCTCCGCCCCCTCCTCTCCAATCCGCCTCCCCCAATCTCTCTTCCTCCTGTTCCAAAATGCCTTCGGAACTCCAGAAGCAGTCGACGGCGCTGCGCAAGTCGCACGCCAAGTCGGCCGCCCCGGCCGTCGCCTCAAGCAGGCCGTCCGCCTACGAAATCATGGCCGCCCGCATCGCCAACCGCGTTGCCGAGATGGCTGAGAGCATGACTTTCATCGAGCGCCCCCAAGCGTAAGAGGCTCCCTTCCGCTTTCCGCGCTGTTTGCCTCTGGCACCCCGGCCCGCTGACAAGGCCCGCTCCACAGCGCACCCGCACCCGCCGCACAAGACCCGACGACGGCCAACGGCAAGAAGCAGCCGCGGAAGCTTGAAATCCGGCTGCAGAACTCTTCGCCCGACTCTGTGTCCTTCTCTGCGCCTTTCCTCGACAACACGCTTTCCAAGATGCTGGCCCTGCAGAACCGCATGCTGCACCTCGGCAGCGAGCTCTCCAAAGACGAGAACATCTCCGAGGATGTCAAGAAGGAGCAATTCGCCCAGAGCGCCGAGCTGAGCAAGGTCATCGCCCTCATCTGTGCCGAGAAGGCCAGGCAGGGCGGCTAAAGGTTGTCATGGAATGCAACGAGATACGACGTCATATGAAAAGGAATTGTAATCTGGTGTTTCAAGGTCATTAGGGTTTTCAAGGCCTTTCTCAAAATCAAATCGATTACCGCGAGCATTTTTACATGAATGGTCTACGAACGACGCGGGTGTGCATTCAGTGTCATGTGGAGGAAGGTTGGTACTTGGCTCTGTCACTCGAGGGAATTTGGTTCGGGCTGGAAATGTAAGGGCTCTTGCGATCGAGTCCGATTATCGTTCTTTCCAAAGTAGTTGAAACCATCGCTCTTTGATCAATCCTTCCAATCTTCCGTGACCATCAACGGTGCTTCCCGTCGATTTTGATCTGCGCCACGATGATCTGTCCCACTGTCCATGATCTGCAGCCGCAGTCAATGAGCGACCCACTGTGGCTCCGCGCAAATCGTAGCTCTCGGCCATGGTGCTATACGGTACATACATCCCGCAATGGCCAACCCCCACGGCGAAGCCCAAGGAAAATGCTGCCTCATAAGCTTTACCCACATTCAATGTTATCCCCTCTTGCACACCGCTCCTCAACGATGATGAACGTGGTGCTGAAAAATAACATTTCTTCATCGTGAATCAAAGCATTGACGGATAATGATACTTTGACTCCGCCTCAACCACGAGGGTTTCCCCGTAGTCCAACATGATTCATTCCGAAGAGGAAACCAAATGTTGGAAGAGGAAGCTAACGGAGATCGGGATCCTTACCATGTAGTTCTCATATGGGGCTCTCGCCGGCCAGACAGCTGACGGTTCGCCGCCGCTCTCTCCTCCCTCCATTCTCAACAACACGCACCCTATCGCTCGCTAAACAATTGCTACGAACAACAAGCTAAGCTATCAAAGATACCCAATGGCGAATGATTGGCACATGAGCTTGTCCAAGGTTGGACATGGGGTAGAGCCATCAGAGAGCCAATAATCGCCAGGGCGCGACATGCCAACCAGTGAGCTTTCCGGGGAACACGGGTTTTGGATAGATGAAAGGTCAACCCACCACGCCCGCGTCAGATGACAATGGGGGACACGGCAGATGGATTGACCATGCCGCCACCTCCGCGCGTCTGAGATGCCTGTCTCGATAGCTCGGTCGTCGGAGTCAACCTTGAGACATTAATCCATGTCCAGCCACGAGCGGCCCATTGTGATGACACGCGCCTTGTAAAAAAGCAAAACTTGCCACGCGCGTTGGAGATGTTGGGTTTCGCGGGTCTCTGCAAAAACCAGTCAATGAGGAGCAATTGCATCGTCCACGGTCACTGGGCAAGCCAGCGGCACACGTGGCTATATCCGGAAGTCGCAACAGGCGCAGGATCCGTTCTCTGCTCCTGTAAGTCTCGGTTGGCGACGGGACGAGGAAGATATTAATGGCGTCGCGGATTGAGGTGTCGATGAAGGGATGCTTTTTCGGATGGCAGCGGCCATGCACGGATGTGGTTGTAGCAGATGCCGTTTACGGCATCGTCAGGGCGTGATGTCAGCACCTTGGGGCCAGAATGTGCAACCTTGGCGTTGCTAAAGTGGACGTGCCGCATCAACCATGGCTTACGATTAACAACGGCGACCCTACATTTGCGGCAGACGCGGGTGAGACCAGTGGACATGGAAGGGCGGCAGGAGAGGTATGGTTCGGTGGGCAGGAGCAGCAGGATGAGCCAGGAGGATTGGGCAGATGCAGTAAGCTGGCAAAGAAGCATCAGCTGGTGAGACGGGCTGTCGGTGACTGATTCATGTGCGGCTTGTTCTCGGGGCGTGCGAGGTCGAAAGTTTGTTTGCGAGGAGGCGTCTGGCAGTTGGGAGGCGGGAAGCGGGAGGCGGGAGGCGGGAGGCGGGCACGGGAGGCGGATTGTCGGGGCTACCTAGCATTGCGAGGTGGGCGTGGAGACTGGAGACGGCTGCTGCGGGACGTTTCACGCTGTCAAGCACATGGCGCTCAGCTGTTTGTGCCGCCGTGGCTCTCGCGTGAGGGCCGTTTCCAAGGGAGCGGCGAGGCGGGCGGACTTGGCAGGCCCTGTCAGGCCCTGTCAGGCCCTGTCAGGCAGCCGTTGGCAGCGCTACTGGAGCTCCCGCCAATAGCGGCGGCAGCTGCCGTGCCCCGTGGCTACCGAAATGAGCCATGCAAGCCATCGCACCCAGCCATGCACCCGGCCATGTACCCGGCCATGCACCCATACACCGAACCCGAGGCGCAGGCGTGGGCGAGCTGGCGCGCTGGTGCTGGCGCGCGGGCAGAGCAGAGGCAGCAGCGGCAGCGGACACGCCAGATGGCAAAAGCAACCATGCAGCAGGCGGAGAGCCGCGCGCGAGCCGGGCTGCTGGTAATCGTTAGCCCTCGGGCGCCCTCTGCTGCGCGCTCCACACCACACGTCCCGCGCGCCGCCGCTCAGCACTGCCGCCGCTCCAAGCTGCCCAACGCCCGTCGACGTCGCGTAACGCCGCCGTCCATGCTGGAACCCAGCCACTGGCGGCCGTCGCCGCCGGTCTGCGTCTACCCCGCCTGCATGGCCGCTGGCTACCGCTGGCTACCGCTGGCTACCGCTGGCTACCGCTGGCTACCGCTGGCTACCGCGGCCGCTGGCCCCCTGAGGCCGGGTCCCGAGCCCAGCAGATAAGTCGTGCACGAGTCCCGACAGTCTGTTTGCCGGTGCCAGCAGTCCCAGCTTTTTCTCCGGCGACGTTGTTTTGTCGCTCGCTTCTGCAGGCATGCCCCTCCGCATCCTGATTGTGGGAGCCGGGCTCGCGGGTTTTTCTGCCGCCATTGCTCTTGCCCGCCAGGGCCACGACGTCCACATCTTCGAGCGCTCTGCCTTCTCCAACGAGGTCGGCGCTGCCTTGCACTTTGGCCCCACCACCACCGCCTATGTCTTCCCGCAATGGGGCATCGACGCCTACCGCGACTTCCACGCCTGCAAGGTCGAGCGGTGGTACAACTACAACGTCAAGGACGGCGTCATGGACCCCATGCCCGACCGCTACGTGAGCCCGCCCCCGCCCCAGCTGCTCGGCACCGTGCTGACAGCCCTCTGCAGAACCTGGAAGCCCGCCGCCGCGAGCTCCACTTCGAGGGCGACGAAGTGATGTGCCACCGGGTTGACGCGCACTCGGCCCTGCGGGAAAAGGCCCTGTCGTATCCCAATGCACACCTTCATCTGTCGTCAGGCGTCCAGGCCGTTGATCCCGACGCCGGCACCATCACCCTCAACGACGGCACAACCCACCGGGGCCATGTCGTCGTCGGCGCCGACGGCATCCACTCGCAGACGGTGCAGGCAATTGCTGGGCCCGAGTGCGTGCCCACTCGCGCCGGCGTCAACATTTTTCGCTTTTTCGTCCAAGAGGAAAAGGCTCGCCAGAACCCACTGGCCGCCGAGTTTCTCGATGCACACGGGTACCCGAACGCCCATGTCAGCTTTCGCGGCACCAACGGCTCTGTGTCCGTCATCTACACTGCAAGAAATGGCACCTATCTGAACTTCGGCCTTCTGTTTCCCGCCAGTATCTCCAAGCGCGACCTGACAACCATGGACTGGCAAGCTCCCAGCGACCCCGACGAGGTTGTCGATCTCTTCTACGACCATCCGCAGTTCTTCAAGGAGCTCATCTATCTAGGCGAGGACTTCAAGCACTGGGCCTTCCCCGCCCGCGCTGTACCCAAGTCGTTCGTCAGGGGTAGGCTGGTCCTGATTGGCGATGCTGCACATCCCCTGCACCCAACACACGCCACCGGCGCCGTCCAGGGTGTCGAGGACGCTGCATGTCTTGGCGAGCTGTTCACCTCGGATGCGACGGCCAGAGATGTTCCCGAGCGGCTGGGGCTATACAACAAGCTCAGATACGAGAGGGGCGTCACTTTGAAAATCACGTCAGAAGTCGGCGTGCTTGCCGGCGTCAATCCCGACACCAGACTTGAGAATCTCAGAAAATATGTGCCCAACGGAAGCGTACCCGAAGATCCGGACGCCTACATCTGGCTATATAACCCGGTCAAGGAAGCTCGAGAAGCCCTTCAGGCCCATTTGAAAAGCAAACAATCGTGGCTACCAAGCTGCACTCTTATGTAATCGTTTTCGCTGCGCTCCACGTAATGTCTTCCCGGATCTTGTATAATCCTCTAACGGCGGCCGCTCTCGGTATCGTTCCCATTCTCCGCTAGATCATGTACGCCTCTTGCGTCAGACACGTTTTTGCATTCCGTTTTCTCGTATTCCTTTGGTGGTGTTTTGCTTGCTACCATACAACAGGGTTCAGACTGCACGAATACTACATTGTTTTGCGCATGATACCCACCTACTGCTTCGTCATCAAGAAAGTGCAGGGTTTCTATGGGAAGTTGCTCCCCACGTCCGACAGTGGCGTACTCGATCGCACCGCGTGGGGCAAATCCCCCGGGGATCGCCTCGCGACGGCAGTGGCGTCTATCCGGATCACGGAGCGCCTACACTGATACGGAACGGGCCGCCAGCATTGCGCCGTCATCCTGACCAGATCAAATGCACGCAAATCTCATGTCATTCATCGTGCTGTCTTCATTGGCCCGTCGCGCCGTTTCCAAGGTGATTCAAGACATCCGGCCTGGTCCGCGTATTCATTGTGATTATGCGCGTAAGCAACATCCCCATCCCTGGCAGGTGTAGCAGATGTCGACATGTGAGCCTTTGTGCAACCAAGTGAGAGGGATCGTGCCACCACATTGGCTGCAATGGCCTGCCTTGTCAGCATTTGCTTACAATCACCCAGGTAACGGTGGTGCGATATGGTCCACGAGCAGCAGGTTTGGAATTGAACATGGGACAGATGGAGTGCAAACCGTTTACAGAGTACAAGGGCTGTACGAGGGCCAAACGAATAACGGGCGGCGAGCCATCTCCTTATATTTTGAAGTGACCGCGTCGCACAGCATCATTGCACACCAGCCTTTCACTCTTCGTCTACTACGATCTGGCCCTAGTCCACCATGAAAGTACCTTCAAACATGGCAGCCTCCGAGGAGGTACCTATCCTGGATTTCCTCTCCCAGCACCTTTTCCTGGTACTGGCGTCGTCCGTGGCTCTCTGGTACCTGTGCCTTGGGATCTACAGGCTTTTCTTCCATCCCATTGCAAAGTTCCCTGGACCCAAGCTCGCAGGATTGACGTAAGTCTCTTTGCTTACAAAGACTGCTATACAGCTGAACAACAGCAGCTACTGGTACGAGACCTACCACGATTTCGTCCGAAGGGGCAAGTACACGGAGCAGATCTCAACCCTTCATGACAAATATGGTCAGCATATATAACGTCTCTTTTCCCACAGCCCTATGATATACCAAAAACAGAGCCAATAACACACCGGCTCACCAGGTCCGATCATACGCATCAATCCAGAAGAGCTTCACGTCCGTGATCCCAAGTTTATCGATACGTTATACTCGTATACTTCCAAACGCGGGATAGCCACTTGGCTTACCGGGCCCTTCGAGTGAGTCTGTGCAAAGATGCAATGCTCGCAATTGACTAATTCTGCTCCAGTTTCGAGGGCGTAAGATACCCCAAGGACATCTCGTTGCACTGGGTCCCGAATCAGCCCATTAATCTCCTTCGCAGACACACTTCGGCTCCTTGAGCCATGACCTCCACCGGACACGCCGAGCACCCCTACAGCGTCTCTTCTCGAGATCCATGGTCGTGAAGCTCGAGCCACTCATCAAGCAAAACGTTGTCAAACTCGCCAAGAACGTTGAGACGTGGGCCGGAACCGGCAAGCCGCTGTCCCTTGTCGACGCCATCTCGTGCATGGCGACGGATATCATCACTGAATACTGTTTCGGCCGCAGCTACGGCTTCCTGGACGACCCAAACATGGAGAAGAGCTTATACAATGCGATTCACACCGGCATAGAGGCCGTGATCCCGTTCAGACACTTTCCGCTGTATCAAAAATTGTTCTACAGCCTACCGACGTAGGTCCCTTGGTGTATGAGGCGAGGTCGTGATCAAAACACTTACGAATCGCTTTCCAGGTGTGTCATTGAGTGGATGAATCCCGACATGCAGCTGTGGAGGGAGTTCCGGACCGTACGTTTCCACTTTGAAATTTGAAGATTGCGCTTACCGGTGCTGGAACCCAGGACATCCGGTCCCACGTCCGCAAAATCAAGCAAGACATAGTCCAGGGCGTCATCAAGCCGTCGGAGTCGTCTCGCGCCACCGTCTTCACCGAGATCCTCACCAGCAACATGCCCGACTCGGAAAAGGACACGGAGCGCCTCAGCCGCGAGGCCCAAGCCATGGTGCAAGCCGGCATCGAAACCGTATCATGGAGTACGTCTTCTTCTTCAGCCCCCCAAACAACAACAACACAACACAAACTAACCAACCCCCCTCTTCTCCCCCTTCAAAAAAAAAACAGGCCTCACAACCAACCTAACCTACCTCCTCTCCAACCCGCCCGCCCTCGCCAAACTCCGCGCCGAACTCCTCGCCGCCATCCCCGATTCCTCCCCCCCATTCTCCCTCCCCCCCTGGCAATCCCTCGAACAGCTCCCCTACCTCTCCGCCTGCGTCCTCGAAGGCCTCCGCCTCGGCTACGGCGTCGTCACGCGCCTCCCGCGCATCCCCGAGACGGAGACGCTGCTCTACACGGACGAACGGCATTCGTCATCGTCGCCACGTGGATCAAACAAGACGTGGGCGATCCCGCCGGGCACGCCCGTCGGCATGTCGGCGTACCACGTGCACCACGACGAGAGCGTGTTTCCGGATAGCACGCAGTACCGGCCGGAGCGGTGGCTGGACGACGACGATGGCGACGCGGCGGGGGGGAGGCGTGGTGGTAGTAGGAGGAAGAAGCTGGAGGGGTGTCTGCTGTCGTTTTCCAAGGGGAGCAGGCAGTGCGTCGGGATGCATCTGGCGCACGCGGAGCTGTGGTTGGGGTTGGCCATGTGGGTGAGGTGGTTTGGGGACAGGTTGGAGCTGGCGGGGGGGTGTGGGGTCGAGGATGTGAGGTGTGTGGGGTTTCTTTTTGTGTTTTTTTTTTTGCTTGTTGTGATGGTTCTGCTTTTTTTGGTTGTGCTTTTTCTGCTTTTTCTGGTTCTGCTTTTTCTGGTTCTGCTTTTTCTGCTTCTTCTTTCGTCTACTTCTTCCGTCGTTTTCTTTCGTCTTCTTCGTCTGTCTTCTCCTTTTTTTTTCGATCTAGTCGTGACTGCGGCGTGATGCGTGCAGACTGGCTGACTCGACATGTGCAACGCAGGTATCATCACGATGCGTTCTTGCCCGCGGTCAGCCCAGACAGCAAGGTTATCAAGGTGTTGGTGAAGCCAAAGGTCGGGGAGTGATCAGTGATATCGGGTCGGGTGGGAAGAGTAAGTCACTCCGCCCTCGAACTTCCCTTTTGTGCCGGCGCTGATGATTGCTGTCCAAGTCCAGACCGCACACAAGATTGACACGGTGATTTGCTCTGTCGGTCTCCCACCGACCTTTTCACCCCGCTTCTTTGGTGCTTGCGGGAGAAGGCTCGGGGCGGATCAAGCGGAGGTGTTGGTGCGGGGTTCTCCATTGTTTACCTAACGGATCGCCACGGTGAGGATCCTACGATCGCTCTGGAATTCCTCAAGTGCAGTTGCACCTGACTCTTTCGATTGGTGTTGCGGGGGTTGAAATGGTTGCAGAGGTAATGTGAGTTGGCGGCGAGAAGCCACGCAAGAAAACGAAATTGACGACACCCACTTGGAAATTGATTCATCTTTTTTTGAATTGTGTCTCGCCAAGAGGATGTTCAAAATGTCGGTCGGTCCCTGGCTTGCTGTTCCGAACAACACGCGGCGGGCACGTGAGATGATATCAGGCTACGTCAAGGCGCTGGTCCGTGTTGGAATACGCGAAGAGGAACCACTCTCTCTCAGCCTCGACCACCACTGACGTGTAGCCCAGCCAGAAGATCAGCTGCACGAAGCCATTGGCAGTCCACATTTGCTACCGCCGTCGACGAACAGCTGACGGCTTTCGAGAAGACGGTTCGGCGGCGGGCGGTGCGAAGCGGCCCTCCTGGATCCCCACAAAACGAAGCAGAAGCCCAAAATAGAAGACAGCGCTGTGCAGTTGTCGAAATAAACGACCGGCCCGCCGTCGATCCCCCTCGCGTCAACGTCATGTTCTGAGCAAAGTGCCTGAAAATCCCGCGACTGATGCTCGCCCGTCCTGCAGGAACCATCCTTCGGCCAGCCGCCGTGCCAATCAGGCCCGTTGCTGTTACTTGAGCATCGCAGTGGAGACAATGGCCTACTGCAGCGCAGGTGCCAGAGCCCTTCGTCAATGGCTTCACCGGCTCATCGACGATGCCTTCGCTCTCACTGACGTCTGCTGCAACCCAGCCATATAAGTATGCCTCTTGCACAATCCGTTTCGAGTCTTTACTATCAACAACCCGTCGCTGGTCCTCGTTGCCCCTTCCCGTCGTTTGCCATACTCTAATCCCGACCTTAATCTCATAATGAAGTACGCCTTTTCCCCGCTCGTCTTCACCCTGGGCGCCTCCGCCGCGGCGCTCAAGCGCTCCGACTGCTGCTTCCAGCTCACCGCGTCGGGCGGCCAGTCGGGCAGCGTCGGCCAGCTCAACGACGGCCAGAACCGCGTCGGTGGAGGCTACTCGCCCGCCACCTACTGCCTCAGCAACGGCGCCATCACCGACAAGAACGGCCGTGGCTGCATCCTCACCCCTCCCACCACCCAGTTCCAGTGTGACGAGGGCGCCTCGCCCACGCCCGGCTTCGCCGTCGGCGAGGGCGGCCAGGTCACGTACAACGGCAGCACCAAGTTCTACGCCTGCCCCGCCGCCGACGGCGAGTACAACATCTACACCAAGGAGGTCGACGGCCAGGACAAGTGCGTCGAGATCACGCTGAGCACCGAGGGCGCCAAGTGCGCCGCCGCCTCGACCCCCGTGCCCAGCGCTCCGCCCACCCCCACCACCCCGCCCGCCGTCGCCAGCACCCCTGAGGGCGTCACTTCGACCCTGACGTCGTACACGACCGAGTGCCCGACCCCCCAGTCCAGCGCTCCGCCCGTCGCGAGCTCTCCTCCTCCAGCCCAGGGCCCCACGCCGAGCAACACGCAGCCGGCGCCCGAATCGCCCCCACCCACCACCCTGACCTCGACCACCTCCCAAACGCAGACCGCGACCTCAGTCCAAAGCGTCACCTCCCCCGGCACGCCCAGCACGCCCACCCCATCCAGCTCGGGCCCAAGCTCACCAGGAGGCTGCCCCGCCGACCTCGCCGGCGACTACCAGTACCCGCACCTCATCGTCCCCGTCAACGCCTCCACCCCATCCCAATCCTTCGGCACGCAATACTTCGGCGAAGTCTCGTCCTCGCCCCGCGTGTGCTCGCTCTTCAACTTCGACATCCCATCCAGCTACGCCGGCAGCGCGTGCAGCGCCGTCTTCCTGCTGCCGCACAAGGCCGAGCTGGAGACGAGCAACTACACGCTGTCGACACCTGGTAGCGGCAGCGGCCAGGTGACGTTCGCGGCGCTGGAGGAGCCGGCGGATGAGAAGACGGCGTGGGAGAGCGTGCCGGAGAAGGAGAGGGATCTCGGCGTGTTTGATGTCGAGGCTGGAGCGCGGTTCGTCGTGGCGACGGGCGAGTGTCGCGCGGGGAGCACGGTGGCGTATGAGATGTGTGCTGCTGAGGGCAGCGCTGGGCTGAGCTTCGAGTGGTTCCAGGACTGGAATCCGAGCCCGATTGGGCTGTTTGTTCGCAAGTGCTAGATCACTGGATTTGCGGATTTTCTTTTTTGATGGGAAAAAAGAGATGATAATGAGTTATATGTCTGAAAGAGACTGAGCGATGATGATTTTTTTTTTTTTGCGGGGAAGGTAATTGGAAGGGTGGGACGCGGAGAGAGTGAGAAAAGGTAATGGCTCGGGAATGTTGGACCAGCATTCGTCCTGCTCCGGCTGTAGTAAATACATACATATATACATACATGAACGTACCTATTAGTCTATCCTTTAATTTCTCCAGACGGAAAGAATCAACAAAAATGTCAAAAATGTCAACTGGTTGAGTCGCTTGTTTGTATGCACTGACTGTACTTTGAGCGCTCAGTCACATGGCACTGCACTGCTGTCCAGCCGACACTTTGAAGTTTCCTAGCTTGGCAACGTCACGGCACACTTGACCGTCGGCACGAGAACGAGGGTTTGCGTGACCGCGCACAGGTTTGCCTGCTGGATGCAGCTATGGAGGGGGGTGTCACTTTCGATCTGTCCATCACGGACTCTACTTCTTCAGCCGGTGAGGAGAAGCCTGGATGCGCAGGCATCCATATTACCCCTTTTCCGATGACGCACTGAGTGTGTAAGTGTGATAGTGATGCTGTGCCGCGGACTTGCCGCAGGAGAATAGATGGGTAGCTGCTCCCTCGGTGCAATGCCGCCGACAATACGGCACAGCGGCGATGCGGCGAAACAGGCACTCTTGTATCCTGCACGCGCGGATGGCCGTCAAGCCGTGGCGTTCCGATCCGTCCAGGCGTAAAAAAGCAAACAAAAAAAAAGAAGCAAAAACGGGCGTGGAGAACTGCCGGTACGCACTCCGGCACCACGTCCCGGCAAATGTTTGCTCAAACAGGCTATATATCGTTTCGACAGGAAGACTGTGGTTTCGGCCGCGCCGAGGAGACAAAAGTGTGGACCCGGGCCGCGGGTGCTAACCGGATGCGGCTATTTCTGCGGTTGCGCGAGGAATGCGGGGTCGGGAGTGTGGAGGACCTGCACACCGGCAGTAGTGGCAATTCCCACCACCAATATCTGGAGCGCATGTTGCAGCCGCAACTGGGCAAAGAACCGGAACGTCCGGGGCCGGGCAGCCAACGGTGGGAGTGGCCAGCAACGTCGACCCCCCCAAGCAAGCGTGTGACCAGCTGGCTCGCCCGCGCGTGCGGGAAGAACACGCCTGGACAGGCTTCTGCGCGGGGGAGGATGGAGGGGGCGAAACGCCACCCGAGGACCATCACAGAGTGGTGACGTGACTTCGGCGCGTCCTACTCATCTGGTGCAGCCGCGCGCTGCAACTACATGGTCGTCGCACGCCCTTGTTCCTGGAGAGAGAAGTGGGAAAGAGGAGGGGTGTTTGAAGAAGTACAAGCAGCTTTACCGTCGTCATGGCCGAGAGCTCGGAGCTATAAAGAGGGGGGTTCGTCAATTCTTCTCCAGCGAGCCATTGACCTCAGGCTGCAGACCGTCGAGCTTCTCAAGCTCGCTCAGAGGCCTATACCATGGCGGCGACGTCGTCTCTTTCCCGCCTCCCTCTCGCCGTGCTCCTCGCCCTCTCCCCGTTCCTGCACCCGGGCCCAGCCACAGCTCAAGATGCCGTCCCAGCATCCCCCGAGACCATCGCCGCCCAAGAGCTCTTCTGGTCCTACGGCCGCTCTCCCCCCGTCTACCCCAGCCGTAAGTGACGACAACAACCCCCCACGCCCTCAATCCGCATCACCGCCACCCAACAGCTCACACGCCCCCCACACACAGCCTCAGCCACCGGCCTAGACGACTGGGCCCCAGCCTACGCCTACGCGACGCACCTCGTCGGTCAGATGACGAACGCGGAGAAGCAGAACCTCAGCTACGGCTTCAGCACGACGGCGAACGGGTGCAGCGGCACGTCGGGCGCCGCGCCGCGGGTGGGGTTCCCGGGCCTGTGCCTGAACGACGGGCCGGCGGGCGTGCGCGCGACGGAGCTCGTCAACGGGTACGCGTCCGGCGTGGCCGTCGGCGCGTCGTGGAACAGGGAGCTGGCGCGGGAGCGGGGGCTGGCTATCGGGAGGGAGGCTAGGGCGAAGGGAGGTGAGTGAGTGAGTGAGTTCTGAGTGAGAGAGAGAGAGAGAGAGAGAACCCGTGTTGTTCTGGCTGGGTGGGTGCAAAGAAAAGGGCTGACGACTCGCGGTGCTGCTTTGGCGTCGAAGTGAATGTGTGGCTTGGGCCTGTGATGGGGCCGCTGGGTCGCACGGTGCTGGGGGGCCGGAACTGGGTGAGTGAGAGATTGATTGCCTGGGCGACGGGCGGCTCGCTTGCTTACCACACGGCTTTGATGCAGGAAGGCTTCTCGGTCGACCCGTATCTCAGCGGGGTGCTGAGTGCCGACACGGTGGCCGGCGTGCAGGAGAACGTGGCCGTGTCGGCGAAACACTTCGTCGGCAACGAGCAGGAGACGAACCGCAATCCCGTCACGGCGACGGGGAACGCCTCGGTCTCGTCCAACATCGATGACCGGACGATGCACGAGCTCTATCTGTGGCCCTTCCAGGACGTCGTCAGGGCAGGCGCGGGTAGGTACGTCTCAGAGGCCGTCGCTGCACAGGGCGCTGAAGTGATAGACAGGGACCGTCATGTGCTCCTACAACAGGATCAACAACTCGTACGGATGTGCGTCGTCGTCGTCCGTCTCCAAGGCGCTGCTGGCGTGAGCTGACTCTGTGTGCAGGCCAGAACAGCAAGACGCTCAACGGGCTCCTCAAGGGCGAACTGGGCTTCCAGGGCTTCGTCGTCAGCGACTGGGGCGCACAGCATACAGGCGTGGCAAGCGCCGAAGCTGGCCTGGACATGGCAATGCCCGACTCGGAGTACTGGGACGGGAACCTGACCGTCGCCGTCGAGAACGGCACCCTGGCCCAGTCCAGACTCGACGACATGGCCAAGCGGTGAGCAAGCAGACGTCGTCCGACGGCTGGCCGGCCTGCCCACATGCTGACTCCGTCTCCGCAGCATCGTTGCCACATGGTACAAGCTCGCCCGCTTCGAGCCCGGCACCGGCATGCCGTACAGCCTCGAGGAGCCGCACGACGACCAGAAGGTCACGGCGCTGTCGCCCGCCTCCAGGGACGCCATCTACCGCGGCGCCGTCGAGGGCCACGTCCTGGTCAAGAACGTCAACAACGCCCTCCCTCTGAAGAATCCGCAGATAGTGTCCCTGTTCGGCTACGACGCGCCGGCCCCCGCCGCCGACTCCGACCTCGCCCCCTCTTACTTCTCCGCCCTCTCCGACGCCGACGTCCCGCAAGCCGCCTACAACGGCACGCTGATCAGCGGCGGCGGCAGCGGCGCCATCACCCCCTCCTACCTCATCTCCCCCCACGAAGCCTTCTCGCAGCGCGCCCGCGCCTCCGACACCCAGCTGCTCTGGGACTTCCGCTCGCCCCGCCCCAGCGTCAACGCCGCCTCGGACGCGTGCCTCGTCCTCATCAACGCCTTCGCCACCGAAGGCTTCGACCGCACGCGCCTGACGGACCCCTCCTCGGACACCCTCGTCGCCAGCGTCGCCGCCAACTGCTCCAACACCATCGTCGTCATCCACAACGCCGGCATCCGCCTCGTCGACGCGTGGATCGCCCACCCCAACGTGACCGCCGCCATTTTCGCGCACCTCCCCGGCCCGGACAGCGGCCGCGCCCTCGCCGCCCTCGTCTACGGCGACGCCGTGCCCTCCGGCAAGCTGCCCTACACCGTCGCCAAGGCCGCGTCCGACTACGGCGACCGGCTCTACGGCCCCGTCCGCCCGGACGCCGCGTCCGACTACTACACGCAGGCCGACTTCGCCGAGGGCGTCTACCTCGACTACCGCCGCTTCGAGCGCGACGGCGACGCCAGCCTCACCCCGCGCTTCCCCTTCGGCTTCGGCCTCTCCTACACCACCTTCTCCTACACCAACCTCTCCGCCTCGCTCCTCCCCTCCAACTCCTCCTCCCCCCCACCGCCCCGCACCGCCCCCCTCGGCGCCGGCATCACCCAAGGCGGCCTCGCCAGCCTCTGGACCCCCCTCGCCACCGTCTCGGCCTCCATCACCAACGCGGGCGCCGAGTACGCCGGCGCCGAGGTCGTCCAGCTGTACGTCGGGATCCCGGCCGATGGTGTTCAGCCGGGCGCAAATGGCACGGGAGCAGCAGCAGCAGCGCCGCCGTCGCCGCCTCCAGCGAAACAGCTGCGCGGCTTCGCCAAGGTGGCGCTGGCGCCGGGGGAGAGCGCGGCCGTGAGCTTCGAGCTGACGAGGCGCGATCTCAGCGTGTGGGACGTCGAGAGCCAGGGGTGGGTGCTGCCGCGGGGCGAGTACGGGGTGTATGTTGCGGCGAGCGTGGAGGATGTGAGGTTGGCGGGGGGGTTTGTGGTGGGGGGGTAGAGGTGTGGATGGATGGCGGGGAAGCGGGGATTTTTGGTTTTGGGGGATTTGGGAAGGAGGGAGGAGGGGTTCGTGGGGGTCACGTTACCTGAATGTGATGGGATTGGTTTGGGTTTCGGTTTTTAGGGATTATAAAAAGGCATCCTGTTTCGTTGTTGGTGTCAGTGACGGACGGTGAGTCTACACCGGCGTGCGTGAGGATCGTCGACTATACCTACGCTTATGCTTCAAGATGTCGAAAAAATAAAAAAGAGACTGTTGGGCAGTTTGTCGGCATCTTGATGCTCGTCAGCGTTGTTTCACCAATGGCGAGCCCTCACCAACTTATGAAATCTCATCAGCTGCCCTCCTTCCTACGCTTGTTGTTAGCAATAACGCAGAGCATTACAGCAAGGTAGAACTAAGATCTCCTCCAAGGGAAGTAGATATGGATGCATGGTGAACTCGCATGATCGCAGTCCTGCCTTTGCCGGGAGAAGGAGCTAGACGCTCGACGTTGAGCCTCTTCTTTATATTTCAAAGAAGATTTGTGGTTGTGGCGAGGTCTCAAGCTTCCACATGATTGGTAAAGTGTCGTATGATACACTGCTTTCCCTCATGCTTGTTCGTGTGTGCGTATATTTCCAGCTGCATGGGCCTCATGGCGTGTCTTGACGCAATGTGTTGCCGCAGCGCTGAGCTTCATGTGGCCACGCCACCCGGATCAGTTGAACGTTGTCTTAGAGTAGGATAAAAGGGCAGTTCCCCGTGTCACCCGGTCGGTCCTGTTGCGCCGCAAGCACCTGCACGTGCAATTGCAACCAGCCCGCTGGGTACCAAGGATTCAGGAGACCTATAGGTGCTCAATATGATTAGCTGGTACCGATGTCAAAATCCAGTATATGCCAACGGTGGCGGTTTATACAAGACGTCGTCTGTCTACGCTATATAGAAATCTCTTCTCTCTGTCCTCCCTCCCCTCTCCCCATACAAAACAGCAGCAAAGCGGCAAGTTTGCAAAACACGACTTTGTCCCCCAAACTTACCAACGCCTTGCCCCAATCCATGCATTCCATTCATACTTCATACACATTCCCGGATTTAGCGCAAACCATCTTCTGCCAACGACATTATACAACCCCTCCAGCCCTAACCGGCATGCTCCACAATCTCGCTGACCACCTTGCCGTCCTTGATGTAGGTCTTGAACTGCTCGGGTAGAGGGTGCTCCGTGTAGTCTTCGCTCTCCTCTGAAGGCGGCAGGTTAATGTTGATGCTGGAGCATTTGCTGCTGATTATTTCCGTGTTCAAGCTTTCCGCGCTAAGGTAGATGGCGGCGCCGTCGACCTGGTCAAGAAGGGCTGTAGGCAAAGTGCCCAGCACCTGCAGCGCGAAGTTGGGGCACTTGATGACATCGATCGAAGACACGAGCGAATCTAGAACAATTGAGGTACGAGGGCTGTTGTCGATGGAGATGGCATTGGCCTTGCCCTTGATCTGGATCGTGGTCTTGCTGCACCTCGTGATGAGAATGGACTGGACAAGGGTAGCCTCAATCACCAAAGGCTCACTGGCATCCTCGTAGTTTTCCTGTCATCATCGTTAGCAGGGGGCAACCCTACTCGCCTAGGCGTCGATCTTCAAATGTTGGACATGACTCACGATAATCCACTTGTTGCCATCAAGTTCCATCTTCGGGGGCTTCTTCGAGCGCATGCTTTCCGGCTTGGGCTTCTTGCCCGGCGGAGCGGGTGACTTGCCCCTGGATCCGGTGCTGTCCTTGCGCTCAGGAACGGTAGAGTTTGCGCGCAACGCCGGGTTCTTGTGCGTCATTTGGCTGGGATCGACCTTTCGCAGACCAGAAGTGACTGCCTCTCCCTTGTTCAATTGGTCAAAGACGGCACCCATGTCGGCGGCACTACCGCCCTTGCCAGCTGGTGCTGGTCCCGGCGGCGGAGGGGGGACGTTGTCGAACGTAGGAAGCGGCGGCGGAGGAGGTGGCGGCGGAGCACCACCGGCGGGCGGTGCGGCCGCCGCAGGGGCACCGTTGGTGCCTTCTGATTTGACTTGACGAAGCGCTTCGGCAGCATCGATGCCGCTTGCGTTCCACTGAACGCCCTTCGCGTGGTTGTTCTTGATGTAGAGAATGAGCGATTTGAAAAGACGGTAGAAAGATTGGACCCATTCGACATGAGTGCGATCCCTGGCCGCCCGTTAGTCTTTCATCCGAGATCAGACAGTTCTGCTGCACCCACTTGTCCCTATACTCCTTCAGCACTTTGTTGCCATACATCTGCGCACCACCGAAAAGCTCGGCGGCCACATCGCCAGGCTTAGAGTCCATGGTGACCCATCCCAGAACCCCAACTCCGTCGCCGACCATGGTCAGGTGGTTCTTGACTTCTGGATCCCTGGTAATTTGCTTGACTTGATCGACTTTCTCGATTGCGCCCTGCAGGTCCTTCAGAACTTCCAGAAAGACAGGAGAGGGCATGTCGGGCTTTTTCGCAAGCGTCGTGACCTGGAGGAACTGGCGCTGGGAGGCGAAGGCGTCGGAGAGCGCCGATGCCTGGAAAGATTGTCTCAGTAGAAGCACATTGTCGTGAGTTCCGCAGCGCATACCTGTTCAGCGATGGGGCCACCGAGCTGCTTGCTCAGTTCCACGAATTCCTTCAGCTCATTGTCCAGGAGCTCGTCGAAAGCAACAAGCATGGGAGGAACATCGGCGGCGGCGGGCGCGGGCGCGGCGCCAGGAGCTGCGGGTGGCGCAGAAGCCCTTGCAGGAGCTTGAGCGGCGGCGGCGGCCAGGGCACCAGGGGCGGCATCGAGAGCGGAGGGCTTCTCGAAGGTGGACGAGGCAATGTCCTCCAATCGGGAGGTGGCGGCCTCCAGCCTAAGGGCGAGGTTTGTCAACGCGTCGTCCGGGACGTGAACGGGCGACGAGAGGCGGTAGAGGAGCGAGTCTCTGTCGTGCTGGGCCATATTCTTTGGGGTTGGGGATGGGGGTGCGAGGTTACCGTTTGATGAGGGTGGTCAGGTTATTCATGTTGTTCTGTGCCATGATGGGCAATGGCGGGGATCACTGCTGCGGCGGCAGGTGCTAGCAAGGGCAGTGGGGAGGCGAGGCGAGGCAGGCGCTGATGCTGGAGCTTGCGGGCAGCAACTGAGAGCTCGCGGCTGGAGCGGGTCAGCGAGCGTCGGGAGGAGACTTTGAGGGCTGCAGGAGATCTGGGCCGGGGCCGCGCGCGTCAAGGGTCGCTCCGAGACGTTGTTCGGCTCAATGCGATCAAAGAAAACGGCGTGTCGCTCAGGCTGACACGTTGAACGAGCGTGAGGGAGCAGTGCGATCCGCGGCGAGGTGGCCGAGTCAGGCTGGGGTTGAGGCAGCGAGCGCGCCCGGCTCGCCGCTCTCCTGGCCGCACGTTGGGCTGGGCCGTGCTGGGCCGCCAGGGTGCTTGGGCCGGTGCTGTGCGACGAGTGGCCTGTGGCTTCGCCTGCTCCCGCTCCCATGCACAGAAACCCCATTCATGCAGCAATACGCCGCCTCTCCAGATTACGCCAGGGTGCAGCGCGAGCACGCTTGTTCCACCGTGCCCGCTCTCCCGCTGCACGTCCTGCTCGACGCCCTCATGTACATCATGGCCGACGACGAGGACGTCACCATCGACTTTGTGTCGCTTGGCATGTTCATTCTGGGTACGATGCAACCATCAATCCCAAAACAGCAACCCTCGTCCAGACCAGCTTCTGAGAGCCACAGATGACATCGAGTTCAAGCCGCCCACCCCGCCCGTCAAGGATGTCGTCGGCGGTGCGGGCGCCTACTCTGCCATCGGCGCACGCATCATGTCGCCGCCGCCGCTGTCGCGCTCTGTCGGCTGGATCGTCGACTGCGGCTCCGACTTCCCTGACGACGTCCGCGACACCATCCAGCACTGGGACACCAGCTGTCTCCTCCGAGAAACTCCTCACAGGCTGACCACCCGAGGCTGGAACGGCTATGGCGAGAACGAACATCGAGGTACGATCACGATTTTTCCTTCTCACCGCAACTTGCAGTTGTCTGTCCCTTCACGTGCTCCTACTCCCACTTCCGGCGAGCTCGTGCGCCAACAAAGCCGCACTAAGCCAACCTCCACCGACTGGACGTTTCTATTCCATTTTGTCTGCGCACACCCACCCCTTTCTTCCTCGAGCATCCGAACTGCTGGTTTGCCCATGTCTCGGCCTGTTTCCTTCAACCTATCCGTCCTTTCGGGCACCATCATCCCAGTCTCAGCCGCCTTCTTTGCTCCCGAAACACTGCACATTTCCCGTAATCTCGTCGCCTCCGTCCAATCCACAATTTTTACGTCATTGTGTTTCTCATTGCCCTGACCTTTCCATGCAGCCTTCAAGTACATGACGGAGAAGCTCCGCATCGACCATGACGCTCTCACACCGGAGCTGCTCCTTTCCAAATCTTACCACCTGATCTGCTCGTCGACGCGTTGCGTCGACCTGGTCACCAACATCCTTTTCAAGCGCAAATGTCTGGCCCCCGACCGGTGGGTCAACCCGCCGCTCTTCATCTGGGAGCCGGTGCCTGATCTGTGCACGCCCGAGGATTATGAAGAGTGTCTCCAGGCGCTGCGATACGTCGACGTTGTGAGTCCAAATCACGGCGAGCTAGGTGGGTACTTTGGACGCAGCACCGTCACCCCGGACGGTGATGTGGACAAGGCGGCGGTGCAAGAATGCACAGAGCAATGGCTGGAGTCTGGTGTGGGTGCGCGGGGGAATGGAGCTGTGGTCGTAAGGTGCGGGAAGGACGGCTGCTATGTCGCTTCGCGGGAAAACAAGACTTGGCTGCCAGCTTTCCATACATCCGCAGAAGCTGTCGTCGATCCCACCGGTGGCGGCAATGGCTTTCTGGGAGGCTTGGCGGTTGGCCTGGTGCGTGGAGGCAACACCCCGGGCGTGGAGAATGTCGAAGAGGCAGCCATTTGGGGTAGCATCGCTGCCAGCTACACAATCGAGCAGGTCGGCATGCCCGTCCTGGAGAAGGGAGACACCGAGCAAGGAGAGAGATGGAATGGTACCAGAGTAGAGGACAGACTGAGGGAATATAAAGAAAGAGTGGGGAGACTGGAAAGCAGCTGAAGGTAATGATTACAGCCTTGGAAGTAGCAATTGCCTACCACTCTAGGATTCTTTCTTACGGATTATTATGTCATAGACAATAGACGATCATTGATACCCCATTTGTTCTGGTACGACCGGGTGTGTGCGGAAAGTATGGGCAGCTGCATCTGCCGTGAATGCTACACAAACGGAGGTCCTTCGCGATCAATGCTTTAGCCTGCGGCATTTGCAGCCGTCACATCGCCACTGTTGTGTAAAGTCGATCGAACTGCGCCCTGAAATTCTTGATTCTTCGTGCCCGTGTCTATGATTCCTGCTTCTGGTCGCGCTCGTGCTCAATGATCTGCTTGCTCCAGCTGTGGTGCGTTTGTCAACGGCATATTCGGTCGATTTTCGGCGGTCAAGGGAGCCTCACTATCTGCTAGGGAAGAACCTGCCAGGCTCAGGGAATTTAGACCGGTACTCCCTCTGCGCACTGGTGTACCAGGCCAAGCTGGTTATGCCAATGACAACACCGCCCATGATCGCCGTGTTGCCCTTCCAATTCTTCGGCTGCGAGTACCAGCCACCGGCCGGGGACCAGACATGCTTGGGGTACCTGTGAATGGAAGTGTTCCCTCAGCGTTTGTCCTGCTGCCGGATGGGATGCGCGTTGCTGATTATACGAGGGATGCGATTGGGCGGCACATACGGGATCTTTCCGCCTCCACCCATGGTGTGCAGTATGCTGTACGGTATGCGATTGGGGTCGAGATGCGGCGGACGAGCGGTTGGAGCTCTCTCGGGGGTGGTGTGCGGATGGGGAGCTCGATCTTGGTGGGAGCGGGCAAGCCGATGTGAGAGGCAGTCGCAGTCGGGTGTCGCGTAACGATACCTGCGCACGTAAGCAGACATCCTCGCGCTAAACTGCAAACCGCGCACTGGAACATACGCTAGGCCGTGCACTTGCGTTCTGCCGCTCGTCGAAGTCGGGCGAGCTGTGTCTGAGGAAATTTTGGAGGACTACGTTAATTGACCAGCAACCACGCCCACCCATCGCGTCCGAGCGGTGCCCCATCCTTACCGCCGGCTTTTCCTCCCTTCCTCCTCCGTCCATGAAACGCTTACGGGTCGAACGGTTCGGCAGTGCCCGCGCCTTGACGCGCCTCACACGACCACGCCCGCAGTGCCCTTTCCTTCAGCAGCAACAGCAGCAGTTCCAGCCTCAATGCCGCCAAATACCCTTCTACCGGTTACATTCCACCGATCCGTCTGCTTCGGCCAACGAGACCATCGAACCCGAGGAGCTTCCGGCCTCAATCGATCCGGAGCCAGTAGAACTCGGGGCCCTTCCGTCTCCCCCGACATCTGCGGCAGACGACTCGGCCAAGCTCGCTGCTCTCCACGCCCGTCTGTCACTGCCCGCGCGACTGCCTCTTAAAACGCTTGCACGCACGCTCGTCGATCCGTCGGCCGACTCAAACCCGGACTTCAACAATGCCGCGCTGGCAACGCTCGGAAACGACCTGCTGGGCTACTACACCAGCGAGCACATCATATGCACCTACCCGCGCATCCCCATGCCCGTCCTGCTCTCCGCCATGCAGGCCTATGTCGGTGACGCCGCCCTCTCCACCATCACGCGCGAATGGGGTGTCGAGACGGCGGCAGCGCCGGGCGGCGAAGTCGACCCGGGACTCCTCCAATTCACACACGTCGAGCCGGAGACGGAGTTCCTGCCGTTCCGGAAACACACGGGGCGGCCAAACGAGGCGCGGGGCATGGGCTGGCGGCGCGGCATGTCGTCGCGCATCGTGTACGACGACGCCTTCGGCGAGCTGCGCGGGCGGGCGCTGACCAAGGCGCCGCAGCGCCACGAGGCCGCGACGCTCCAGCAGGCGGCCGCCGGCTTCGTGCGGGCCGTCGTCGGCGCCGTGTACGCGCACGCCGGCCGCGGCGCCGCGCAGCACTTCGCCCGCGCCCACTTCCTCTCCCGCCACCTCGACCTCGCCCAGCTGTTCAACTTCACCGTGCCCACCCGTGACCTGTCGCGGCTGTGCGCCCGCGAGGGCTTCGAGGCTCCCGTCGCCCGCCTGCTCGCCGAGACGGGCCGTGAGAGCAGACATCCGGTGTTTGTGGTTGGCGTGTACAGTGGACGGGACAAGTTGGGAGAGGGGCCGGGCGCGAGTCTGGAGGAGGCTAGGTTCAGGGCTACGGCTGCTGCGTTGAAGAGCTGGTACCTTTACAGCCCTCTGGAAATCACGAAGCCCAGCGAGGTGGAGGACAGCACAAACCAGGGCAAGAAGTGGGTGCCGAATATGGTGGATCCGGGTGAGATTATCGTGTAAGAGGAAAAACGGAATTCACTTCTAAGGAAATCATATTCGGATGTCTTGAGGAACAAGGACAGGCGTGGCATGTGTATGCGGGATATGTTCTCTGCTCACGCTGTTCTAGCATGGAGATGAAAACGATGTATGAGGGAAATGGAAAGAGGACAAAGACCGGCATCGGACGGAGAAGCGGTCGAGCATTTGTATCATACCAGAAACGTGGAAAGCCTTTTGGATTTTGACCGCGCATGTGTGATCAGGTCGCTCAGGGATTAGTACATGATTTGGAAACAGTGCTACAGTGAGGGGAGCAGGCCGAGAAGAAAGAGTACATGGTGGACATCTACCGCGGGATATGCAAAACTCAAAAGGAGAAGTTGATATTTCCGTCCCTGGTGCTGCTTCAGCTAACCATGTGCCGCGGATTTTGCGTCCTTGTGGATACCAACGCGAGGGACCAATAAATAGACAGGTTCTCGAGAGCAGTGGTCTATTCAGACGCGGATGCACGGCTTAGTGAGCCACTGAAATGTTTGGTGCCGAGTACAGCGGTACCCAGCTCTCCACATAACCGAGCGTGCAACAAGCCGGCGCTAGCTAGCTGAGAATTGGTGGCCACCAAGGCACAAGAAGCGAAAATCGTTGCCAAGTCATTCCACCCAGACATGTGAATATTGTTGAGATGGAGGTGCAATGCAATCAAAAGTTCAACCCAAGGGTTATAAAGCTCCAACTGCATCATATGACCGTCCCAGCTTCGTCACTTGACAGACAAAGCCGCATAGATGACGTTTGTTGGACACCAGTGACAAGCAAAGACAAAGGCAGCGGTATTCGAGCACCTGCGAGTCAGCAAATCGCAAGCAAGCTCATGGTCCGCCGGTGCGCTCTTTTGATATAAAAACAAATCGCGCTCATGGCCAAGCGGCTCGAGCGAGCCTAGAATGCGATTGACCAAAACTTTTGATGCAAGAGAGCTTTGAAGGGAGGATGCAAAGGCAGGAGCGCTTTGAGTGAGGTCCGCGGTTGGCAGCGCACACTGAGTCAGGCATCCCCGCCAAAATGGGGCGAGCTTGCCTTGCCGTCACCACGACCCACGAGAAATTCCCACCTCGCCACCCGTCAAAAGGACCCTCGACCCGTCGTCCATCGGGAGCACGCCAGACTCGGAAAGCTGCACGACCTTAATTGTCTCGTCGCACTCTCCCTTCGACAGCTTCTTGATCGCTTCTCCCAGGCAACGCCGCTGCCTTCTCGCACCCACGCCTCGGGCCTACGAGAAAGAGCTTTAGCTTGCCTGCCTGCGCCCCGCTCGCTCGTCGACACAGCCCCCAGCCCACACCAAAAGCTCGGCAGAGCCACAGCCTCTTCGCTCCCGTCGACCGTCCGTCCCATCTCGGTAACGACGATCCGGACACCGCAACGTCCAACACCCACGCCACTTCGCGCACGCTCACCCACCGACCACGATGCCTCCGAAGAAGAAGGGCGGCAAGAAGGCCCAGCAGGACGACTGGGAGGCCGAGCTGGGCGAGACCATCGACCCGATAGCCGCCGCGACCGAGGCCGCGAAGCAGGAAGAGGATGCCAAGGACGCCGCCGAGGACGGTGAGGAGACGGGCGGCGGCGGCGGCGGCGGCGGTCTGATGGCCGCGCTGCGCAAGAACAAGGGCAAGCGCGCCAAGAAGGGCAAGGTCAACGACTTCCTCGAGGGCGAGGACGCGCCCGGCTCCGGCGACGCGAGCGGCGCGCAGACCCCGCAGCAGGAGGACCTCGCCGCCAAGGCGCCCGAGGAGGCCAACATGGACGACGACGACCTCTTCGGCCCGGTGAAGAAGGGCAAGGGCGGCAAGCAGCAGCAGCAGCAGCAGAAGACGCAGGAGAAGGAGGATGATGACGAGGAGGAAGAAGGCGGCCGCGTGAAGTCGAAGAAGGAGAAGGAGAAGGAGAAGAAGGAGCGCGAGAAGGCGAGGAAGAAGGAGCAGGCTGCCAAGAAGAAGACCGCTGCGCCCCCTCCCGCCCCCAAGGCCGAGCCCGCAAAGGCTGCTGAGGTGAAGCCCGAGGCTGCGCCTGCTCTGGAGCCCGAGAAGCCTGCTGCCGGCGGTAAGAAGAAGAAGCTCAGCCCGGCCCTTCTCGCTCTTCAGAAGCAGCAGGAAGAGCGGAAACGTCTCGAGGAGGAGCAGGCCCGTCTGGCTGAGGAAGAGAAGAAGCGCATCGAGGAGGAAGAACGCTTGAACGAGGAAGAGGAGCAAAAGAAGGCCGAGGCCAGAGCCCAGAAGAAGCAGAGGGAGAAGGAAAAGATCGAGCAGCTCAAGCGTGAGGGCAAGTACCAGACCAAGGCCCAGAAGGAAGCCCAAAGGCAGGCCGAGCTTCGCATGAAACAGATGATCGCAAGCGGCGCCAAGGTTGCCGGTCTCGAGGACCCCGACACTAAGAAAAAGCCCACGTACGACAAGAAGAAGAAGGGCAAGAAGCAAGCTCCTCAGGCGCCCAAGGTTGACGAGAAGGCCGAGGAGGAGGCGCGCAAGAAGCTCGAGGAGCTCAAGCTCAAGGAGGAGCAAGAAAAGAAAGCCGCTGAGGAGGCGGAGAAGGCCAAGAAAGATGCTGAGGCTAAGAAGGCTGAGGAGGATGATGATGATCTCGAGGACTGGGAGGCCCTCGCTGACAAGGAGGAGGGCGTCAACCTGGACGGAGTCAAAGACAGCTGGGATGCTGAGACCGATGACGAGGAAGCCAAGCCCGCTGCAGCAGCAAACGGCAAGAAGGCCGAGGACTCCGAGTCTGAAGAGGACTCTGATGAAGATTCCTCATCTGAAGAGGAGGAAATGACTGCTGCCGAAAAGGCGGAGGCTGCTCGCAAGGCTGCAGCTGCGGAGCGCCGTAAGCAACAGCACGAGGCGGCCCTCGCTGCTCGGTCGAAGGACGACCTGCGCTCTCCTATTTGCTGCATTCTCGGACACGTCGATACTGGTAAGACGAAGCTACTTGACAAGATTCGTCAAACGAACGTCCAGGAAGGTGAAGCTGGTGGTATCACTCAGCAGATTGGTGCTACCTACTTCCCCGTTGACGCATTGAAGAAGAAGACGAATGTCGTTAATAAGGATGGCTCGTTCGAGTTCAAGATCCCTGGTCTCCTTGTCATCGACACGCCTGGTCACGAGTCTTTCACTAACCTCCGATCTCGCGGTTCGTCCCTCTGCAACATCGCCATTCTCGTTGTCGATATCATGCACGGTCTTGAGCCCCAGACTCTTGAGTCCATGAGGCTGCTGCGTGACAAAAAGACTCCGTTCATTGTCGCACTCAACAAGATCGATCGTCTCTACGGCTGGAAGAAGATTGACAACAACGGTTTCCGCGAGAGTTTGTCCTTCCAGAACAAGGCTGTCCAGAACGAGTTCAGGGACCGTCTCGAGAAGACCAAGGTGGCCTTTTCCGAGCAAGGTTTCAACTCTGAGCTGTTCTACGAGAACAAGTCCATGGCCCGCTACGTCTCCCTTGTGCCCACGTCCGCCCACACGGGTGAGGGTATTCCCGACATGCTTAAGCTTATCACCACCCTCACTCAAGAACGTATGACCAATAGCCTGATGTATCTTTCTGAGGTCGAGGCGACAGTTCTCGAGGTCAAGGTTGTCGAAGGTCTCGGCACCACTATCGATGTCATCCTGTCCAACGGTGTGCTGAATGAAGGTGATCGGATTGTTCTCTGCGGTACACAAGGAGCTATATCGACGAACATCCGTGCTCTTCTAACACCGGCGGAGATGAAGGAGCTACGTATCAAGTCGCAGTACGTGCACAACAAGACGATCAAGGCTGCCATGGGTATCAAGGTTGCTGCCGACGGCCTCGACAATGCTGTGGCCGGTTCGCGTCTCATGGTTGTTGGTCCTGAGGATGACGAGGAGGACCTGGAGGAAGAGGTAAGCTCTACATCCACCGGAACGTGTTTTAATCAAACCAAAAAGCTGACAATAAATAGGTCATGGGTGATCTTGAGAACCTTCTGTCCCGCATTTCCAAGACTGGCCGTGGTGTCAGTGTCCAGGCGTCTACTCTTGGTTCCTTGGAAGCTCTTCTCGAGTTCTTGCGTGTGTCCAAGATTCCTGTCGCCAACATCTCGATTGGTCCCGTCTTCAAGCGTGATGTTATGCAGTGTGGTATCATGCTTGAAAAGGCCAAGGAATACGCGGTCATGCTCTGCTTCGACGTGCGTGTCGACAAGGAAGCGCGCGAGTATGCGGAGCAGAATGGCGTCAAGATTTTCGAGGCGGACATCATCTACCACCTGTTCGACGCCTTCACGGCCCACATGAAGGAGCTGGAAGAGCAGCGCAAGGAGGAGAGCAAGATGCTCGCCGTCTTCCCCTGCGTGCTCCGTCCCGTTGCCGTCTTCAACAAGAAGGACCCCATCGTCGTCGGTGTCGATGTCATGGAAGGCAACCTCAAGCTCCTCACCCCCATCTGCGCGATCAAGGAAAACCCTGTCACCAAGCAGAAGGAAATCATCTCGCTTGGTCGTGTCCAATCTATCGAGCGCGACCACAAGCAGATTCCCGTCTGCAAGAAGGGCCAGCCCTCGGTCGCGGTCAAGATCGAAGGTCCCAACCAACCGCTGTATGGCCGCCACCTCGAGGAGAAGGATACATTGTACAGTCTGATCTCGCGGCAGAGCATCGACACGCTCAAGGAGTTCTTCAGGGCCGATGTCAGCATGGACGAATGGGCATTGATCAAGAAGTTGAAGCCGATGTTCGATATTCCTTAGATAAATTGAGAGGAGGAGGGAAGTGCGGACGTACGTTTGATGAAGCATAAAAAAGTTCTCCGTGTCTCTCATTCTCATGCCTGATGGGATGTTGAGATGTATATGGACGAAATGGCATTCTTATATCTATTTGCATTACTTGTAGTTGCCGCAACATGGCGTTTTTGTTAAAATGGCTGGCTACTTGTGCCTCTCAAACCCTCTCTCTCTTTCCTCTTTTCCTATTCGGAAGAAGCGCGTGTTTGGCCAACATGCAGCCATCGGTCCTCCCATTCGACGTCGGTTCCTTATCAACCTTCTGTGAGATTTGGGTATAAGGTCGATAACCAATAAGAGCGTTGGGTTCAGAGACGTTATTGCATGTTTTGGTCACATGGTACGACGGTCTTTTTTGATCCTGACTCGGCCTGGACTACTGATCATTGGTTTTAGGACAACAGAGGAGACTGAGAAGCCAAGACGTGTTCTTGGGCGGCGCTGCAACAGTAGGCGTTGCCGCAGTCGATGTCACCAAGGTCGCGGGTGTAATGTAAATGAAGGAGATGGTGGATGTGGCGGTGCTTTCCCTCGGTGCGGCTATATCCTTTCGGGTTCGAGTAGAAGGAAGTATGCAGGTGAATGGAGATCGGGAACTGCAGAGTATGTTCAGGGGCTTAGTGGAGGTCTCTGGCAAATCCATGGTGACATTCAAGCAAGCCCTTAACATCACCGTTCGAGTTCCAAACCTACTCGTCAATATCTAGTTTACGTGACGATAACGAGCTCGATTTGGAAGTGTTGGAAAACCTCCGGAGCATATCACTTGGCCTCCATTGGTGGGCTGTGGTAGAACCAGATTGCAATACACGATCCAGGATCCCGTCGATAACTTAGTCACACCAACACGGTATATCACTCACTAGGTTGCCTATCTTTCGCTACACATACCGTTCGTTTAATGCATCCGACAGGGCTCATCTCCATCGTCTATTACAAGAAACTTAAACGCTTCTCACCATAAAACATCCATCAAGCGACGATACGCTACAGACAATACATTTTGTGTTCCCAGTCATCGCTGCAGGACTTCCTCCAAGGTCATTAAGGAAAAGATAAATTTAGAAATTAAGAGATACGGGTTCAACAACACGCGATTCGACCTTACAGCAGAGGACCAAAAAGGGGATATCCCACCCCACCTGTATTCCAAGGCTGGACATTGGACCGCCCCGCTCCGGCCAGTGAACCACTGGGTTTCAGGGTCTACTCGTTGCAAGCTGAGCTCTCCATGTTAACATACATACTTAGTCACCGGTTGTGTCCGTGTAACAGGTGTTGAGAGTGTCGCATGATAGTGATCCCTTGAACTCTTTCCTGCGGCCTGTAGAAGCAGTCTCAAACTGATTCGGTTAGAGAGGATATTTAACCATTTTCTCACGATACCATTGAAACCATGGCCGGGGTACAAGCATTTCATCTTGGTTTTCCATCCGTCACCGCTTACTACTCGTCTCAGACCCACAGCCTGCACACAAACAATCAGCGATACAAATCACCATGCAGCACGCATCGACCTCCCTATCGCTAAGCCAACATACTGATCATCATCCGCTTACCAGAAATAAATACACTATACTCGCGCCCCGCTCGCCGAGCTCTTATGTCGGCAACAACGTCTGAGGTCGCATGAGCACCGCGTACATACCAACATGCGTACCATATTACCAAGCTCACATCATCAGAAGAAGCGCCTCACGTACGTCGAAGACCATTGGTCTTACGAGATCCTCTCCCGCCGATATTCGAGACCGTGTACGACCACTGTCCGACAGGCCTAGGCCCCAGACCCTATGGCGATACGACGGCTCGTCCCTATTCATAGTTGTCGGCGCGGAGACCAGGGAGGAGTTTCGCGACTGGTAGCTCGGTTCTCACCTCATGATACTCACAACCATCACCGATTGACAGACATTTACCACTGAAATAAGAGCTTTGTTTTTTTTAACTGCGTAATGCCAGCGTTTTAGGTCTAAATAGCCAAAATCGCATGACTAGAGACAACCAAACACAAATGCTTCCCTCCAGAACAATCAGAAACCAGAACCGGCGCCTGCCCAACCCCCAACAACACGCAAGGAGTGATATGCTAACAATATTGACAGAAGATACAGCAACAATAACATAAGTGGGGGGGAAGGGAGATGGTGCATGTGCAACGATGCGAAAAAAGGTGTCGTTGGGTGAGTTTCGATCAGATCATCTCGTTTGCGTACTTACGGACTACTCCAAGGTGGGAAACAACACATGCACACAAAAAGCGCCGCCTATTACCACTTCAATCGTTAAAAAAAACAAGAACCGCAACGTAGCCCCAAATCAGAAATTGTCCGTTCATCTCTTTTTAGCCTTCAGCTATGCATAAAAAAAATCGACGAAAAGCCAGCATTAGAAAGAAGGCAGATCTTTCTTCCGCATATACAATTACATCTGACCGCTCAGAATGGCCTCCGTGGCACCTGTGGTGAGGTTGTGTAAGCAAACCGATCAGCGTGGGAGAAATATAGGCCATGACTTACTGCTAATGAAGTGCCTCTTCGGATCCAGATTGACACCAAACCTGCGCTCGAGCTCCACCTTGATGCTCTTCTTGGTGACGGTCATCAAATCTGCCGTGCTCAAGATGTTCCTGATCTCGGCGAGCAGAGCATCTTCGTTCGGTAACGGACCGTTCATGTCGGACATCTCCATGCCGTCACCGTAGCCGTAGTTGGAGTGTGCGAGCGAAAGACGAGAATTATTGCCGAAGCGCGGAGGCTCCAGGCGAGACATGGGACGCGAAGGCGGGTAGCCGTATTCAGATCCAGAACCACCGTTGCCGCCCCAGTAGGCCTTTGTTCCATACGACATGCCCGAGATTTCGGAGCGGTCGTCTCGCTGAGTCTGGGCTTCCCAGAGCTCGGTCTGGTACTCCTCCCACTTCTTCTTCGGGATGCTGTTCGGGTCGAACTTGCCCTCGTCCGAGACGACAATCTGTTGGCCCTTTTCGCCAGTGACGACACGGGTGTTACCCCACGAGAAGTCGTCCATGTGCCAGAAACTGTACAGCGGCAGACCAAGCGAAAAGATGGGCGTGGCGCAGATGTAGATGAGCATCCAACCAATCATCTCCCACTTGCGGCGCACGATGAAAATGATGGCCTGCAGACCGTAGACTGCGCCGAGCAAGATGAACGTCATGATCGGAACGGTATCTGGGTGAGTGGCTAGGAGAACAATCATGTAGACGAGATAGCCGACGATGACAGGCTGGACAATGGTCGAGAGCAGATCCAGGAAAACGACAAATCTCATGCTGAAACAGCAGAAACCGCACAGCTGTTGCAATGGAATAAGCTCGATGAGGTTGTGCACCGTCGAGTTGATCCAGCGACGACGTTGAGACATGAAAACCGCGAAGCTGTCCGGAGCGATGGTCCACGCGTGCGCACGCATGATGTACTTGGTCTTGAACGCAGGGTGATGCTTGAGCAAGAGCGTCGTCAGGTATCTGTCTTCACCGAGGTGCAGCAGATTCTTCATGTGGAGCGTGTCGACACGGTTGACGGCATAGTTATCGACGACTTCCTTGCTGACGAAGAGAGGCTTTCCGGTTTCGGTGGCACGGATTCGGTACATGGAGAAACAACCCGGCAAGCAAGTAACGGAACCAAAGAGAGATTCGAAAGCCTTGATCAGGTTGTGCGAGATGTAGTACTCGTACACCTGCATCATGGTAACAAACGATGACTTGGCGTTGCTGAGTGCCGTTTCACCACAGACGGCGATCAGGCGTGTGTCGTGAAGGAAGGATGCCACGAAGCGAGTGCCGGCATCCGGTGCAACGACAGTATCGGCGTCGATCTGCAGAATGAACTCATAGAACGTCGGATTGACTCCAATGATGTTTCGTATCTGGTGGTGCATTTCGAGCTCCATGGGCGTCATCGGCAGGTTGTAGTGGACGCGGTTGAGGAAGCGCATGAGAACCATCTGGGAATCGCGCTTACCACGGTTGCCAGGCTTCTGGACCTCGGACGGCTTGCCGACCTTGACAACCACGACGAACGGAACGATGTGACCCTGCACCTCGTACAGACCCGAGTAGATCTTGCCCATGTTGTGCTGCTTCATACCCTCTCCCAAACTCTCGAAGCTCAAGGGCTCAGGATCGACTGCTTCAGAGACACCCAAAATGTCAAGGACAATCCTGGGCGTGGGTCTGTCGTTACCTTGTCCGATAATCATGCCGTCGCAGACAATGAAGAGGAGCTTGCGCTTGTCATCGTACTTCATACGGGCGGCAGAGTCGATGGCACGACGCAGAGAATCTTCATCTTCAGTGTACACCGGAACCGTGCAGATGACGAACTTATCCAGGTTTTCGGGCACAGTCTTTCTGGTGAACTGGAGCGCAGCCAAGAACTTGAAACCGATGACGGAGACCAAGAGAATCGAGATACCGAGGAGAAGCCACTTGGCGAAAACACAGCGGGTGGAGTTACGCGTGTCGACATCACCGACGTAGAAGAGGTAATCGAGACAGCCCTGCATGTTGGCCCGCATTGACGTGTTGTAGTTCAGCGCGTCCCAATACTTTGAGATGTCCTGGCCAGCTCTTGTTTGGAACAGCGTCACCAAATCGTTATCCATGAAGTCTGAGTCGATACCGGTCGTGGTACCGTTGTACCACCAAGGGAACTGTGGGTCACGGCCACCAACGAGATAAGACGTGAAGTCGTAGACCTTGTTGTTCAGGATAGCAACCGAGTTCTGCTTCTTGGCGAGAGTCTTGACATATTGAGCGCTGTAGCCGACGCGACCCTTCATGTAGTTGGCTTTCATGTAAGTCTGCTGCTCCCAAAACCAATCTGGCCGGCTGTCATTTGTGGCCCATCTGAAGTCGTGGTACCTGGCATTGTCATCTGTAGTGCTGACCGTTGAGTCGCTGCTCGAGTAGTTGTTCCTCTTGTAGTCGAGCTGGACCGATGGATGAATTGTGCCGTCCTTTCCATTGCAAAGAGCCGACACCTGAACGGGGAAGATGTTCGTGGCATCCTTGCCCGCATATTTCTTCAGCGATGTAGTCGAAACGATACTGGGATAGTGAACAGGCATGAAAGCGGCCAGGTCATAGACAATGCCACGAATGGCAATGTACGAACCCTCGCCATTCTTGCCGTTGTAGGATGTGAGCTCAGACTCCGAGTAGACGTGCTGAGTAGGGCAGATAAGCATGGGAAACCCGATCATGAAGAAAATAACCATGGCGCACAACAGCCAGATGAGCATGTTGATGGCGAGCTTTTCTCTCCAAGCAATACGAACATCTGGGCGAGTCATCCTGCCGATCTTCCTGATTGCCCAGTCGGGAGTCCAGAAAGTAAGGCACTTGACGAAGAACATCCATCTCTTACGGCTCCCGGAGATTTTGTGCGTCTCGACTTCCTCCATCTTGATTTCATTGCCCTTCTCGGCCATTTGCTCGCGAGTTTCGAGGTTGCGGAACATGTCGCCGCCGTTGATTGCAGAAGCTCCGGCCTCCGAGCGCGCATCAAGCTCGCGGCTGCCGAAGTAGCTTGCTTTGTCATCACTGTACAGTTGGCCTGGAGACGGCGTACCCATCAGGTTGACCCGAGAATCGCCGTAACCTCTTGTTGCGTCGGCAGGCGTAAGAAGGCCATCTCCGCTCGCTCCATCCATATCCCCGCCGATGTAGCGGCTGCCGCCAGCAGGGACAACGTCAGGGATGTTGGCTATCTCTATCCAGCAGCGCTCACTGATGAAGACACCCGTGGCTCCGACCCGCGCTTCGTTTGATGCCCAACCCTTCTCGTCTAATATCATCTCGGCTCTTTCCCGTTCGCTCGCGACAACAACGGTCTCGGCTTCAGCGAGGCCAAGGAATTCGCTGAAGGGAAGGAAGATGCTGAAATCTGCGTTGCGGAGACGCTGGCTGATCTCAGCAACACCGAGAGTTTGAATCTGCGATCGAACACATTTGCTGTCGAACTGGTTCGCGATTCTCCGGTCGTTGGGCTTTAAGCAGAAGACGAAGTAAGGGTTGGTGTCCGAGACAGCAATCGACTTGGTGATGTTCTCGAGGGACACCAGGAATTGTCCAGCTGCACCAGCTTGTTTGCCAGCAGCGGCCTTGCGCTTGTTTGACCGAGAAACTTCGCTGCGAGCATCATCATCTGATTCCTCAGCAGGTCTCCGGACTGAACCAAACCGGGCCGGGCGATCACCCTTCCTCTTTGCCATACTAGGCATGCGAGTCGGCTTGGAACTGACGGATGCTTGAACAACAGCGGTCCTTTCCTTCGGGTGCACGACGGTATTAAGAGCATCCTGATGGAAGAGCTCGCGGACAAAGTCGCTCCGGGTGTTGTTGATAAGGTTGAGAAGATCACCAGAGATGATGTCGCCGTTCTCCTCAAGCAGACCTTCAACTGGATAGTCAACCTCACCGGCGAAATGCTTGATGGTGAAAGAGGCAGAGGCATTGTGTGTCGCGAAGTTGCTACCCGGCATGACCGTAGTCGTGCTACCAGCGAGGATAGCCGGGTTCTTGTTGGTGAAACGCTTCCTCAGGGCCTCGAGGAACTGCGTATCGGTCTTCCCACGTCTCATTTGGTCGTCGAGAATGCTGAGAAGACCGACGCCAGGCTTGAGGAGACCCTTCACCGCATCGGAGTTGTCGAAGTAGCTGGTCTGAGGAATGCTCACCTCCTCGGCTGACAGGAACTCCTCCTGTTTTTCGAAGAAGTTTTGCAGTGCGTAGTTGTAAAAGCATTCCGCTGCAGCGTTGTTAAGCAACTGATCCAGACGGGATCCTGTGGAGGAGACTTGTTGAAAACCGGGGAAATCAACGATGGAGATGGTGTTGGCGACCGAGTCCTCGAGAGCGCAGATCCTCTGGTTGACGGTCTCCATGACGTACGCGACGAGCAGCGAGTACAGTGTCCGGGCCAGCTCATCGGCATTCTGGCGAGCACCCTTGGGATCCAACATGACCGTTACACGTTCACGGTGAAGAGTCTTAGACTTGTATCCAAGACTGATCTCCAAGTCCTCTTGGGCAACACCCAAGAACGCAGCGACGATTTGGAGCGCGCCCTTGTTCTTTACGACGGTAACATCCTCTCCGCCCTCATGGGAGTAACCACCGCTATCATCGCCAGTGGGAGTAGTGGACTTGCCAGTGACAAAGTCAAGCTCTCCGATGTGCAGAATGGCGGCGAGAATCTGGCAAATCTCGGCAATGTCGCTACGGGGGAACTCGAGCTTCCTCAGGGCGTTCTTGAACTGCTGGAATCCATCGGTGTCATTTACACCAACCTTCATCTGAGTGGGATGGCCGAGGTAGCGCCATCGCTTGGAACCACCCGTAGAGATTCTGCTCCCAGCTTCGGCCAGTCCAACATTAAGACCGAGATGCTCCTTCTCTGCCGGGCTGGTGCCCGCAAGGAGGTAGTAAAGAACGTGGAAGCTCCGCTCTCCGGTAGGAACGGACGCAATCCTGCTGCGCTCAAGCCTGTGATCCAGGATCTTGCCACCGATCAGAGTGGGATGTGTGGAAGAAGTTGTGTCGTATTGAAGCTCAAGGAAAAGACCGGCCTTTGACGCAATCGGCGTGGTAAGCGATTTTGTACTCGTAAGCGTATCGAAGACGAAGGATGCATATGAAAGCTTAGCGGAAAGAGGCGTGGAGGAGTAGGAGAGAAGCGCGGAGAGGAGATGGCATCGCAGCGTCGTCTTTCCGGCGCCGGATTCACCGCTGTGCACTGTTAGAACTCAAGCGGGCGCGCACAAGGCGGTGGCGGAATCGAGCTTACAGAAAGACCACGGCTTGATTCTCACTGCGATGTCCCAGCCTGGCCCAAGCCCGCTTTGCCAGGTCCTGGGTGGCATCCATGGCACTGCCCTCCTTCCCGCCATCCGGACCGCGAGCAGATGACGAGTAGGTGTTGAGCGCAACGACGGCATGGGACGACAGCTGGGCAGTCGGGTGGTGTGCATGGAAGCGGCTTGCCAGGTGGGCGGTCAAATGCGTGTCGGACTGCAGGTGGGCGGGTAGCGACGGTAGGGAAGCCTGAGCAAACTGGGCGTTGCTGCCCATGGAGTTGAGCGCCATGGTTACGACCTCGTCCCAGCGAGCGGGAGGGCGGAACTAGGGGTTCGAATGGGCTCTGGTGGAAGCAGCAGCGGAGGTGGACGGGCGGAAAAGCGCAGCTGCAGTGGTGGTGGGGAGGGCAGGTCCGAGTGCAAGGAATGCACTCTGCTTGCGGCGACCTGACGCGAAGCGAGCGTGGAACGAGAGGAATGAAGAGTACAACGACAACCAAACGAAGGGGAGAAAAGCCGGCGCAAAGGGACGGCTAGCGGGCGGCGGTGGTGTTGAGATGATCGGTCGGGCGTCCAGGCGGCGAAACACAGTGGACGGCTGCCAATGCAGGCGGGCGGATCGTATTGGCGGGCCCCCTATCGCTGCTTAAGTCTATTCTTAGCGCCGCGGCCGTCTGGCCACACGAGAATCACGAATTGCCACAAGCTGGGCCGCCGGCATGAATGACGGTGAGCGGTTTTTTATGTCATGCGCCCGCTCAAACCCCGTAAATTTGCAACAGCACCGTTCAGACTTGCTGGTACAGAGCGGCGCCAGTACCCGAGCGAGAAATCCGGGGAAGGCGATCACCTATTTCTCCAGCCGCCCACAGGCAAGCCCAACCTCGCGTCCCAGTCGCCAGCCAGCTGGCCGGCCGGCCAGGACACCACGGGCGCAGGATGGGAAGGATGCGCAAATGCCTCAGCCCGAGGGCGCAAGACCCCTCTGCACGGATGGTGGGCGTGTCTCTCCGCCAGACCGCCGCGGCCGAGGCGAGCAGGCCGCCGCCCTCACCCTGGCAACACGCAGGCCAGTGCCGGGGGCGGGAGAGGCTGCAGATCAGGATGCACAGCGACGCGTCACAACATGGCGGCTCGCCCGCCAGCTCGAGGGGCTGGAGCAATGGCTGCCGTGAGCCAGGTGAGCGCACGAGGGGTGCCGGTAAAGCACAGCATTACAGCGAAAATGCAGCCGGGTGTGAATGTTTTGAATTGAGTGACGCGGTGAGCTCGTGTTGACCTGCGCTAGGCCGGTCGTCGTACTAAGTTTAGACTCGGGATGGGTGCAACTCGCCCATGCCAGTGGCACAGGGGGCCGTGAGATCCACTTGCCCGCTTGTGGTCGCCTCTTGCGCTCTTCCGTCCGGCGAGACCGTCGCGTTGAACACCACCATTCGCCTCGCGCCGCGGCTCTTCTGCACTTCTGAGCCCTCCCTGAACCTGCTCTCTCCCACGATCGCTTCTTGCATTCCCTCGTTTTGCGTCTTCATCGCCCGCCCGCCTGAGCGCCGCTCCGCTCCTGCCACCCCGGCCGGCGATCGAACCAGCCCTCTCCCACCGTCGCTACAACTTGATGCAACGCGCTGCCGCTGCCTCCGTCCCACGCCTCTGAGCACCCTCACGCCAGAACCCACCCACCGCTGTTCCGCCCGCTCCGCCCACCCACGTAGGCCGCATACGGCACCAGCCTCACCCAGCGTCTCCGGGGCCCAACGCCCTCGCTTTCGCCATGGCGGCCTACAATCGCATGTCGACATTTTCCTCGCTGTCGAACTCGACGCCGCGCCCGGGTCACAACAATCCCTCGCACCAGGTGTCGACCAGCACCCTGCTCAATGCCCTGCACACCGCCTACGCCCAGCGCGAGCCCTACTATCTTGAGGCGAGCACGAGCTTGGTCGTCAACACTTGGGTAACCGCCGGCGAGGTCGGCCCCGACGGCCGTTTTGGAGGAACCGTGGATGTGGAACTCGGCCGCAAAGCCTGGGAACACGCCCGCAGAAGAGCAGAGGATGGCTGCATTGTTTTGGGGTATGTTGCTCGTGAGACGTTGCCAAGTACCCGCCGCTAACATAGACTACCCAGCTCTCTGCACGAGTCCACTCCATCGCTAGTCGCCCCCTTCGTCTCCGCTCTCCCTCTTTCCGTGCCTACAACCTTCTACACTGCTCTCAACGTCCTTCGCCCCTTCACCCATTGTGTGACGCCGCAGAACGCGTCTCTGCCTCGCCACTCGGCCCTCGCTGCCACCTTCAACTTGAATCTCGAAGGCGCCCTCACCGGAGCAAACCTCGCCCTTTCGACTTCTGGCGTTGACACCAAGCTTGGTCTGGTCGACGTCCCCTCTCAAGCCGGGTTCCGTGCTTTTGATGTCTTCTACTACCTCAATTCCAACTCCGCCTCTCAGGAGGAGAAGGAGACGCTTGGGCTGAAGCCCAACTCCGACTATGAGCTCCTGAAGAAATCAGGCACATACTACCCCCCATCTTATCTTCCCACTGCTGATGACGCTGCTGCTGCCGAAGACTGGCGCGAGAACCTCAAGCAAATTGGTGTCAAAGGCAAGACGCGGCGCAATCTTCTCTGCGCCCTTGCTGGTGTTCTCAAACTGGGCGACACCCTCGGCTTTCTTGTCGACGAGGAAGTTTTGGACGAGGCCTGTCTCGACTTCGCCGACCTCCTCGATATTGACCCGGACGTTATGAAGAAGAAGTGCGACACACTGGAACGCCAGGTCTTCATCAGCGGTCTCTACGAGGCCATCATCGATTGGGTCGTCGCAAAGGCCAACGACGCTATCCGTGCTGAACTCCGCGGCCAAAATGTAGGGTCGTCCAGCAACAGCGATGACCGCTCTGGTGCTCCCACTCCTGAGTCGGGAGACGATGACGGTGATACGGTCAGCATCACAGTGGTCGAAATTCCCTCAAATGCTGTCGGCAAGGCAGTCGCCCTCCGGACCGTCTTTGACGACTCAGAGGGCATCAATGCCGAGATGAAGGAAGACGGCGTTCCCATGGATTCCGCTGGCTCATCCGTGCTCCGGGAAATGAAGGATGCCATTGCCGAGTGCTCGAACGAGCTCGGTGTAGCTGATGGTGCTGCAGCACGCGAGTACGAGCAAGAACGCGATACCAGAGAGGCTGTCCTTGAAAAGGTTGCTCACGAAGCAGAGGAGGAGAGCTTTCTCAAGCAGCTCATTTTCCCCATCTCTGGACAGGGCGTCGCGTTGGGCAAGAGCGGCCGTTTTGATCTCCCAACCGTCATCAGCAGCAGCAGAGTTTGGTTCCATCTTGCCCTTCACCCTACCGACGATGGTCCCGCTAGTCTACAAAACACCACCGGGCAGCCTGCCTGGTCAGCAGCTTCTGTCTCACGCCAATTGCGCTCTTGGCGCTTACCTGAGTGGGCCAACCGCCGGAATCGGAATCTCGACTTCACCTCTGACTTCGATTACGAGGAGTTTATCCAACGGTACGCTCCCCTTGGCTGCACCGAAGGTCGCGAGGGTGTCGAGAGCTGGACTCTCGAGCGCGGATGGAGCAATGGGGAAGTCGTCCTCGGCACTGAGCGTGTGTGGATCCGCGAGGGAGCCTGGTGGGAAGCTGAAAGCATGCGCGATATGAAAGGTCCAGATGTCGGTATGATGGACATGGGTGGAATGGGTGCAATGGGTGGAATGATGGGCTCTGGTGCGCTCGAAAGCGGCTACTCCGTTCAACATCCCAGTCTCGGAAGCGGCTTCTTTGGCAACCAACAGCAATACGGAGACGAAATCACCATCCAAGGAAGCAGGGACAACTTGCTTACAGTACAGCCTTCTATCAACCAGGGCCCTCGCAGCAACGTTGATGCTCGCTCTATCGCCCAAACCCAAATGTCTGGACATGCCAATCTCAGCCGTGGAGATTATGGCCTTGGTAACAAAGGTGACGACAAGCATGGTGTCACCTACTATGGTGACGAGGAAATCGGTGATAACAAGGTGGTCACCGAACAACCCATCAGCACGTCCCGCCGCGCCTGGGTGGCTTTCTGTTGGGCCATGACTTTCTGGATACCATCTTTCCTCCTGGCACATGTTGGCCGAATGAAGCGTCCCGATGTGCGACAGGCTTGGAGAGAAAAGCTCGTCCTTGTCTTCATCATCCTGATTCTGAACGCCACTGTCGTCTTCTACATTATCGCATTTGGTAAACTTCTGTGCCCGAATTACGATAAAGCTTGGAACGAGAAGGAAGTTAGCACCCACCAAGCCAGCAATGACTTCTATGTCAGCCATCACGGTAAAGTCTACGACATCTCGAAATTTTGGAAGATTCAGCACAGTGACCGCACTGGTTACGACGTCACCACTTCCAATATGGAGCCTCTGATGGGCAAGAACCTCGACGCCTACATTGTCCCACCGTTCGCACTTGCTTGCCCCAACCTCAAGATCAACAGCACCATTGGAACTCTTCAATTCAACGACACATCCGCCACAACGGACAGTCCTCAGGCTGTTCACACCTCTGGTGAGCGAAACCAGGCTGACGTTGACACCGCACTGCACGAAGACGACTGGTACACGGCGAAATTCCTCCCAAGAATGAAGGAATACTACAAGGGTTCTCTCGTGTGGACGAGGGACAAGATTAAGAAGCAAGGCGACAACCTCGGACGCCAGTGGGCCATCATTGACGACAAGGTGTACGACTTGACAGATTATTTCTACACCCAGGACACGTTTAATGGCGACTCGACCTACGAATTCCTCGACAGCAAGGTTGAGAACCTCTTCAAAAACAGCCCTGGCGGAGACATCACGGATGATTGGAACGAGCTCGACGAAAGCATCCGTCTACCCAATTTCCAATGCATCGACAACATGTTCTACGTTGGCGAGACGGATTTCCGAAAGTCGGCTCGTTGCCAAGTCAACAACTACATCCTTTTGGCCTTCACCATTATTCTCTGCGCCGTCATTTTGATCAAGTTCTTGTCTGCTCTCCAGCTGGGCTCCAAAAGACGGCCTGCCGCCCAAGACAAGTTCGTCATCTGTCAGGTGCCTGCTTACACCGAGGGTGAGGACCAGATTCGGAAGGGTCTCGACTCACTGACTGCTCTGGCATATGACAATAAACGGAAGCTCATCTGCGTTATCTGTGACGGTATGATCGTCGGTGGTGGCAACGATAGGCCTACGCCCAAGATTGTTCTTGATATTCTTGGTGTTGATCCCAAGATTGATCCACCCGCTCTCCCCTTCAAATCGGTCGGTCGCGGTGCCGAGCAGCTCAACTACGGAAAAGTCTACTCTGGTCTTTACGAATACGAGGGTAATGTCGTGCCTTATATCGTCGTCGTCAAGGTTGGGAAGGAATCTGAGCAGAAGAAGTCCAAGCCTGGAAACAGAGGCAAGCGTGACTCCCAGATTCTTCTCATGCAATTCCTCAACCGGGTCCACCACCGCGCTCCGATGTCGCCGCTTGAGTTGGAGATGTTCCATCAAATCAACAACATCATTGGTGTAGATCCAGAGCTTTACGAGTACCTCCTCATGGTCGACGCCGATACTATGGTCAGAGAAGATTCACTTAACCGTTTGGTGGCCTCCTGCTCCAACGATTCCAAGATTGTCGGTATCTGCGGTGAGACCAGCTTGGAGAACGAAGAGCGCAGTTGGTGGACGATGATTCAGGTCTACGAGTACTACATTTCCCATCACTTGGCGAAGGCTTTCGAAAGTTTGTTCGGCAGCGTCACCTGTTTGCCCGGATGGTAAGTCCCTCGCGCGATGCTGTAGTTTGCAGTAGCTAACCACTTGCCAGTTTCTGCATGTACCGGTTGCGAACAGCGGACAAGGGCAAACCTTTGATCATTTCGGACAAGGTCATCGACGACTATGCCGATTGCGACGTCGACACGCTTCACAAGAAGAACCTCCTGTCCCTCGGCGAGGATCGTTATCTCACAACCATCATGACCAAGCACTTTCCGAGCATGTCGTTCAAATTCGTTCCGGACGCCTACGCCCAAACAGCTGCGCCCGAGACTTTTAGTGTCTTGCTGTCGCAAAGACGTCGTTGGATCAACTCCACAATCCACAATTTGGCCGAGTTGGTTTGGCTCAAGGACCTTTGCGGATTCTGTTGTTTCTCGATGCGCTTCGTTGTCTTCATTGATCTCTTCGGCACAATCATCCTGCCCGCCACCTGCGCCTACTTGGTCTATCTGGTCTACAAGGTTGCTGCCAATGATGGCGCGTTCCCCATCATCTCGGTCATTATGCTTGCAGCTGTGTACGGTCTGCAAGCCATCATCTTCATTATCAAGAGACAGTGGCAGCACATTGGTTGGATGATCATCTACATCATGGCCTACCCGATCTACTCCCTCATCCTTCCGGTGTACTCATTCTGGAAGCAAGACGATTTCTCTTGGGGTAACACTCGTATGGTCGTTGGCGAGACGGGTAAGAAGCAGATCGTCGCCATAGAAGAGGATGAAGGTTTCGACCCGCGCAGCATTCCGCTCCAGAGGTGGGACGACTACGCAGCTGCAAACAGTCTCCCTGGCCGCCGCGGTCTTGCTCCCGAGAAGGGCATGATGCCGTATGAAGACGATGCTTATGAGATGAACGACATGCAATCGGTCTACTCGTCCGTCAAGCCTGCCTCGACGGTTTTGACTGGCTTCAACCGTGGCGCCATGCACATGCCTCCCCAGTCGCCCGGACCGTATGCCGCCATGCAAAACCGCCAGAGCTCATACTCGAACCTCGGTGGCTACCAGGACCATCCTCAGGGTCAGCACAGCCGCCTGATGTCGATGGGCAACCAGTCGGACAGCTACAACGCATCTCCCTATGGCGCAAATCAGCACCAGGCACGCCAATCGATGCACTCCCTCTCTGCTGGCGACCACCTGCTCGGCACCCCGTACAACGCGCCACGTCAAAGAAGCCCGCTCTCCCAGAGTCGACCTGCCAGTAACATGGACTTCCGGAGCGCAGCCAGTGGCCCGTCGGATGATCAAATTGTCCACGCGATCCGCGAGTGCTTGGCTGACGTCGACCTGGACAACGTGACGAAGAAGCAACTCAAGGCGCTCACCGAGCAGAGGCTGCAGACGCAGCTCAGCGGTGAGAGGAGGGTCTTCTTAGACCATATGATCGATAACGAGCTGGCGAACATGTAGACGATTTTTTTCTTTCCCACTACGGCCCGTCAATAATTTCAAACGTCTACAGAGAAACCAGTCCAAAAGTCATGATGTTCAGGATCGGCTTCCCACTTGCATTTTCTAAGGGTCATTTAGTGCAAAAAAAAAGTATGCATGTATGCACGCACGTACGCAGGCTGAGGATGGCATTAATTCAATTTCTTGACGTCTCCTGGGTAGTGTAGCATCAGGTGTTTGTATGTCTGGTACGGAAGATGGAGGGAGGTGGTCGGTCCTTTCGTTTAATGCACGTACATTTTTTATTTCGGCGTGGTTTTCCGTCTTGGAGGCGTTGGTATCGGGTTTTACTTTATCTGGAGGAAGTATCGTGTATACAGAGCGACATTTCAAGCCTTATTGTATTTAGTCCCCTCTTTTTGATCAAGACCACTGGTTACCGCGAATGCGAGACGGGGCAGTTCTGGCTGGAAGATAGTTTAATGTCAGTTGCTGGGGGATTCAACATTCCACATGCATGTGAACTTTCAGAAGAATTTGTTTCAATGTGGTCTGTAATCCATTATTATTTTTTCCTCGCTCGCGAAAAGAATGTGCAAATTGTCATCCACAAGGAGAAATCCGTTGCGGGGGGGTGGACTCGAATATTCCAAGAACGCTCGGCTGCATACAAAGTACGATGACTCCAGAACCAGCGCACCGGGTTCCCTTTGTTTGATCGGACTTGGCATTCCGATCTCCCACACGCACACACATCCTGAGGGGGTGGTTGTCGCACTCGGGAGTGGAGTGATCATCGTCCTCCACCCCCCCCTCACTCCCTCATTTCATCGGAGCGTCATCGTTCACGTGCACGAGAGCGATGATAAGAAGGGCGAGAGAGCACGCACATGCGGCAGGAGCCGCAATGACGTGATTCCTTTCTTAAGCTCGTTTGGCAAGCTCGGAGTGGGAGGTGAATGAACAATAATGCCCCCTCCCTTCCTAGATTGATTGCATGCACATACCCTTGGCGATAGCATGATGCATGTCGTGTGGTACAGACGCGGACAAGAATCAATGCTTGGCCCTTGGCATTTCCTTCGCTGAGGCTGCATTCTTGACGAGGGACTTGATTACAATAATGCAAGTGGATGCGGCCGGGCCGAAGACTTTCAGTCGGGATGATGTGCTGTCATCATAGACTATGCTATGTATGGGTGGCGACATTTCGTCTTTTTGTTTTCCTCCGCGCTGTTGTTCATGCGCGACGTCCGAATGGGAGTGGGGATCTGCGAGAGAGCTATTTTTGGGTGGGGGTAGCGGACCCTCTATTTTTCCTTGTTGATGGACGAGACGTGACGAATGAGAAAGCGCCGGTTTTCGGACACGTCTAACAAGCAGGGTCGCTGGTGGTCACCAGTCCAATCCTGATTGTATAGCTATGCTACTAACCATCGCCCCGTCGGAAGACAGGCGATCGTCCGGTCCGGAGCGGAACGCCTTGGTCATCTGCGATGGTGATTTTTTCCCTCTACCCACCGTGGCATCTGGGTTACTCCCTGTTTGTGTAGAAGAAGAAGACGTGTGGCCGGTGCTGAGGAGGCTGGGGCTTACAGCTCGATTGGATGGAGGGGCAGGCATTGGGCGCACATTACGGTGTGGCTGTGAGAAGGGCGACTGCTGCAACCGACCGACCGACCGGCCGGACCGAGGACGTCGTATGGATTGCGGTGTCTCGTGTCGCATGCTACCCGACTACCGCCGCTATAGTGGCGTGGCCGTCGCCAATGACAGCATGGGGATGGTGCGTGGCTGGGGCTGATGGGGTAGCAAAGAGGCGCCTTGTGTCTCACCAGGTCACCAGCGGCTGCTTCTCCGGAGCGCACGATGGGCGGTGGCTTGGGCTTGCCGTTGCCGTTGCCGTCGATGAGGCTCTTCTTTTTGGGCTTGCCATGGCTTGCACAGCCTTCCCGTTTTCCTTGGTGCCGCCAGGCCAGCGAGGCCTCCCATTTGGTGGGATGCCAGCGTGTGATGCGGGTGGTGGCGAACGCTCCGACCAACCATCGATTTGTAGCTAGGATGCGGGCTCACCGTTTGTTACCGTAATGTTCTCGCTCTTACCGTCTGCAGCTGTAATGAATGATGTTTAAGCTTTCCTTGCTGGTGCTTGGTGCATTTGCGCACCCACACCGCCGCAAAGCAAGCAAAGTGGGAGACAACAAGTCCAAAGCTGAATGCACGTCTTCCTACTTAGCCAATCACTGGACGCTTTTGCATGTGAGATTTATATGAGCTTGTAGCAACCTCGGTGCCAAGCCTCCCTTCAACCAGATCTCAATAAGCTTCATCAATCGATGACAAGCTGTCCGTCGGGAGTCCACCGCAATGTGCGTCTTGGCGGCAGGCATGTGTTCGTATTCAGCATTTCCGTTGGCGGCTGTTGAACAATATCTGCAGGCTGCGGGTCGGACAACTGTAGGGGGCTTCCCGAGAACGGCCTGGCGGGTGCCCAACAGCTGTTCAGCTAGCTGCTTGAGAAGATGCCTGCGCACAAGGACGGCCCGGGGAACGGTAGCCAAGCGAAGGCGGCGCGCACACGCTCCCGTGCCTTTCCGCCAAGTCGAGGGTGGATCGGGTTAAGGGGCGAGGGAGGGGCCGGCTAAAGCGGGTTGCGGCGTGGTACAGCTTCGCTCTACTTTTTGCTTTTTGCTTTTTGCCGCACTCGACTGCAAAGGCTGTTTCCCGACGCCCTGCTGCCTACTTGCTCGGCCAATTATTCGATGGCTGCGAACTCGGGCTCGCTAAAGAGGTGGAAACCTGTAGCGTGCTGTCTAAGTCAGATGGGTTCGGTACGGGAGGCACTCGCCCTTGGTTGGGGCTAATAATCACAAGTAGGAATGCAGGACACGCGTCCTTGTTGATCTGCCGCACATCTACATTTCGGCTCGCCGGCGATCATGAAGTCCGGGCAAGCGTCCAGCCTGTGAGTGAAAGAGCGAAAATGATGGGCGTCGCATCCTGCACTGTCTTCAGGATCCTCGTCCGGGGGGCTGATGGGAGAGCACTGGCTTGGTCTGCCCTGCCGATCCAATTACCGTTTTCAAACGCTGCTCGAAGATGAGCTCGAGAGGCGCTTGCACCGGATGGGGTAGGTGGCAGGGCCGCGGGATTGGAGGCGTTCGATTGATGCTCGTCCCGGGGTGGTGCGCATGCTTCTGCTGCACGCCAAGAGCGACTACGCTGATGATTCACCCCGGAACCGTGGATTGCAGGCCTTCATGATGCAAGAGTTGGCGGTCCATGGTGAAGCGCCCTGCAACAGACGAGCGGAGGTGCGCTATAAGCTCAGCTGGGTCATCAGCAGCCGGCAGCAGCATGAGGGCTGGTTGCAGAGGATTGGCCCGTCAGCGGGCGGAGATCCTCCCTGTTGTCCATGTACCTACAGTACGGATTACAGCGCTCGTATACGTCCCTAGTCGAGCGTTGCCAGCGCGGCGCTACGCAGTCGCTTCCGCTTTTAGCTGCAAAGCTGTGGTGCTATCCTGGATGCTGCTTAACCACCACCGCGTCCACGAGAGGCCGGATCAGCCAACAGTCGCAAGCGGACTGCGCGGGCCAGCACGGGCGGCGGGCGGCGGGCGGCGGGCGGCTCATCACTCGCAAACATCCAATTCCACCGGGCGGAACCCAGAGCCGCTGTCGCGGCCTCCGAGCGGCCCAAAGCGGCAATGGCAGTCGCTGGCACGCTACGGCTCCGCGGCAACCGGAGCCACCGGCGTCACTGCGTCTCCAGGCAGTCCCACAGCGAGCTGTGATTCCCCATTTGCGTCGAGGAGCAGTGAGCTGGACGAGCGGTTGGCAGGGAAACCGAGGCTGCTGGTCTGGCGCCGTGATGCTGGATTTGCTGGTTTTGCTGCGCGGGGCGAGTGGAGCCACAGAGCGGCCGATCAGTCCAGCCTCTGGGCTGGTGCGCATGGCGTCATGCATGTGCGGTGAGAGAGAGTGGAGGGCCAGGAGAGCGCGCACTTCGGGCGTGACTCGCCGTGGGTGCCTCTGGCCGCCTCGCAGCTGGTCGCGCGCGGCTGTGCTGTGGCCCTGGGCCTTGGCGGCGTCGGGCAGTGGCAGCGGCGACGGGCGGCGGCGACTGGCAGCGAGCTGGGCAGGCGCGGGTGCCACGGCGCGTGCATCAGCGTCGTCGCAGCGGTCGCAGCGGGCGTGGAGCAGCTCGGCCAGCGCGCGCTGCCACAGGCGAGTGCCTGGCCAGGCGGGCGCATCGGGCAAGGCTGGCGTAATCTTACGGCTGACATGGCTGGGTGCGGCGGCGGCGCGTGCTGGGGTGCTGGTCGATGATTTCCCCCGAGACACCGTGATCCAGTCAGGGGCTCGCGGGCTGGCCGCCGCCAACGGCGCCGGTGGAGCGCTTGCGTGGACATCTTTTCTCGATCCCTCTCCTCGCGCGCAACCTGCACCATCCACCTGGCCATGCCCACCCCGAGTCTGTAGCTTCGTGCTTTCTGTCGTTCCCCCGCCAAAACACGCCCACCGCCGTCAATCGCTCACCCCGACTCCGTCTCCCACCCAGACTCGGCGAGCGTCCCTCCCATCCGCAGCAAGCCTCGTCTCTGCGCCGCCTATAATACCGCCCACCCTCAGTGCCGCCCGCACCACTCCCCAATTTGCCGCTGCCGACCATGAGGTTCCTCTCGCGCTGCTCCGTCATCATCGCCCTTGCCGTCACCCTCATCCTCTATCTCGGCTGGGTCATTCCCTCGACGCGTCAATACACCCAGTTCCAGAAGTCGTGGTCTGGCTCGGTGCGCAGGATCGTCACTTTCGGCGACTCCTGGTCTGATACCGGCCGCTATATCCTCAACGGGCCGCCGCCCGGCTATGAGCCCATCAGACATCCTGCCGGCGGTTTCGTCTGGCCCGAGGCGCTCTGTCAAGAGGTGAGTCGTCCGAGCACGCCTCAGCACGCCTGAGCACGCCTGAGCAAGAAACATGGCCTTGTCGTGAGATCGACCTGCTGACTCGCC